CCCTAACCCTAACCCTAACCCTAACCCTAACCCTAACCCTAACCCTAACCCTAACCCTAACCCTAACCCTAACCCCCTAACCCTAACCCTAACCCTAACCCTAACCCTAACCCTAACCCTAACCCTAACCCTAACCCTAACCCTAACCCTAACCCTAACCCTAACCCTAACCCTAACCCTAACCCTAACCCTAACCCTAACCCTAACCCTAACCCTAACCCTAACCCTAACCCTAACCCTAACCCTAACCCTAACCCTAACCCTAACCCTAACCCTAACCCTAACCCTAACCCTAGCCCTAACACCCCCAACCCTAACCCACCCCACCCCGAACCCTAACCCACACAACCCGGCCTAACACTACTAAGACCCCGTGCTAACCCTAAGCAGCCCCCCAAAACCCCTGGGGCCAAAAAAGCTAACACTAACCCAAGGGCGCCGGCGGTAGGGGGTCTTGAGCTAACACTACTAAGGACTGAGTCTGAGCTAACACTACTAAGGACTCTGAAGGGCCCTTCGGGCCCTTCGGGCCCGAACTCTGTGAGCTAACACTACTAAGGACTCTGAAGGGCCCTTCGGGCCCTTCGGGCCCTCCGGGCCCGAACTCTGAGCTAACACTACTAAGGACTCTGAGCTAACACTACTAAGGACTCTGAAGGGCCCTTCGGGCCCTTCGGGCCCGGACTCTGAGCTAACACTACTAAGGACTCTGAGCTAACACTACTAAGGACTCTGAAGGGCCCTTCGGGCCCTTCGGGCCCTCCGGGCCCGAGCTCTGAGCTAACACTACTAGGGACTCTGAGCTAACACTACTAAGGACTCTGAAGGGCCCTTCGGGCCCTTCAGGCCCTCCCGTGGCGGTCAGGAGCGACATGAGCAGGCTCTTTGTAGCTTCGGGGAAGAGTCGGGGGGAGTTGTGCATGGGAAGCTCCTATTGTGTGTGTTTTTAAGATACAACAGATAATTAACTCGAGCCGCCGTCAATCACGCTTCCCCATCCACGAAAGGCGCCGTCTGCGTCCAAGACAGGTTCGGCCCGAACTCGGAGGCGGCGAGGCGGCGCCAGGCAAGCAACGCCAGATCGTGCGTCCGGCACCGTAAACGAGCGTGGTCCGACGCCTCGAGGCCGCCGTCGCGCCAGACGCGGACGTTCAGGTCGTCGCCGAGCGCGGCGCCGAGCGCGGCCGCGAGGCCGTCCTCGCCGAGCGCCGGCGGCAGGCGGTGGACGAAGAGGCTTCGCAGGTCCGACGCGGGCGTCGTCCGGCAGGGCCGCTTCCGGACGACGACGCCGAAGACGCGCAGCGCGGGGTGCGCCGCCGCGCGCGCGCCGGCCTCGTCGGCAAAGGTCACGAGCGCCGCCGTCGCGGAGCGAGTCGGCGCGGAGAGCCGCAGCTTGTAGGGCGCGCGGCTGTCGGCGGCAGCCGCGCCGCGCCGGCCGCCGGTCGCCGCGGTCGCCGCGGCCGGCGCGCTCGCAAAGAGCTCGACGTCGGCGACGGCGCCCGCCCGCTCAAAGGCCGCGGCAACCTCGCTGGCCGTCGCGTCGCCCGGCAGGTTTTCCACGAAGACCGCCAGGCGCGCCTCCGAAGTCGCCGTCGCGGCCGAGGCGCGCGCCGCGACCGCGACCTGGACCGCCGGGCCCGGCGCTTCCGTCGCCGTCCGCCGCCGCGGGCCGATGCGGTCGTCGTCGTCCGCCGGCGGCTGCGCTTCCGCGCCGAGCGCCGCCTCGAGCTCGCGCCGCCGCCGCGCCTCGACGAAGCGCGGCCGCAGCGCGAGCAGCGCCTCGACGCCCGGCGCTTCGAACGCGCGCCAGTCGCGCGCAGCCCGTGCGAGCGTCGCCTCGGCGAGCGCGACGTCGGCGGCGCGGCGCGCGGCGTCCTCGGCGCAGCTCTCGAGCGGCGCGGCGGTCCGCCAGAGCTCGACGACCGCGCGGCCGGCCCCGAGCGCGGCGTGGACGCCGAGCGCCTCGACGGCACCGGCACAGTCGCCCTCGCCGCGCGTTCGCCTGAGCGACTGCTCGAGCTTGTGCCGCGCGAGCGGCGGGCACGTGTCTCGAGCTTGCCTTGCGACCGCCTCGGCGCCGGCGACCGCGGACAGCACGGCGTCGGCGTCGCAACCGAGCGTCGTCGCCGCCGCGCGGGCCGCCGCCACCGCGCGCGCGGGCGCCGCCTCGACGCCGACGGCGGCCACGACGCCGGCCGCGTCGCCGACGCCGAGCGACGCGACGACGGGCTCGAGTGCTCGTCGTATTTCGGCCGGCTTTGGGGGCTCAAAGTCACGCGATGCCGAGTGCCGCCTTAATCGCGAGCGCATCCGTCGCGCGCGCGTCGCCGCCGCGCCGGCGGCGATCACCGGGGGCAGGCGAGCCGCCACGCCCAGCGTCAGCGCCGCGAGTTCCTCGGCGGGCGGCGGCCGCGGGCAATACGGGTCGCCGGGGCCGTCGGCCGGCAGCGCAACGTCCGGCTCGGGCCGCTCGCCGTCGCCAAAGTCGTCGCGCCGCAGAAACTCGTCGAGCAGCGGCCGCGTGCGGCCGAAGCCCCATTGCAGCCGCCGCTCCACGGCGGCCATGAACGAGCCGGCGCGGAACCGCCGCGCGCCGCTGTTGTTCGCCTTGTCCGCGTAGTCCCGCAGCGTCTGCGCCAGCGTCGGCAGCGTGCGTTGCCGCGTCACGCCGGCCATGGCCCGCAGCACGCGCGTCGCCGCGCGCCGCGCGAGCTGGTCGCGATGCGTCTGGAGGACATCAACTTCGCGGCTGAGTAGGCGCCGGGTGAAGCGACTCATTATTGGTCCTGGTTGCCGTCAAAAATGCTTTCGTCTCGTTAAGCGTTCATGTTGCACGTCGACAGCGTGTGCAGCAGCGCGAGCTCGCCTACGCAATAAAAAGTGCGATAGCTAGCGTCTTGTAAGACACTAGCAAGACTTTCTCAAAATCCGCGGGCCGCGCTCGGTGCTTGGGGGGTGTTATCTGTGCGCACACCAGGCTCGTGCGAAATCGCTGCACGAATTGGTCAGCCGGGCAGCACTACTTTTCGCTGCGCAAAAGTCCTTGCCAATCAGCCTGCCCCACTGGGCAGCCCACAGCAGAAACAAATGCGGCGAACAACTCGCAGAACCGCGGTCGCCGCCGTCGTGATCGCTGCCTCGTCGTCGGCGATCTCGCCGGCGAGCAGGCTGCCAACGGCGCGTCCGCGGGTCGACGCGTCTGCGCCGCCCAAGCCGCGGGCCGCCTCCTGCGCCTGCGGGTCTGTGGTGCTGCACGTCAACGTTTCCGCGCTGCAGACCGTGCACTGTCACTGCCGGAGCTGTCGCCGGTCGACCGGCGCCGCCTTTAGCACCTGGGGGTGCGTGCCGCTGGCCGCGACGTATTTCTCGCAGTGGGAGACGCTTTCGGTCTACCAGCGATCCTCACAGGAGTGCGAGAGCCGCAGCCCTCGGGCGAATCGGTACTTTTGCTCGAAGTGCGGCTGTTCGGTCGCCATGACGTACCCCGCGACGGGGCGCTGGCCCGAGCCGCACAGCCTATGGCTGAGCGCCGCCTTCCTCGGCGACGACGACGCGGGCATAAACGTGATCCACATGTACCCCGAAGAGCGGCCGGGCTGGTGCGACATCGACCGACAAGGCTGCGACGACCAACCGCTGAGTTACATGGGAGACGACCACGTGTGCGAACTTCCGGACGACGACCGCACGTTCGCGCTCGTCCTTGGGGGAACCGCGGGCGTACCACAGCTCGACCCAGCTCACGACGACGAGGCGTTCCTGCTCCCTCCATCCGAGTGTTTCCGACTGCGAGGCCTCGCCCCGGCGCCATCAAAGCTCCCGGGCAGCGCGGCGCTGGCGCTGGAGGCGCCGCCGGACTGGGCACGAAGCGGCCGCGAAACGACCACGGCTGATGCGACGGTCGCGGATGATTTTCGCGTGCGGACGATCGATGTCGCCGGCACAACCGTATCGATATTCGAGGTCGCCGACCCGACCAGCGACGACGGATGCGACACGGATAGTCCTCGCTCTGCGATGTGTGGCGGCGTGCTGTGGCCGGGCAGCCGGGCCGCGGCCGAGGCCCTCGCGGAGATGTCGCTCGCGGGCCGCTGCGTCGTCGAGATTGGTGCGGGGACCGGCCTCTGCTCGCTCGCCGCGGCCAGCATGGGGGCGGCGGAAGTGGTTGCCACGGACGCCTCGCCGGGAGTACTCGAGCTGATCGAGGCGGCAGCCGCAGCGCAGGACCTGGGAGTCGTGCGGACGCAGGTCTTTGATTTTCTCGGCGACGTGGCAGAGAGCCCGGTCCGCGGCGTCGACGTCGCGGTCGCCGCAGACTTGCTGTACACTGAGGAAATCACCCGAGCAGTTGCGCGCACGTGTGCAGCGCTAAAGATCGGGGGCGCGACCGTCGTCGTCACGGATTCGCAGCGGCGGCACCGGGACGCGTTCCTGGACGAGCTCGACCGGTGCCTGCCCCGGGCCGATCGCGAGTTCGAGGCGACGACGGTATCGGATTACACCGGCTGGTCCTACCCGGACGCAGGAGACGTCAGCGTCGAGGCGATTGCTGTGGGGGTGCTCCGATTAATGTAGTTTACTAGTAGATGCGAAATTACAAAGTTCATGGCAGCAACACAACCACCGAGTACGGCCACCACTTCCCGTCCTTGGCGTTGGTAGCCGACGTCTCGTCGAAGGCGCCGGGCTTGACGAGGACGTACGTCGAGTCGCCGTTGTCGTAGTTCTCGACGATGAAGTCGCAGCCGAGCGACGCCTCCCAGTCGTCGGGCAGCCCGAGGACGTCGTCCTGGGCCTCGAACGCGGCGAGGACGGCCTGGCGGTCGTGGACGACGCGGACGCGCGTGCCCCGCGTCAGCTGCTGGAACCGCGTGAGCCGCGCGCCGGCCGGCCGGAAGAGCGCGTCGAACGCCGTGTCGGCGAAGGTGATGTCGACCTTCGCGGTGGCCGCGCGCGCGCGCAGCCGCGCGACGTCGAGGAGGGCGTCGCAGAGGTCGCGGCAGACGCGCGCCTCCTCGCCGAGCGCCGTCGGCGGCGCGTCGCCGCCCGCGGGCGGCTCGTCGACGAGCCGCGCGGCGCGCTCGAAGGCCGCGCGCGCCGCGCGGACGTCGGGCTTGTTCGCCTCGTCGCCGTCTTTGCTCTCCTGGCGCTCGCAGAGGAGCCGGCCGCGCGCGACGTGCCACTCGGCGCGCTCCTCGGCCCCGAGGCCCGGCGACGACGCGAGGTCCTCGACGATGGCGCGCACCGCGAAGTTGCGCCGCAGTTCGGTGCCCATGCGCTCGTGCGTCAGCGGCGACGTCGGCTGCTGCGCGCACCGCCTGAACCACTCGCGGATCGTGCTGCGCTCGTAGGTGTGGCCGTCCTCCGCGATCACGGGGTCGACGAGCAGGGAGCCCGAGATGGCGTCGCGGCAGCGCGACGCGACCGACTCGAGCGTCGTCTCCTTTTTTTGTTGCTTCGCCGGCGGCGCCGGCGGCGAGCTGCTCTGGTCGGTCTTGCGCTTCGCCGGGGGCTGTTTATTCTCCATCGCTCTCGTTCGGAGGCGCTAGGCGCTATAGGGCTCTGTGCCCGTGGGGCGGCGCGGCGGCGGCCCGGAGGCTCGGGGAGTCTTGTGGGCGGCTACTCCAGCCCGAAATCTATGTGATTCTATGAGCGGGGGCTCGTAAAGCAAGCTCTTTGTCGCGCTGCGCAGACCTATTACTTGCTAGTGTCTTACCGCCGCTAGCTAGCTTAGCGGCGGAAGCTGGCAAACGCGCCGAGTCGCCCTTACTGCAGCGAATGAGCCCTTGCTGAGAAGACATTCATACATACAGCAACGTTTAGGCTAAAAATCCGCAGCCCTAACGCACCAGAAGCCATAAATTACAAAATCGAGCTCCAATGCCAAAGCCAAAGCGCCGGACGACGTCGTCGGCGCTGTTGGGCGACGCGCCAGCACGGTCGTCGCTGATCATCGATGGCGGCGCGGCCGCGGCGGCGTCGCCGCCCGAGCCGCAGCTCGCGGCCGCGGCGACGCCGTTCGCCGCCGCGTCGGCCATCGCGGGCCACCCGCCGGGCATGGACCCGCAGGAAGCCAACGCGGCCATCGAGGAGCTTTCGGAGCTGCAGGCGCGCGACCCCGAGGCCTTCGCCGAGCTCATGCAGGCGGCGCTCTCGGGCGAGGGCGCCGACGACAAGGTCGGCGAGCTCTGGGAAAAGGCCAAGCAGGGCAAGGCGCCCGCCCCCGCCGGCGCGCCGGAACGCGTGTCGCGGCCGGCGCGCGCCGGCGACGAGCTCGAGCTGCCCGGCGGGCGCGTGCTCGGCGCCGGCGGCGCGACGCGGCCGGCGACCGAGGACGGCATCCGCATCGTGCCGACGCCGGGCTTCGTGCTCAAGACGACGGGCACGCAAAAGGCGCCCGAGGGCGGCGGCATCCGGGAGGCCGGCGCGGGCGCGCCGCAAAAGTACTTCGTCAACGTGTGCTCGGCCGCCGCCGTCGGCGCGCCCAAGCCGACGAAGCGCCTCGACAACGAGGGCAACGAGGTCGAGGGCGTGAGCGTGCCGGTGAGCATCGGCCCGCCCCGCGGCTGCGCCGACAACAAGGGCACCGCGAGCATCGTCGTCGACTGCGTCGTGAATCCGACCGTCCTCGCCGAGTGCGTCAACGACGAGACGGGCGCCCAGCGCGACTTCATCTGCCAACTTGCGCTGACCTACGTCGAACAAAAGTACAAGTTGGAACTGGACCGCAAGTACAAGCTGCCGCGCATGAAGTACAAGGGCGACCCGGAGGAGGGCGCCCAGTACGTGCGCGACTCGTCAAAGGAGGCGTCCAAGGTCGCCGAGGCCTCGCCCGGCGACGTGCACCGCGCGCGAAAGGCCGCGGCGCCGAAGATGGCGCTGGGCCCCGCGCCGGACGCGGAGCTCTGGTACGCGCCGATGCGGGGGGCCGCGCTCGTGCGGGCGCCGGACGGCGCCTCCGACGACGCGTGGCCCGTCGTTTTGCTGCCGCGCGGCCCGCGCGAGGGCTTCGACGCGATTCCCGCGGACGCCGACCGACCGCGGGACCTCGTGGTGCGCTTGTCGCTGCCGCGCGACCGCGGCTCGAAGCGGGATCCGTTCGCCTCGGGGAAGGTCGCCGCGAGCGCGTTCGCCGTGCGGGCCGTCATGCCCGGCCGCGAGAAGCTCGTGGTCCGGCTGCCGTTCGGCGTCGAGGCCACCGCCGCCGTGGCGCGGCACCGGAAGCCGTCGGCGAGCCGTTGGGTGCTGGACGTGGAGTTGCCCGTGGACCAGACCGACTTTGCGGCCGCCGCGGACCCGGGCTCGAAGCAGGCGCGCGTCGCGCGGGCGCTGCGCGGCGGAAAGAAGGACGCCGCCGGCAAGGCGGACGACGCCGCCGCCGCGCCGGCCCCGGCCGCGCCCGAGGATCGGTACGGCCTGCGCGAGGCGGCCACGGCCTCGGCGGCGCCGGCGCTCGAGAAGCCGCCCTCCGGCGCGAGCGTCCACGACCTGGCGTTCGCCGCGGCGCACGCGGCGGACGTCGCGGCGCGCGCCGCGGACAACGCGGGCGAGCGCGACGACGGCGTCTTCCCCGAGGACCGGTTCCATCGCGCCGACATCCTCTCGCAGCATTACATCAACCAGCGGGAGCAGTCCGTCGAGGACAAGAAAAAGGCCGCCGAGAAGGAGCGCGCGCGAGATAAGTCCGAGGACGGCATCGAATACGTGGACCTCGAGGACTATAAACCGGGCGGCAAGTTCTCGGACCAGCCGGCGCCGCCGCCCGAATTGGAGGATGTCAAGGAGCCGGCGCCGGCCGTCGCGACGTTCGAGGCCGCGCCGGCCAGCGGTGGCGTGGAGCTGGAGTCGAGTTTGTGGACGGAGTTGCTCTAATTAATAATTTTTGCTCACTTTTACAAACAGACGACTAGTGAGGGAAAAAGCTCGACGGGCGGTGGTGTGCTTTTGAGTTGGTGGGAGACAAATACAGGTCACAGCGGCTCCGGACGTGGTCCGGCCCCAGGTTCGACGCCTCGAGGTCGATGTCGAACATCGAGTCCCACTGCTTGCCGGTCGCGAGCAGTTGCGGGCGGCCGGCTGCGCGCCGGTAGGCGATGCCGTTCGTCACAAAGTGGTGCGGCTGCCGCCGGACGCGGCTCGACTGCTTGTCGCGCAGGGCCGAGAGGTCGACCCAGCCAAGCACGTTGCCCGTGTTGATATCGATGCGGGCAACCTGTGTGTTTTAGGTATTGGCTTGCGTAGACGCCTCATATTACGACGCCGCAGTCCAACGCAAGGCGACGCCTTGTGGTAGCGCAGCGGCAGGACGTTCGCCCAGAGCTCGCCCTCGACCATTTCCAATTCGTTCAGGCCCTCGATCAGGGCGTCGCCGAGGCGCTCGTCCTTGACGCGAAGCACGTGGAGCGCCGCCCAGTTGTGCGCCGGCCGCAGCACGTGGACGCGGTGCGTGCCATCGGTCCCGTACGCGAGCCCCGTCGTCTCGTCGTAGGCCAGCCCCCAGCCTTCGCCGTGAAACGGCTGCGCCCTCGTCGAGAGCCGTCGGAGCGTCTTCGTGTCGTACTCGTGCATGGCCCCCTCGCGCCACGTGAGCTGGTAGAGCTTCTCCCCGATGGCCGCGAGGCCCTCGCCAAAGTGCTCGTTCGCGTTCAGGTTCTTCGCGAGCGTCTTGCCCGTGTCGAGTTCGACGCGCCGCACCCGCGATTTCCGGTAGAGCCCGTCGCTCTCGTAAAGCGCGCCGTCCGCGCCGAAGACGAGCCCTTGCGTGAACGCGCCGGAGTCGTGCGCGTACTCTTTGACGATTCGCGGCAGCGACACGTAGGACGCGTTGTTGGAGGTGAGCCACGGCGTCGTTCGATTTTTTGCGGGTGCTCTGGGCGCAGTTGTTGCGACGACCGCCACGATCGCAATGCCCGCGGCGGCCAGATACCGACGCGTTATCATGGGCGCTTCGCGTGCGGCTCTGCCTTCCTTGTGGCGGTGCTTTTTTTTTGCCAGCTTTTTGATGACTGCTGCGTTTTTTATCAGTGCTGCTGCGTTTCTAGACGCGAATAGTGTTACTTGCGCAGTGCTGGGGCTCCAAATGGCGTGCTGCCTATAATAAGCTAGCGGCCTGTAAGACACTAGCATCGATTCGTCGATCAAGTTGAAAGGCAGCGCAGACGTGCAGGTGAAACAATAGTTGCGAGGGAGCAGTCCTGATAACACATACGACCCGTGCGGACGCAATCCTGACACAGGAGCACTCGCACAGGAGCACACATGAATGCCATGCGATGCGCACTCGCGCTGGCCGCAGCTGCAGCATTCGTAACAAACCCGCAGCGAGTGGTGCGACGACTCCAAGCGGGCGACGCGCTGGACGACGTGCGCTTCGCGGGCACGCGGCGGCTTTACGGCGACTCCGCCACCACCACACTGCGCGACGCCTCGGCGATGGTCGTCGGCGTCGGTGGCGTCGGCTCGTGGGCGGCCGAGGCCATCGCGCGGACGGGCGTCGGGCGGCTGATTCTCGTCGACTTGGACGAGGTCTGCGTCTCGAACACGAATCGGCAGCTCGTCGCGCTCAGCTCGACGGTCGGCAAGTCCAAGGTCGACGTGCTCCGTGATAGACTAACGGACATCAATCCGAACGCCGTCTTCGAATGCGTGCCGGATTTTGTGGGCGAAGAGAACGCGGACGCGATCCTCGACGCGGCAAAGGTCGACGTCGTCGTCGACTGCATCGATAATGCAAACGACAAGGTCGCGCTGCTGCGCGCCTGCGACGCGCGGGCGCAGGCCATAGTCGTCTGCGGCGCCGCGGGCGGGCGCCGCGACCCCACGGCCGTGCGCGTGCGGCCAGGCGACGTCCGCGGCGCGCGCACGGGCGACGCCCTCTTGCGAGCGACGCGGAAGCAGTGGCGCCGCGCGCGCCGGGCCGCGGGGCTGGACGGCGAGAACCGCGAGGCCCGCGTCGTCTCCGTCTACTCGGACGAGCGGCCGCCGGCCAAGGCCGAGGTCCGGACGGGCGCCTGCGACATGGGCCTCGGGTCGTCGGTCTTTGCGACGGCGGCGTTCGGCCTCGCGGCGGGCGCCGCGGCCGTCGACGTCCTGATTGCTGACGGCGCCGTCGCTGCCGTGGAACACGACGTCTTGATTGCCGAAAGCGCTGCGCGCGACGACACCGCGGGTGCCGCGAGGCCGATCGCCGCCGTCTTGGCGGGCGTCGACGACGGAGAAGACGATGCGTGGGAGGAGGCCGACTGCCCGTGCTCGGACTTTGGCTTGGCTGCGCGATCGCGGCCACCACAGAAAACACGATGGCGGGGCGGCAGCGGCGGGCCGCCGCGCGTGTCGAGGCGCCGGTCGACGGCGCTGGGCGCCGTGGACACGCACTGCCACGCGCAGTTCGCCCCCGAGCCGCCGGCGTCGGCCGCAGAACTCGTCGTCTGCTCCACCGGGCCGGGCGACTGGGACGCGGTCTCCGCGCTCGCGCCGACGGCCAAGGCGGTGGCCTACGGCGTGCACCCCTGGTGGGCCTGCGACGCGTCCGAGGGGTGGCTCGACGCGCTAGAAAGGCGCCTCGTGGAATCACCGACGGCGCTCGTGGGCGAGTGCGGCCTCGACAAGTTCGCGGGGGGACGAAGCCCACCCGGGAGCGGGGAGCCGCCGGACCTGGAGCTCCAGGACTCGATATTCCGAGCGCAGCTCGCGCTGGCGCGGGAATTGGGCAGAGGCGTCACGGTGCACTGCGTCAAGCGCGTCGACGCCGTCGCCGCGGCGATACGAGCCGAGCGGCCGCCGCGGGTCGCGTTCCACGGCTTTAACGGCTCTCCAGAGTCGGCGTCGGTATTGATACGCGCCGTCGAGGCGGGCGGCGGCACGGCGTTCTTTGGGATCAACACTGCGCACGCGTCCAAAAAGACGCCGCAGCTCGTCGCTGCCTTACCCGAGACGTCGCTCCTCGCGGAGTCCGACGCTTCGGGTGAGTTCGAGGCGCGCGTCGCGGACGCGACAAAGCTGATCGCCGACGCACGCAACTGGTCGCTTGATGTGGCGGAGGAACGGCTGGCGGGGAACGCGCGGGCATTTCTACTGTGATAATGATCGCGGACGCGCGCGACTGGTCGTTGACTGAAGCGGAGGAGCGGCTGGCGGGGAACGCGCGGGCAATTCTACTGTGATAATCTGTGAATAAAGCGGGCGAAAGTTATCCTATCCTAAGAGTCGCACATTCTACGAGTGTGCGACGTGTGGTCACCGAGAAGCTGGCACGAGCTCCTCGCCGCCGCCGTCGTCGCCGTCGAAGCCGCCGGACGCGAGCAGACACGCCATGACGATCATGACGCCACCCGCCGCCGAGTATTCGTCGAGGCGCTCGCCGAGCGCGAGCGACGCGAAGCCAGCGCCCCAGAGCGGCTCGGTGCTGAAGAGCACCGTGGACTCCTGCGCCGAGATCTCCGACAGCGCGAGCGTCTCGACGAGCACCGTCCCGAAGGTCGTCACGAGGCCCGTCCAGACCACGGCCCCGAAGACGGCCGGCGGCTCGGCCAATAAGGCGAGCGCGTCCGGGAACGCGTCGGCCGCGGCGCCCCACTGGTCGCTCAGCAGCCACACGTCGGCCACGGCCTTGACGGTCAGCAGCTGCATGGCGCCGCACGCCAGCGACGCCTTGGTCAGGTCCAGGTCGTCGGGCACGGCCGCCAGGGCCTTTTCCGTCCGGTAAAAGCCGTACCCAAACGCCAAGGGCTGGATGAGCGTGAACAACAACCCGTGCACCGCGCCGTGCGGGCCGTCCACGCTGTGGCCCATGGAGTTGACCGACAGCATGGCCACGCCCGCCGCCGCGAGCACCGCGGCCTGCCACGTCCGCGCCGTCGTGCGTTTGCGGTCCACGACCGCATCCAACACGGGCACGACGACGACCGCGAGCGAGCACACGAACGCCGAGAGAGACGCATCCACGTCCTGCAACCCGACGCTCTGCGAGACGTAACCCATCGCGTTCGCGGCGCCGACCTCCATCGAGACTTTCTGCAAAGACCGCAACTCGTCCGACTCCCAGTCCCAGTCCCGCACGTCCCAGAGCACGGTCAACGCCGCCATCGACGCCAGGCCGAAGCGCAGCGAGGCGGACAAAGAAGGTGGCAGCGAGTGGTCGAGTTGCTTGACGGCGGCGAAGTTGGTCCCATAAGTCAAAGCGCAGCCGAGAATGGCCAGGCGGGCCCAGTTCCGGGCCCAGTAGGTTTGTAATTGGCGTGGAGCGCGGGCGAGCAGATTTGCCAGGGGGATTTCGGCGCTCAGAAGGCCGGTTTCTGTTTTCCCGCCTTCCGCCGGCAAAATTGGCAAAATTGAACGACTTTCGGCGGTCGCGCCAGTGGGCAGCGGGGTCGCCGGTGGCTCGCTCGCGGCCGCGGCTCTTTTAGAGCTCCGCGAGGCGCCGCGGCCAGCGACTGGGGTTGTTAAGGAGAAGCAACATTTTACGCCCAAAACACCACATAACAGTGCTGTACGCAAACGCCATTGCATGTGGGCCATGGGCGGCCGTCCAGTGATGCACTGTCAAATTTTCAGTCGTGTTCAATGCGCAGGTGTTCTTCTTTGGCATAAGATGGGAGCCTCGCTCGGCAGCTGCTCGATCGATGCGCGTGCCCCGACTCCCGATCGCCCTGCGAAGCCGTAGAGGACCGCGACACGTCGCAACGCAAGCCTGCCGCACCTCCTCGTTTCTACGCGACCTCTCCCTTTTTTCTAGTCTCCTGCCCCTAGCTACACGTCCAACCGTGTAAAGGCCGCCCTTCAACCTTCCAAGGACGCCTCAGGCTGCCCGTCAACCCGCCTCCCCATTACAATCCGAGGACGTAAGGTGAAGCTGCCCCAATCCCCGCGGGTGACGTCCACAAGCCCCCAACCTCCAAATTCCCATGACTCGTCGCAGCCCTAGTCGTCCCAGCGGGAGGAGTCCCGACGCGCGCGTCGAGCCCTCCCGTCGCCCGCGCGGCGCCAGTTCCAGCGCCGGTTGGCGCTGCTCACCACAGCGCAGTGTGGCTGCCCGACGCATCATACAGATAACAACAGGCAGCCAAACAGTAAAGATGGACGACCTCCAGCCCGGCGTCCGCTGCGAGGTCCGTTACGGGGCGACGCCCGACTTTCGAGCGGCCACCATCACGGCCAGCGACGGCACGCGGCTCGGCGTCACCTACGACACCAACGAAGAGGAGCAGAACGTCGAAAGACGGCGCGCGCGGCTGCCCGGCCAGCGCCAGCGCAAGGTTCTCGCGAAGGGAGACGCCGTCGACGCGCGGCACGGCTCCGGGGAAGTGCGCGCTGCTACCATAAAGAATATAGAGGGCGACACGCACACCATCGTCTTCGACGATGATACGACGCAAGAGCTCGAACGGCGCTACGTCTTTGGAGAGTGGCGCGACGAACCGCTCGCGGAGGGAACCAAAATAGAGTGCCGCTACCGCGACACGGCGACCTTTTACCCGGGCGCCGTCGCGAAAGCCAACGACGACGGCACGCACGATATTACCTATGACGACGGCGAGGCGGAGGCCGGCGTCATACTCCGAAGGCTGCGGCGGCCCGGCCAGCAGCAACCAGAAAACGTGGACGCGGGTTCGAGGGTCGACGCGCGGCGGCCCGACGGCGGCGCCGTGTCCCCGGCGACGGTCCTGGGGCGGGAGAATACCACGTATACGATACGCTTCGACGACGGCGTCGAAGCGGACGTACAACGGAAGCACGTCTTCGCGGCGCACGTCAACGCCAACGAAGGGGCCGCCGACGACGCGACGGCCGCCGTGGCGCGACACGACGAAGGGACCGGCACGGTGCTGGGCGCTTCTCGCTCCCAACGGCGCCTGCTCGAGGACGCGGCCGCGACGGGCCGCCTCTCGCCGCAGCGGCCGGAAGACGCCGCGCCGGCGCCGGCGCCGGCGCCGGCGCCGGCCGTCGTCCCTCAGACGCCGGCCGTCGCACCGCGGGCCGCAATGACGACACCCGGCGGCACGCCCATCACGCAGAACATGAGAATAGAGTGCCGCTTTGGCCTCACGCCGACGTTCTACCCCGGAAGAGTGGAGGCCATCGCGGAGGACGGCACCTACGAAATCGTGTACGACGACGGCGACCGGGAAGTCGACGTGACGCGGAGACGTCTACGCCTGCCGGACCAGCGCCAGCGTTTGGAGCTGCAGCCCGGCGACGCCGTCGACGCGCGCGCGGACGACGGGAAAGTCAGACCGGGCTGCATCTCGGGCAAGCGCACGGACGTGTGCACGATCGACGGCGAGGACGTGGCGACGACCTTGTACGAAGTCGCCTTCGAGGACGGAAACGTCGGAGAACATCTGGAGCGGCACTTCATCTTCGGCGACTTCCACGACGGGCCCACGCCGTCGTCGGGCCCGCGCCTGGACGTGGGCACGCCGGTGACGGCCCGGTACCGCGGCGGCGCGCAGCGCTATCCGGGTAAGATCGCGGCCGTGAACGACGACGGCACGTACGACGTCCGTGCGCCGGCGTCGATGTGTCGCCTTACGCCAATGACAAACCCCCACGCAGGTCGCGTACGACGACGGCGACGCCGAGGCGGCCGTGGCGGCGGCCTTCGTCGAGGCGACGCTCGCCGCGGACGACGCTGTCGCCGCGGAAGACGCCTTCCGCGAGGGCGACGCCGTCGAGGCCGACTTCCGCGGGCGCGGGCGCTACTACGCCGGGAAGATCACGTCCGTAAGGGAGGATGGGTCCTACGACATTCTGTACGAGGACGGCGACGCCGAGGCGTGCGTGGCGCCGGAGAGCGTCCGGCGCCGGAGCGAGGAGAGCGCGCCAGAGGTTGCCCGGCCGGAAACGGGAGAGCCGGCTTTCAGTGTCGGCGACGCGGTCGACGCGAGGTACCGCGGCCGCGCGAAGACCTACCCCGGCGCTATTGAAAAGGTCCACGAGGACGCGACCTACGACATTCTTTACGAAGACGGAGAGCGCGAGGCGCGCGTCGCCGAGGCGTTGATCTCAAAGCGCTCGTTATTTGCGGTCGGCGCCGCCGTCGAGGCGAATTATAGGGGAAAGGGCACGTACTACCCGGGCCAGATCACGGCGTTGAACGACGACGGCACGTTCGGCGTGCTCTACGACGACGGAGAGGGCGAGCTCGGCGTGCCCGCCGCGCTCATCCGCTCCAAAACCGCAGCAGCTCCGGCCCCGGCCCCGGCGCCCTCTCCGTCCAAGAAGCGCCCCCAGACGCCCAAGGAGCCGCTCGACGAGTCGAACGCACCGCTCAGCCCGGGCATGGCCGTCGAAGCCAGATTCCGGGGCCGCGGCAAGATTTACAAGGGCAAGCTCCTCCAGCAGAACGAGAACGGCAGCTTCAAGGTCATGTACGACGACGGCGACGTGGACGAGGAGCTGCCGCGCGAGATGGTGCGACCCATCGCCGGCGCGCCGCGCCAGCCCCTCGCGCCGACGACCGACGACGGGCCCGCGGCCGAGGTCGAGCCCGCGCAGCCGGCCGCGCGCGTCAACTCCTCGCTTCAGGGGCCGTCGGCCGTCGCCACTCCCGTCGCCGCGACGCAGCCGGCCGCGCGCGTGAACTCGGCGCTCCGCGGACCATCGACCGCGGTCGCGGAGCCCTCGCCCGCGCGGACGAGCGTGGCGCCGGCGGCCACGGAAAAGCCGGCACCTGCGACGCCCTCCAAGAAAGCACAAAGAAGGCGCCCGAAGCCCACGGAGAGCGCCGAGGGCGACGCCTTAAAAGTGATGCGCCCGGCCGGCGCGCGGGGCGGCGGCGGCGCGGGCGGCGTCGTCTTCCTGCCGGGCGGCGCCGTCGCCGTCCAGGCGCACCGGAGCCGCGCGTGCCTGTGGCTGCCCCGCTCGGCTGCCCACATCGGCGACGTCGCGGGCCACGCGGGCCGCGTCCTCGCGGTGGCCGCCTGCGCCTGCAAGGACGTCTACCACACGACGGGCCGCGTGCAGGACGAAATCGTACTGCTCACGGGCGGCTCCGACGGCGCGGCCTGCCTCTGGCGCCTGTCGCCGGGCCCCTGTCCGCCGGGCGACGACGGCGCCACCGTGGAATGCTGGCAGAAGGCGTTGCACAAAGCGGCCGCCAAGGACGGCAACGCGAAGCTCCCGAAGACCGTGCGACTCGCTGGCGACGACGACCCGGCCACGGACGCCGCGCCGACGGCGGTCACGCCCGTCGTTCGCAAGCCGGCGCTCAAATTCGTACATCCGCGGGGCGCCTGGGTCCTGGCCGTGGACATTTCGACGCGGGGCCCGCCCGGGCTCCTGGCCGCGACGGCCGCGACGGACGGCATTATTAGGCTGTGGGACGCGACGCGCGGCGGCGCGCCGGTCCGCCTGCTCGCGGGCCACAGCTGGTACGCCACGGCCGTCGCCTTTCGCCCCGGCAGCTCCGAGCTCGCGTCGGCCTCGATGGACAAAACTATCAGGTTGTGGCGCTACGAGGAGGAGGAGTCCGTTGGCGCGCCTTCGCCGTCGTTGCACGACGAGTCGACGGCGGCGTCGTCGGCGCCTCTCCAACTGCTCGACGACGACGACGACGACGCCGAAGGCAGCAGCACGGAGACGCCGCTGGCGCCCGCGCCGCATGTGTTGCTGCGACTGGACGCGGCCCCGAAGGCGCTCGCGTGGACGCGGGACGGTTCGCTGCTGCTGGCCGGGGGCGATGCGCCCGCACCAATCCGCTTCGACTGCCGCGGCGGCACACCAATGAGACTGGCCGAGCTCCCGGGCGCCGGCCACCGCGGCGCCGTCGTCCAGATCGCGGTCGCGGCGGACGGGTCGTCGGCCTGGACCGCGTCGCAGGATGGTTCTTGTCGATGCTGGGCCCTCGGCGATAATGATGATAGGGGCGGTTTGGTGCATGCGCTAAACTGCGCGCGCACCGGCGGGCGCGTCGTGGGCGTGGCCGTCGACGAAGCCGCCTTGGGCTTGGACGCGTACGGTGAGCGGCGGGCGCGCCAACGCGTCGCGACGGCCACGGCCGACGGTGCATTGCGCCTCTGGCCGGCGCCGCAGAGTGCCGTATCCGAGGCGGACGCGAAACTCATAGAGGTCGCCGCGAACGGTGACGAGGCCCTCTCCATGGTCTCGGCGGCGCTGCTCAAGGGCGGCGACGGTAATTCGGACGTGGACGCGGCCGCCGCCGCGTCGGGTCTCCTCCCGATCGTGCGGGCCGTCGCGCGCCGCGTGCCGCGCAAGGCGCCGTGCTACGTCGGCAAGGGCGCCGCAGCGGAAAAACGGGACGCGCGAATGCGCGACCTCGCCGCGACGGCGGGCGCGGCGCAGCGCTTGGCCTTCGCCGCTGTTTCGGAAGGGAAGAACGCAGCGGCCGTGGCGCGCGCGGCTGTGCAGGAGCGGGGATTACTTAGAGCGGCCTGCGAGGCCGTTTCAAGTGTGGACGGCGGCGGCGTCGACCAGTTGATGAAGGCGGCGCTGGCCAACACGAGCGAACGGACGCCCGCGTCCCCCTGAATAACTACTACTAGTTAGGTCCGCGCGCGCTGCGTCTTCTTCGGGTTCAGGGGGCACGACGAGTGGTTCGTGCGCTTGTGCGTCGTCGAGCCGCAGCGGCACTGCGTGTTCTGCGGCGGCGCGGCGGAGACGTCGCGGAAGCGGCCCGACGCGCCCGGCGCCGCCGGCGTCACATGCGGCGCGCGGTCGTTCTCGATCGCGAGGCACCACCCGACGTCGGAATAGCCGAGCCCGAGCACCTTGTTCAAGGTGTCGATGGCCGAGAAGACCTCGGCGAGCTCGTCGTCGGCCAAGGGGTAGCGGTCGCAGTCGCTCGACTGGAACGCGTTGTTTAGCAGCAAGGCGCCGACGCGCGTCACGGTGGCCCAGTCGCCCGCCACGAAGGAAGCAGCCGCGGACCGCGCCTCCCTTGCTAATCGAGGCGCGCCCTCAGCGGGCGCGCCCCGAATCCCGATCGCCTTGGCCAGTAGCGGCAAGTGAGGGTCGCTCGGCAAGCGAGCCACGTATTCCTCGACCATGTCGTTCAAAGCGTCCCGCTTGTTGGCCATGGCCCGGAGTTTTGCCGACGAGTGGTCCCGGTACCACTTCAGGGCCTCGAAGCGGCCCATCGACGACGATTGCGCGACGCACGAACACCACCGCCGCAACAGCATCTGCGGCGTCGAGCCGTCCGGCGGCCGCGGCAGGCACTTGAAATTAAAGTCGTGCGCATGGGGGATGCCGTGGCACGTACAAGACATGAAATATTGGTCGCAGTGGCCGCAATAACTAAATGACTGGGGCCGGAACCGGAGCTCGCCCGAGGCCAAGACGATGGCGCCGCCGTAGGCGCTCATCGTGCTTTGCTATCCCTCTGCTGCGCAGCCAAACTGGCCTCTGCGGAGTCGACGACCCCTCAAGCCGGGCTCGGGCTGCCCAACACACACACCTCTTGCTTCTGTGGACGACGACGGTCCGTGCGCGGCGACAGTTGCTGCCCTTGCGTCCTAGATAGGCCTTAAGGCAACCCTTGCGTTTCTTGCTGTCTGGCGTGCGGCGAGACGTCCACAAAATGGGCCTCGGACGAAGGCCTCGAGGCAGAGTTGCTGGCCGAAACTGTCCAGGCTCTTCGATAAAGAGAAGACTCTTCGGGAAGGCTCGTGTTTGATGGAGCTTCGCGCCGTACCCTTCCAAGATGTTCTGCTTGCTTTCTAGTGTCTTACACGCCGCTAGCCCATTCTGCCTAAAGTGCCAGGGGGCAAAACACAGGGCAGAGACGCAGCGCTGATAGCTGCAAATAACTTCCGAGCTTCTCTTTAAACGTGCCGCGCAGTAGTGCACTCCGCTGCATTGCTGCCACACGGATGCTGCCACGAGCGGCAGCCATGCTCCTTCTCGCCGGCGCCGCGCGGAGTTTGCGACCGACGATGCGACGCGTGACGCGCTTCGGCGGCGCGCGGGGCCTGCGACCGACGATGCGACGCTTGACTCAGGCTCCGCAACCGACGATGCGACACCTGACGCGCCTGCTCGCGACGACGCCTACCGGCGCCGACGCGCTGCCGGCGCTGCGCGCGGACCTCGCCGCGCTGAGCGACGAAGTCGCGAAGACGCGGCCGCCGGCCGAGCGCGTGGCGGCCTGGCAGAACGACATCCGGGACCTCGAGGCGGCCGCCGCCGCGCCGGACTTTTGGGACGACAGCGACGCCGCGCAGACCGCGCTCGCGCGGCTCGCCGCGTTGAAAGGCGACCGCGACGCCGTCGCGGCGGGCGACGCGCTCCTCGAGGACGCCGCCGCCGCGCTCGACGGCCTCGCGGAGTCGGAAAACGACGAGGAGAGCGAGGCGTTCTACGCCGAGGCGGCGACGGACGCGCTCGACGCGCTGCGAAAAGCTCTTGAAGAAAGACAACTCGCGCAAGCGCTGAACGGCCCCTTCGACGCGTGCGCGTGCCGTTTGGAGGTGCAGGCCGGCGCCGGCGGCCTCGACGCGCAGGACTGGACGGCCATGGTCGCCAGGATGTACGCGCGCTTCTGCGACGCGAGAGGTCTGCAGTGCAGGGAGCTCGAGCGCGCCGAGGGCGACCACCCGGGCTGCGTGAAGAGCGTTACCTTACAAGTGGAGGGCCCGCACGCGTTCGGGTTATTACGGGGCGAGCGCGGCGCTCATAGACTCGTGCGGCAGTCGCCCTTCAACAGCGCCGCAAAGCGCCAGACGTCGTTCGCGAGCGTGGAGCCCGTGCCGGAACTGCCCGAGGACCACCCGGCTTTGCCGCAGGACATTGTGGATTTAGATGATAACGACCTGGAGATCACGACAGCGAGAGCGGGCGGCGCCGGCGGCCAGAACGTCAATAAAGTGGAGACGGCGGTGCGCATCGTGCACCTGCCGACGGGCGTCGCCGTAAAGTCGACGCGCGAGCGCACCCAGGCGGCGAACAAGCGCGACGCCCTGAATCGACTCAGAGCGAAGCTCGCGCTCATCGTCGCTGAGCAGCGGGCCCAGGCTCTCGCGGACGTGCGCGGCGAGCGCGTCCAGGCCGACTTCGGCGCGTCGGTGCGCTCCTACGTGCTCCACCCGTACAAGCTCGTGAAGGACGACGTCCACGAGTCGTCGCGCGCGCTGGACGTGCTCGACGGCGAGCTCGGGGGCTTTGTGGACGCGCGGCTTCGGGCGCGCGCCGCCGCGTCCGAGGAGACTGATTAGGTATTGTTGTTGTTTTCACGAGGGCGCGCGACCGGGCCCGGGTTTCAAGATCACAAAAGTTAAAAGGGGAAAACACTAGGCCACGGCCCGCCGGAGGTGGTCCACGACGGCGCGCGCGCTCTCGCCGACAAATTCCGTGTAGACGCAGTGCCGCGCGCCGCGCACCACCACGACGTCCGCGCGCGGCACGAGGCGCCGCACGTCGCGCGCCGCGCAGGGGCACGTCCGGTCGCCGTCGCCCCACACGACCAACACCGGCCGCGGCAGCGCGCCCGCCGCCGCGAAGGCCGGCCCCAGCTGCTCGAAGGGGAAGTGCCGCGCCGTCGACAGCAGCGACCGCCCGAGCGCGGGCTCCTCGGCCACCCGCCTTTTATAAGCCTGCACCATGGTTCTATATTTGGGATTCTTGACGTCGGCCCACTCGTACTCCAGCCCAAAGAGCAGCGAGAACTGCAGGAAGCACCGGAAGAGCACGTCCGGCACCAGCGGCGCGCGCGTCAAGACGTACGTGCGCTTCGCCAGCCGCAGCCCCACGGGCGCGACCAATGCAAGCGACTCGACGCGCTGCGGGAAGTAGCGCGCGAACTCGATCGCGACGCCGCCGCCCAACGAGTTGCCCACGAGGTGCGCGCGTTGTATTTGGAGCGCGCTCAGCAACTCCGAGAGCTGCGACACGAAGAGGCGGCACGTGTGGCGCTCGCCGCGGCACGCGCTGTAGCCTCTCCCCACTAAATCATAGACGAGGACGCGGTGGCCCGCGTCCCGGATCCGCGCGGCGAGCGGCCGCACGTCATTTAAATCTCCACTAAAGCCGTGCACGACGACGACGGGCACCTCACTCAACAATGTCGTGGCCTCGAGCCACTCGTAGTGCGTCGCGCCGGTCGGGAGGTCTACCATTTCACCGGTCGCCGGTTGATCGCTGCGGCTCATGGGGCCCTCGGGGAAGCGGATGAGGCGCACGAACAGGATAAAGCCGAGGATCGTCGCCGACCGCGGGAAGCGGCCCGTCGCGGCCGTCGTGGCCGCTGCGATCGCGAAGGCGATGTTCGGCCACGTCCAGCCGAGGTTGACGAGCGAGGCTAACGCGAATTCCGCGGCCTGGGCTAGCGCGTTGGCCGTCTTTGTGATTGTGGCTGGCGCGGGCTCGTCCTCGGCCATTTTTGATTGGTCAAACCCTCCGCGCCGGCGAAAAATGGCTAGGCAGAGCTAATGGCCTCTCAGGCCTCAGCGGAGCCGGAGAGCCTCCGAGCCGCCACAGGTGGAGCAGCAGGAGACGCTGAGTGTCTGGCGACCTCGTGGCAGCCGCGCACGCGCGAGATAGCCGCTAGGAGCCGCGCTCTGGCGTTTGGCCAAAGTAGCTTTTGCTAGTGTCTTACATGACGCTAGTGCGGTCGCTTCGCAAGGCGCGTTGGCGCATCTCTGCTTGTCGCACGCAAAGACGCGCTGTGAGTACACCATTCGACACGTGCTGGAGGAATCGCAGCTTTTTGAGCCGTGACGTTGCTCACACAAACATCCCGGACAAGCAGCCCGCGCGCGCAAAGCCTGCCGCGGCTCATTTCAAACACCACACATCAATTGGGGACAGCACTGTGCAGAGGAGACCCTGAAATTTGAAAGCACTATGCGCCGAGCCCAGATCCTGACGCCCGCGGACCCACCGCCCGACGCCGCACGCATGCGAGCGCTGGGCTGGGACGTCGAGGAGGAGCTCGGGCCGGACATTACGGCGCCCGTCGTGCTCGAGTCGCTCGAGGAGGCCTGGCGCGAGGTGCGCGGCGGCAAAAGCGACGACGAGGACGAGGGCAAGGACGAGATGGACCTCGGCGAGGCCGCCGTGAGCTGGCGGGGCGCGCCCATGGTCGCGCGGCCGGCGGCGCGGCCGCGGCTCGACGAGGCCCTCGCCTTATCATTGCTGAAAGCCATGTACAACGCGGCCCGCGACAGCATGGGCGTCGGCAAGCGCCAGCTCGTGGCGGCCTTCAAGGACGAGCGGCGCCGGGCGCGGCCGGACTACGCGGCCGCGGCGGCGTCGTCGGGCGCCGAGATCACGCTGGGCGACGACGAGGTCGACAACGACAACGCCGACCCCTACACGTTCGACCTGAACGCCTACGCCACGTGCGTCGCGGCGGTGTCGTGCGCGCGGGACGCTGCTGCTTTAGAGGTCTTTGGGCGGAAGCTCGGCGAGGAGACGCTCGCGGCCGTGTCCAACCGAGCGCCGGGCGGGCTCGCCCCGGACCTCGGGACGCTCGCGGCGCTGCGGGATTTGCTGGACCGCCTCGTGGGCTTTGGCTACTGCGACGCGGCCGACGCGGCGCCGGGCGAGAAGGGCGTCCTGATCAAGGTGCGCGTGCCGGCGACGCTCGCGGCCTGCTCCGCTGCGGACCTCGTGGCGTCCGGGGCCGTGCCGGACCTGCACCGGCGCGCGTGCACGGCCCTCCTCGAGCGCCGGGGCGGCCGCGTCGTCGCGTGCGCAACGACGCGGACGGGCGACTGCCTCGAGCACAGCCTGGAGCTCGCGGCCGGTGCCTAAGATGTGTGTGTTTGTAGGTTTGAGCTCATACTTGGCCGGGGGCGCTTTCTTTACCCCGTCTAACCTCTCTGCCCCTTCTACGAACCCGCCAGGTTTCCCAAACAAGCCCCTTACGCGGGAGAAGCGACACCTAGATCAGGTCCGCGACGTTCATCGGCATCTCGTCGATCTGGGTGCTGTAGTACTGCTCGATGTCCCGCAAAATGCGCACGTCCTCGTTCTTCACGAAGTTGATGGCCACGCCCTTCCTTCCAAATCTCCCCGACCGGCCGATGCGGTGAATGTACAACTCGCGGTTGTTCGGCAAATCATAACAGATCACCAGCGACACCTGCTGGACGTCCAAGCCGCGCCCCCAGACGTCCGTGGCAATCAAGACCCGCGACGACCCGCCCCGGAACTCGGCCATGATGGCATCCCTTTCTTTTTGCGGCATGTCCCCATGCATCGCTGAGACGGTAAAGTTCGCCTCGCGCATTTTGGAGGAGAGCCAGTCGACTTTACGCTTCGTGTTGCAGAAGATGACCGCTTGCGTGATTGTTAAAGTGTCATACAAATCACACAGGGTGTCGAACTTCCACTCCTCGCGCTCGACGGCCACGAAGAACTGCTTGATGCCCTCCAGAGTTAATTCGTCGCGCTTCACCAAAACATGAACAGGTTCATTCATGAACTTCTTCGTCATGTCGAGGACCTCCTGCGGCATTGTGGCGGAGACCAAGACGACTTGGATCGACGGCGGCAGGTATCTGTAGATGTCGTAGATCTGGTCCTTGAAGCCTCTGTTGAGCATCTCGTCGGCCTCGTCAATAACCAGCATCTTCAAATTGCGCGTCTGCAGACTACGTCTCTGGATCATGTCGAAGACCCGACCAGGCGTGCCGGAGACGATCTGCACGCCGTAGTCTAGTCTCCTAATATCCTCGCCGATAGATTTACCACCGATGCACGTGTGGCACTGCACGTTCATGTAGTCGCCCAGGGCCAAACAAACCTTCTGCGTCTGCTCGGCGAGTTCCCGAGTGGGCGACAGCGCCAACATCTGCGTCTCGTTCGTCGCCGAGTTTAGTACTTGGAGCATGCCAATACAAAAGACGGCGGTCTTGCCCGTGCCCGACTGGGACTGGGCTATTATATCTCTTCCCGCCACGATGGGCTCGATCGCGCGCTGCTGGATGGCGCTGGGTCGTTCGAAGCCGTAGGCGTAGATGCCCCTCAGCAGGTCTTCTCTTAAACCTAGGGCTTCGAAGTTCTCGAAGACTTTTAATTGCTGCGCCATTGTTGGTCTCCGCGGGCGTGTGCAGTGAATTCGCCCACTCTGGCTAGGCCCAGCCTGTGCGGCCGTAGGGTGGCCCGGCGTTCGCGGTCGCTTGTCCCAGGCGTTTGATGAGTGCTGAGGGAGCTGCCGGTGGCACGTGGGCCTACACAAGTCCTCCCGGGCCTTTTTTTTTGCCTCGTCCTCCCTGGGAGAGCTAGCGTTTCAAACGTACTAGCATTTCCGCCCTCACTAAAATCGACGCGCCTGTCGTCGACAGGGCTGCTCTGTGCAAGACAAGCATCCTCAGTGCTTATTTTTTGCCCTGCGCAGCTTGGTCCAGCGCTACGCCGTCGCCGCGACATTTAGCACACCGATCTCCATTTAGCACACCCACGCCGCCGCCGCCTCCTGCAAAAAGCCATGGCCTCGCTCGAGATCGACGTCTCGTCGGCCGCCAGCGGCAAGGGCAGCGCGCGCCTGCGGACGAAGGGCCGCGGCCACCGCGACCGCACGGACGGCAACGACTCCGAGCTGAGCCGGGGCACCTTCGACAGCACAGCTTCCTCCGGCACGGGCCCGGTCAAGAGCGTCGAGGGCTGGATCGTCTTCGTGTGGAACGTCCACGAGGAGGCGCAGGAGGAGGACATCCTGGACGCGTTCGGCGAGTACGGCGACGTGCGGAACATCCACGTCAATCTCGATAGGAGGACGGGCTTCGTGAAGGGTTATGTCTTGATCGAGTACGCGGAGCGGAAGGAGGCCGACGCGGCGATCAAGGCGATGAACGGGGCGGACATGCTCGGCCAGACGCTCGGGTGCGACTTTGCCTTTCGTGAAGGCCCTAGGACGCGTCGCTCCTAAGTTTTCGTGCGTGAGATGTGACCCTCTAGAGTACTATTGTGGATCGATGAGTATATTTGATCGGTGCTAGTGTGTCTCTGCAGCTAGGTTGGATCTGCAGATTTGGCTTGGCTCCTCCTGGCCACGCTGCGCATTGGTTTGTGAATCCGTTTGTGATTCTCTGATTCATTCTTCGGCACCATGCAGCGACCATGCGCCCTTCTCTGTTTGGCAGCGGCTGTGGGTGCCTTCCAGCCCCCAGCTGCTCGGGGCCAGCAGCTCACACAGATGTACGGCTTCGACAACCCGGCCTCCCGGCCGAAGCGCGATCACGGCGTCCAGTTCTCCAAAGGTACCGCGGCTTGAACAGTCAGTCGTACGATTTTTTGACACTCGGCGCTGCCGCGTCGTCGACGCGTCCTCACACAGCCTCACACAGTACGCCATCGATCACACGCGAAGACGTCGCGGCGTCCACAAACATGCCGTCGATCGCAGGTCGAACAAGGACGCCTACAAGCCGGCGCTAGGATCGCGCGTCGACGACACGCTCTCGACGATCCCGCAGAAGGGCCCGTCGCTGGACATGGGCTCCGCGAAGATGGTCGGCTTCTATGGGGTCCTCGCAGCCGCCGTCGCTGCGGCGCTGGCCTACCAGGGCTAGGTGTCGGTTGTCGCCAATCGTCAGGTCTCCGCGTCGCTCCGCTCTAGGTCTAAAGATAGACAACAGTTTTATACGCGTCAAATTCACCTCTCCTCGGGCACGACGCGCGCTTCCACGAGCGTCGCGTTGCGGTAGGAGCCGTCGACGTCGGGCCGCGCGACCGTCACGTCCAGCACGTCGGCCCGCAGCGCGAGCCGCGCGAGCACGTCCGCCACGTCCCGGATCCGCTCGCCCCGCATCGCCACGAGCCGGTCGCCCGCCCGCAGCCCGGCCCGCTCCGCCGGCGAGTCCGGCGCGACCTGGACCACTTCCACGCCGCCCTTGAGCGGTAGCGCGCGCATCTGGATGCCGACGTAGGGCCGCTTCACGGCGCCGTGCTGCAACAACTGTCTCACCACGGCCCAAGCGACATCAATGGGAATCGCGAAGCTAATACCGTCGGCCGCCGCCGCCTTCATCGTGTTGATGCCAACGACTTTCCCATCTAAATCCACCAGGGGCCCGCCACTGTTCCCTTGGTTGATGGCCGCGTCGGTCTGCAGGTACTCGGCCCGCGACTGGACATTACCTAATTCCGAGCCGTGGCGGTGGACGTTCGAGACGATGCCCGAGGTCACCGAGTTCGACAGGTTGAGGGGAGACCCCAACGCCACCACAAAATCGCCCGGCCGCAACGCTGCGGAGCTCCCGAGCTCGGCCACGGGTAAAGACTGAGTGTGCTTCGGCACCTCGCACTGGACCACGGCCAGGTCGCTCGCCGCGTCTAGAGCGAGCACGCGCCCCCTTAGCTTCCGTCCGTCCGCGAGCGTGACCACGACCTTGCCGCCCCGCGCGTGCTGGACGACGTGGGCGTTCGTCACCACCAATCCATCGGCTCGTACGATAAAGCCGCTCCCGGCGCTCATGCCGCGGACCCAGCCCTTCTGCACGTCGCTCGTCAGGTTGACGACGGCCGGCAGCGCCTTCGCCGCCGCGTCGGCCACGAAGTTGCGTCGCAGGTAGTCGCCGTCGCAGTTCGTCGCCGTCGCGACCGCCGCGCCGGAGAGGCCGAGCGCAAGGGCCACCGCAGGAGGTAGGCCCACCGATGTCTGCGTCGCGGCGACCGATGCGCCCGTGCCGGCGACCGATGCGCCCATGCCGAACGCGAACGCTGGCGCTTTTGCGGCGGCTGCCGCTTTGGGTGCTGAGCTGATGGCTCTGCGGCATGCGCGCGGTGCCTGCCGCAGCGCGGCACGGAGAGAGCGTTGTAGTAGCATCGCGCTGAGCCTGGAATAGTGCAAGATTACGATCTATTCGACGAGCAGAGAGGCTGAGAGGCTCGATGAGAGGCCTCTCGAGGCTGGAACTCGCAGCGCCAAATTCGTTCAAACTGGGCCTATAGCCTTGCACGGGCAAGGTCGGACACGTTCACGCTACCCATAGATCGTAGCGAAGTCGCACGGCTGCAGCAAAGCTGGCGTCGCCAGACCCAGCAGTGCCGGCGGCGCCGGCCGCCTCCCCAGTGCCGAGCCTCGCTGCGTCGGACGGCGACGAGCCGGTCCAGGCGTCGCCGCTCCACTCGCCGCTCCAGGCGTCGCCGGTCGCGACCTTCGACGACGCCGCTGCGGCGATGTCGGTGGCGCCCGCGCCCGACGCGCCGGCCGCCAGCGCGACCGACGGCACCGTCCCAACCAACGGCGCCGCCCCCACCAACGGCGCCGCCGCACCTACAACGCCGCCGCTCCAGAAGCCCATACCACAACGGCCGAGCGTCTCGCCGACGCCGACGGACGCGTCGAACACGCCCCTCGTGCCCGACGAACCCAGTCGAGATGTTGAGAACCCCGTCGGCCTCGAGATCTGGGACGACCACAAGGAGCCGCCCTGCTGGGATGTGACAATGTGGAACAAGGGCGACTTCAGCAACGTCGCCACTGCAGTAGTGCTCATACTAGGTCTCATCATGCGCACCTCGCTCGGCGCGAGGAACGCGTCGGCGGGTTTTATATTGGCCTTTGGATTATTTGGCTTCGCGGGCGGCGTGACGAATTGGCTCGCGGTCAAAATGTTGTTTGATCGCATTCCGTTCCTCATCGGTTCGGGCGTCATCCCGCGACGGTTCAAGGACATTTTAGGTGCTTTAAAAACGATGATCCTGGAGACGTTCTTCGAGAAGAAGTTTCTGTCGGAGTACCTGTCGACGCGGTCGGGTAATCTACTGGAAAAAGTCGACGTGAAATCAAAACTGCGCAAGGCCATGGCCGGCGACAGCTTCGACCACGACCTCGCGCGCAAGTTAGAAAAGCTCGCGGCGACGCCGGACGGTCTTTTATTACAGACGATGGCGCCGATGTTCGGGGGGTTTGACACGATGGTGCCGATGCTCAAGCCCATGCTGATCGGCATCGGTGCGGATCTGATCGAGACGCTCGCTCAAAATTTCGATTTGACGGAGATCGTGGACGTGGACACGGTGAGGGGGGAAATCGACAAGGTGCTTACTGAGAGAATGGAGACGTTGACACCATTAAGGGTGAAAAGGATGATGGCAGCGGTCATTCGAGAACATTTGGGGTGGTTGGTCGTCTGGGGCAACGTGTTCGGGGGGTTGATCGGCGCGGTGGTCTGGGTGTGCAAGTTCGCGGCGACGGGCGAGGTGGGGATTTAATTCTTGGTTTTTACTTAGAGGGTCTGCGCCGCCGACCACGCGGCGCGCGGCGTTCTTGCTTCCTCGTCCTCGCCGGGACGGTATACGCCCTCCGATTCCCAGTAGCCTTGATCCAAAGTGTGTCCTTGGCGCCGGAGCTCCTCCTCGGTCCAGTCCGGAGGCAGCCCCCGCGCGGCGAGACGGGCCATCCACCTGGCGACCTCGCGCTCGGCGCTTAAATCCGCAATTTGTTCTGCAAGAGATGCGGGTCTGCCCAAAGTTGTGAGGCGCCGATAATCCACCGGTTCGGATGGGTCACGTTTGCCGAACCCGGGGTGGCCGCGCCCGGCCGGCTGCCAGCATCTCCGGGGCCTGGCCAGATACGCGCCGAGCAATCCTTTACGCGCCTTATCGACGGGGGCGCGGCACGCCCGCCAGGCCTTGCACGTCGCCTCGGCGCGGCGCCCGTCGGCCCACCACAAATTTGACAGGATGAGAACTTCGTTCCGTCCGAATGCTTCGCCGGCGAGGCGGCCCACGCGCGCCGCGCGCTGTGCCGCCGCCTCGTTGCGTCGGGATAGTCGCGTCCGCATTGCAAATCAGCAAAATGGGCTCTATGCCCCTGACGCGCATGGGCCGGGAGCTGACGGCGAAGAAGGGTTTGATGTGCGAGAAGAAGAGGTCGGATAAGTGCTTCGACCGCGTGTTCGTCGTTTTACGAGATGATCCGGTGCGAGCATTAGCATCGATCATTGCACGCCACGACGCCGTGGTAGTGTTGCTCGCACAGGCCGCACACATACCACCGCTTGAACCTCTCATCAAACGCCTTGAAGCCCAAATTGTTCTCCTCTGCCTCCTCGACGGAAATCTTCGCCTGCCGCGCCAAGCACGACACGTGCGCGACGCCCAGTTCATGAAGACACGATCATAGCAGGCTACAACTACTCGGTGTCTCTTGTTAGTCTAGAGCGCTTCGAAGAAGGCAAGCCGCTGCTTCGTAAAATGATTCCTGTGGCGCGGCGCGTTCTCGGGGAGAATTCTCAAGTCACGCTCAGGATGCGGTCGGTTTACGCGCAGTTGCTGTTCAATGACCCCAGCGCCACACTCAACGACCGCGGCGAGGCAGTGACAATGCTCGAGGAGACAGAGCGGACCGCGCGGCGCGTCCTGGGGGCCGCGCACCCGACCGCAAGGGATATTGAATCCACCTTCCAAAACGCGCGAGCCGCGCTCCGCGCCAGCGAGTGGTAACTACTTCTTCTCCGATCCAATACCCCACGCCGCAAGGACAAAAACGCGTTCGGAACGGCCGCACGCCGTCGCCGCGACGCGTCCGAAACAACGGCCTCGCGCTAGTAATAATACAAACTAAAAGTTAAACACGGGCGTGACGACGCCGCCAACCACTACTCGTACACGATGGCCCGCCGCTTCGCCGTCATGGGCCTGTACTCTATCCAGCTGCCCTCGCCGACCTTTGACTCGTGGAAGAGGGCGCAGGCCTCGCCGTTCATGCGGTTGATCTTGGCACACGTCCGCCTGGGGTCGACGCCGAGGGCCACCCACGCGCTCACCTGCTGCCGCATCGGCTCCAGCACATAACACATCTGGGCCTCCGCTGTGCGCAAGCGATCCTGGGCGCAGTAGGCGTCGAGCACCCCTTTGACGCCGGCCTCGGACCGCTCTTTCGCCGCGGCCGACGCCGCGAGGTGGCCGATGGTGTCCTCGCAGACGGCGCACTCCTGCGACGCCGCGGCCGCCATGGCGCATCGCCAGAGCAGGCCGAGGAGGAGCACGGCTCGTCTCGGGCTCCTGGCCATCGTGGCGCGACCACGGCTGCTCCCGCGCCGCATGTTTGGAAACACGAGGCGTGCGCTACCCGTGGGACCGGCGCGTGCAGTCCGCAGTCCCGTACGGGCCGCGGCGCGTCCAATATCACCTCTCCGCAGGCTGAGGCCGCGGCCTCTCTGCAGGGGCTGCTGGTACGCGTCCGATAGCTGTACGGGTCGACCGCGCTTTTGCACCGGGGGACGTGTGCTCCTCGGAAATCGGTCGCAGCGCGGCAGCAGCGGCAATTGGGGCAGCCCTACAGCCGTATACGATGATCGATGTTTCCTAGTGTGTTACAGACGCTAGCTCGATTGCCAGGCCCAAAAATCCACAGCTGGCCAGCGTGCAGGGCATCGCGAGGCCTCAGCAAGTCACCGCACGAGTAGCACTCTCGCCGGCGGCAAGCGTACCTCGCTGCATACAGCCTGCGAATCCATCGCAGCGACCACGCACCAGCGGAATTCTCCGTCGCGGCCACCACGATGCCTCGGCTGCTACTCCTGCTCGGCGCGACGGCACACGCCTTCGTTGCGCCGCGCACAAGGCTCCGGCCGCAAGCCACGCTCAAAGCCGACACTTCCGCCCGCGTCGTTGACGCCGTCGAGGAATTAAATGGAGTGGTCACGGCGGGCGACGTCGCGGCGCGCGGCGCGGCGCCGCTCGTCTCGGCCGAGCGCGAGCTGCTCGCCCTCGCCGCGCGGCTCGGCGAAGAGGCCACGTTGGACGTGAGGGAAGACGGCGCGCTCACGTTCAAATTCCCCCCGAAGACGAAGCGCGCCCTGGCGGCCGTCGACGGGAAGGAGCGGTGGTTACAGAGGTGGGAGAGCACGAAGCCCACGCTCTATACATTGGGGAGGACGGCCTTTGGTTTGTCCCTCTTCGCGTCGCTGGCGGTGGGGGCCGCCCTCTTAGCGACGCTCTCGGCGGCGAACGAGGGCGAGCAGCGCCGCGAGAGACGGTCCAGCAACGTCTACTGGGGGCCGTCGATCTGGGGCCCGTCGCCCTTTGATGTGTTTTACTACCGATCTTATTACGACCGGCCGCGGTCGCAAGGGGAGATGAACTTTCTGGAGGCGGTCTACTCCTACGTGTTCGGGGACGGCGACCCGAATGCGGACGTCGACAAGAAGCAGATCGCCGCGGCCGCGGACGCGATCCGGAAGAGTGGCGGCGCGGTCGTCGCCGAGCAGTTGGCACCCTACTTAGCGTTACCTCCCTCAGAAAATGCGGACGATATCATAGAGGAGGGCTACGTGCTGCCCGTCGTGGCGGCGCTGGACGGCCGCGCGACCGTCGACGACGAGACTGGAAGTATTGTGTACGTCTTCGACGATCTGGTACGAGGCGCGACGGCTTCATCATCAAGTGATGGAGGCGCCCTCGCCGAGAAGGATATACAGTTCTCGAACGCGTCCCAGGGCCAGCTCGCGGCGGCCGGTGTATTAGGCGTGGCGAATCTGGGCGTGGCAGCGGCGGCGGTCTTCTTTTCGACGGTCGGCGTGACCCCTGCCGTCGTGGCGTCGCTGGGTCCGGGTGGACTTGCTGCCTTGCGGGCCGTCGCCGGGCCCCTATTCGCCTATGCCGTCGCGTTCAACGCTTTACCAGCGGCGCGCGCGGGCCGCGCCGAGCGCGCGGCCAAGGCCGTCGAGGAGCGGAATTTGAGACGCCAGACGCTGCGCGCGAGGTTGGAAAGGCCCTCTCGTCGTTTACGCGAGAAGCTCGCGGCCGCGCGGCGGCTCGCGCCGAGGATCTTGGGAGGTGGTGGCGGCGCCTCGGTCTACTCCACCGCCGACGACGTGAAAAAATTAGAGCGGGCGCGGGTCGCGGACGACCTCGCGGCCTTCGACGACGCGCTCCGGGCGCGGGACGACGATGCGGAGTAAGTATATAGGTAGTCAGTTCGATTCGTCGGCGGTCGCGGGCCGCGTCTTCTCAAGTTCTTCCTACATTTTGCCCTCCGACCCATCCGCGGAGGGCTGCTGTACTACTCGGGCTCCTCAAAGCCAATAGCCGGGCTAGGAAGATTCCTTAAGCCCGGGCAAGCTTCTCAGACTCGGCTCTCCCAACACACCGGGCAGCTTGCAAAAGACAAACACACACACACAACAACAAAACAATGGGCGCTGAGGCTTCTGCCGAAGCAGGTGCCGAGGTGTTTGCCGAAGCTATTGGTGACATGTGCTTTGGGCTGCCACCCGGGACCGGCATGCTACTACGCGCACCCATTGCTTTGGGCGCAGCAGCAGCGAAGGCCGCGGCGGCACCAAAACCCATTCATGTTCATATAGGCGGCGGCGCCGCGGTGACGGCGGCCGCCGCCGTGGGTGCGGCCTCGCGTTACGGCGGCGGCGGCGGTGGGATCACCTCGCTCGACGCCTACGTCGGTCAGAGATGCGAGAGCTTCCCCAACGGCCAACCAGGCAGAATAGTCGAGACGTTCCAGTTCACGCGCGAGGGAGGGATCTATGTGACGACCGGCACCGTGTCGGGGCGGAACACATACACGCGGCACGGCAACAATTTGCAGCACCGGCAACACCGTCACGTTACGGCGAGGCTGCAACCCAACGGAGAGCTCGCGTGGAGTCACGGGCTGTGTGGAAATCAACCAGTGTATCGGGTGCACCCGACAATTCTTCACTAAGTCATTTCTCGGCGATGACACGGCCGTCCTGGCTCGGTCGAGCGGTGAGGAACCGGCATCGCCATGCCATCGAGCAGGCATCGCGTCGATGGCGTGGAGGACAACGCGACGATTCAGCACGAACGCGCCGTAAAAATTTGATTTCCACACAGGTCACGGGTACGGCAGTCGCATCTGCGGATGGTAGCATCGACAGTTTGGGACGGTCTCGGTTCAATTCCGTGTCGTTGGGCCAGACATTAAATCATTTAAATGGCACGTGGGCTTGGTGGTGTAATGGTAGCATTGGCCGTTCGGGACGGTCCAGCCCTGGTTCGATTCCAGGCCAAGCCCCTTGGAGATATAGCTCAGTTGGTAGAGCGTTGCCTTAGCAAGGCAAAGGCCGGCGGTTCGACTCCGCTTATCCCCACTGTCGTTGGGCCAGACACTAAAATGGCACCGCACTCTATTTGCTTCGTTGGCTCAGTGGTAGAGCATCTGCCTTGTAAGCAGTAGGTCGTCGGTTCGAGTCCGGCACGAAGCTTCGAATCCGATGAGGATTCACGACGTGATTGCCCGTTAGCTCAATCGGTAGAACGCGAGACTTTTAAGTTCGAACCCATATCGGGTGTTATTAGTATATAAGAAGTAGTCCGTAGAAATCGCGGAGAGAGAGAGAGAGTCCATCGCGGCGCTAGCGGCCAGTAAGACACTAGCGAGCAAGCAGCCAGCGGCAGCGCCGCCGCGTCGAGCGCAGAGGCACGCATTGATCACGGGCTTGCTGGCGGACAGCGTTTGTTTCATCCATGCGCAGCCGTACAGCCTCAGGCAGCGCAAAGCGGTAAGACATTAGCACATCAGCAAAGCCACAAAAATGGACGCTGCCCTCACCGCAGCGCTCGCGGACAGCGACAGCGACAGCGACGAAGGCGAGCAACAGCAAAGCGAAAAAGCCGCGGCCAAGGTCGCGCTGCGCGCCAACCGCGCGCTCCAGGCCCGGCTGGAGGCGGCGCTCAAGCGGACTCGGGGCGCGATGGGCGCGCCGCTGCGCGAGCGTAACGCCGCGCTCGACCGGCTGCTCATCGCGCGCGCCGCCAAAGCGCCGTTGCCACCGCCGTCCCCGCTTTCCTTCATCGACCTGAACGCCGCCGCCGCGAAGTGGGCACGCCCGCCACCGGCAGCCCCCGCGCCGCCGCTCCACGACGCCGCCGACGAGGAGCTCGCCGACACCCCGGCAGTCACGACGGCGCTAGCCGCGGTGCAGCGCGCCGAAGTCTTATCTCGAAGGATCGAGGCGCAGACGCGGGAGGTGGAGGTCGCGTTAGCCGGCATGCCATTGAGGGGCGTCGACGAGCCCGTCGCGCCGGCGCCGGCCCCAACGCAGGAACCGGCGGCCCCCGCGCCGCGGCCGGCGCCCGAGCCTGCCGCGCCGGCGCCGGCGCCGGCGGCCCCCGCACCGGCCCCGCGCGACGCCGACGCTCCCCAACAACCCCCGGAAAAGCGCCCGCTCTGGACCGCGGACGAGGACGCGCAGCTGCGCGACCGCGTCTCGGTCTACTGCGGCCTAATTCGCGGCGACCGCTGGCGGGCTGTCGCCGAGGCCTTTCCCGGCAAGACGCCGAGGCAGTGCCGCCTCCGCTGGACGGAGACGCTGCGGTGGAATCCGCGCATGGCTCGATCGGCATCCGGCGTTGCGACCGGCGCAAAGTGGGCGCCCGCCGAGGAGCGGACATTGGTAAGGGCCGTGCGCAAACGCGCGCCGCCGCGGTCCGTGCCGCCGGGCGCGACGGGCGCGGAGGCGGTACCCTTCGTCGTCCCCTCGGGCGACCACCACTGGGGCTTCTGGTCTTCCGTCGCGGTCGACGTGCCCCGGCGGACGCCGTACGGGTGCCGCGACAAGTGGATGCAGATGCTCGACCCGACCATCAGCCGGCGGCCCTGGTCCGACGCCGACGACGCGGCGTTGGCGGCCGCGGTCGCGCGGCACGGCGCCGGCAAGTGGATGACGATCTCCAAGGACGTGCCGCACCGCACGGACGCGCAGTGCCGCCGGCGCTGGGTGCAGAAGAATCCCACCTGGGAGCCGGAACGCACCGCGCCCGCGCCCGCGCCCGAGCCCGCGCCGATTGACGCGCTGCTCCGCGACGTCGCCGAGGAGGAGGAGCTCGCCGCCGCCCCACCACTGTCCCCACCAGTCGCCGAACCCGCCGCCGAGCCGGCTGCTGCGGTCGCGCCCGAGGCGTCCGACGCGATTGAGGTCGAGCCCGCCACCGAGCCTGCCGCTCCGGAGGCGCCAGAGGCGTCCGACGCGATGGAGGCCGAGCCGGTGGCGTTCGATGAGGCCGCCGCCACGCGTGAGGCCAAGAAACTCTAAGTGTGTTGAACAATCTTACTACCGTCTCCGTCTCTCAAAGGCCTTGTCGATGTCCTGCGTGCCGCCGCGCCTCCTATCATAACCCCGCCGGAGCGGGTCGTCGGCCTTGTGCCGCCGCTGCAGCCAGCCGTTCATCGGGTTGTCGCGGTCCACGAACGTCGTGTCCTGGTCCGAGAGGTGCGTGTACTTTGTGCGGCCCTGGAACCCAAAGTCCTTGACTTGCATGACCTTGGGCAGCGCCGCTCTGTCAAATTTGTCCTCGAGGACCGCTCCATCGGTCGCGCGGTTCCGCACGTCGCCTTCCCCGGCCTTGGCCAGCGTGTCGTCGTCCATGAAGAAAGCACCCTTATGGTGGTACTTCTGGAGGAACTTCCATTTGGCCTTCTCGGGCTTCTTGCCCTTGCCGATCTTCTCGTCCTCGGCGCGCCGCGCCGCCGGCGACAGCGCGCGCCGCCGCAGCGTCTCGGCCTCGTCGTCAGCGGCTTTCCGCCGCTCGTCGCGCTCGCGCGTCGCCCGCGCGAGTTCTCTAACCCTCCAAGCTTCAAATTCAAGCGGGTCCTCGAGGTCGTCCGTGTCGTCCGGCGCGTCATCATCACTATCCTCTCCAGATTTACCGCGCTTCGCCATGGCCGCCTCGGCGTCGGCTCTGACCACGGCCTCGGCCACCAAGGCCCTACTCTCGTCCGCGCGCGCCTTTCGCCGGCGCTCGGCCGCCTTCTCCCGCTGGCGCTCTTTCTCCTCCGCCGCTTCCCTTTCTAATATAGTTCCGCGGAGCGCCTTGGGCACGAAGACGGGCCGCGCGTCCTCGCTGCCGTCGTCCGACGAGTCGTCCGAGTCGTCCGACGAGCTGCCGTCCGAACTGGAGCCGTCAGAAGCCGCCGCACGGGCGTCAGCGGGCGCCTCGGGGGAAGCAGCGGCGGCGGCCGCGCGCCGCGGCGGCGACGCGTCGCGCGGCGGCGGCGGCGCGGCCGGCGCCGCCTCGGCGGCCGCGGCCGCCGCCTGGCGCGCCTTGAGCTTGGCGCGGACGCGCGCGCGCCGCGCCGCCGCCGAGTCCGCGCTCTCGGCCTCGACGGGCGCCGCCTGGGCGTCGCCCTCGGCGTCCGACTCCGAGTCCGGCGGCAGCGGCGGCCTTGCCACTGGTGGCGGCGGCGCGGCGTCGGCGGCGGGCGCCGGGGCCTTCTTCAGCACGACGGCCTGGGCGCGCTGGCGCCTCCTCGGTTGAGCAGGAGGCGCCGCGGCCGCCGCCGCCGCCGCCGCCGCGCCCGTCTTGATGACGACGGGCTCGGCGGCGCGGCGCCGCCGCTGCGCGCCGAAGGCCTTGACGTCGTCGTCGTCCGCGGACTTGACCCACTTCGGCGCCTTGCCCGGGAAGTAGCGCGTGACCTTGCGCGTGTTCTTCTGGAGCCGCTTGCCGATTTTCGACGCGGGGTCGTCGCGGCTCGTGGCCACGCCGATGGGCTGCATGACGGTGTCCACCGTCGAGTCCTGGGTGTACATCATCGACGCGGCGTCGCCCTGGGTCGTCGAGAGGTTGAGGCCTATTTCCCTTAACCCGAAGGTGTCCTGGCGGCGGCCGGCGCCTTCCTCCATTTTTGTTTTTGTTCTTTTTGTTCTTATCTAGTGAATGTACTACAGCCTCGTCGGCGGCGCGCTAGGAGGCGATGCCCCCAAAAGCAAGGGCTGGTCACGGCGCACGAACTGATGGCGGATCGCGCTGGCGCGTGGATGCTCGCAGCGATGCTATAGCCCTCTAGCGTCCCGGAGCTGCGACAACGCTCTTACGGGGCCGCCGCGCCGCGTCGTCCACGGCAAAAAAATAGTCGCTCTAGCGTATATCGACATACTAGCCTGCAGCCAGAATCGGATTCAGCTCGCGCAGCGGCCCATTGGTAACTACCCGCCGGTGCTCACCCGCTCAGAGCGCTGCAAAGTCTGCACTGGTGCCCAAGGTTCGAAGCCCGCAACGGTAGACTTGTCGTAGATATCCAGCAGAGCCATGCTCCGCTCTCTAGCCCGAGCCGCGCGCGCCCGGCCGCCCGCAGCCATGACGCGACGGCGCCTCTCGGCGAAGCCGCCCGCCAAGCCGACGAAAGCCGAGCCCGTCCCCCAGAAAAAGATGACGCGCGAGGAGGTCGACGCGCTCGCGGCCGCGGCCAAGGCCCAGCAGCGGCTCGTGGACACGGAGTCGCGGTTGTTCGGCGGCGGCGTCGGCGCGACGCACCCCTTCGTATTAACGCTCCTCGCGGCGTGCGTCGGCCTCCACTTCTACAACGCGGACCTCCAGACGAAGCGCGAGGAGGAGGAGGAATTGCTCGAGCGCCTCCGCGCGCGGCGGCGCGCGCGGCCGCTGTCCGCCGACGAGCTCGACCACGCCCTCGCGCGCAAGCGGCGGCTGCTGGACGCCGGCGCCGGCGACGCGGCCGACGCCGCGCGGCTCTCCGAGGAGATCGCTCGCCTCGAGGCCGAGAGGCGTAACGTTTGAACTGTATTTGTGCTCGATGAGGCTTCGTGTTGGTCAACGTTCTGGTGTTGTGTTAGTGGAGCTGCCACCACCGTACGCGACGTCGTAAGCGTGCATTCCGTTCGCGCCATCGATGCGACGCGTGGGCTTGGATCTGAGGACGGATCCTCCGGCCCCGGCCGCCCCCCGCCTGACCAAACTTGTGTCAGAGCGCCCTCTCCCTCACTCCATTTATAGCCACGCTACGACGTTCTGGACACTGGGAGGCCCGCCCACAAGTGGGGAAGCAACTCCTCATCCACTTAAGCGAACCAGGGCAGCCCCGTTATCTTGGAACTCGCGGGGGCGCGCGCTTGAGGCCCTGATTGGGATCCCCTGTTTCACCCCCAAACATGGCCGCCCCGCGCACGACGACGCCGACGCAGCTGCCCACGGTCGTCTTGGAAACTGCTGCACCCGCGACGCCGCCTCCTGCGCCGACACCGAAGAGATACGACACCGTCGACCGGCCGCGCGTCGTGCTGACCACCAGCCCCGAGGTCCGCAAGCTCCAGACGTTGTTCCGGTCGGCCTGCCACGACTCGCCGCGCCTAGTGCCCGGCGCGCGCGCCGGCGCGCGGAGCCCGGCGTCCTTTTCCAGTTTGTCGCCGCGGTCGCCGCGGCCGGGCCGCGAGTCGCCGACGCGCCGCAGCCCGCGGCGGCGGCCACGCAGTCGCGGTGGTCCTGAATGTTCGAGTCCGCTTTTCGGGCGACCATCACCACGGCGGTCGCCCCTGCTCTCGACGCCGCCGCCGACGCAGCCGCTGTCGTCGCCGCGCGGCCTCGGGCGATGATTGTTGCTCCTCCGTAATTGATCGGATTCTTGATCTTTTGTAGGGGTCGGATTGAGGGCTTTCTGTGGAGCGTGGAATGGGGGTTGCCGTCTCGCGCGTCTCGCGGGCGCACAAGCGCCCTTTATGGGGGTTGATGCGTCTTGATTGGAGTTTGGAGGGCTGGCATAGGTAAAGAGAGGGGTCTTAGTGTCGGTTTGATGTTGATGGCAGGGTGTGACGCGGGACTTTCATCAGCACCGAGGAGCATAAGAGGCAGTGTCCGGGCGGCACGCGAGTAGCTTCAATTGAAGCGCGGTTGCGGAGTAGCTTCAATAACAAAACCTGTGCGCTCTTGCAACGCACATTCTTGTGAAAGGCGGCACAAGGCGCAAACAGAGCACGACATCAACCGGGCTGAAAAGAGCCAAGTCGCGACCGGACGGTCCGGGCGCACCGGCGAGCGGCTCAATTACTGTACATAGCGAGCCGCCGCGATGCTCAAGGTCGCCCTGTCGACGAGCTCGTCGGGCTCGTCGGGCGAGGACGACAACGCCGACGAGCAGCCGCGCTGCCCCGCGCCGCGCTGGCGCCTCGACCCCGGCGACGCCGGCGGCCTCGAGGCGTCCGCGGACTTGGTGCTGGCGGCGCTCGCCCGGGGCCAGAAGTCCACTGATAGTGGCGCGGCCGCCGCGGCGCGCTGGACCGTCGCCGAGGTCTGGGCGCCCGCCGGCCTCGACCCGCTCGTGGCGCGCGTGACGCCGCCGGCCTCGCCGCTACCGCCACCCGCGGCCTCATTAAACTTCGCGGCGCCGCCGCCGCCGCGGCGCCCCCGCGCGCCCTTGGAACTGGTCGTCTGCCGCGCGCGCGACGCCAGGAGGTGCGTGCGCCACATGCGCCGCGATTTACATTGTTGCGCCGGCTGCGTCGACGACCCGCTCGCGGCCTACGTCCGCAAAACTTTTGCGGCACCCGTCCGCGACCGGGACGCGGTCCAGGTCGCGGCCTTCGCTTCTGGTAAAACCCTGGCGCGCGCCGAGCACAACTGGGCCGCGCGCGCGGCGTCGCGGCCCCGCGCGGCGCCGGCGACGCCGCCTTCTGCGCCGCCCTCTGACGGCCGCGTGTCGCCGCCGCGGCGCGTCCCGGGCACGCCGCCCGTGCCGACGCGGCCGCCGCGGCCCCCGCAGCCCGCGCGGACCCTGGAAAAGCGCGGCGCCGCGGCCTTCGCCGCGCGCCTCCGCTGGGCCTGCGCGCTCCCCCTCCTCAACGGCCGCGGCGACGCGTGCGGCGTCCTCGTCCTCCGTTTTGTTGGTGAGGACGCGCCGACCTCAACCACAACCGCGCGGCGCGCCGTCGAGCACCTCGTCGCCGCGGCCGCCGCCGCCGCGGACCCCCCCTTGTTCAGCCGCGTCGTCTCCGTCTCCGACGGGTTCGACGAGTCTGCCGATGACGCCGACGGCATCATCATCTCCGACACCGCCCACGAGACGCGCCCCCTCTGGGAGGCACTCTCCGGGCTCTAACATATCCCGTCGACGGGATATGCTAGCCGACCGAAAAAGACCCCGTCGATCCACCAATAATTCATCCAAGACTATTTCTCTGTGGGGATCCGGGGAGTATCCGCCAGGCATCGTAGTCGATTTCACCGTCCCTTAGCCGCCCCCAGAATATCCATACTGCGACCCCCGCGCCGCGGGCGGCGGAAGTTCTATCCACTTGCTCCGCGAGCACGAGAGCGCGACGAGGCCCACCCAGAACGCGCACAGCGCGTTGACGACGTGGACGTCGGCCGGCAGGAGCTGGTCGGACGAAGGAAAGCCCGCCCGGAGCGCGCTGCTCGCGAGCGTCAGGCCCTCGAGCGCGACGTCCGCGTGGAGCACGCCCTTCAAGAGCACCTTCTGGCGGTTGGCGTGGCGCGCCGCGAGCATCGCCGCCCCGACGTTCGCGACGAAGAACGGCTTCGCGAGCCACCCGAGCGGCGCCTGGTAGTCGCGCGCGCGCTCGGCGAGCGACGTCGCGCGCCACGCGAGGCAGAAAAAGACGGCCGTGACGGTGCCGCGCGTCGCCAGGCGGAAGGGCCGCAGGTTCACCTTCATATCCGGCGGGGGCGGCACGTCCCACAAATTCATCTCCGCCGGGTAGGCCGTCGTGTACGGCGGCGGCTGCGGCGGCTGGCTCGCGCCGGCGGCGTGCAGCCGCAGCAGCAGCAGGGCGGAGAGGGTGCTGCTGGGCCACATCGTTTCTTCACCGATTACGAGGATTGCGAGCAGCGCTTGGAGGTGCTTCCAGAGAGAAAGGAGCTGCAGCAGTGAGGTCTACAGAGATGCGTGCTCAGAGATGGCCACAGCTGGCGGTTATGAAGCGTACCGATACGACGAGCACGAACGTGTGCCGACAAATCTAATATTGCTGCTCCACGGCTGAATGCGATTGAGGCCGCAGTGGGAAGCTAGCGGCAAGTAAGACACTAGCGAGCAGAGCAAACACTCCGTGCAGCTGTTTGAGTACCGTTCCGTTCGCTAATGGTCCAAAGAGAGCAATGGGACACGCACTGGGGGCCGAAAAAGAATTTTTTTTAATTCGCGGCTCGTCGGCGGCCATGGGCAATGGCGCCCGCGCCAGTGGAATCCTGTCAATCCCTACCAAACAGGTCTCCCTGGGGTCGCCTAGGGTCAATACTATACACGTGCAAGCGCCTACGTCGCACACGCCGCCGCTTCAAGCATTTTTGGTCGATTTCTCTCAGCAGACCACTCCGGTTAGCCATCTTTTGGCCATGGTTTGCTTCCAGAGCCCCCGAGAGCACTAGACTGCCGCATCGACGGCGTATGCGGTGCAGGCGCTTACCCACTACCAGACCTACCCCGAGAGGCCTCCAGGAGCCGATATACCCCCGAAAAAAGTGTGTAATTTGGACCCGATGGCGCCCCGTTCCCGTAAAAAACGTCAATTACCCGAGGGCCCCCAGTAGTCGCCGTAGCGGTCTCGTTGGACCCCATACTACCCCAACGATAGTCAATTACAAGTATATGACATCTACACCACGAGAAGGGTACTTTGGACTGCCCACGCTCGGGACGTGAACATCTTGATCTGGACCTCGCGCAAGTCGGTCGATCATGAAACAAATGATCGCGCCATAGTCCATGGTGATGGTACACGCGCTGATGGTCGCAGGTCTGGGTTTGGTGCCCTTATGAATGAGATGGTGCGGTCCCGAGACCGACAAGTCGCGCCGAGCATTTTTGGGTCTCGGAGCAATGTAGTACACAATCAAGCCGGTTAACTGGCCCGTCCTAGAACTAAAGCGCCTGAAACGCAAATTTATTTTATAAACCACCGGTCTGGGGCCTTTCCGGTGCTCCGTCTCCGCACCGTCGCCCGCGGAGAACAGGCAAGTCGGTCGATTGTGAATAGAACAACGGGATTATGGTTCATCTGGATAGCTTCGTCGCTGATACTCGCAGGTTCAACTTCTGGGCCTATCTTCACCTGGACGTGGAGGCTCGAAGTTGCCGTTTCGCGCGGCTCTAATGGAGTACATGATCATGCTCAGTGGATCTTCTGGCCGGCTGCATGGACTCTACCATCAACAAATGGAAGGAAACGAACATAAACTCGGGAGTTGTCTAGTAGAATTCTTTTCCCGCCCTCCGAGCGCGGGCCGTCGGCTCCGGTTCCGTCGAATGTGTATGAAAACTGGGCTGGAGTTGATATGATGTATCAATTGGACGATAGAAGGCGGCGCCAATCGCTGGTGTAAATTGGCGAGCCGCAAGACCTAGTGATCTAGCGTATGGACACACTAGGAAACAGATGATTTCCGGCTCGTTGTAAAAGAGGAGCCAGCGGCCAGTTCCACATCCTGATGGGGGGCGTCCCAAAAGAGGGGGGGGCGTGCGAGTCCATGCGACTCAGCCCTTGCGTCCTAGTCCAGCCGGACGGGTGGGCCCGGGGGGAGCGGGAGGGGTACGGGGGACCCTGCGACGTAACTAGCCTGAGCCTGACAGATGGCCTCGATTATTTCACGAGGCGGACCTCGATTAGTTCACGCTATCGAGGCGGAGAATACATGGAAAATACATGGAAAGTCTTTACTAGTAAACAGGGTCGAGCCCAAACGCGTTTTGCGCCCGCGCGCCGCGCTAATCGGGGCACCGAAGTTGGCGCGCAGGTCTCAGACGCCGACCTCCACCACGACCTCGCCGACGGAGCCCGCCGAGCGCGACTTCTCCCGGAGCGTCGGCCGCTTCGCGAGCGTCTCGAGCGACGCCCGCGCCCGCTCGACGGCCGCGGGGTCGTCGGCCCCGGGCGCGCGGCGTCTTCTATAAGTATAGTCGAGGAACGCGTCGTCGGGCACGGACGGCGGCTTTGGAGTGGTGGCGGGCTGGCCCGGCGCGCGCCGCGTCCGCGCGCCCGGCGCGGTCGTGGACGAGCCCCAGGCCGCCGCCGCGCCGACGGCCACGCCGTCGAAGTTCGCCGTCACGGCCTGGACGAGGCCCTCGCAGCGCGCATCATCCAACTTCACATTGGACAATTCCTCCAACAGAGCGGCGACCTCGGCGCCGCCCGCCGGCGCGTAGGGCGCCGGTCTTTCTCTAAGATGGTCCCACTCCACGTCTCTTAACCACTCGTGCCGCTTCAAATCTTCCAAACCATTTGTTCCACCTAATCTATCTCGAGCATCCGCCAATAACGCGGCTAAACAAGACACGCAGCGCGTCGACAGGCGCGCCCGCGCGTCCCGCGGCAAGGCCAGATGCCGCCGCCAATCCAGGATTTTGCGACAGGTCCTTCGGGCATCGTCGGCGTAGAAGGGTGTATAACCAACAAGGCACTCGTACATGATGACACCTAAACTCCACCAGTCGCAGGCGAAGTCGTACCCTACTTTTGGTTGCAAGACTTCGGGTGCGATGTAGTCCGGCGTGCCCACTGTGCTATAAGCCAGATCCCGAGGTCTTTTTCTCGGCGTGTCGTCGCTCTCGCCGAACCCTGGCGACTCTGCAGGAGATGGTGGCGGCCGCGGCGGCGTCGCGTCGCCCCGTTCGGTAAAAGTAGGATATGTGGCCGTGGGCTGGATGGGTGTCTGTTCAGAACGCGTGACACGAGCACATAATCCTAGGTCCGTGAGCTTGACGTGCCCATCTCCACCTAACAACACGTTGTCGGGCTTGACGTCGCGGTGCGCAAACCCATGATCATGGACCGCCTGGATAGCTTGGGCGATCTCCGCGATATAAAACTTGCAGGCGTCTTCTGGGAGTGTATCTAACTTGACTAGTAGAGACATCAAGTCCCCACCGGCCAGAAACTCCATGACCATGTATAGGTGGGACTGCGTCTGGAAGGAATCATATAACATGGCTATGGACGGGTCTTCGGACAGGGCCAGCATGTCTCGCTCCGCTTTTATATGAGCTACCTGGTTCTTGGCGACCATGGCGCTCTTGAGCATGGACTTGAGCGCGAAGATTTGCCTCGTGTCTGTTCTTCGTACTAATCGTACTTCGCCGAACGCGCCCCTCCCTATCAAAGCGAGAGGTTCGAAGTCGTCCGGTTGCAACTTACGGTCGGCGTCCTCCTCGCGCGGGCGCTTCGAGGGCGTCTTCTTCGGCGTGGGGGGCTTGTCCTGCGTCTCTTCTAATTCCATCTGTTCTATTAGCAAGTCGAGCAATTCGGCGGAGTCGACGCGGCGCATATTTTCCGCCATGGTCGCTGCGGCGTGACCTCGCGGCACAATGCGCTCGCTGCGGGTGGTGTCTCGGCACAGATGCGCCCGTCCTCCCGAGACACCGCTCTGTAGCCCGAGGAGGTCTCCTGAGTCTATTTTGCTCTAGGCGGCTCCTGCGGCTCGCTGGCTGGCGCAGCTCGCGGCTTGCGCTGTGGCTGGACTCGCTGGCCTACCCTCTCGGCTTGCGTTGCCCTCTGCGGCCGTAGAGAGTCCGATTCGTCTCCCCGCTGGACGACCGTCCTAGCATCTTTAGACACACTAGCACTAGACTCTGCGACTCAGCCCTTGCGTCCTAGTCCAGCCGGACGGGTGGGCCCGGGGGGAGCGGGAGGGGTACGGGGGACCCCGCGACGTAACTAGCCTGAGCCTTCAGGAGACTCCATACGTGTCTCCGCCAGGCTCCGCCCACTAGTCCTAGCACCGTAACAACAGAAATACTCTACAGAAATACCAAGTAATCGACGGCGTCCCCGCTTTACGCCATCGGCGCGACGTTGTTGTAACATGTCCAGCGCTTAGATCCAGCGCTCAGATCTCAAAGGAAATAGAATCACACAGTTAGTCTACACAGGCATCGCCCGCCGCAGCTCGCCAACGACCTCCCGCACGCGGCCGATGCCTTGGAGAGAAGCGCCGCCGCCGTCCTCGGCGCCGTCGGCGAACGCCGCCGCGGCCTCGACGTAGGCCTCGAAGCGCGCCGCGAAGTCTAGAGAGATAGAGAATTCTTTCGAGAGGAACTCCCTTGTCTCATCTTCATCAGAACAGCGCAGCGCCCGGGCCAGCACCCTTAATTCTTTGGACGCGCCGCCCTCCGCTTTCACGCGGTCTCGCACGATAACCAACACGCGGTCCAGCAACCCGTCTCCCGGTTTCGCCTTCTGCTGCTGCTCTAGTTCTTCCACATAACGAGCGAAGGGTCCATCTAAACGGCCCTCCTTCGAGAGCTTCTCGAAGCAGTCGTCGAGTTGCGCCGAGCCGAGCGTCGCGGCCCGCAGAATTTCGCGCATCGCGTCTCTACTCCTCAGCTGGAACTCGGCGCGCTGGAAGCCTCGGACCAACGCCACGGCACCAGCAAGTTCCGTGTCGTGCGGCGCCGCGGCCAGTCGACGCGTCGCGACCTCTTCGAGCGCGGTGCCGCCGCGCGCTAATAGCGCCTCGCGCTTCGAGGCGAGCGTGTCCGGGTTTATTGTTGTGTTTGATCTTCTCGCTTCTAAGATCTCGGTCACGAGGAGGTCCACGATGGTCTCGGCGAGCTGTGCGTCTGGGACATTGCCGGGGGTGACCCTGGGCGTGGGCGCTGGTGGTGGTTTCGGTGCTTCGGCGGCGGCGTGCTCTTCTAGCCGGTCGATGAGCTCCTGCTTTTTACCGCTTACTTTCAGGCCGCGTTCCTTTAGTAAGACCTTGAGGTCGGCTACCTTCAGTGCATTGAGGTCTTCTGCGCCATTGGCTGCCTTTTGGGTGATTGCACGACGTGCGCGGTGGCAGCGCTGCAGCGGTGCGAGGAATGCTGATGCAGAGAGGCAATAGAGCAGTGTGATGAGGCGATGCATCGTGCAGACAGCCGTGCGCGGCAGGAAAGCAGCACTGAGCTAGCTCATAGTCTTACTAGCGGTCGCCGAAAAAATCGCAAAATGCCAACCTGCGGTCTCTGCCAGCCCTCCCAGCCCTCGCCCGAGTCAAAAGATGGCTATTTAATGAAACGACTGAAGTCGCAGACACCGAGTGGGACGTCACCCAACGCGCCACCAAACTCCGCCGAGGAGCCAAGCCGCAGCAAACAAAGGTCTCGGGGGAGCCAAACCAAGCCGAAGCTAGCTCCAGAAACAAATTCAAGGGCGGCCGCGCGTCGTAACGTTGCTAACCAGTAAGGCCGCAGCAGCAGGGCCACGACCCCGTCCGCCGCTAAAGCATAACAAAATAAACCGTACACGCGCCCAGGGGACCCTTATAGACTCACTGAGAGCGCTGGGCAACGCATCTCCGCTGACGCGGTCTGTATTAAGACCTTAGCTGGCGCCGCCGACCGCAGAGCAATTTGCACTTGGTGACTGTCGAAGCCGTAGGAGCTCGCCATGGCCGACAGCACTCCAAACGCCACCGGCACCGCGCCGCCGCCCCAAGCGGCGCCGGAAGCGCCGCCAGCTCAGGACCCGACGAACCCGCCGCTCTCGGCCCTCGTGCTCGCGCAGCGCGACATGCAGGGCCGCATTCTGGGCGATCTGAGGTTCATGCTCCACCACTTCGTGCAGCTCCAGTCCGCACGGGAGCTAGGAGAAGAACCCGCGCCCGCGGCGCCGCCCGTCAACCGGGAAAGACTAGCGTCCTTCATCGGCCACCTCGAGCAGCAGATCGAGAAGTGCCTGCGCCCCGCCTCGAAGCAGTCTGAGCTGGATGAACTCGAAAAACATGTGACTACTACTCTACTACCAGTGAAAGCAAAACTAGAACAGCAACTCGGTAACGCCGCCGTCGCGAACCAGGCGCGCGAGGCGAAGCGTTTACAAGAACAGCGCGCGACCGAGAAGCTCGCGCTGGGCCGGACGCCGTCGCCCGAACACAAAGTCGAGAACATCGACGCGACGGTCCGCGACGCGGCGCAGTAACTACACTTGAACTTGGCGTGGTCGCGTCGATGGCGTCGACGTGGCCGTCGGAGAGTCTACGCGTCGCGCGAGAGAGCAGTTTCGTGACGGCGTCGTTTCAACTCAGGCGCGGCCCGCGAAAGCCCCGAAAGCGCCCAAACCCCCACCAAAGTCGCCGCCACGCGTCGCTCGAAGGCGCCCGGCGGCGGCTCGCGGCGCCAAAAGACCGGTGCCTCGACGGGGCATGCCGCGCGATTTGTCCGCGCCCGACCTCCTGAATCTCGAGGACGCCGAGGGCGAGGCCTTTGGGTGCCTCGAATATCTGGAGGGCGACAGCGTTTTAGGGGAGCCGGACTCGAAGAGGCGGAAGCAGGTCTCGGCATCTGTAGTGACGGACTCGTCGGCGTCGTCCGGCAAAGGGAGTTCCAGTGAGGATGATATTAGAGGCCCCGTGGCGTCTCCATCTAGGTCGAAGAACCGCGTCTCGAATCGAGGGAGCAGAGCGGTCCTGGGCGAGCCCGCGCGCGATCTCAGATTTGATCACTTTGATGTCAGGACGGTCCAACAGCTCCCGGAAGTCGTCGAGTACTCCTGTTCTGCTTGTGCTCATGCATATACAACAACATCACACTTGAATCCGTGGTGGTCGCTCGCGCGCCACGCGTGCCCGCGCTGCGGCCAGGTCCAGTTCCCGTGGATCGACATCTCGTCCGCCGCGAACCGCATCCGCCACCCGCCGCCGGCCGCTTTAGATAGAGCGCACGCGGCGGCGCGCGCGGCGGCGGCGGCGGCGGCCGCCGCCGCGCGGCCGCCCCCCGCCCTACCAAAGGGCGCGGCGCCCGCGAGCAAGGACGGGCCGCTCCTCGCCGGCGAGACGGCCGACACGGCGACCGCGGCCGGTTTGTGTTCCGCGACGCAGGGCGCGCAGCTCCTGGACCTCTTCGCGCACGCGCGGCGCTGCCCCGGCCACCACCGGGACCCGCGACACGCGGCCGTCTGCGCGAACGCGAAGTTCGTCATGCTGCACGCGCGCGACTGTACGAGTGGGAGTTGCCCCGTGCCCTGGTGCGGCGCCGTGCGGAAGCTCCTGCGCCACATGGTGCGCTGCCCGAATGGTCAAACGTGCAACGTCTGCGCGGCCGAGTGCCGGCGGACGGACGCCGAGCCGCCGCGGACTGACTACTGGCAGGCTTTGCGTCAAGCCGGCGCCGACGACGAAGCGATGCGAATAGTCGGCTAGTTCCCTTTCCTACCTTTTGTAATCCTTCGTTACATCGGATATCTTAGCCAGGGCTACCGCCGCGGCAGCCGAAGAAGTTGCGTAAACTGAAGCGTTTCTTCTTCGGCGTCTGCTTCACAGGAGGCGGTGGGGGTGGCGGCCGCGGGGGCGTCGCGGGCGCGGAGCGCAGCTCGTCGTCCAAATGTTTGACCTCTTGTTCGAGCTCTCGTATTCGCAGGGTCTTCTCTGCGAGGATAGCCGCAGACGCGGCGTCGGCCGCGTCTTTTGCGCAGAGCTCTCGCCTGAGGCGTGCGACCTCGGCGAGCGCGGCTTTGGCTGAATCGTCTGCCGGCATCACGGCGCGCTCCTCTTCGAAAGCTGTGGCGCTATCTTCCGAGGCCCTGACGGGCATCTCCTCCACGACCGCGGGCTCTGACCCGCTACGGAGCACCGGTGGTGCTGCCAATTTATCAGTTGCGATTTTTTGAGACATTGCTAGGCCGCCGGGCGCGTTGCTAGGTCGCCGGGCGCGTTAGATGCTGCTCTGCCCAGAGCCGGGCGCGTCAGATGCGCCGCTCTGCCCAGAGAGCACTGTTTCCTTCAGATTCTGTAGCTCCCCGAGCGAGGCCAAAGGGGCTGTGGTTTTCACGCCTTGCCTTCGAGGGACAGTGGGCAGCAAGATACACCTAAAGCTAAGTCCGAGGTTATGCCTCCGTCGCACGCTCGGCCGATGAAGAGCAGTGAGAGCTTTAGCTAGCGGCCGGTAAGACACTAGCAAGCTGGCCCGGGGAGCGGGAAGGGTACGGGACCCCGCGACGTAAATAGCCTGAGCCTGAGCTATAACGAGAGATATTTAGTCAGTACGGCTAGGGGGACGGGAATTTTAGTGCATTGGCATTGGCATTGCATTGATTGCATTGTCATTGATCGCGTGCAACACAGGACTCTGGCGCGTCTCGTTGCGTTGGATGAGAAAGTTTTTCAGGGGAAAGGCCGCGTCGCCGTGCGCCGGGCCCCTTGCTTCTAATTCTGCATACGCTTGAAAAGGCTGCTTCATGCCCTTTCTCACGTCGGCGACCTCCTGGGGCGTGAGGAATTTTTTTATGATGCCCGTCATGGGCTCGCGGTGCGCGATCGTTAATTGGGCCTTTCTCCTCGAATTCTGGTTCTTCTTGCCGCGGACGAGCGTGACCTCCGTCCCGTACGACGGCCAGGCGCTCCCGAGGCGCTCCTGCCGGTCGACCACTTCCCAGGGCTGCTCGACGCGCGCGGGCGTCGGCGCGGGCACGGCGGGCGGCGGCGTCAGGCGCAGGCAGAGGCCGACGGCGAGGAGCGCGGCGCCGGCGCCCGCGGCCGCGGCGACCCCCGCGCCGATTTTGAACCTGCTATTCTGCCGTTTCAGGGCATGCGGCGGCAGGCTGTGGCGGCGGACCATTTTCACGCTCGTGCGGCGGTCGAGTTGTTCCAGGTGTCAGTGTGGCGGTCGAGTTGCTCCAGGTGTCAGTGTTTTTCTCTCAAAAAACTACGCGTGTTTTCGCCAAGCGGTCCGCCTGTGGCATTTGGCGACAGGGCAGGCCAGCCGCCGCGCGCCTCCCCGACGGTCGCGCGGCCCGGTATCAGGCCGTGAAGCGCAATGGCAATAGTCGAGAGTGAGCCGAGCTAGCGTCCTGTAAGACACTAGCAACCAGGCGTTGCGATAGGGGGGCCCCGCGACGTAATTTGCCCGAGCCTGAGGCCGCCTGATCAAGCTTGGCCAGCAGCGGCTTACCTAAGAGCGCTACAAAGGCACTCGGGGAACGGTCGCAGACTCGTAGGGAACCAGACCACCCAGTACGCCATCGCCGCAACAACCACCAGAAAAAAATATTGTACAAGGAGTTAAATCGGGGCGACAGGGGGAGCGACTACTACGCGGCGACGTTGATCGGGTTGTTCGTGTCGTAGGAGGACGGCTCGTCGTTGATCCTCGTAAATTCCTTCCGCCGCGCCATTTCGAGGGACCCGCCGCGGCCGCAGCACGCGCGCAGCTCGGCCCAGGCCTTGGCGAAGCCGTAGCGCAGCGCGTAGAGCACGAAGAGGACCACGGCCACGACGCCGACGCACGCGAACGCCTTCAGCAGGAACAACGACGCGACCTCCGCGGGCGACGGCGCAATACAAGGAATGCCCTTCCAGTGGGGAATCTTGGGAAAGGGGTCGACGACCTCCGTCGTGCACGCCAGGGCCTCCTCTTCCAACTGGGCGCAGTCCGTGCCCGTCTGCTGCTCCACGGTCACGCCCCGCTCAAGTTTGGGGATCCAGCCCTCCTTGACGCCTCGCAGGTAGTCCCACTCGCGGTAGACCGTCTCCTCCATGCGAAAGTTCCAGAAGAACCAGCCGTGGAAGTCGCCCGCGACGCTCTTCGGCGGCAAGTATTCGAGATTTTCTTCAGGAGTGGCCTCGTAGGTCATCATCTGCGCGAGCACGAACTGCTCCAGGAATCGGAACCGTTCCGGCGTTAGTTCGCGGGGGTGCTCGCGGAAGTGCTTCTCGAGCTCCGGCGACGGCGTCTGGTCGTAGGCCGCCGTCCACTCGCCGACGAAGCGCTTCAGCTCCGTCGGCTTGGGCGGCAGGCCGTCCCAGCAGCACTCTGTGCGGAAATGAAAAGTGAGTCACACATTTCGTCGATGGCATGTAGCGCGTTGCAATTGATTTCTACACAGCGCGCGACGGTTGATGTGGTCCCTTTCAAATTTACAAACCTGGCGGATGTGCTGCTGGGGCGTCATCGCCTTCAAATCATCGACGAAGCAGGCGTAGATGTGGCTGTCGAGGTATACGTTCTCGGCCTCATTTGAGGGCCCTTGCGGCGCGTTGTCCTTGGAGACCCAAAACCAATTGAAATTTTTTGGGTTCTAGTGTGGAAATCAAAGTGAGAGGAAATCAAATTCTCGCGGCGCATCTCCTCTCGCGGCGTGTCTCCTCTCGCTGCGCGTCTCCGCATCCGCTGGATCATGGCCTCCACGCCATCGACGCGACGCCTGCTCGATAGCGTGGCGCCCCCGACTCTCTGGTTGATTTATGCACAGGTTTGCACGAACATGTCTCCCACATAGACCGCCACATCCTTGCCTAATACGCGCCGGATCGTCGCGTAAGCGTCCTCGTAGTAGTTGAGCATGCGCCAATAATCGATGCCGGCGTCCGGCTCGTTCAGCAGACCGAAGCCCGTCGTCACGCTTGACAAAGCGTCGTCCTCTGCGACCTTCGACGCTATTTCATCTACAACTCGTAACGTGCGGTTCACGTTGGCCATGGACTTGTCCCAGAGCGCGTCGCCCGTGTGGCCCGAGTTGTCGAAGCCGTTCTGGGAGCCGGGCGCCGTGTGGAGGTCGAGCCACACCAAGACATCGTATTTCTGGCACCACTCGGCCACTCTTTTGAGGTAGGTCCATTCCCCGCACACGTAGGGCTCGTCGTCGGCGATGTCACACGTGATCCAGTGCCCGATAGGTATCCTCACGTGCGTGATGCCCGCATCAGCCAGGTCACTGATCGTGCTCTCCGTGACCCACGTGTCCCAGTGCTGCTCGAGGCGTTTCTTGCATTCCGTCTTTCCCAGCGTCTCGCAGTAGGTCCACTGGTCCTTGGGCGCCTTTTTGTCGAAGGCGTCCCACTCACTGAACAGAGACGGCTTGATCCACTTCTCGAGGACGAGCCAGCCGCCTAAGTTCACGCCGCGGATCTTGAGCGAGGGTTTCTCGCTAGCGGAGAGGAGCGCGTTGTCCGCTGCGGCCGCCGCGAGCAGCGCGAGCAACGCAGCGGGTCGTCGTCGCATCTCTAGGAGTCGATTCGAGAGGAATGTGCTATATCGCCTCCTCGCCTATCTGCACCGGCCGCGCGTTGTTCACGCGCTTGCTGGCTGCGGGTCAGAGCTTTTGTACAGCGTCGAGACCGCGAACGAGGTCTGGTGGCTGCTCAGGGCCACGAAAAAGCCCAGTTGCGTCATCGAGTTGAAACCCGTGCGAATTAATTTGTTCCTTCCGTGTTTTGCCAATGCTCCGCTTCCAAGGACTCTTTCCGAACCGCAACCCGAAGAGTGGTCGCACCGTAGCGGCTTTAGCCTCAGCTTTGATCATCTCCTTGTCGATCTATTGTGGTGCTACAGCTCGCACGAGAGCAGACTCAAGCAGCAGAGACGCGCTGTTAGCATCAATTTCAAGGGCCTGCTCAGCTTGCGGCAGCGATTCGAGCCGTCACGCTGCGTGCAGCTCTCAACAAGTCATCACAATCTCTGCAAGCTGCACTGGCTGCCGGCACGTCGTCGACGCGAGGTCACAAGCGCAGCAGTATAACTTGCAGTGGACTGCAGTGGACTGCGTGCGCAGCAAAGCACTCAGCGGACTCCGTGAGCACGATGCGCTGCCTGCTCCTCGTGACCACTGCGTGCGCACTAGCGCCGATTACGACGCCGCCGAAGCGGACTGAATTTAGGGAAGGCATCGGCGGCGCTACCAAGGAGCAAGCGGTTGCTGTCGGAGAAACTGTAGAATGCGCAAAAAAGCCTATCGGACCGAGGGACGTTATAGTGAGATGCTACGACATATCGAGTGACGGGAAGCTTGCCCCAGCGCTCAGTCTGGCGACGTCGAAGCGCGTGCACTGGTTCCCGAAGCTGACTTGTTCAGTTGGCGATCGCGCGTGGGCTTCAGTGCATAAGTCGAAGTTTACCCGGCGCGTCTCTGCCACTGCTGAATTTATCGGGTGCACCCGACTCACTGTTTGATTTGCGCACAGGTGGGCTTATGATGGAGAGATAGAGCCCACCAGTAACTCTGTGGTCGCGCGCGCGGCCGGCGAGCCGGTATTTTCTTTCAACCTCGGCGAAAGTGTCTACGATGATGCCGGGATAGATGAAGTGCTCCGAAAGATGGAAGCTGACTACAATGAGGAGGAATACGACTTCTTCTTCCGGAATTGTAGTCCGCGCGCGGTGCCGAATTATTATCGCTTCGATTCCCACGCCATCGACGCCATTCTTAGGGACCTTGGGCTCACTTGTCGCGCTCCCACGCAGATCACTTCGCCGACGACCTGGGCCGGCGCCTGAGTGGCGGCAACGAGGTGGACCGGAAGTTCATGGAAGACTTTGTGATATTCGAGTCGGAGTCCCTCTTGTGCAACATGGCTAGCTTCCAGCGGTCGATGACCATGGCCGTGACGCGCCAGATCCAGAAGATCGTGATCGTGTCTTGGAGGCGGTCGTGGAAGAAAGCGCTCGCGGAGGAGGCGGAGGCGTCGAAGGTAACGACTTAGTTTACTTAGGAAGGGATTCTAGGGAGGAATGGGGTCTAGCAGCCGCCGCACGACTCTCGGCACACGCCCTTGCAGGCGATGGAAGCGCGCACTTCCCGGCCCGTGGCGTCGACGCCGACGCGTTCTTGCGTTCGGCATCGCTTCTCTATCTTCTCGGGTTCTCCAGCGATATCATCACATCCAAGCGGTCCCTTATCACCGGCGTCGTACCGCCAGTACGGGTCGTTGCCACAGTAGTACTCATCACATTCGTCGAAGTCGTCCGGGTCGACGTCGTCATCAGAGTTATATTTGTAGAGGAAGACATCTTGAGCGCGCGCCGCTTCAAGGTTGCGTTCTGTGGGGAGTGGTCGCTTGCTCTAAGCCACTCGCTATGCCTGAACCCGCCTGGTGGCCGTACACGGCGCGAGCAAAAAGAAGCGCTGGAAAACCCGTTTTTATATACCAAAACTCAAATTTAGAAAAACAACACCTAGAGCTCAAGCGGCACAGGGGTCCGCGTTCACGTCCGCCACAAGTGAAGGCCAAACCTCCTCCTTCCGCTTCTTCCGCAATGATACGACGACGCAGCACCGCTCCTCATGCACCTTGAAGCCGCACTTCGACGGTTTAACGGGAGCGAAGAGCTTGCGCTCAAACGTGAGGTCTCCGATTCGCACGCGGACGCTTCCCGAACTAAACCGGACGGAGACGTCCGAACTGACGAGCTCGTCGACAAATTGTCCGAGAGACAGGTAGAGCTTGACCGTGGACCCTTGTTCGTCCCACGCGAACGTAGTGATCTCCCGTGATATTGACGGCGGCGGTGGCAAGGGCGCTTCATACACAGAAGCAGCAGTTTTTGTAGAGGGCGCATGCGACGAGACCCAGGCGTCCTCCCGCAATATGGACTCGCGGCTATGCCACCGCCGCACGTCCTCTAAATCAACATCTAATGAACTAAACGGCGGCTCGAGGGGCTTCTTGCGATCTTCCCGCGGCCGCTCGCGCCGCATGGCCTTGAGCAGCTTCTGCGCCGCCGGCAGGAGGTCTTCTTCCTTCGAGAAGGTGGCGCCGACGTCCAGCCACGCACCAACTTGCGCGACGGCCAAAGTAGAATAATCATCAGTGTCCTCCACAAAGAGCTGCTTGACGGCGTCCTTGGGCACGGCGTCGGGCTCCTTGGTCTTCGGCCCGTTCGTGGGCAAGCCACGGAAGCGACAATCGACCCTAACCTTCCGCCGGCCGTCGTCGTCCAAAAGATGCCACGAGGCCTCGTCGCTCCTACAGGTGTAGGCCCAGTGCCGCCGGAAGACGCCCCATCCTTCCACTTTCACGCTCAGATGTCTAGCCGTGAGCTCCACCTCCAAGTCCTCAACCTTACAATTTCGCGGAACGAAGACGTCGACGCCTGCGCGGAATGAGCGTCCACCTTCACGCCTTTGCGTCCGATTCGAAGGCACGAGAAGGACGCGGACCCCAACCAAATGTCGGCTCGGGCTCCCGAAAGTCCCTGTGTGGAAATCAACCAGTGAGCTAGGTTATCCTGAACATCGCGCCGATGGCGTGGGGCGTCGGAAATTTGATTTCCACACAGCGCTCGGCTCCCCGGAATCGCGCCACCACACGTGTTGGTCGTGGTCGCCCGCATCTCTCAGTAGTAAGGAGTCGCCCTCGAAGAGCTCGCGCCAGACCTCTCCCAGATTCGCCTTCTGCGCGCGGACCAGCGCGACTTCAGCAGAACCAAACACGACGCACTCCAGCGCGCCCATCGCCTGATTTGAAAGGGGCTGATCTACTATTGGTTGGCCATGGCGTGGCCCCACGCTCAACCGATTGTTCGTCAACGCTACGCGGACGGCGTCGTCGTCCGCGCAGAGACCAGGCACGAACACGGCGACGTAGACGCAAGCCTGGGTCTGGCACCAGCCGTACGTGAGCGACAGCGGCGCCCGGTCATCGCCGTCTGATTTCTTTTTGAGGAGGGCCACTCGCCGCCTTGCCGAGACCCGGTCGCTGTCGCTCTTCGCCCAGGGCCGGTCCCCGACCTCCTTCTGGTGGTCTAGCAATCGTCTTAATCTACCATCGCTTTCGATCTGCCTTCTGTATCTAGGTGTATACTTCGCCGGGTAGTGCGGGGGAATACCATCAAAAGCGTGCTGTTTCAATTGACAAAAGGCGCAGACCAGGCGGTCGCAGATGGAGCAGCGGAATTTCGAGGGAGCGCCGCAGGACTCGCAGCACAGCACGAGCGCGTCGCCGGCCACGTCGCGCTCCGGATCGAGCACGGCGTCGGCGAACTGGGCGTCGACCACGTCTCGGAACTCTGGGGTATTACTGACGGCGTATTTATACAAGTTCTTTCGAACGAGCCTCTCTCGCGCGAGCAAGCAGCCGTCATAGAGCTTGCGGCTCCCCGGGTCCTGCAGCGTCTCGTAGGCCTTTTTGATTTTGAGGAAGTGGGCCGTGCGCGTCTCGATGTCCTTTGCGTCCGTATTCCTGTCAGGATGGAACAAGCGCGCCATGTCTCTGTACGCCTTCTTGACGTCGGCGGTGCTGCAGTCGTCGGCAACGCCGAGGAGATCGTATGGGCTCTCCGGTAGGGCCCATGCTGCGTCCATTTTGTCAACGTAGGGTTGTGCTCAAATTTAGTGCTCGTGCTGCAGCGCGCTAGCGTGTCTGTACGGCCAGCGCGCCGGTTTTTCGTGACGGCAGCAGCAAGGCAGAGTAATCTGGCGTCGCCACGCCAACTTCGTGATCGATGCGGCCGCACACGGCTTGCCAGCCTGCTCTAAAGTGGTGAGATGGAGGGGACCTGTTTTCCTGATCCCGCACGATAGTACTGAGCTCACCACCCCTGTTTTCGCCGCTTTGGAGTTGCTTTGCAACCCACCGGACCGCTCTCGAAACGTGCTGGCCAACACTCCCGGCAACAAACCTGTTTTGCATGCTGCATGGGCAGGCGTTAGTGCTACACCCGTCGACGCTCGCTGCAATACAGCTCGTTTCTCTAGGCCGCGAGAACCTCACAAGGTACTGTCCACAAAAATTCTGCGTGGCAGAAACGCGTAAGGCTCGAACAGCTACAGAGAGCCACCTGCTCTCTGTGAGATACGCTGCTAAAACGACGCCGACGCGTCGTCCCAGCACCTGATTGGGACCTCATTACTCCCGGTAGCATCGCTGCGAGAGCGATTCAAGAGCCATTCCAGCAATGGCATTCGCGGCGCGTCGTGTCGTCTCGCAGGCTGCCAGGCGCCGCCTCAGCAGCGATGGCAAACCCGTGTTACGCTCGACGCTCTGCTGGGGCGACACTTCAGCAGCGTGGGACTGGGCCGCGCGCACGCTCACGCTGTCCGACGGTGCTACCACCGTATTAGCAGAGAACGTCGACGGCTTTGCGGAACTGTGGCGCCGCAACCAATTGGTCCTGCGAAAGCACGGAGTCGCCTTCGACTGGAGCCATAAAGCGCTGCACAATTCCGTGGACACTATTGATGTGAGACCGCGCTGCACGCGCGTCGGCACGACGAGCTGGGCCTTTGCCTCCGACTTCTGGGACGCCAACGAGAAAGAAAGGGTCGCGACGACGCGCGGCGTCTTCGTGCACGTCAAGGCTGGGCGGCCGGAGCCGCTGCCCGACAAGGTGGCGGCCGGGTTGCGAGAACTGGTCACGGAGGACGACTGCGACGACCCGTTTCCGGCCGTGTGGAATCTACACGCCATCGAGCAGATGCAGTGACAGGAACGGTCCAAAATTTGATTTCCACACAGATTTCCGGGCAGCGCCGCCATGGACGCGCTCGCGTGGGCCGAAGGCGCGGACGGCGGCGGCGACTACGTCGTCCGCCAGTCCGACGCGGACTCTTTAGGACACATCAACAACGCGCGCTGGGCGCACATATTATACGACGCGCGCCTCCACGCCATCGACGCGGAGCGGCAGGAGGGCAAGTGGAAGTGCCGCCACGTGAACGCCTTTGATGTGGAGTATATACGGGAAGTGAAGCCGGGCTCGATTTTACGGTGGACCTCGTCGGTGGCGGCCTACGGCGCGCGCGTCGCGCGGCGGTTCGAGTTTTTTTTCGACGATGGGGGACCTTGCACCGTCGTCCACATGCTCGAGAGCACGATCGAGTCCGAGGCGTGGGTGGGGTTTTTGAATGGCGACGAGCCATGATCGTTTCTTGTGTAAGTCTTTCTCGCGTTATACTCCCAGAGCTTTCCGAGAGCACTCACTAGACTGCTGCATCGATGGCGTGCGCGGTGCAGATACGTGGGGCAAAACATTATTAAATAAGGGATTCGCGACGCGTGCGGGTGCGCCTTGGGCGCGGCTCCGGAGTGCGTCGCGTCGACGGCGTATCGCTCACGCCGGCGGCGCCATCCTGGCCCAGGACGGCTCCTGGCGTTTTTTCGACCGCGGCGGGGAGGGGGGCGACGGCCGCGTCTTGCGCAGCATCTGCGCGACCCGGCCCGTCTTCTTGCCCTTGTCGATGGCGACGTCGTCGCCGATAGCAACACCGCGATAGGCGAGCAGGAAGTCGTTCTTCGTCTGGGTGGGCCGTACGACCTGCGCGCGGAGACCGGTCGACTCCCACCGGTCGAGTCCGGGTCGACGACGTCCAGGTCACGTCCTCGCGTCAACCGGGACACGGACTGCCACCGGGCCAGGCGACGCGCCAAAGGAGAGCTTGAGATTCGCCAGGTTCTCGCGGACCGGCTCGGTGCGAACCATAGTGTTTGGTGCTTAAACCAAAAAGATCTCTGGTCTCTGGATTGGACTATAACCTGTTTGCAGGCGCTAAAAGGTGGAAGCGCGACTACACGACGTTGCTGGGAGACGCCACGGCGTCTGTCCTGTCTATTTTACGGCGTTGCGCCGTATACGGTGGCGCAATTCGCGCAAAATTGACCTGGAAAACCCGTTTTGTTTTGCTGGACAGATCTCGAGATATCTCGCGAGAGGAGAGGATCACGGGACAATCAGATGAACAAGGGGTCGACACACAGGCAACAATTACAAGTTACCGCTCCCCACCCCTCGCCCCGCGAACGCGCCGGCACTCGATATCCCACACCGTCACGGCGGGAAATGGCGGCTGCGACGAGCCGTTGCCGTTGATCAGATTTTTGTAGGCGACAATCTGCGCCTTGCCGCGCCGCGTCGTCGGAGCAGGCTTCCATTCCGACGTTTCAAATCCCGTCACCGGACCAGGTGGTAATTCGACGCGTCGCTTCTCACCCTTCTTCATTCCGCGCAGAGCGAGCTCTATCCCTTTCGGGACGTCTTGATTGCCGAGTCGCACTCGCAAAAAATCTCCAGCATCAACCACGCCGTCTGAGTCCTTCTCGAACCCAAAGCCGCGTGAATACATGTAGGAGCCGCCCGCCGTCGAGATCGAATATGCCACGTCCACGACATCATTGCCCGAGACCGTGGCACCGGCACCTTCCTTGACACGTTTGTATCGTACGCCGTTGCCCAGGTTTATCACTGGATTTGCAGCCTCTTGAGCAGCAACTTTAGCGTCGCCGACCTCGCGACACGACTCGATGTCCGTGCATTTCGCAAGAACTTGCTTCGGCAGCGCTACAGCTGCACCGGTTGCCGCGCTGACGGCTGCGCGCCGGCCGACGAGGCGGAGTGCGCTCGTCGTCGCGGCAGTGCACAGGAGCAGCGCGAGGCGGTGCATGGCTTGATCAGTGCCTTAGAGTGCGCAAGTCCGCGCGTTCTTGCCCAGCCGTCCTTGTGTTGAGTCCAAACGTATGCAAACCAATGCCAGTCGCGTCTTAAAAAGCGCTTAGGCTGCTTCCAGGCGCTTCAAACAGGCAGGGCTCTCAGTGCTGCAAAGCAGCTCTCATGCTGCAAATGGCCGCATGAATCGTCCTGGAACGGCACGAGCATGCGTTTTGCTATCATCTCTCTCGTGGCAACGGCAGCGCTTCATTTGCCGCCACAAAGACAGCAGCGGCGCTCGTCACACAGCTCCAAACAGCTCGATGATGTAGACGCCGACTTCCGGCGACTGCTGGCTACCGGGCTGACACCAACCGACGCGTTCACACCCGTAGACGTGGTCGCTCTTACGCTCCGCGCGTTGCGAAGCGGCGACGAGCGATTCCTGCACCGCTTCAGTACACCCGACTTCGCGCCGGCCGGCGTGCAGCGGCGCGGGTCGACCTTCGAAGGCCTCGGCAACGGCCAGTACGCTTTACTCCGCGAAGAGTACACCGCCGACCTCGACGACGACGTTCTTGTGCTGGACGACGAGGCCTTCTTACGCGTGCGCCTCGAAGACGCGTCCGACGCCCATGTCACTCTCGGGTGGGAACTCAGATTACAACGGGGCTGCTGGCTCACGAGTCGGTGGCACTGGCACGACTTCCGACCAGAATTTCACCCCGGCATCGGCGAGGAGGAGTGGACACGGATATGCGGCTGACGGCTTCATGACGCCACCGGCAGAAGACGCGAAAGGCTAGGCATTGTATGTATGTGACTAATTACCCAAAAGCAAGACTAGAGCGCCAAGCCAGTGATCCGCGGCTCGTCGCACGACGCGCAAAGCGCCGTCCCCGCGGCGTTGACCATGGCGCACTTCGGGCAGGCCCAGCGGCCCTTCGTGTCGGCGCTGAGGGACGTGCCCCCGGGGGTCGACGGCGGCGGCGGCGGCGCGGGCGGCGACGACGTCACCGTCACCTCGGCCGCGTCCGACGAGGACTCGGACGCCTCGCCCAACAAAAAGAAGGACGCCTTCTGCGATATTGAGGCCAACAACGAGGGCCGTTCCGGCGGTGGTGGTGGTGGTGGCGGCGGCGGCGGCGGCCCGATCGGCCCGAGCTTGATCCGCCGGACCGGGATGGGCGTCGCGTCGCGGCCCGACGGCAGCTCAAGCTCCGAGGGCGCTTCTGCGGGTCGATGTTTGCGGGCCTTCTGGGAAGGCGAGTGGAAAGGCCGCTGCTGCGGTGACATCGGCGGCGCGTTAGGCGGCTCCAGCGCATCGGTCAATTGATCTAGTTGGTCCATGTCGCTGGTCGTGATCGTGGATTGGGACACGGCCACCGTCGTCTCCATGACGTCCAACCCCTCGACGTCGACCGTCGCCGCCAGACCAGAACGTAAAGCGACTCTTTCCCCATCACGCGGCGACGGGCTCTTCGGGTTCTTAAAGGGCGACGACGCATCCGGCAACGCCTTGGCGTTTTTGTAGGGTTGCGCGGCGCGCTTCCGCTTCATCCCCCGCCAGTACATGAGGACGCCCGTCGCGCCCACCAGCCCGACGCAGATGAAGCAGATCGCCAGCACGATGTTCATGTCCGCGCCGGCGGTTGAAGGCGAGTCCTTGGAGTCGTCCTGGGCGCCGTCCATGGCGACGGAAGCGGCCGTGGCGTCGACGCCCTGCGCTTTAAGATTAGCGTCCAGCGCGCCGCTGGCCTGGGCCTCTGTTAATGTTGTGGAGATGGCTTGCGCGGAGAGCGGCGCCGTCACCGTGAATATGACGACGGCCTGATCCGTCGCTTGGAGCCGTCGCCTTTCTAACACCAAGATCGTGACGGAGACGCGGTCGCCCTCGAAGAGCGCCGCGATGGACGCGGCGATGGCATCCTTCTGCTGGAGAGCCGTAGCGGAATCAATCCCTTGGAGGGTCAGCGTGCCCGTGGCAATCTCCACAAAAGTGGGGCTCGCCGTCGTCTTTGGAGAGGTGGGCTTGAGCGAGGGCGCCGGGAACGGCGCGGCCGTTGGGTTGCCCGGCGTGACCGTCGGATTTAGTGAAGGTTTCGGCGACGGCGCACCCGTCGGCCGGAGCGAGGGCCGCGGCGTCGGCCGCGGCGACGGCGCCGGTGACGGGCTCGGCGTCGGCTTTGCTGAAGGCTCGCCGGGCGTCACGGTCGGCGCCGGGATGGGGCGTCCCGAGGGCGACGGCGACGGCTGATAAACCGGCGCGGGAGAGGGCACGGCAGTCGGCATCCGCGTCGGCTGGGGTTTTGGTACTTTCGTAGGCCGCGGCGTAGGGAACGGCACGGGCGCGTACGTAGGTTGAGAAGAGGGCGGCGGCGACGGCGTCGGCGCGCGCGAGGGCATGTTCGGCAGTGCCTCGTAGATGAGTTCGGCTAGCAACTGCGACCCCGTATCATCAGTATGAATACCATCATCCGGATCGTAGTACGACCAGCACGTTCCAGTCACACTGTCATCATCTCGCGTAGAATATCCACTACAAGCATCCCCGCCTCCATCATGAGCACAAGTACCACACCCCGTCCGCGCGTTCCATTCGTCGCGGATGTCCAGACATGTGATGGGAATGCCCTTGTAGGACGGCTGTTGACTCAAACAAAAATTCAAGGTAGCCACCGAAACTTCATCATTGTAGCGCTCCATGTCGATGTCGCAACACGTACCAATAATGTTAAAGGGTATGACAATATAAATTTCCTGCAGGTTCTTCATCTTGTCCTCCATCTTCGAGAGTATTTGTTCATAACCATCTTCATAATCACCGATATTCAACTTCTCCTTCGCGTCGTTCACGCCGATCATGATGACTACGAGGTCCGGATCAAAGTCGATCGCCGCGTCAAATCTATCTGAGTTCAGGTAGAACTTCGCATCGGGGTCCACACACACGCCAGAAGCCCCGAAGTTGGCACACGTCGTTGAACCATCAATTAAATCTTCGAGGATGGCCGGGTAGTTACCTCGATCGAACTTCCCATCTTCCCACTCGTCTTCCTCCTCGTGCTTCGTGTCGCCTCGCACAATACTGTCGCCGAGGCAGGCGATGCGCTCGAAGGCCGCGACATGCTTCACCAAGAGGAGCAGGGCGAGGCGGCGCCTCATCGTTGTGGGCGCGGCGGCGTTGCGCCAAGCTCACTAGGCTCAGCTGGTCGTCTATGTGCTCCTGGTGGGGCTCTGCTGGCAACTCCGCTGGCGCCGCCCGGGGCTGCGTCCCGTGGCACCTAGGGCTGCCGCAATGTAACAAACCAGTCCTTTCCCTCCGCGCGCATGCGGTCAAGGCACGCTGAAATTTTCGCAGGGCGCGATGAATCGAGTGGCCGCCAACCGCTCTAGAGATGCTGCTGCTAGGGTCGGCACGACGGGTACCGTTCGGTCAGCACAGCCCCAGCGTGGCGTCGGGCGCCGTTTGGACGAGTACCGTTTGATCCGGGACAGTTCCACCCACGGCCGGCGGTGCGACGCGCCACAAACCAGAGACTAAAATTCAACAAAAGTTATACACTACTACTCAGGTTGCGCAGCGCCGCTCTACAAGAATCGACGATCGCGCGCCGCGTCGCGCGGTAGCGCAGCGCGAAGACGACCCGCGGCGCCGGGGAAGCCGCGAGCGCGGCGTCGTCGTCGGCCCGCGGCGGGCCGCAGTCGTCGCCGACCGTCGCCAATAAACCGTCGAGGTACGCTACCACTTTCTCTTCGTCGTCCAAGACGCCGAGGACGTCGTCCCCCTCGGGCAGCGCCTCTCTCGTGGAAAGCACGTCCGCCGGCGCCAGCGCGACCCTCAGAAAGGCCAGCGCGTCGACGGGCGCCTCGCCCCGCCGCAATTGGAAGGTCGGGTAGGGCGAGCAGTTGCCCCGTCGAAGCAACGCCCGCCGCCGGTCGACGAGCGCGTCGTCGGTAGGAGGTCGCAACTCGAGCCCCAGGCGCACCGTGTCGTGGGGATTATCCAAGATCGAGAAGCCGTAGTCCAGTAAAAGTTTCGAGTTCGGGCAGGGGCCGTAGGAATTGAGTAATTCAAGACCTTGGACGTACTCGCCGTCTCGCGTGGGGAAGAGCTCGAAGCACCTATCAACTAACCGGTAGGAGCATTGAACGGAGTGGGAATGGTTCAGGCAGTCGGCCAATGGCACTAAAGCCGTCTCCCTCAATTTTCTCCCGAACGCTCGAGATTGGACCACGAACCAGGCAAAGCGGAATCTTTCATATGTGAAGAATGACGCGGGAAATAAGTCAGGGTACCTCACAATCAGAGTTTGGGTGTAATACCTATCGTACAAGTCGCGGACCCATCTTTCCCTAGATTCGGCCCTCTCTTGGAGCTCCGGATCATGCAACCTTTCCAGTTCGTCAGTGGACCAGTCGCAGCACGTCTCCGGTGGCGGCAGCATTTGTAGATAGGGCGCCCAGAAACTTTTCGAACCCTTCCGCAGCTCAAAGACCACAAATGTGGCCAGGAGCACGTCGCCCCGCAGCCCGTGCCGGTCGCACGCTTCCCCGATCTCACTCTTCAAAGCTTTGGACGGCGACATCATGAGTGCCTCGGGCACGCGCAGCGCGTAGTCGTTTTCCCCTATATCCTGCGTGGCGACGGCCTTCCTTCCGTTGCCGTCGGTGACGGGCCACCGTAGCCGACTCGTGTCGGCGCCATGGTTTTGTAGCCAATCCAAAAATTCCTGGGCTGCCCCGTCCGCCGGATCAGTTGTTGTCATTATGCCTCTCCTGCTTCTATGCAGCCCCGTGCGCCTCCGTGCGTCGTCTACGTCCGTCCGTCCGCACACGAATACGAATTTGCTAGTGTCTTAAAGCACGCTAGCGCGCACTCGGCGGCGCGACCGCATTTCAGCCGCTGGCGCACACCATCGACGCGCGCAATTGTTCTCCAACTCTCTCTCGAGGAAGCTAAGACAACAAACAGGGCCTTACTACGGCCTCCGGTTCTCCGGCCAGTCTTTTTGGGGGATGCAATTTTCGCACGGATCTAAACTCCACTTGCTGATGTGGATGAACTCGTCGGGCCGGTCCGGAGAGAAGGAGCGGTCGTGCTCCCAGCGCCCGTCGACCTCCCAGTAGGGCAGCCCGTCGAAGGCGTAGACCTGGGCGGGATGCTTGAACAGCGGCTTGAAGAGCTTGACGCGCCACGTGAAGTCGTCGATGTTGTAGATGACGTCGTAATGCGTGCCTGCTATTTCTTTGGTGCGGAAGCGGCACGCCGTCGGCTCCGTCGTCCGCGGCACGTTGATGCGCGCCTTCTTCAGCACCTCAAAGTCGGCCTGGATCCTCGATTTGATACCGGGGTTCACGGCGCAGGTCTCGTTCTCCCAGTGGCAGAACTCTTGATCTTTCAGAGCGCCCTTCGTCTCGGTCTCAAAAGTCTTGTTCTTCCCATCCAACCAATCGGACCATTCCGTCGTATTGATGTTGAACCAGGGGTCCCAGAGCGGCGGGTCGTCGCCCGGAAACTTGAATTCGGTCCGGTTCGGCCACCGATGCTTCGGGCGCTCGTCCGGCGGCAGGTCGAGCTCGTTCAGTCTTCGTCGAATGCCTTCTCTGATAATGGGATCGGGGTCGTCGAATTGCGTAGGGCAGCCCGGCGTCACGCCGAGGTCGTTCTTGTCGCCGCGGCAGCCTAGGAGGAGAGCTACCAGGAGCGTGCGGCGCATGGTGCTGGGCAGCGTCCAGCGCGCAGCACGCGTGCGCCGCGTGCTGGGAGGATCAATGCGCGTCCCAGACCGGTCGGCCAGCCACAGCGCCGCGGCAGGCACCTTTTGCCGGAGCTATTGCGGCGAACTAGCGGCCTGTAAGACACTAGCAATGTGCCCTTGTTCTAAGCAGTGCGTCGATTGTCACGACTCGGAAGAAGTAACAGTATATTGGTCACCGTCTGGTCACAAACATTTATGCAACGCGCGTCTGGACGAAATAAAGCCCGTCGAAGGTCCGGTGCGCGCGCGCGTCCTCGTCGATGTAGACGATCTCGAAGCCGGCGCCGCGGGAGGACTGGTTGCCGGAGCCGCGCGCGAGCCACTTCGTCAGCTTGCGGAGCCGCGCCGGGTTCGGCAGCGGGATCGTGATCGTCCCGAAGAGCCTCGGGAACCGCGACCGCCGCAGGAGGCGCACTCTCCGAAACGCTAGCTGCACCTCCGTGTCGCTCAAGGCCTCGCCGTCGACCTCCACGCGGAAGCCTCGGAGCTTGCCGGACGACCCCGTGAAGTCCACGGCGTTGACGAAGAGCCCCTTCTCCGCGTCGATGTGCTGGCTCGTCTCCGCGTCGCTCCGAAAGCGCGCGTCAGCGGCGTTCGTGAACCGTAGTTTCCAGCGGCCGTCGAGCGGACAGGCCGACGGCGCGACGCCGCCGCGTCCCCGCCACCCGTCCAGCGCCTTCGTCGGCGGACTCAGGCGCGCGAGCTCCTCGAGCGCCGCGACGACGGCGTCGCGTTGCGCCGCCGAGGCGTCGTCCACCGTCGTCTCGACGGACGCGTAGCTCTCGGCTTTGAGCGCGTTTTTATCGCCGCGCCGGAAAAAGCCTCTTTTCTTCGGCGGCGGCGCGGCCGCGGCCGCAGCTTCGGCCGCCGCGGCCGCCGCGCGCTGCGACGCCTCGAACGCGTCGCAGGCCGCGAGCAGTCTCTGTTTCGCGTCCGCGACCGGATCTACCCTCGATTTGAGCACCTCGTTGATGGCGGGCCGCGCCGAATTGAGGCTCGCAGGCGCTGCGGCGAGCGAGTTGAGATAGGCCGCGGTCACGTCTACGGCCGCGGCGACCGTCGAGTCGTCGACGACCGGTGCCGAGAGTGTTGCGAGGTATGCTGTCGCGGGTCTTGCCACCGAGCGCGTACGTATGCGTGCACGCTGCGGCGCGAGCGCTGCGGCGCGCGCACAGATAGTAATTACAACAATAAGCTGGCGCTTCATTTGCCAGTCGAGTCCGTCGAGTCGTGGCGGGCTCTATAATGAGCTAGCGGCCTGTAAGCCACTAGCAAGAAGCTCCGATGCGGGCCCAGAGCCGCCATTGATCGAAGCAACACGTATCGGCGCTTCAATTATATAGCTACAGCATGCCCGCGAGTCCCTGAGCAGCGGTGCAAGCAATGCGCGTCGATCAGTCAAACCCTAGCACCATGCTCCTCACAGCAGTGATTCTCGCCTTGGCCGGTGCCATAGATCCGTCAATGCGGCGCTGGCGAGACGCACCGATCGCGCAAGTCACCGGCGGCAGAGTACGAGGCCTAACAACAAAGGACAACGTCACCGCCTTCTACGGCGTCCCCTACGCAAAGGCCAAGAGGTACGCCGCCGCCGCGCCCATGTCCTGGTCCGGTATCCGCGACGCGACGGCGCCTGCAGAACCGTGCCCGCAGATGGCCCACGGCGTCATTGGCCGCGAGGACTGTCTGGTCGCTAACGTCTTCACGCCAGCGGGAAATCTGAATCTACCAATCATGCTGCAAATACACGGCGGGTCGATGAACGCGGGCCGGGCCGTCGCCGACGGCTCGGCCCTGGCGAAGCGCGCCAAGGCGGTTATCATATCGATCCAGTACCGCCTCGGAGCCCTGGGTTTCTGGGCGGCGAACGCGTCGACTCCGCAAAATTTTGGCCTGGACGATCTCCTCTTTGCGCTGCGATGGGCAAGAGACAACGCGGATGCATTCGGCGGCGACCCGAAACGCGTCATGGTCTTCGGTGTGTCAGCTGGTGGTGCAGCGGTCGCGCACTTGTTGACGACGGCGCCGCCGGGGCTCATCTTTTCCGCAACAATCTGTGTGGAATCAAAATTTCGGACGCCCCACACAATAATTCATAACGTAACTCACTGTCTGATTTTCACACAGGCGGCGATGGAGTCGCCGGGCGGCCACCAGGGCTGGATGGCGCCGGGGAGTCGGCCCGACGACGACTTCGTGGCGCCGAGCGTCCTCGCCGCGGCCTCAGCGGCCACCGCGACCACCATTAGATGTTCCGTCGACGACTTTAATTGTTTGCGCAAGGTGCCGAATGCGGACATTATTACCGCCGCAGAGGGCGTGCGGTTCGCGCCTGCGTTGCTGAGAGCCCGCCCGGCCAACCCGCTGAGCGCCGACGGCGTCGAGACGCCCCTCGCGTTGCTCCGTTTGGGAGCCTGGCAGCAGGGCGCGGTGATTATCGGCGGCCAATCGTGCGAGTCGTGCGCCGCGACCGCGGCGTTAGCGGGGCCGCCGCGCAACCTGACGCACTTTGAGTTTGTCGACGCGCTGCAGACCTACTTCGCGGGCTCCCGTATCGCCTGGTCCGACGTGGTAGCGAGGTATGCCCCGCGCGTCGCGACGGAGGGTCGGTGGCGCACCCTAGCACGCATCATGTCCGACTCCGGCCACGCGTGCTCGGCGCAGCTCCATGCTTCGGCGGTGGCAGACGGCTGGGTTTATGAATTTGAGAAGGCGACAAAGGGCTTACCCGGCGCCGTCCACGGATCCGATGAGCCTTGGCTGTTCCAAGAGAAGGGTTCGGATCCGCTTTCGTTGGCCATGGCGGCGTACTGGAGCTCGCTGGCACACGCGGGCGACCCGAACTACGCCGCCGACGGCGTGGCGTGGCCCCGGTCCCCCGCCGTGCTCGGCCTCGACGACGAAATTTCTACGCGAAAAAACACGCGGCGGCCCGAGTGTTTGGACTTCTGGGCGCCGTGGCTGGGGTTCTATTGATCGAACGCGTCACCCCGGGACGATGGCGGGAGCCGCCGTACGCCATCGACGCGACGCCTCAACTGACGGACGACGCGAGGCAATGTAATGTGACCACAATGTTTACCCGTTCTTCTTCATCTTTCCACCCTTCTTCCGCCGCCGGCTCGTCGACGTGACCCACTCCTCCTCGGCCGGCGGCTGCGGCGGCTGCGCGTGCTCTGCGCGATCCAGCTCGAGCGCGTAGGCCGCGTCCATGTCGACGTCGTACTCGGGCTCCCCGCCCTTGGACTCCTCGTAGCCCACGGCGGCCTCGTCGTCGCCCTTGGACTCGGACACGCCCGCGTCCGCGTCGTCCTTCGACTCGGCGACGCCCGCGGCCTCGGGCTCGGCCGCGGCATCCATGCTCGGGGGCACGAAGGCCGGCGCGTCGGCGGAGAGCTGCTTCTTCGGCGGCGCCGGCGCCGGCGCCGGCGCCGGCTCCGGCTCCGAGGGCGCCGGCGCCGCGGCGGGTTCGTCCGGCGCCGCGGCTGGCGCGTCCGGCGCCGCGTCCTCGAGCGGCGGGAGGTCCTCCTCCTTGTCCTTCCGCCGTCGCGCCTTCCGCCGCCGCGACGTCGTGCTCTGCCACTCGCCGTCCTCGTCGGACGCGTCGGGGATTTCTGATGGTGGCGTCGGCGGCGACGCGGGCGCGGGCGCCGGCGCGGGCGCCGGCGCGGGCGCCGGCGCGCGCCGCGGCGCGAGGAGTAATTCAAGCGACTCGTCGTCGGACTCGTCGGAGTCGACCAAAGGCAGCGCGACGGGCGCGCGCGGCGGCGCCTCGCGCGGCGCCTTGTCATTTTTTTTCGCGGGCTTCTTCTTCCGCTTCTTCGGCTTCTTCGACGACGAGTCCGCGGCGTCGAGCTCGCCCAGCAGTTCGGCGGCCGCGGCCTCGGCGGCGGCGCCCCTCTTGCTAAGTTCGGCGGCGGACGGTCTAGCTTTCGACCGCGCCTCCTCGCGCCGCTGCCTTATTTTCGCTCGTCGTCGGTCGTCGGCGGTCTGGGGCTTCGCCTGCTGCATGACGCTCTTTCCGAAATCCTCGACGAGTTGCAGCGGATCCTTCTCGGGCTTCTCGACCAACGGACAGACGGGATCGTCGTCGTCGACGAGACCGCCGCTCAACCCCCCGGGCAGGCCCCGCTTCTTCTGGGTCTGGGCCTTGTGTTTCTGGAGGATCTGGGCTAGGGATTCCTGCGGCTCACTTCCAAATCTAGGTGCGAAGTCCGAGCTTCCTGCTGATGACGACGTCCGCCGCTCGAAGGAAAAGGACGACGCCAAACCGCGTTCCGCGTCCTGCACGATCTTTTTGAGGGCGTCGGTCTGGCCGGAGCCACTTTTCAGAGCCTGCTCGGCGAGGGTCTTCGCTTTCTGATAATCAGTCTTCACGCCCGGCACCGGCTCGGCTCCATCGGACCCACCAAGGTAAATACGAGCGACGCGCGCCAGCGCGTCGGGCACGCCGGCCTTGCCCGCGCGCTCGGCCCAGAGCGCGCCCTTCTGGCCGTCGTCAACACTCTTCGTCGAGATCGCCCGCTGGAGCAACAAGCGCGCGAGGCACCACATGGTCGGGGCGTCGTCCGTTGCGATCGCACCTTGATGTAATAATTTTTCGGCCTGGTCGACATCTCTAGGATAGGGCACGGGCCGGAAGTCGCCCGGCAGCCGCGGGACGCTGAAACCAGAAGAATAGATGGACCCCAGGTGGCACTGGGCTTGCCCGTGGCCCTGCTCGCAGGCCGCCTTCAGCCAAGACACACCGAGACTCTGGAGCTTTTCTGCAGAAGCGCCGAGCGACGGCTCCTGCGAGCAGGCCTTCTTGAGCATAAATTGCGCGTACCAGTACATGGCCCGCGCGTGGCCTCGTCGCGACGCTTCTGCTAAGACGTCGACGTCGAATTCAAAAGTAGAAGCTCCTAATGGTCTTTCACAAGGGTCGTCGTGCTCGAGGCGCGCGACCAAGTCTCGGACCGCGTCGTCCGTGACGGGCTTGGTTTCCTCGGACAGGGCCTTCGCCTTCGCGAGGGCCGACTCGTCCGTCGCCTTCTTCTTGGGCTTCTTCCGCCGCTTCCTTTTTTCTGAGGGCACGTCGTCGAGCTCGTCGTCGTCTCTTGTCGCGGAGGTCTTCTCGGCGGGGCGGAGGCCTGCGCGGTGTCACGGTGAGAAATGCGGCCGCCGGCACGCCGTCGACGCGTCGATGGCGTACGAGACGCCCCCTCCCCCACGCCGCCGCCGCGATGCGGTGACGGGGGCTGCTGCCCCCCCAGCACGCCGTCGCGGCGATGGCGTCGCGGTGGGCGTACGTCTCCCTCGCCAGCACGCTCTCGAGAGATGAAATAGGACGCCGCACCGCACCGGGCATGGCCGACGGCCGCATGGGCCGCATGGGCACGTTCAGATTCGTAGGAGGCGCGTCGTCGGCCGGCGCTTGTGTCTTGCCCTTCTTCTTCTTCTTTTTCTTCGGCTTCTGAGTGTTATTTTCTTTCTCCGCGAGCTCGGCCTCCTCCCGGAGCAAGGCCTGGGCCTGGGCCTCCGCATATTCGATCTTGCGGCGTCTTTCGGCCAATTCTTGCGGCGTCGGCTCGGGCGACGACGCGGGCGTCTTTTGCAGTTCGCCGCCGCCTTGCGAGTCCAGCACACTCAACAGCTGGGCGGCGTCCTGGTCGCCCCGGTCCGCGGCGACCTGCAGTAGGCTTCTCGCTTTTGACTCGTCCTTTTGCATGCCGCGCCCCACCAAACAAGCCGCCCCCAAATTGACCATGGCGTCGGCCTCGCCCTGGTCCGCGGCCTTCTGGAAGTACTGGACGGCTAATGTGAGGTCCTTGGGCACGCCCCTACCTTCTTGTAGCAAGCGGCCGTAGTGGTTCTGCGCGGGCGCGACGCCCGCGTCCGCCGCTCGACTGAGCCAGGACGCCGCGAGGCGGTCGTCGGTCGGCACGCCGTGGCCCAGGAGATGGAGCAGTCCTAGATTGCATTGTGCGGAGGCTAACCCAGCTTCCGCGGCCTTGGAGAACCAGAGCGCGGCCGCCACATGGTCCGGCTCGATGCCCGCCTCCGGCACGCCCCGGTGGTACATCACACCTAGCTGCTGCTGCGCCGTGGCGTCGCCGGCCTCGGCCTGGGCCAGGACCGCGGCGTGGATCTCCTCCACATTACCCGTGTCCTCGCCGATGCCTGGGAGCGCGTCGGGGAGCGGGGGCGTGACGAGCATGGTCATCTAGGTCGGTGGCTTTGGCGCCGCGCTGTAGTCGTTCGCTTCGTTCGCACGCGACGGATTTCGGCGCGCGCCGGCGACGCGTGCTGTGGAGGCCACTGCTTGCTGTAAGTGGCCTCTCTGTGCGTCACCTCCCGGTTTGACGATCGCTGCTGTCAGGCTCAAGCTTGGCTGGTTAGATGATCTCGCACAGCTACTCTCAGCGTTCCAGCGCGTGCTCGTGTGGGCCAGCCGCGAGAGATGCCAGGCTGTCGATGCTCGTCGCTTTGCGTCCCCGCACGATAGATCCATCAAGAGAAGCAGTCCAGGCTTCTCCCTGCTTTCTAGGTTTGTGTCTGGAAAGCCGTCCATTTTCGACAAAACCCGACCGAAGTTTGGCTCAGAGCAACATAGGTACTAAGAGACGACGACTCGCGTAAGACGGTCTTACCCGATCTACTTGCCCTTCTTCCAGGGCTTCATCTTCGCGCCGCCCTGGCGCGCCTTGTTGCGCGGGTTCTTCTTGTCGATGACGTAGTAGCGGCCGCGGCGGCGGATGACTTGGCAGGTCTTGGAACGCTTCTTCCAGGACCCGATGGACGAGACGACATGCATTTCGCGCACCGTCAGCGGCGCGGCGGCCTTGGGGGCGGCGGGCGCGAACGCGGCCGCGGCGCTGAGGATCAACGAGATGATGAATAGCTTCATGCTCGACCTGTGTGTGATTTTCCGCGTCAATATCCACGCCATCGACGGGTCTGCGCGATGGCGTGGCGGTGCGCGACATCTGTGTATGGAAGCCTCCGCGCCGCGGCCGGTCGTACGTCCGACGCGCGGAGGTTGACAAAGCCCGACGTCCGAACTGTTGCAGGGCCTTGCCCGGCTCGTTTGCGCCGAATTCATCAGAAACTCAATTGCGCGGTGGTGGTTCCGCATGCGGTGCCTTTGACGCTGGCATTAATGGCAGCGTTTTTGCAGCGATCTCCGCGCGATGCGGATCGAAATAGCGGTCTCCGCAGCGAAATCATATACGCGCGGTTAGCTCTGGACGCTGTGTGGTCGCAGGTTGCGTTTGTGCAGCGTTTTAAGCTCTGAATGTCAAGCAATGCCAAGGCACCAAAATGACGATAGGGTCCCAATACTGGCGCACGTCCTTAAAGGGGAAGAAAGCAACAGAGGCAATTAGACATATAAAACAGTTATGAATTCAAGCCCCCTCGACGGCCGCCTTAAAAACCTCCAGCGCTTTCTCGACGCCCGCATCCGTCACCTGGTGGTGCGTCACGATGCGCATACGGCCAACGGCGCCGGGAACCACTAGTAAACGCACACCCTTTTGGTCGCATTCCGCCACGAACGCGTCCGCGGCGATCGGCACCTTGCCCACCGAAAAATAAAGTAAATTCGTCGTCGGCGTTTCCACGTCAAAACCCAGCGCCGCCAGCCCCTCCGCGAGGCGCGCGCACCGCGCGTGGTCGCCGCCCAGTCCCGGCAGGATCTCGTCCAAAGCCACCAGCCCCGCCGCCGCGAGCACGCCGACCTGCCGCGTCGTGCCCCCCAAACCCTTCCGCAGCTTCCTACACCTCTTCACGAACTCCTGGGACCCGACGACGACGGACCCGACCGGCGCCCCCAGGCCCTTCGAGAGGCAGACGCTCACCGAGTCGAAGGGGCGCACGTACTCCGCGATCGGCACATCTAAAGCCGCGGCCGCGTGCCAGGCCCGCGCCCCGTCCAAATGTGTAGACACACCGTGCTTCTGCGCCACACCACAAATAGCCTCGACATACGTCTGGGAAAGCACCGAACCGCCACAGAGGTTATGCGTCGACTCGAGAGCCACGACCCGCGTCACGGGGAAGTGCTCGTTGTCCGGGCGGATCATGGCTTCCACGTCTGCCGGGGACCCGATGGTCCCATCCTCAAACGTCCGCAGCGCGCGCGGGTGACACCCGCCAAATTGCGCGGCGCCGCCCTGCTCGAAGATGTAAATGTGCGCCTGGTCGCCGACGATGTACTCCGACCCTCTCTCTCGACAGTGGCTCAGCATGCTCACCAAATTGCCCATCGTGCCCGACGGCACGAAGACGCCGGCCTCCTTGCCCAGCAGGTCCGCGACTCGCCGTTCGAGCTTTTGGACTGTGGGGTCGTCCCCAAAAACATCATCTCCAACCTCCGCTACCTTCATGGCCTCGCGCATGGCAGCTGTCGGCTGGGTCACGGTGTCGCTGCGCAGGTCCACGACGTGCGCTGAGGGTGGCGCCAGTGACTCGGCGCTGCCGAGGAGGCACGCGGCGACCAGCGTGGCGGCGCAGCGCTGCATTGTGGTGTTTTGTTGTCGTCGACGGCGTCGATGAAGTGTTTTGTGATCAATACGCCACACAGGCCTCACAAAAGCAAAACCGCGCCGAGCTAGCGTCCTGTAACACACTAGAAACCACGCTGCCGCCGACAATCTAGCCAACTGGGAGTATCTGAGGCCGTTCAGCGCGGGTTCGGAAGCTATTCGATCGTGACCAAGCGGCACCAGTGATTCGTGCGATCTGTGAGGCTCTAGGCTGCCCACAAGCAAAGCTGCCCACAAGCTAAGATCTGGGCCATTCGAGCACGCGCGAGCCGAACAAAATCACGAGACAAAAATGGCCCTCTTCACGCAGCTCGACGCGGACCTCGTGAGCAACCTGGTGGAGCTGGCCAGCAGCCCCGACTGCCCCGACGACGAACTCACGATAGACGAGGCGAGTTTTCTGGATGGCAGCGCCCAGGACCGCCACGTCTACGCCTCGTTTGAACAAGGCGCGTGGCCCGCGTCGCCGGACCGCCAGACCTGGGTGAGGGAAGTCGTGTGCCGCGTCGGCAAAGGTCGAATGCATGAATCCGCGAGGAGCCTCTGGGCGCGCATCCACTTCGAGGGGAGTAACGGCGCCGAGGACGATTATGTCCTGGGCATGCGCGTCGACGGTAAGGAACACATCGAGTGGTACGAGGAGCAATTAAGCAGGGGCCTCGCGCTGCACGACGGCGTCTGCGAAGTGTGGGTGCCGCCGCCGCCGCCCGAAAAGCTGAAGAAGGACGCCTGGTGGTCCAAGCACTACCTCAAACCCGGCCACGAGGACGGTAGCATCTCCTACCAGACGTACCGCACGTACATCGACGACGTCATCCTCGACGCGATCCAGGACTTCGACGCGCTGCCTTTGAACGGGCGGGTCCTGGAGCTCTGCGCGGGCGACGGCGCATTTATGGAGCGGCTCCTGGGGAGGCGGCCGGACGTGGCCTCCTATGTTTTTGTGGAGCGGAACGCGGACCTGTGTCGAAGGGCCCGCGACCGGTGCGCGTCAGCAATCGTGGAGGGGCTCTGCGTGGACGCCTGTGCGGCCCGGCGTCGAAAGCTATGTCGTGGAGGTTCGCGACGGTCTCTCGCACTCACCGTTGGTTTCGTCAATTCCCCCAAAAGGCGATCACACAGGCGACACGGCGACGTGGGATATGATAGAACCGCCGGACGTGGTCATCGCGTCCGGCTCGGTCTTATGCGGCCAGGTCGGGTCGCCGGCCATGGCCGAGCCGGTGTTGAAAGCCGTGGCGGCGCTGCTCAAGCCGACGTCGCTCTTCGTCGTGACGGGCTTCACGCAGTCTTATTTAAATCCGGCGCTGCTGGCGCGCCACGGGCTCGAGGTGCGCCGGGGGTCCGTGTCGACGGACGCCGTCGGCGGCCTGAGCTCGGGCTTCGGGCGGTTCCACCTGCTGGCGCTGCGGCGGCGCGCGGCGCCATTGGAACCTTCCCTCCGCGACGCGCTGCTTCCTCCAAGTATCGAGGAGAGCGTGCGCAAGGTCACGATAAGCGAATAGTTGTACAACACATTAGCCCCAGACGATGTCCCGCTCCGGCCGGAACGCGACGACGACGCGCTCGTCGAGCGCGCCCCGCTCGATCTCGTAGACGTCCTCCGCATGCTCGCCGTGCGGATTGTCGACGCCGCGCTGCGCCTGCCTCGTTTTCGGGTAGACGTCGTCGACGACTCGCACCGCTCGCTCGGCTTCTACCGCGTCGACTTCCTCGTCCCAGACGTAGTCCACGGGGCCGTCATCTTCTTCCTCGACAAAATAGCAGAGAGGGTGTATCGTGCCGTCTTCGCAGACCACGCCCAAGCCCAGGCCGCCGTCGTCTGTGCTATATTCTACGACGTCGTGCTCTGCTAGGTCGTCGACGATCGAATTTATTCTCCGGTGCCCGCTGCGGACGACTGCTGGTCGTCGCATGACGAATGCGGCAGCATAGGTGGCTAAGAGAAAGGCGCGCATCGTGCTGGCTGCCGATATGCTGCAAACGGTATATCTCGCAGCTTCCGCGAGTCGCTCCGGCGCACGAGTGGGTCTCTGCAAACCGGAGAGCACTGGTTTTGGGAGAGCAGTCGTCAAATGCAGCAATTGATGCACACAACCGGAGCCCGAGCTTGCAAGCGCTTCAAGGGAGATAACACAGTGGTACACCACGACGGAGAGACAGTTTCAAGCGTGCCAGCGCGGCGCGGGGCTCGGACTTTGAGGCGTGACGGGTTTTGTAGGGATTCACTAAAGCACTACCGTTGGACGTTACGCACTCCTCGCCGGCCGCCGCAGCACCAACGACCCGACGCGCCCGAAAATCAGCAGCGGCAGCTGCGCGAGGTCCGCGACGAGACCGCCCCGCCGCGACTCCCGGTCCGCTTCTAAAAAGTGGCGCCGGTCGACGCGCCGTAATCCATGAATAAACAGCGGCGCCACGGCCAGCAGCACGATCGTCGTCGAGAGCACGTCGAGATACGTGTGCCGCGCGAGCAGCTCGAGCTCGTGCGCCCGCGCCGCGACGAATAACGCGACCTCGGACACCTGCGCGAAGACCGCGCCGGCGCCGGCCGCCGCCTGTTTGGAGAAGCCCAGGGCATAGACCACAGGAGCGGTCACGGCGACCTTGACGCAGACGACGAAGAGCACGTGGGCGACGACGGCCGACGCATGGTTCTGCAGGTATCTGGGCGACACGACCAAGCCTAGGGACGCGACGTACATGCCGCCAAATAAAGCGGCTAAAGGCGCCACGGCCCGTTTCGCCCGGTCGACGTGCGGCGTGCCGACCAACACCAGACCCGCGAATAAAGCCCCGGCCTCGTGCGACAGCTTCAGGCGGTCGCCCAACAACGCCATCGCCAAAGCATAGCCGACGACGCAGAGCCCAAACGACGCCGTCGTGGCGCTCTTCTTCGCGTCCTGCGCGTCGCCCGTCTCGCCGATGCGTTGCAGCGCGCCCAATGCCCTTGGTAAAGCCCGCCGCGCGAACAAGACCACCACGACGATTGCTGTTATATACCCGCCGGCGACTTGCGCGACCCACATGACCATGCTCGACTCGGGGTGCTTGCGCTGGTCGCGCTCCCTCAGCTCGTGCACGGCCGTCGGCAAAGCCAGCAAAGGTGCCAGAACTAAATCTTGGACGGAGAGCATCTCGACGATGGTGTGGCCGAAGCGCGTGCCCTCGAGCTTCGCCTCTTTGAGGGTCGCGAGGACCGTCGACGACGAGGACAGCGCGAACGCGGCCGCAACCAAAGAACGCTCGGCCGACGACTGGTCGCCACCGAGCGCCGCCGGCACGAGCACCGCGAAGACCACGCCCAACAGCAGCACTAAACCTAAACCCCAGGCGAAGGCCGCATCCCTGGGAGCCTCGTCGTCTTCACCCTCATCGGACTCGGACGAATGGTACGACATCTGGAACGACGTCTGGCGCTTCTTGAGCGGAGACGTCTTGGGGGAGGAGGGAGTGGATTTGCGCCGTACTCGCCGCTTCTTCCGATCCAGGTAGTGCGAGTACATGAGCCCATGACTGAAGAGTAGAAATATCGAGCCAAACTGCGCCACGGTCTCCGTCTGCTCGAGGTTCCGCACTAGATCCAACCCGCTCGGCCCGACCACAACACCGCCGACCATGTAGCCCAGCGTGTGCGGCGCGTGCACCAGCGCCGCGACGAGGCCGCCGACCGCCGTCGCTAATGATAAAGCAACCACATCTTGCAGGAAGCGCGCGTCCAGGTGCAATTTGGCCGGGTCGACGCGGCTCCGGGCCTTGACGAACTTGCGCGACCCGCCGCCTTGGCTAAACGACTCCCGCAGCAAATGCGCTTCCAACGCCGTCGCGTTCGTGCTGCCCACCTGCGACACGAGCCTTCGCAGCTCGTGCGGCGACAGGAGCCCGACCAAGCCAGCCACTTCCCCTGACTCGTAGTCGACGGCCGCGCGCCCGTCCCGGAGTCGGTCCGCGAGCCTCGCGCGCCTTTCCGCGCCGCGCGCGCTTTCGAGCGCCTTCTCCGTCGTGCCCACGGCCTGGCGCGCCTCGGCGAGCTCGTTGCGCGTCGCGTTGATGGTCCGCACGAGCGCCGTCAGGTCGTCGCGCATCTCCTGGAGCCGTTTCCCGAGCGCGCGCTCGAAGCCGTCGTCGCCGCCGCTCCTCCGTCGCCTTCTGGAAAAGGCCCGCGTACCGTTCGAGAAGGCGCTCAGGACCACATCCAAGTCCCGTTCCACGCGCCGCGCGCGGTGCTCGGACCGCACGAGCTCGTCCTGGACGTCGCCGATCTCGCGCACCGCGCCGCGCAGGCGCTTCCGCGGCGGGCCGTCGGAGTTCGTCGTCGTGAGGAGGCAGGCTGCGAGGAGTAGTGCGCGCATTTTTGTGCGCGCGTCTGCAAAACTATTTTTTTTTGGTGTTATTAGTGGTGCTTCACGAGGGCGTCGGCAGCGTTTTAGCGTGCTGGCCCGTCGCACGGATGGATCGCTTGGCTGCCTGCACTGTTCACCAACCTAAGGCCACAATCACGCCGAATGCGGCTCGAGCAGCCGAGCTCGTTTTTTGGCTTGCTAGTGTCTTACAAGCGCTAGGTTCTCACTGCAAGAGCTGAGCGCTTCTTTAACGTAGAATCATGTTCTGCGAAAGATCGGGAAGACAGTACAGCGTGTACTAGACCCGAACTATCCGAAACAAAAGTGCTTTCAAACCGGCAGAGCGCATTGGCCATCGATTACGCACTACATCGTAGCCATAACTCGATTTTAAACAGCCTGCCCGGACGCGTACCGCGCTTGCAGCCCTGACCAAAGGGCAGCCCACCCATCACTAAAACAACAGCCACTGCGAGTAGAGTATGGCCGCCGCCGTCGCGACGGCGCCGCCGACGGCCGACGAGGCCTCGCCGTCGTCCATCGACGACCTGCGGTCCGCGCTGCGCGAGAGCCTCCAGCAGCGCGGCGTGCTGGGCCGCGTCCGCGCGCAGCTGCGGTCGGAGATCTTCCACACCATCGACGCGGGCGCCGACGCGCCGCCGCCGCGCGCGGACCCGACCGCCGCCACGCTCGTCGTCGAGGAGCTGGTCCGGGAGTATTTGGCCTTCGCTGGGTACGGCCACGCGCTGTCGGTCTTCGAGGCCGAGAGCCGGAGCGCCGAGCGCGGCGCGTCCATCACGCGCGCGCAGATCCAGCACGAGCTCGGCGTGCGCCAGGACGCGGAGAGCGCGGCGCTTCCATTAGTGTTTGGCGTCGTGGAGACGTTGAGGGCCCAGTGCGTCCACGACCGCGGAGCTGCGGAGGACGCTTAGCGGTGCGTAAGTTTTCCTGGCATTTCCCAGACGCCATCGCCGCCGCGGCGCCGCTCTCCCTGTGTCTACTAGTCACGGTACAACTAGAATGGGTTTACACCCGCCAACTCCTCACGGCGCCGTCCCGCCCACCGGAAACGAGCGTCGACGCGTCGGTCCAGCACAGGGCGTTGCAGTAGTCCGCATGTCCGCCGACGGCGGGGGCATCCACGTACACGAGCCGTATGGACCCGTCGTCGGCGCCTGCGGCGACCCGTGGTGTATCGACCCAGGTGGACTCGGCAAGGGCTCCCACACCGGCGCCGGGCGCGAACCGACACGTCTGACACCTGGCGGGGACCGCGCCCTGCCGGACGTCCCAGAGCTCGAGCGAGCCGTCGCCGAGGCCCACGACGACGCCGATGCCGGCGTGACCCGCGGCCGCGAGCGCCCGCACGTCGCTACCGAACGTAGCCATCGCGGCGGCGCGGGGAGCACGCCCGTCCCATATCCTGACGGTGCAGTCGCGGCCGCCCGACGCGAGCGTGTCCGTAGCGTCCCACCACGCGATCGCACAGCAGCCATCGGTATGACCATAATGCTCGTGCACGAGCTGCGAGCCCTCGCGCAGGTCCCAACGCCGGACGACGCCGTCGTCGCCGGTCGAGGCCACGGTGCGGTGCCCGCTGCGCGCGACGGCTCGGACGCTTCCCGCGTGGGCGACGACCGGCGCCACGACGGCCGCCCCGGTTTGCCAATTATGAAATCCAAGGTGGCCGTCGTCGCGAGCGACGACGACGACGCCGTCCGCCCAGGCGACGTCGGCGGCGCCGCACTCGAGCTCCACGCTCGCGTAAGGCGCAAGCGTGTCCGCACTCAGCAGATCCAGCGCACCGACCCAGTCGTCGCCGTCCAGCCGGGACCTCGCGCACGCGAGCGCCGCCCGCTCCACCGCGGATCGCGCCGCCATGAGGGCGAGGCCGTCGACGCTCCAGCCCGGTGGTGCTCGATACTCATGCGTAAAGGCCGCCATCTGTGGCTCGGCTGCAGCTACGCGTGGCTGCTGAGCACAGGGGCTCCCTGTTGCTCACCACGCTGCGACGCGTTTCTGTGCGTGCTGCCGGCGGCAGAGCTCTAAAATTGATGTGTTCGGCTCGTTGTGAGAAATTTGCCAGCAATAGGCTGGCGTAAGGACGCTTTGCAGCCGGAGAGCGGCAAGCAAACTCGCCGCGGCAGGAGCCCAAAAGGACTCGCACAATCACCCATTCGTGCTCCCTTGCTGCGCTGCGACGCGACATTCATCGGATAGCCCACCGCTGAGATGCTGCGCACCGCCGCGCGCGCCCTGCGGCGCGCACCACAAGCACCACAAGCAGCGCCACGGCACAGCCGAGCGTTTGCGGCGGACGCCACCGACGCGCCGGCGACACCAGCCAAACAGACACCAAAAAAGCAGGCGCCCAGCGCCAAGCAAAAGCAGGCCGCGCGCGCATCAGGCCGCGGGCGCGGGCGCGGCGGCGACGCGCGCCAAGCCGCCGGCCGGGGGCGCGGCCGCGGCGAGGGCCGCGGGCGTGGCCGCGGCCGCGGCCGGGGCGGCGACGCGCCACCATCGACATCGATGCCGCGCGTGCGCGACGTGCTGGAGCACTCGGTCACGATGATCGACGACCACGACGGCACGGCCCTGCGCCGCATGCCCAAGGGGGCCGAGGTGCCGATGCAGCAGGCCGTGCGCGACTTCGTGAGGCGGGACATGAGCACGCCGGGGCCGACGACGTACGTCTACGTGCCGCCGTCGGTCGGGCGCGACTACGAGCAGAAGCCGCCGCCCCGGTCGATCGACGAATTGATTGCTTATACGAATACCACGCAGCACGTCGACGCCGTGACCGACGAGCGGTGCGCGTCTTCCGTGGACTTCGCGTGGAGCGTGCTGGCCAAACAGCCCGACATCACGGAGGACCAGAAGTCGCGGATCATGAGCAAAATATCGCACACGATGCACAAGATCCAGGACGACGATGCTCTCGTGAGGCTCTTCTCGCTGCCCGAGCAGACGGTGCCGGCGGCCGAGACGGTGAAGAAGAAGTCGAAGGCGAAGAAGCGTAAGTAGTGACGTGATAGTGGTATCTTTACGCACGGCCGCCCACGGCCGACCATGTGTGTTGCACGGTTTTTGTACCACGCCTCCGTCCTCCGCGCGTTGAATCCTGGCGGCACGCCGTGGGGGCTAGCGGGGGGGGTTTTGGCACAGAGCATTTGAGCTTGAGTTTCATCGCCGTAACGACGTTAAATACCACTGACGCAATTTTCGGCGTCCATCTTCATCCGCGTGCCGCCGCGCATAAGTCTGAGGGACCAAGTCGTACGCGTGAACTCGCCAAGAGTGTTCTAAGCACCAGCCATTGATTTGCGCCGCCGTCGCAGGCACGTGAATTCGACATGTCAGAAGACGCACCGCTACTGACCGCCTCTAGTCGCCGCCGCGGTGGCGCCGTCCTCGCCGCCGTGGTTCTGGCGCTGGCGGGCGGGCTCGCGTTCGCCGTGGCCAACAGATCCGACACGACCACGAGCCTTTCGGACGTCACTGCCGTACACGGAGATGCGTATGCTCAGGCCCTGCCCGCCAGCACGTCCCAGGACGTGACGAAGGCCAAGGGAACCTCCACAAAATACCGCCCGGAACAAATTTTTTCTCTGTCTCAACATGCAGTCGAGCCGCCCGGGGACAAGATGATGCAACTCAACAGCGGTTTGCATGGCAAGGTCGGTAGCATCGAGAAATGGTGCGGCGCGGCGTCCCGTAGAACTATCGTCGCGTCGGCGGCGCGGCGACGCGGCGACGCCCCACCCGCGCAGGCTTCTCATCGTCATCGTAGTTTTGGGCGCCGTGTGCCTCCTCTGTTGCGTGTGCTGTATCATTCACGTAGGGACTTGTGGCATCCTGTGAGGTGCACGCGGCGTTCGTCGAGCGTCCTACAAGAGGACGTCTCGAGCCTAAGAGACAAGTTTACTTAGACAGGTTTCTGGGAGAGGCCCGGCGCTTCTTCGCGGCCGAGGGTTTCTTCGCCGCCAAGCGCTTCTTCTTTGAAGCGGGCTTTGCGGCGGCGGGCTTCGTCGAAGGCTTCGCCGCGGGCTGCCCGCCCGTCTTCTTCTGGACGTCGGGCAGGAAGGCGGTCGTCCGACCGCCGATCGTGTCGAAGTGGATGCGCCCGATCGGCGACGCGATCGAACCCGTGGTCATCTTCGCCCAGCGGTGGTGGAAGAGCCACGTCGCCGGGAATTGCTCCGAGTCGGCGTTCGCGTCGCAGGCCGTCTTGCACACATTTACGATGGCCGCGCGCAGCGCCTTTACTTGGTCCGCCGAGAGCGCCGAGGCGGCCGTCGCAGGGTGAATCCTAGACATGTAGAGAACTTCGTCGGCGACCCAGTTGCCTATGCCACAAACGACGGCCGACTGGTCGAGCAGCACGGCCTTGATAGGAGCCGACTTCGAGCTCAACGCGCTCCGCATCGCGGCGACGGCAGGAGCCTCGAGGGCGTCCGGGGCGAGGGCCGCCAGCTCCTCCGGCTCGGCGCCGCGCAGTTTGACGCGGCCGAAGCGCCGCGGGTCGCAGTAGGCCAGGCGCGTGCCGTCACCCATTACGAGCTCGAGCTTCGTGTACTTGGGCGGGAAGGCGTCGTCGATCGAGAAGGCCTTGTACGACGGCGGAGCCTCGCCCTTGATGACGCAGCTGCCCGTCATACCCAGGTGGATGAGCAGGCAGTGCTTGGTTTTGCCCTTGTCTAGTTCGAGCCACAGCTGTTTGCCTTTGCGGTTCGCGGCGACGACGCGGGAGCCGGCCAATGCATCGATGTCGCCGTCCAGTACTTTGTCGTCTAGCTGGCCGTCGCGCGCGCCGCCGCCTTGCTCTTTCGTCTCGACGCGTTCGATGGTCTGCCCGACGACGCAGCGGTCGAGCAGTCTGCGCTGGGCCTCGGCTTCCGGGAGCTCTGGCATGGTGTAGCGTGTATTGCTGCGCTTGCGTGGAGTGCTCTCAGGTGTTTTTTACGCCCTCACGACCCTTACGGATGGGAATTTTGGGCAGCTATGCAGCAGGAAACTTGGAGGTACCACGAGCGCGCCACGGATATAGCAACCGGGCACGAATGCGGACAAACGCTCGGTCCGCAGGCGCGCGTCTGTGCGGCTGTACGGGTTTTAAACCAAATCGCAGTCAACATGCATCACTGCAGCGAGCCTTGGCGACGCGCAGCGAGGCCTGGGCGCGCCAGAAGACGGCTCGGCGGCCGAGCCGATCTGCTCTGCCGATGAGTCTGCCCCAACCAATTCGGCAGACTGGACAACAGCCCGCAGAACCATGCGCGGGCTGCCCATCCCTGGCAATCATACCAAGGGTTAGTCTAGCGTTGGTGACCCTTAAGTACACTCTCGCTCATACCATGGCAGTGAAGAAGACCAAAGTGGTCGTCAAGCACGAGCTGCCCGCGGGCAAGCTGGGCCTGACTGCCGTCGGGAGCCCGCCCGCGGTCGGCTCGGTCAGGACCGACTCGCCGGTCGCGGGGCAAGTCGCGCCCGGGGACATAATCGTCGCGCTCACCCGTCCGGGCTTGGGCGACGTCGACACGACGAACCTGGATGGCCAGGCGGTGATGGACACGCTCATTAAGTTCGCCGACCGGGAAGGCCGCAGTCTGACGGTCGAGAAGCACGGTATGTACAGGGTCGGCGTCCCGCCCGGGCCGCTCGGGGTCTCGTTCGTAGATGGCACGTGCACCGTGCATGTGGTAAAAACGACGTCGCCGCTCCTGGGCGCGACGAAGGCGGGCGACACGCTTCTGTCCGTGGATGGCAAGCCGGTGACGCCGGCGACCATCTTCGACGTCATCAAGGCGGCGGACGATGGAACCGGCGAGCGCAAGCTCGTCTTCCGGACCTATGGAGGCACGCCCGCGGGCATGACGGCGGGCGGCACGTGGGTCGAACAGGTCTACGTGGGCCCGGAGACGAAGAAATGGGCGTGCCTCGCGTGCCTCTTCTTCGGCTTGCCGGGACTGTGCATCTTAATGTTACCCGGGGACAAGCGCATGGTCTACGTCAACCTCGCAAAAAACGCAAAAGCCGGGGCCGGGCAGGGCGGCCCTGCCCGACGGCACGATCGTCGAATACACGAAGGTCGGTCAGATCGTTACCTCGTACCGTAGACGCCTTCCACGATATAACTCAGCAGCTCTGCCGCGGCAGCCCACTTCTGACAAGTTCTGTACACACTGATATGCACATACACTCCTCTACTTTCCATATCTGTAAATATATTTCGTGTTTTGAATACTAGTTGTCGCTGTTGTTGATTCCACCTACTCCAGGAGCGACTCGCACACGAGGTGCTCGTCGCAGTCGTCCTGGCCCTCACCGTCGCCTTAGACTCGCCTACCTCGCCTCCCTCGGCGCCGACGTGACCGCGCGCGCGAGGAGCCGTGTCGGCACCGCGCCGCCCGAGGCAGAGGCGCCCGCGCCATCCGTAGACACCAGAAAATAACAAAACACAAACTTAACATGCCCACCCGCCCCCGCACACCGCCGCGAGCGAGTCGTCGCGGCGCTTCGGCCGGCGCAGAAGAGCTCTCGCCTCCTCGTGCCGCGCGCGTTGCGCCGCGGGCCCGTCGTCCATGACGTCCGCCAGTTCTCGATGCGCCCAGCCCTTGAGCGTTTCCGCGATTCGCGCGTGGCCTGTGTGGAAATCAAAATTTTACGGCGCGTTCGTGCTGAATCGCACCCGACGCACTGGTTGATTTCCACACAGCGCGTGGCCCAACCGATGCGCGTGCTCGTAGGGCGACGGTCCCTCTTCAGTCGGCACGAACGCCGACAGCGCGCAGCCCTGGTCGAGCAGTATCTCCAGCGCGGCGTGGTCGCCGCTGTCGCACCTGTGTGGAAATCAACCAGTGTGTCGGGTGCACCCGACCTGGCTCGGTCGAGCGGCGAGGAACCGGCATCGCCACGCCATCGAGCAGGCGTCGCGTCGATGGCGTGGAGGACGACGCACGTCTTAAAATTTTGATTTCCACACAGTGATCGCACGCGTACCACAGGATCGGCCGCTGCCGGTCGTCGACGAGCCGCCCGAGCGACAGCGGCCCGAGCCTACGCGTGAACCGACGGGCGCGTCGCTCGAAGGTCGCCACCTCGTCGTCGGTGGCGAGGGGCAGCAGTTTGATCAGCTTCGCGAACACGCCCTTGGCATCCGCGTACGGTTTCGGCCGTGGCGCTGCTTGGGTCTCTTCCTCTCCCGCTGGCATACCCGGCGGCGGCGGCGTCGCGGGCTCGTCGACGGCGGCTCCGAGTGCGGCACTCATTTCCACTGCATGGACATGGCGTGCTGCCGGACGTGAAAGGGCTGCCCGCTGCGGACGTGTCAGGCGTCGATCGAGCGTGGATGTTGCCTTATAGCGACCGCTTTGCCGTCTTTTTGCTGCCTCCGAGCAGGTTTGTTAGCGCGATGCATACTAGGATTTCACCGGCTGCTTGGTTTTTGCGCATCGCCACGCGCGTAGCGTCCCGCTAGAGGCGCGCCATATATTTCATCTGGACTCTGAACGCTGCTGCTGCGACGCAAAACCAGCAGGGCTGCGACACGGTGCGGCATTTGCGCCCCTGGTCACAAGCCGGCGACGCCCGCTCAAACGCCGCGCGCGCGCGACCGCTGCCCCCAGAAGGCCGCGGCGCGCCGCCGCCCGCGCGCATCGGTCAGAAATTAACGCGCCGCCGCCCGCGCGCATCGGTCAGAAATTAGCGCCGCGAAGCGCATTCGTCGAAAAACGAGACGATGGCCGCCGCCGACGACAAGAAGAAGAAGCCAAAGACCGAGAGTTTGGACGACGCCGTCAAGCAGCTCGGCCTCTCGAAGCGCGCCATCCACGAGGTCGTGCGCGTCGCGACGGCGCGCGCGGCGGAGCTGAGCGGCCAGCGCGTCGGCATGGACTTGCTCCACGCGCTCACCAGACGAATAAAGAGCGAGGAGGGCCAGCCGTCGTCGGAGCAAGTGAAGGAGCAGTGCTTGTACGCCATGCACGAGTGCCTCATGCAGATTGATGCGATCGGCAAGGCCTCGGGTAAGCTCTGCTCGCAGATCGAAACGTTGGCCGAAAAGTGCACGGAACACGTCCCTCGCACGTTAATCAAAGCGCGCGGCAGCCGCGCGCCCATCGCCGAGCACCTCGTGAAGACGGCCGAGAACAGCCTGAAGATTTTACAGGCGTGGCGGCGGAAGTTCGCGTGCTTTAAAAGATCTGATAGACTGAAGGCCACGGGCCGAGCCTTACAAACCCTCATAAAGCCGCGGGACAAGGAGCCGCTCCTGGACCCGGTTAAAAGGGAAGAGGAGCGCCCCGCGAAGCGTTTGAGGCTGGCCGAGCCGGCGGCCCCGGTCATCGCGCTGCCGCCCGACCTCATGGGAGATCAAGCCAAGGGCGCGGCGCCGCCCTTACCTCTACCTCCGTTGCCGGACGCGGGCTGGGGCCGGGGCCTGGGCTCTCAAGGCGCGCCGCGGTCGCCGCCGCGGTCCGACGAGGCGCCGCCGTCGAAGGACGCCGTCCCCGCGGGCCGCGCGGCCTTGTTTGATGCTTGTAGATTAGTAAGGGACGTCTGCTCGTCGCTGCAGTGGCCCCTGAAGTCGCAGGGCGCCGCGCTCTTCTTCCTCCACCACTTACTGCAGCACGCCTCGAGCGAACCGGAGTCGTCGAAGCCGCCGTGCTGGACGCGCTTTGTGAATAGGCCGGGCATGGTCGCTGAAAGTGTCGCACAAGCTTTACCCTCGGACGAGCTCGCTGCATTAGCTTTGGCCTGCGTCCATTTAGGAGGCAAGGCCTGCGACACGCCGGCGCGCCTGACGCACGTCCTGGAGTTCGCGCGGTCGCGGCCCCAGAACTCCATGTCTGTCAGGAGGTGGCCCCAAGCGGCGCCCTGGCGCGACGCTGTCCTAAGTGCGGAGCAGCGCGTTTTGAGGTTAGTGTCGTACGACGTGCGGCTCGAGCACGCGGCCGACGTGCTCAGTACTTTTTTCGAGAAGGTGCTGCCCGACGACCAGTTCCGGAGCTTCGCGGGCCACGGCAACGCCGCGGCGCCGCCGCGGTTAGGCGATGAACGTTTAGTGATGTCGCAGTCGTTGATGGAGCGCACTCGATTGTTCATGGAAGCCGCCCACAGTTTCCTCTTTTCTGGTGTAAGTGCGTCGCAGGACCCCATCGCGTTGTGTGTCGCGACGTCGTTAATTGTGAACCGCATGCTGAAGGACCCCGGCCTCAAGCTCATCGAGGGGTTCCTCGACGCGGCCGCCGCGAAGGTCGGCAAGGCTTTGAAGGAGGACCCCAAGGCGTCGAAAGCGCGCATTTTAGGATGCAAGGCCGAGGTCGAGAAGACGGACCGGGAATTTCTGCGCCACTTCTCGGAAGCCGAGACGAAGAAACGCGAAAGTGCGGACGACGCGAACCCCTGGGAGAAGAGAGCTGCGTCCTGTGGAGCAGCGAGACGCGCCGCCGAGGCGACGCACCATCGCTTAGGTGCTTTAGATCTGAAAAGATACGTGAAAAAATGTTTAGATCAGGCTGGAAGAATAGCGGAGGCCAAGGCCGCCGTCGCGGCGGCGCGCGCGCGGTCCGCGCCGGAAGCAGAAATAGCCAAGGAGGAGGTGCGCCTCAAGCAGCAGCGGGACCACGCGTTGGACGACTGCGTCTGCCACGTGTTTATCAGTGACGATGCGGAGCTGTATCGAGCGTGTCCGGATAATGGAAGGACGCCGGTCGCGGATTTGAGGCTAGCCTTCCCCTTCGGGCCGAAACACTTTGGCACAAAAAGTGAAAGATTAGATGATTATCATAAGGCGCCGGCGGCCTTTCGACTCGGTGCTTGTCTCGTGCACTGCTGCGCCGAGCCTGATGATGACGAGAACCCGAAATCGTTCCGGCCCGCGCTGTACTGCGCCTGGCCGCGGTCCATCGTCGACGCGCTAAAGCTCGGGACTCGAGCTAGATCGGATGTGCAAAAAGCGACGGCGCGCCTCGCCAAGGCGCTGCGGGACGCGCATAAGCGGCGACCGCCCTACGACGTCTACGTCCACGCGCCGCCGCCGCCGCCGACCGACCCGGGGCCCGCGCCGCCGGAGAAGGCCCCGGCCTGGGGCCCGCCGCGCGGCGACAGCGCGTTACTGGCAAAGCCGCCCCCGAAAAAGAGTCTTCCGGGGCCGCGGCCGGCGCAGCCGCCCAAGCCGTCGAACGGTCAACAGCGGCCGCTGCTCGAGCGCCTCACGAGCGACGCGGGCCGCATGCAGCGCCTGCCGAGCGACCCCGTCCCCGGCGCGGACCCGCGGCGCGTCGCCGGCGTCATCAAGACGCTCGAGCGGCGCGAGCACAGCGATCGCACGCGCGACGGGGGCCTGGCCTACGGCGAGAAGCGGTATACGCGCGGCTACATCGCGCCCGACGGCGGCGGGCCGGACATTTACTACATGACGCGGGGTGCCGCGGGCAACGAGCTGGCCGTGGGCGTGCGCGTGACCTACGAGCCGACGCGCAACGACACGGGCCCGATCGCGCACTTCGTGAGACCCGAGGGCGGCGGCCGGGGGGCGCCGCCGCCGCAGCGTTCCGGGGGCTACGGCGATCGGCAGCCGTCGGGGGGCTACGGTGCACCCCCGCCGCGGGGGTACGGCTACGGCGCGGGGCCGCGCGGGCCACACCCGGGCCGCGGTCCGCCCTTTGGGCACCAGGGACCGCCCCCGGGCGCGCGCGGCGCCTATCCGCCGCAGAACGGCGGCTGGCAGGGGGGACCGCCGCGCGGCGCGTTCCCGCGCGGCCCGCCGCCGCCGCGCGGCCGCGCGGGCTTCGGCGGCGGCTTCGTCGGCCAGTGCTTCAACTGCGGCGGCCAGCACCACGTTCGAGATTGTCAGGGGCCGCGGCGGCCGGGCTACCACCCGTCGGTGCTGCCCGAGCACCGCACGAACGAGCGGCGGAACCGCGAGGAGGAGGAGATGCGCGCACGCGGCGGCAACGGCTACCCCGGCCCGCCCGACGGCGGCGGCAACCACACGGGCCGGCGGCAACTGCCCGACCGGCGGGATGGCGGGCCGCGCCGCGAGCGGTCGCGGTCGCGCGAGCGCGAGCGTTCGCGCCGCCGCTCCTAGATACCAGTACGCGGCTTTGTATATTAAACGGCGGCTTTAGGACGCGCGGCTTTGTAGATTAAACGGCGGCGATCTAGAGCGCGGTTTCTAGATTAAACGGCGGTGATCTAGAGCGCGGTTTCTAGATTAAACGGCGGGTACTCTAGGACGCGCGCGGCTCTTCTTTATACTAACCGGCGGGCTCTCTAGGACGCGGCTTGTTAGTTTAATCGGCGACCTACGATCGCCCCCGGTGGCGGCTCTTGTTCGGGCGTGTGAGGGGGCACCGGACGCCGCCCGAGTGGTGCGGCGTCCGATGCCCCTCCCTAGACCCCTGTCTTTAGATAAAAACGGCGGTTCTCTTTATTTGGCGGCCTACCGGACGGGACGAGTGACAGCAGTCGTCGGTGGGGGCTTCACCCGGCTGTTCTTCAGAGGAGTGGCGGGATTGCCGAGACGTATGGGAGTGCAACTCCCACTTAACTTGGGTGTTTTTTGTACCCGAGCTTGCTGCAGTGTAGTTCCGGACGGTCGGCGGCGGCCCCACGGGCCCTGTACAAACGTGTCGCAACCTGTCCAGCATCTGGGCCAGGGCGCTTCTTAGACGCAGATAACCATGAGTTTGGTGTGAGCGGCGCGTCGGAGAGAGAGCGGCGTCCGAAAACCTAAAATCAAAACAAAACGGGTTTCACCGAGGCTTAACAATTGTTAAAATCAGCCACAGAGCCCAATCCGAGGGCTGCGCAGCTGCACACGAAGGCCCGAGGCTACGACAAACGCGACACGCAATCGCTGCTGCGAGGCGGGCCGCGCAGCTTCACCAAGTGGCACTCAGACTCAGAGAGCAGCATCGCATCAACTTCACCGGTCGAGCCGACGGGCGTGGTCCGCCAGCTCGGACAGTCTAGATCGCAAGCACGCAACAGCAGCAATGCGCAAAATTCGCTTTTTAGCCTACGCAGTCGCCGCGTCGGCCCTCGCCCCGCAGCGTCTTGCGAGGCGCCGCCAACTGATTGGAGGGCTCGCCACTTGCTCGACGGCGCTCGCGCCGACCCTTGCGAATGCCCTGGTCAAGGGCAGCGCACCGCCGCCCAAGGCTTCAAGAGGAGAGAAGCGCACCTGTAAGACGATCGACGAGTGCGAGGAGGTGGGGAGGCAGCGCGCCGCGGCCGCGTTTGATGCCCAAAACGATCAACCCTTTTTTACGACCAAAGACGGCGTGCGCTGGCGCGACGTGCGCGAGGGTTCTGGTGGAGAGGTCGGCCGGGGCGACGGCGTCCTGTTGAAATATAGGGTCATGCGGCTAGGCAAGCGCGCGACGGACAACTTGTCGGGCGAGGCGTCGCCCGTCTTCTCGCTGGGCTATGGCGAGGACGACGACACGGAGAAGGACGTCCTGCAGGCCGTTGTCGGCGCGAAGCAGCTCATCCCCGCGCTGGATTCGGCCCTGGTGGGCATGCGCAAAGGAGGTTCTCGGAGGTTATTTGTGGTGCCGGAGAAAGGGTGGAAAAAAATCAACGCGTCGTGCTCGGCGGCGACGAACGGCGCCAGCAACGCGGGCGACGCGTCGGCGGGCGGGTTGGACGTCTTGGGCCAGGCCGTCGTCCCGCTGGCCGAGATCGTGGACAACGACGCGTGCATCGAGGACGTGCTCCTGCCGCAGCCGCGGAACTTCGGGGCGAAGCGGCGGCTCGCGCGGCGCTTCGACGAGGGCTTGTTGGTGGAGGTCGAGGTCGTGGACCTTAGGAAAGGTGGTTAATTACGCCCTAGTCCGCGTCCTCGACGTCGTCCTCCGAGTCCTCGTCCTCCGACGCGTCCACCACAACTAAAGAAGAGTCCTTGATCGCGAGGGGCCGCTCGTGCTTGAGCGCCGCGACGGTCTTCTTATGTTTTTTGTGGATCGGCGCGACGGCCCACCGGTCCGGGTGGTTCTCGGCCCTTGCTAGAATGAGGCCCCGGATCCCGTCGTACCCGGCCGTCTTCATGTCCTTCAGCTCCACGTAGGCGCCATTACCTAACTTCGACAGATCGACGGCTCTGGCGGCAATGAACGTCGGCTTGACCTGCGCGGCGGCGATCAGCGCGACTCTCCCATCGACGCGATAAATCAACGACACGGCGTCGCGCCGGCGAGTCGCTGAAGCGGTCCGTAAAACTCGAGTCCAGCAACTCCGCGTTCGCCTCGAACCGTCGCAGGCACTCCTCGACGCATTCTTTGGAGGGCGCCTCCAAGCCCACGATCGACTCCCCGGGCTGCACGACGGCCGCCTCCTCGCGAATGAACCCGTCGCGCTGCCGCTTATAAAAGTCGACGACGGCCTCCTTGGCCTCGTCCGGGGCCCAGCCCGGGTCGTGCTTGCGGTAGCGCGCGACCAGCAGCGGCGCGCCCTCGTCGCCGACGCCGGCGGGGCACTTTTTGACGGGCTCGGCGATGTCGAACATGACGGCGACCTGGAAGGGCGCCTGCTGCGGGTAGTGCAGGATGAATCTTCGTTTATCCTGCGTCTGATCTAAGATCGCCGAGATGTGGGCCGCCATGGCCGTCCACTGGGCCGCCGGCGTCGGCACGGGCTGCGGCTTCGGCTGGCTCCCGCGAAAGACGTCCGGGAGCTTGCCGGCCATGACGCTCTGCAACGTTTCGTCGTCGGACGGCGTCCACTTCTCGAGGGTGAGCGGGTTGACTTTCGCCGGCATGTTTGCGGTGCTTGGTTTGCAGTGCTTGTGCGGCTTCGATCGGCGTCGCTGTGCCGTGTGCTTGTGCTTGCAGTGCTTGTTTGCAGTGCTTGTGCTTCAATGCTCTGTGCGGTGTGCCTCGGTCGTGCAGTCGTCAGTCTATCAATGAATGATGCAGCGATCACTTTCACTGCACGCGTGTGTGGTTTTTATGCCGCGTTTAGGCTGGCTCAAGCAAGCATCGATGTCAAGTTGCGGGTTTCGGGGAGGCGAAGAAGCGCTCTCCCTCTGCGTCGTCAGGAAAGGAAGCGAGCCGTCCGTAGATCATTCACTCAAACTCTTAGACATATCTCCCTTCGTGCTCGCGAAGTCGGCGGCTGCTGCGCGCCGAGCTTGGCAATAGAGAGGCAACGGTGGCGCCATGCGGTGGCGCGGCGCTTACGGAATCTCGGGGAACCGCGGCGTTAGCAAATTGACCAGCAGCGCTCGCGCTTGGCCGCGCACACGTTCCCGGCGCTCGGCCGGTGTCCCGCCGGCGACCGGCTTGCGTAGGGCAGACCAGTGGCCAGCTCCCGCCGCCGCCGCGTTCGAGGCGCTGGCGGCGGCGCAAGCAATGAGGCTGAAGAGCGTGAAGAACCGCATTATTCTTGTGTGTCTTCTTGGCAGAGACTTTTTGTTTGGGCACTTAGAGATCGATATCTCTGCCGCCGCTTCGCAGGGTGGTTCTCTGGGCTGACTGTACCTCTCTGGCGAGTGCTGCTGTCGAGAGACGCTAAGGTAGCGGGATGCTTGAGCGTGTAACTCTATTGCCGGCGTTCCGTTCAAAATCTGACGTCTCCCAGAAAAGCCCTCCCGCAGCCGGGAAGAACCGCTCTGCACAGCTAAGACAGAAAACGGGAGCGAAACGCCCAGTCTCATCGCGACGCGCGAGACAAAAATTCCACACAATGTAGTTAGTCCGAGTCCTCCTCCTCGTCGTCGTCGTCGTCCTCCTCGTCGATATCCTCCTCCTCCGCTTCATCCTCCTCGTCGTCGTCGCCCTCCTCCGACTCCGACGCCTCCTCGCCGTCGCCGGCGCCCTCCTCGGCCGCCTTCGCGGCGGCCTCGGCCTGCTGCGCCTGCATGGCCTTGAGCCACGCCGGCTGGGGCGGCGCGAAGGGCCGCTCGACGTCCTCGCCGAGCACGTGCACGCGCACGAGCGGGTCCCGCAGCAGCGCCACCAAGCCCATGATCACGTTCGCGACGAGCGGCTGCACCATGCCCTTCTTCAGGTGGAGGTAGGCCGTGACGCAGAGCGAGCCGACCTGGGACCGCCTCCCCTTCAAGACCATGTCGAGGTCGTAGGCCTTGACCGTCGTCTCCTTCGACGCGAGCTTCTCGACGAGGGCCTGCGCGACCTCGCCGCCGCCCTGGCTCTGCTGCTTCGCGAGCTGGGCGAGCATGGGGTTGCCCGGGATGGTGAGTGCGGACTCGTCGTCCAGAATTTCTATCCTCGACTCGACGTAGTTCAGGATTAATTGGTGCAACGCGAGGTACGCGACATACAACATCCGTCCCACGAGCGCGGCCTGCTTGTCGCCCGACTTCTTCAGCACCCTACTTATGAGTTTCATCGTGACCATCGTCCCGCCGACCTGAATTAATAAACCGCGCATGGGGTCCTCGGCCGCGATGGCCTCGTACTTCGCCTGGAGCGCCGTCGCCGGCCTTAACAGCTTCGCGACGACGGGCGTGCCGGTCGGGTCCATTTTCTTCGCCTTCGACGCGCTCGACTTCGTCTTGGTCTTCGTGGCGCCGCCGCGGACCGTCAGCGCGGGCGCGCCGCGCGCCGTGGCCGCGGTCGCGCCGCCGCGGACGGCCAGGGCCGTCGCGGATCGTCGCGGCGCGCGGATCGCCGTCGCCGCGGTGGCAACCAGGATGCACCATGCCAATCGCCGTCTTGGTGCCATGGTGTTGGCGTAGCCGTGTGCGGAGGTGATGCAGCGGTGCGTTGCACGCGCCTGCGTGCAATTTGGAGCAGCAGCGGTGCAACGCGGCCGTGGAAAAAGTGGACGCGCGGCACGTAGCTAGGTGTGACACACTAGAAAGGCAGGCTCTTTAGAGCAAAATCGCTCAATCGCTGCGTCTTTGCACCTAGAATCACGCCTGTGGCAGCGCACGCACCCCCTGGCGACGACGCAATCGAAAGCGGCGCTCCATTTGCACCACTGCGCGCAGAGCACTGCCCAAGTGCAGCCAGAGCGCGCTTGTGCAACTCGTGCGTGCCCAATACTGCATCAGTATCGCTGTGCAAAAATAGCACCACAATCATAAGCGCAAAAAGCGATCAAATGGTGCGCCTCGTCTACGCCTGGGCGGCCACCGTAGCGGCAGCGCTGCAGCGCGCGCCGCGGCCGCGCCTCAGCTCGCGGCGGAGCGCCGCCGCCGCGAGCGACGACGGCGACTGGTTCGCGCCGCGCCACCGCGCGTCCTGCACCTTTGTTGATGATGGTGCGTGGCCTCGATTAGAGGCAGCGGCCCGAGCGTTGTACGACTGGAACGCCAAGATCAACGTCGTGTCGCGCAAGGGCCTCGACCCCATCACACTCATTGAAAGACACTACCTGCCGTCGCTCGCATTACTGGAGGCGCCGCCACTCCAACAGCTGCCGGCGGGCGCGCGCGTCGTCGACGTCGGTACGGGCGGTGGGTTCCCGGGCCTGCCGCTGGCGATCTGCCGGCCCGACCTGAAATTCGACCTCGTCGACTCGAGGAAAAAGAAGATCGACGTCGTAGTGGCGTGCGCCGAGGCCGCGAATTGCGAGAACGTGGACAGTATAGCAGGGCGCGCCCCGGCGGATCTGAAGGGCCGGCGCTACGATCTGGTGCTGGGCCGGTCCGTGAAGAACCTGCCCGATTTTTTTGACACGATCTCGCCGCTCCTGTCGACGGAGGGCAGCGTGCTGTACATCAAGGGCGGGGACCTGGAGGAGGGCGTCTCTGCGCCTTTGGATTCGTGGGCCGTCGCCGATTTGCTGGGCGGCGTCGTCGACACGGACAAGGTCGCGCTGCACTTCGCGGGCGCGGACGTGGCGGGGCCGCGGCGGCGGCGATGATATAATTGTTGGCTTGTTTATTCAGAGTGAGAGCGAGTCGGTATATATTCGGCTGAAAAACCCGTTACAGCGTCTGAGAGCGCGTGCTAGTCTACACAGTCAGAGCTCTGCATCGCTGCACCATCATCGGTGCATTTCGCATTGTCTAAGGCCACAGCAGTAGTGCATCTCGCGGTCCTGAACTGTGGTTGCAACAGCGGCGCTTGATATTGCTCACACAAGCTGTGCAGCAAAGGAGAGCAGTCATCAATATATCAGCAGTCGTTGAAATTGCTCACACAGTCCTGCAGCAGGGAGAGCAGCACACTGAAAGTCATCAATCACAGTCGTACGCATGTCAATCTTACGCATGGCAGCGCTGGCCATGTCCACGACCGCTCTCAAGGCGCCGTCCGCCGCGAAGCTGGCTTCCCTGCTGCCGACGCGGCCGCAGCCGCCGGCGCCGTCGACGGCGCGCGAGCTCGACGGCGCGGCGCTCGTCGGCATGACGCGCGTCGGCGAGGCGGTCGTCGCGCCGGACGGCAAGCGCGCGGTGCTGTCCACGAAAGAGTACGACTTCAAAGCGAAGAAGTTCGACGAGACGCTCTGGATGGTCGACCTGGACAAGGCCGCGGCGCTCGGCGACGACGCGCTGCGGAAGCACGAGCACCTGACGCCGCTCGTCAGCGGCTCGGCGTCGGCGCCGTGCTGGTCGCCGTGCGGCGAGTGGATCGCGTTCCTCAGCGACCGCGAAGACGGTAAAGACGACAAAAACAAGGCCAAGACCGCCGTCTGGCTGCTGCCCGCGTCGCGGCCCGGCGAGGCGACGCTCCTGAAGCGGTTTCCCGTCGACGTGTCGGACCTCGACTGGACGTCGGACGGCCTCGTGGTCGCGGCCCGGGTCTACGTCGACGGCGACGACGCCGGCATGGCCGCGACGGCGGCGCGCGACGAGGAGATCGAAAAAAGGGGCGGCGGCCTAGACGCGCACCTCTTCAAGCGGCTGCCCGTGCGCGAGTGGGACCGGTGGCTCGACGCCAAATTCGCGCATCCCTTCCTGCAGCGCGTCGAGCGGCGCGACGGGAGCTACGTGTGCGTCGGCGATCCCGTCGACGGGCTGCACCGCATCCCGACCAGCTGCCCGAGCGGCGCCTTCGGCGGCAAGGGCGACTGGGCCGTGCACGGCCGGGTCGCCTTCTCGTGCCGCCCGCCGCTCGCCGAGGACGAGGCCTGGACGACGAACCGGCACATCTATACGAAGGGCGGCTTCGAAGGCGAGGAGGCCACCTGCTTAACGGAAGAGAACCCGGGCTACGACTTCGCGCCGGTCTTCAGTCCCGACGGCTCGCAGCTGGCCTGGCTCACGATGGCGGGAGGCAACTACGAGTCCGACGCCGTCGGCGTCCGGCTCCACGACGTCAAGGCGGGGACGACGACGGACCTGTTGGTCGCCGAGCAGGACTTCGCGTGGAGCCCGCAGTCGCTCGAGTGGGCCAAGGACGGCACAGCGATATACTTCCACGCCGACGTGAAAGCGAGGCGGCGGCTCTGCTCCATTTCGCTGACGGGCGCCATCACGATTCTTGGCGACGACGACGCCGGCTCGACGACGTTGCAAGGAGAGAGCGCCCAGGGGCTGCTCGTGGCGCGCGACTCGCTCTCGCGACCGGCGGAGCTGGCGCTGCTCCGCGAGGACGGCGCGTCGGAGCGGCGCATCACGTTCTTCAACGACGCCAAGCTCGCCGCCGTCGACCTCGGCGCGGTCGAGGACGTCAGCTACCGCACGGACCGTCCCGGTAGGGAGTCGCCCGACGGCGCGGACGTCCAGGCCTGGCTCATCCGGCCGGCGAACTTCGACGAGGCGAAGAAATACCCGCTCTGCGTCGTGGTCCACGGCGGCCCGCAGGGGTCGACGGGCGACGACTGGCACTACCGCTGGAACCTGCAGTGCCTCGCGTCGGCCGGCTTCGCGGTGCTCGCGCCCAATTTTCGCGGAAGTACCGGCTTCGGCCACGCGTACTGCCGCGACGTCTCCGGCGACTGGGCCATCGGGCCGGACGACTCCGTCGCGGGCGTCGAGCACGCGCTCGCCACGTACGCGTGGCTCGACCCGGCGAAGGTCGTGGGCCTCGGCGCGTCCTACGGCGGCTTCTCGATGAACTATCTCAACGGGAACGCGCCGAGGGACATGTTTTGTGCATTGGTGAACCACGACGGTTTGTTCGACATGCGGTCGGGCTACTGGTCGACGGAGGAGCTCTTCTTCATGGAGAAGGAGTTCGACGGGCCGCCCTGCGCCGCCGCGGCCTCGGACCCGTCTAGCCCCTACAACGTCGCGTCGCCTTCCCTGAAGGTCGCCGAGTGGCGGACGCCGACGCTCGTGATCCAGGGCGACAAGGACTACCGCCTCGTGACGTCCGAGGCGATATCGACGTTCACGGCGCTGCAGCGCCAGGGAGTCGCGAGCGAGCTCCTCTTCTTCCCGGACGAGAACCACCACTGCCTCAACCCGCAGAACTCCCTCGTCTGGCACGACGCGGTCCTCGCGTGGTGCCGGCGGTGGACGTAAGTACACGCATACAATTAGTACTTCAGCGGCCTGGCACGACGCGGCCCCCGCGTGGTGCCGGCGGTGGACGTAAGTACGCACAAACATTAGTATTTCAGCGGTCTGGCACGACGCGGTCCTCGCGTGGTGCCGGCGGTGGACATAAGTACACAAATACATTAGTACTTCAGCGGGTGCCACGCGTCGACGATAATATAGCAAGCCAGCGCGACGAGCACGAGCGGGATCGGGACCTTCGCGACGCACGCCGACGCCCTTTCAGAAAATTCGAGCAGGCTCCCGACGCAGAAGGCCAGCGCCACGGCCCCGAGCGTCGTCCCGATGACGAGGTCGACGCCGGGAATCTTCCCCGACACCGCCACCGAGAAGTAGACGACCAAATCGTCCATCGTCCCCAGGAACGCCACGACCAGAATGTCGCGCTCGCTCCGGCGCTCCTCCGCCGTTTTCAGGAGGGGCTCCTCCTCGTCTGCCACGCAGTCGCAGCACGCGCTGATTTTCGTGAGCGCGTCGGCTACGGCCGATTCCTCCTCCTCCTCGTCGTCCTCGTCGTCCGGAGGGCAGCAGGGGAACCAGCCGTCCTCGCGCGCTGTGTACAGAGCGTACAGCACCAACAGCACGCCCGCAGCCGTGCCGATGCCCTCGTCGGCCCGCCGCTCGGCCGGCGCGGCGATTCTTCGTATACCCAGCGCGAGGCCGGCCGCGATGCACGTGATCAAGACCACTGTTGTTACGTACTTTGCAGCCACTTTGGCCTTCGCCGCCGCGCCTCTTGCCTTGGCCAGGAAGGGCGAGAGCCAGACGCAATCGTCGGCCCCACAAATAAGCTTGAGGACGACGGCGGCGCCGACGTAGACGGCGTGGCGGGCCGCGAAGTCCTTGCCCATGGTTTTTTTTACGGAGGGGCAGCCATGCTGTGCGCTTGCCGTCGTTTGGCAGCTTGGCAGCTTGGGAATCAGATTTCGACGCTAGTATGTCGACGGACGCTAGGTCCAAACAATAGTTGACCACGCGAGGCCGCCGGACCGGAAAGCAGGGCTCGCGAGCTGAAGAACCGTCGGTTTGGAGCAGCCCACTATCCATAGGATCAGTTGCACCCATCTTCGAGTCATCAAAATGCCGCGTTTCACTCTTTTTTTGACATGCGTGTCACTCACGACTGCGTACCAGCTCTCGGTTCGTGCGCCATCGGTGCGCGCGACGGCTGCGAGAGCTCTGCGCGCGACGCCGGATGACACGACGCCAACAGAACCGGACGACGCACCAGACGCCGTCGCCGAAGCGAAGGACGCATTATTACAAGCCATCGCGGGAACCGACCGAGGATTTAAAAAAGACAAGAGCATGGCCGCATCCGTGCGCAACGCGATCCACGCGTTGTCGGACGCCGCGCAGGACCTGACGCCCGTGCCGCTCGACGGCGACTGGACGCTGCTCTGGACGGACGCGCCCGATATTACCGGCCTCGGGTCCTCGCTCCCGTTCGCGCCGACGCTGGGCCGCATCGGCCAGGAGATTTCGGCCGCGGACGGCACCGTGGTGAATGTAATAGAGTGGCGGCCCGCTTCGCTCCTCACGACTTTGAGATCGGAGCTGTCCGAGGACTCGGTGGAACAGCGCGTCGTGACTGGATTTACGGAGGCCACGCCGGGCGACGTCAAATTGGTGCTCAAGGGCGCGGGCCTGCGGCCGCGGCGCGTGCTGAACCGCGATTTAGAGCTGGGCCCTTACGACACGACCGGTTTGTTTTCGCTACCCTTCGGGGAATTCAAGGTCCTCTACAACGACGGCGCGCTGCGCGTCGTCAAGACTGGCCAGAACTTCTACTCTGTCAACGAGCGGTACTACGGCAAGTAAGTTTGTGAATGTTAATGTCATCGCTCGGATAATCTCTTGACCAGAGCCTTGCGCTGCGCGCGGAGCCACTCGCTCCCGCCCGCGTCGACTCCGTCGACCTCGCAGAGCAGCTGTGTCAGCATCTCCTGGCCCGCAGCGCTGGCGGGGTCCGCGACCGCGTCGGCGCGCGCGGCCAGCTCTGCGAGCTTCTGCACGCCCGCCTTCTCCGCGTGATAGTGCGCCGTGTGCATGATCATCATCTTCCTGCGCGGTGGAAACGTCGCGTCGATGGCGTATGAGCTGACCGACGCGTGAAGGCCCCTCGGAGGACGCCGGGCGCCGGACGTCCGGTCCCGGATGCCGGCGGCCTCGAGCGATAACTGCGCCGAGGACTCGTCCAGGTTCTTGCCGCGCGCGACCAATTTGACGTGGCGTCTCGAGACGCCTCCGCCCATTTCCTCCGCGCATTTATCGAGGAGTCTCCCCACGGTCTCGCCGTTCTCGACCTCGAGCTCCAGCGATTGGCCGCAGCCTGTGAGTTTCAGGCGGACGACGCCGATGTTGTCCATCGCTTGTATGCGTCGGTCTTGTTTGCGCTGCAGTCTCGCGCCGCAGAGCACGCTCTCTCTGGGTTTGCTCTCTGGGTTGCAAACGGAGAAAGCTCTCAACGTTGCAAGCGCTCTAAAACGAGCTGACTGGAAAACAGAACAACAAGGTAGCAGCTCTATGCCCAACCCGCGTGCTCCACACAGCCCCAGCTTGGTCTTGCTAGTGTCTTACAGGCCGCTAGCTCGCCAACAAACAAAGGAGAGTCAGGCGACTTCGACTCGTGAAATGGACCCGTAATAATCGACGACTAGAGACAGGTTCTCCCCGGCGCGAAAGTTTGCTCTTGTTAGACCCAACTTCACAAAAAGGTGGCCGTCCACGGCTCAGATTTACGCGAGGAGCCAGGAGTAAGCCCTCAGGTGGCCCCTTTCCTCAATTTTATCGACGCGGTGTCCATTCGTTCGACGCTGCAGACAGCGAGGCTGAAAAACCTGACCTGTTGTCCACAGTATCCTCTTTTTGCAAGCGTGGCGAGACGTTTTGAGTCGCGAAAAAGTCATCATCACCATCCATGAGCCGCGAGACGAGCGACAGAGACGAGGTCCCGTCAACCGCAGCTTGTGCGAAGCCATGCGCCGTCCCGGTCAGCAGCGCGCGAGCCATCCCCACGACGCTCGATCCGTCGGATCCGCCGCCAGCCGGTCCGCTGCCAACGCCCGCCGCCATCGCGGACGCCGAGGTAGCCGAAACCGCCGAAGTCGACGCGGTCCTCGACGCGTGGGCCGCCGGCCCTGAAACGCCCCCGGCCGCCCAAGAACTCCGGCAAACGATCAGGCGCGCCCGCAGCACGAGCGACGCGAAGGATTCGCCGACGCCGTGAGCACTTTTTGTCCATACCTCCACCCCACTCTTAACTCTCCTCTGAGTTAGTTCACGAGTTCACGATATCGGCTAGAACTATCGGCTTCGTGCCATCAAGCATACATGACAGGGGTAACGTCGTCGCGCGTCGTCGACAGCGTGGGGAAGATAACACAAAGCGCCTTATACTACCTCCCGCTCCCAAACGTCGTCCCCGGCTGCGCCATGACGCGCCGCCCCGACGTCTCCGCGCGCGTCGGCGACCGCTGCGGGATGTCGTCGCGGGGCTCCTGGCGGCCGCCCAGGACGTAGCGCAGCGCCCGCACGGATTTCGGTAGGAGCGTCGGATTCGGCGGCGCCATGTGGCCGACGTCGCGCGCGAGCTGGTCGCGCGAGAGGCCCACGACGTTGCGGCTCCGGCGGAGCCGCTGCGCCGCGTTCCAGCGCCGCGCCGTCCGCGTCGCCACCGCCACGAGCCCCTCGTGCGACGGGTTATCCGGGTCGTGCGACGCGAGCGGGAGCGGGTCCTCTTCAAACAATGGAGGCGTCGGCGGCTTGGGCTTCGGCGGCGACAGCGCGCGCGTCGGCGACGCGCGGGCCCGAGCCGTCGTGTCCGCGCGCGCGTCGGCGACGCGTTGTGCTCGTTCCCGCTCGAGTCTCAAGTCCTCCTCGTCCCCCAATTCGTTGGGCGGCCAGTGCGGCGTCCAGAGGCCGGACGTCGGCATGCGCAGCGGCGCGCGGCCCGCCGTGCTGAACACGGACCCTTGTTTGGTCGGTGATCGGCCAAATGAACGCGTCGGCGTCGCGTGCGGCTTTGATAATAAAGAGGGCGTCTTCTTCGCCGGCGCGACGCGGGCGTCCCGTCCGTAGCCCGACGACGGCGGCCGCGGTTCCACGATGTGCGCTTCCGGCCTCTGATCCCAGGCCCGCGCCTCCGCGAGCGCGGACTTGCGCTTCTGCCAGGGCAGCGTCCGTTTGACCTTGCGCGGGTCGTCTGATACTGGTTGAGGCGCGACGGCCGGCATCATGGCCGCCTTTAAGGCAGCTTCGCGAGAACAAGCATCTAGAAAGACGAGCAACCCCGGCGTGTCCGACACACCGACGCCCGCGGCGACAAGATTCACCTTGGGAATGCCGTGGGCCTCCATGATGTTGGTCACACGCTTCGCTCGCCTTTTAGCGAGACTCCGAGCCGTTCTTCGTTGTAATCGAGTCATCTCGTGCAGCGGCACCTTGGACCGCAGATGACATTCCACAGTAACGGTCAGAGGCTGGTCGAAGTCCTCGCACTCCTCGAGGGCGACCTGGCACACGATGGCCAGGTTCGCGACCTCTTCCACATCATTCGCACTCTTCAGGATGTCCGTGTTGCGCTTGAATTTCAGCGGCCGCGGCATGTGCATCGTGCCCTTTTCGACGGACGCGACGTACCCGTAGACGCGCCCCGCCTCGAGGCCCTTGTGCTGGTCCACCCTTAATTCGTCCAGCCGCTCCTTGATGCACTGGTCGATGGTCGGGCCCTCCTCGACCTCGAACATGGGCTCGTCGGTCGTCGACGCCGACCGACTCCGGTCCCGGGATCTCGACCGTCTTCTAGTGCCACGCGACGACCGCCGAGAAGATCTGCGGGAGGACCGCCGCGACGCGGGCTCGACCTTGGTCTCCTCCTCGTAGTCGGCCCAGATTCTAGAACCAGACACGTCGGAGCCGGGGCTGCCGAAGGCCTCGGCCTTGGAGAAGCGCGCGTCCGTCGCGTCGTCCTCGACCTCGATGACGACATGCGCCTCCTCTTGGATTGATGGGGGCGCCGGCGCCGGCGCTTGGGCGGGCTCGGGCGCGGGAGCTTGGACGGGCGCCGGCGCGGCCGCCGGCGCGGGCGCCGGCGCCGGCGCCGGCGCGGCCGCCTCGTAGCACTCGTCGTCCTCCACGAACGACCAGCGCGAGGCCCGGTAGTCCGTAAATCCATCCAAGTTCTGCGACAGCGCGTCGGGCGACGGCGGCACGGGCGACTGCGGCACTTGTTCCTCCTCATCAGACTCGGGCTCCGAGTAGCCCTCGAGGTCCGCGAAGAAGCCCTCGGCCGGCGGCGCGTCCTCACCATCAGCCAACGACATGGACATCCACGACGAAGATGCGGTCTCCTCTGTTAGTAAAGAGTCGGAGGGCGGCCCGAAGACCACTTTTTCCTTCTCGCGCGGCTTGTCAAACGGTAATTTCGCCTTCTCGAGGCGGTCGGCGTCGCGCTCCATCGCCGCCTCGGGGAAAGCCGCTTTCAAGTTGAACATGTGCTCTTCGGGGGGCGGGCCCGCATCACTTAACTCGGGAATCTCGGCGCGCTCCGTCCGGAAGACCTCCATGGCCTTGGCGTGGATCGCGACGAAGGCCGCCTCGGCGGCGTCGTCATTTTTACCCACTAATCGCTTCTGCAACCTCAATAACCGCAGGAACCGTTCCTCGCGACTCGGTTCGAGCTGCGTCCCCTCCTGCCAGTTGTTCCAAGTCAACAACTGCAGGAAGGGCGGCTTCCACCGCTGCGCTGAATCCAAGCCCGCATCTAACGTCTTCCCGCGGTGCGGCCCGATGAAGCCTCGCCTAGGTCCATCGTTGCCCTCCGCATAATAGTCCCGATACGAGGGAAACGCGCTCCCCATCAGCGCCGCCGGATCTTCATAAAAGTCGTCGACAAAATCCCCCACACCTCTTAAGGTACACTGCGGCTGCATTTTTCTAGGTAGCCACGCGTACAGCCCCACGTCCACGGCGTGCGCCTCCTGCAGCGCCGACCCCTGCATCGCTAATAATTTCGGCCGCTTCTCCAGGTCCGGGAAGACCTTTTTGCAGACCTCGTCCCAGACCCTCGCCTTCGTGATTTTTGTGGGGCCCAGTAGACAAACGACCGGTTCATCGAACGTACCGTGCCTGATATACGCCGACTTGTCGAAGTAATGGTCCCGCAAATACACGAAATCCTTCGCCAATGCGTCGACCAAGGCTGCCTCTTGCTCCATCACAGAAGCGGTGCTATCGAGGGAACTGCGCCAGGTCTTCTGGCCACTGGCGGCAAACGCGCCGCGGTCGTCCCAGCAGATCGTGAACTTCATGCCCTCCTTGCAGCACTCCTCGAGCAGCACATCCGCAGCTCTCAGATTGTGTTCCGCGTAATAGCTATCTTGCGTCCCGAACCACCGACAGACCACACCTTTGATACCAGCTTCCTTCATGAGTAGCAGGTGGTACCTGACCACTCTTCGGTCTCGTCCGTCGTAGGGACCGATGATGGGCGACCAGTGCGCCGCGATGCTCCCGTCGCCCCCGAATCGGAACCCGTTGTCCTTCAGCGTCCAGTGGAAGCCGACCTCCGTCTTCTCCCGGTCGAACTGGTACCACGGCAGGTAGTGGGCCAAGGTCATCGTCGTCTTCTCGAACTCCACAGCCAAGCCCGCATAGTCGATGACCTCCTCCTCGTCGACCTTCTCGACCTGGGCCGCCATCTTGCGTGCCGCCCGGCGCTTCTTCTTCTTCTGCTCTTCTCGCTGTCTTCTTAGGCGCTCGCGGCGCGCGTAGGGCGACTCGGGCCCGGCCTTCTCCGCCGGGGCACCACCGAGCCCGAGCGCCTTGAGCAATTTCCCGCAGCAGCCCTTGCCCTCCTCCCGCTCCTGGGCGGCCCGCTGCCGGTCCGCCAGCGTCTTGGGCCCTCTGTCGAGCGACTTCCTCTTCTTCGCGTACCGCTTCGCGTTCCGTTCGCGGTTGATCTTCGCAATTTTCAGGGCCTTCTCCTTGCGCATGCGCTTCTCGGACTTGACCTTGACCTCCTCTCCGACCAGCAGCGGCGCGCGCGTCTCGGGCGGGCCCTGGCGCCGCTGGATTTGCTTCGAAGGTATCCTGGTCTCCGTCTCGCCGTCATCATATGCGACATCATAAAACCGCTTTTTTTCTTTCCGATCTAAATGAGGCACGACTCTTCCTTTTTCATTTCTCAACGCGGTGATGACCCCGGGCCAGCTCTTCTTGCGGCAGCCCGCGAGGCACTTGCCCCCGAAATACCCAGCAATCAAAATGAAGGCGACGGCCGCGCCGGCGGCGTAGGGGCGCCAATCGACGACGGGCTCGCAGCAGTCGTCTTTGTTCGACGCGCAGCAGACGTCGTCCGCCATGCAGTCCCAGGTGTCCCACTTGGGCGTGGCCTCCTTCGTACCTTCTTCGCATTGGCCCTCAAAAATCTGGGAGCTGCACACCTTGCATCTTGTGAGAGTGGGGTACTCCGTGGGCTGCGGCGTGGGTATGAGCGAAGGCGCGCCGGACGGGACGGGCGTCACCGTCGGCACGGGCGAGATCGAGGGCGCCGGCGTCGGTACGGGCGTCGGGAAGGGGCAGATCCCGGTCCCAGTCCCGGACCCCTGCGTGTCGACGCCGCAGGGCGGCGTCGCCGACTCGCACATCGTGCCCGAGAACGCCGAGGTCATATCGACACTTGAATGCAGGCACCAGCCCAAATCCTGGTTGAAGGCCGAGGCGTAGAAGAACATGCCCTCCATGCTCGTGACGCGGCGCGGGTCCCAGGCTTGCAATCGTTGTCTAAAGTTCGTGCAGTATTTAAACATGTCCTTCATGTTCGTCACCTTGTCGACGACCCAAAATTCAATAGGTTCGTTGAACGCAGCTTGCGACGTGCGCGCGACGCCCACCAACCCCGCGTCGGAGAAGAGGCCCTCCATGTCCGTGACCTCGGCAACATTCCAGCACTTCATCGGACCATATATAGATTCCGCCGTGCTCTTGTCCTCCCAGAACCGCGCGACGGCGTCGCGCAGCGTCGCGTTCGTGAAGACCGGAGACGTGATCTCCCGGCGGCACTCCTCCTCCATGGCGCTCTGGCCGTTCACGACCGCGAGCGCGGCTATTACTAGCAGGAGCCGCATCGGCGCTCGTGCGCCCATCATTTCAACGGCTTGGGGCAGCCATGGCCATCGTTTCGCCGGCTCTCCGGACGCGATCGACCTTGGCGCTGCGAGCAAGCTAGAGTGTCAATACACTAATTACTTCGTGTCAATGCCTCTCTCGCCATACCTCCATTTCCAAGTATATACCTGCCGAGCGAGGCATGGGCACTCCCGTCTTTTGGCAGCTTTATGCATCTGCTTTATGCTCTCGGCCTGGCATGGCCGAAAGCCACTAAAATCGTGCACGTCTCTCGCGCACGACTAGCATTGCTCGCGGACGTGCGCAGGAAAACGCGATAACCTCCAAATTGCTGCCTGGGGCAGCGCAACACCACATTACCGATGGCAGCCTATGAGGAAGACCTGGAGGCGCGAGTGCTGGCAGCCCTCGCGCGAGCCGACGCCGCCGAGGCGTCGGGTGCGGCGGCAAACGCGCGCGCCGCGGCGCTCCAGATGCGCCTCGACGCGAACGCGCATGCCGCCCAGCGCCTGTTGCGCGTGCGCTTCCGCCGCGCGCCGCCGGTCGCCATTTCGATGCGTCGCGCGACGCCGGTGAAGTGGGAGCTCGACGTCACCGACGACCAGGGCACGACGGTGCCGGCGGTCGACGTGGAGGTGCGGTGCCGCGTGGACGGCGCGCCGCACCCCGTGACGACGACGCGTATGAAGGAGCGGTGGCTCTGCAGCGCGCCGGCCGCGGCGTTCACGGACCGGTGCCGCGTCGTCGCCGAGCCCTGGGTCGCGGGGAAGCGGGCGGGCCCGCTCGACGTGCTCGGCGTCGCGGCCGAGGTGCGCGTCGTCACGGGCAGCGGCGACGACGCGCCGACCTTCGAGGCGATCCGGGACCTGAGCTTCGGAGATATTCAATTAGAGGTTGTAGAGGAGTTCGGCGACGCCTGCGGCAGCCACCTCTGGAACGCGGGCCTGGTCCTGGCGTCGTACGTCGCGACGCTCGACGAGACGAAGCTGCCCGACATCAATGATGGGGGCTTGTTCGTCGAGGTCGGAAGCGGCGTCGGCGCCGCGAGTCTGGCGCTCGCGGCTCGCGGCCTCAGCGGCGACGTGACGGACCAGGGCCGCGTGCTGGCGCTGCTCGAGCGCAACATCGAGCGGAACGGCGCCGGCGAGTTGATCCGGGCCGTCGCGTGGGACGTCGTGCGGGACGAGGTCCCGGCTTGGAACGTGCTCGGGTCCTGGAATGTGTTGGTCGCGGCGGACGTCCTCTACTCGGCGGAGGCCGCCGCGAGCTTGCCGGGCGTCGTCGCGGCGCTGCCGGACCTGCGCGAGATCTGGCTCGCGCACACGCACCGCGGCGCCGGGGACCGCCTCGATGCTACGATCGAGGCGCTGTCGGCGACGTTCCCCGTCGCGGAGGTCGTCGAGCGCGTCCGCGACACGCGCGTCGTGGTGCTGCGGAGGCAGTAAGCGTTGTATGTGACACACTTAATTCTAAAGGCCCAGACTAGTTACGTCGCGGGGTCCCCGTACCCCTCCCGCTCCCCGGTCTACTTGCAAGTGTCTTACATGCCGCTAGCTAATTCGAGCTCGAGGCTGAGGCAACGCAACACGTAGCAGTGGAGCAATACTCTTAGCTAGCAAACGCGTATATCCGAGAGAGCCACTTGTGTGCACAATAATTGCTGCCCTCGACTGGCAGCCATGGTGCGCCTCACCCTGGCCACAAGCTTGCTGACCACAGCATTTGCCCTGGCACCCAGCGTCGGCACCGTGGTCAAGGGCAATAGAAAAATCACTGTCATCGGTACCGCTCACACGCCCTCGAGGCGACAGCGCGAAGAGGTCGAAGCGCTCATCGCCGAGGTCAAGCCGGATGCGGTGCTCGTGGAGCTCGATGCCGAAAGACTTGAATTCGCCTGGAATCAGCCCGAGGAGGCCTACGGCGGCGAGCTCGCAGCCGCTGTCCGCGCGGCCCGACGCATCGACGCTCCTGTGGTGCTGGGCGACGCCTGCCGCCCGCTCCCCGCGGTTGTCGAGGCGCGGCCGCTCTTCGACCTCGAGCGGACGCGACGTGCGTGGCGATTGCTGGTGAAGAAACCCGTCGCCACGGGAGTGGGTGTGGAGCGCATCGACGTCGCGCAAGCGCTGGCGTCCGACCCCCGAAAGGCGCTGCCATTGCTGTTCGCAGCCAGCGTCGGCGCGGTGGCGACCGCGGCCACGGCGCAAGCCACCCCCATCGATGCGCCGGTCATCGAGGCAGCGGCGGACGCCGTCGCCATCGCCTCTTCGATAGTCTCGGCCCGCGTCGCGGACGTGTTGCTCGTGGCGCGTGACGATGTGCTCTCCGAGAACGCACTACGCGCACTAGATCTCGGTAGCCGCCTCCGGAGCTCGGCGTTGGAACGCCATCGCTTTCGCTTCGGCACGGATCCGGCCGAGTGCCGCTCGGCGGCGGCGCCGTTCTTCGCAAGTGAAGGACCAGAGCGGCCTTTTCTGACGCTACGGTCGCCGTTGAGCGTCGGCGAGCGCCGGCGCATGAACCTGTTCGAGCCGCGCTGGTTGGCTCTCCTCGACAACATCGCGGGTGAGAATGGCGGCTCGCTGCTCGGCGCGTCGCTCGCCACGATCCACGCGGCGAACCGCTGCTACCTGCGCGACGGCGACGGCGTCGACGCGGACGTTGTAGTTGATCCGCACGGGGCTTGCGTGGCGAAAATCGAGCGCGTCGAGGAGTCCAAGCGGCCTTCTGGGGCGCGGCGCGTCGCGGTGTGGCTCCGAGGCGTCGAGGCGGTGCGCGCGGAGGGGCTTGCTACGACCAACGCGGGTTTTCTCACCGGGCGAGTCGCTACCGACGCTTCTGACGACGACGAAGCGCCCGGAGGCGCGGCGTCCGTCGTCGCGGTCGTCGGCTTAGCTCACGCGAACCCGATCCTGGAGCGCTGCGCCGAGCGAGGATTGCTCTCTTCGCGCGAACGCGGCGGGATTGACCAGGAGGTGGCGCGAGCGATCGCGGAGCGAAAACGAGCCGCTGCGCTCGAGCCCCTTGCCTGGGAGGAGTACGACCGAGCGAATCGGTAGTTGTGTAAATTAAAATTAAGTGTGACTGGCAAAAACCTGTCAACGAACTAGCGATTCTCAACAAGAACGAACGCATACGTCCAGTAAGATGAAAATCTTACTCCGCGCCGCCCGCGGCCTGCAAAAGCCGCAATTCGGCAATCACGGCGTCGACGCCCCCCTTGAACTTGCGCCGCGCGTTGTACTTCTTGAGGTTCGCCGTGAAGTGCGGCAGGTGCACGGACGAGGCGTGCTCATCTGAAGAAATCCAGGGCGACGCGAAGACGCCCTCGGCGGTCATGCGCTCCTTCACGTCGACGGTCATGAGGCCCGACACGACGGCTCGAGCTTGTTGACTGACGGGGTCCCAGTAGGGCGCCTGGAACTCGTAGGCCCCGGCCTTGATCTGCTTGAAGATCGCTGCGGTCGAACCGTCCTCGTCGTAGAAGGGCGGGTAGCCCGCCAACAAAATGTAGAGGATCACGCCCAGCGACCAGAGGTCGCACTCCTTGCCGTACCCATGTGTCGAATCGGACGTGAGGATCTCGGGCGCGACATAGCCGGGCGTGCCGCAACTGGTTGTGAGTAGGTGGTCCGGCGTGATGAGCGAAGCCAGGCCGAAGTCCGCGAGCTTGATCACGTCGCCGTTCGGCGTGCCCTCGGCGTCCGCATACAGTAAATTTTCTGGTTTGAGGTCCCTGTGCACGACGCCGTGCTCGTGGCAGTGGCCGATGGCTTCGACGCACTGCGAGAAGCAGAACCGCGCTTCCCTTTCACTATAGTGCTCCTTCTCCACCACTCTATCGAACAACTCCCCGCCCTTGCACAGCTCCAGGACCATGACAAATTTGTCCGCATGTAAAAAGCACTCGTAGAGGTCCACGATATTCGGGTGCTGGACTTTCCGCATTGTTTGTAATTCAACATGCAACGCCTCGATGTCTTCGTGTCCTAATGCCCGTTCATCAATAATCTTGACGGCCCTTGTTATCGACTTGTCTGAGAGTAACGTGCCTCGATGGACCACCGCGTACGCGCCCTTGCCTAATTTTCGGCCCAGCTTGTACATCGACTTCACGTCCTTCTTCAGGACGCTCTCGTCACCAGCGAGCTCGGCGTTGAACGTGTCCACAGGGGCCATGGTCCTGCTGAGGAGTTCAGTAATGGGATCGGACGAGGCCGGGGCAGCTTCCGCACTCAGAGGGCTGGGGAGCGAGCCGTGCGGCGCGAGCCGTGGGTATGACAGCTGCGGACTGCCGTAGCGTGCGGCGGGTCCCCAAATTGGCAGCGTTGCGACAGGCTGACCCCGCACTAACCAAATGCTAGTGCCCGGGCGTGCTGGGACCGCATCGCACGGCTCGGGAGCCGATACCGAGCGCGGCGACGGGTCGCTGCGAAACCCGCGAGTACGCGACGATTTTTATCGAAGCTTAAGCCGGCATCGCATCGTCACAGAGACGCACGGCTTGCTTGCACGCCATCGCCGCGCGGCAGCACTCCTTGCCGTGACACCATTCGTCGCTGCCCGGCGTTGCACGGTACTGGAGTTAAGCTGCCCACTGGCTGCACACCAGGCGACTGGGATGGGTCTCAAGGCAGGCGACGTGTGCTACATAAGAGCGCGCAACGGCGCGCTCATGCGAGAAGCCAAGGAGCTCTCGAGTGATAAACTAAAGGAGCTGCCCGCGCGCACGACCGTCAAGGTCGTAGGACAGTCCGTGACGGTCGGCGACGCCGAGCGTATCGAGGTCGAGTGCGCCGGCGCGCGCGGCTGGGTCTCCACCAAGGTACTCTCGGAGCCCCAAACGAGCAATGGCGGAGACAAGATCCAGACGACGCTCCACTACCGGGAGGGCGACGAGCCAACTCGCCACCACTCGCTCAAGCTCACGATCCCGCCGCGCTGGGTCACGGATAAAGCACCTCTACGCAAGCTCTGCGCGGCCTTCTGCGACAACTACTCGAAGAAGCACCCGCAGCATAAGTTAGACGCGGAGACGCACCGGCTCTGTTTAGGTGATGGCACGGTGCTCTCGCGCGCGGCGATGATCACGGCCGACGTGTCCGCCGATTTGTACGTCGTGCCCGAGGCCGCGGCGCTGGCGCGGCAGCCGCCGCCGCCGCCTCCCAAGAAACCGGCCGCAGCACCACCACCGCCACCGCTCGACGGCGGCGTGGCCCTCGACATTCCCCGGCGCGCCCCAAAGCCCGTCGCGCGGCGCGCGTCGAAGGTCGAGGCCCTCATGCACGACGCCCAGAACTGCTACGACTTGGACGACTGTGCGGACGTCGGAGGTGGCGAGGTCGTGGACCCGGCGGATGCACAAAAAACGGACACGAAGGCCGCGCAACTGAAGGACCAGGGCAACAAGCACCTCGCCGCGAAGAAATTCGCGCAAGCCGCCAAATGCTACGACGACGCTCTCGCATTATCCCCGCCGCCGGTGGGCCGCCTCGCCGCTGTATTATTAGCGAACCGCGCCCAAGCTTTATTGTCGCGAGCCGCGGTCGCGGACGCGACGCGCCTCGACCGCGCGTCGACCTTCGCCGCTTTGAGGGACGCGGCCTCTTGTGCTACCGAAGCCCGGGCGGCCGACGAAACCTATGATAAGGCCTGGTACCGGCTAGGTTTGGCGAACTTGGAGCTGGCGAAAAGATGTCGCGGCGGCGGAAAGGGCGCCCCGTTGCCGGACGAAGTCATGACGCGCCTGCGCGACTCGGTCAAGGCCTTGTCCAAGGCCGCGCGACTCTCGCCGAAGGTCAAGGCCATGCGCGACGCCCACAAGGAGTGCAAGACCATGCTCGAGGTCACCGAGGCTTGCGTGAACGAGGCGCGGCTGCCGCCCTGCTACGACAAGGTGCCGCCCGTCGTCGCGAGTGGGAGTGGCATCGACGCGCGGGCGTCGACGACGATCCCCGTGTCGCGGCTGCGCTCGGGGGTTGTGGAGGCCACCGTCGAGCTGCCCGTGCTCTTAGCGAAGCGGTGGAACCGCAACAACAACGACGAGCTGGCGGTGTCCATCACGGTCTCGGACCACTGCGGTACCCAGTACATCACGTCCGTGGCCGAGGCCCTCGGGCCCGCCTGGACCGTGGGCGAGGGCTTGTTTGCCGGCAAGAAGTGGAAGGGCGGCTTCCTGTCCATCCCGGACCGAACTGGTGCTTTGCAAGGGTCGCCGAAGAACCACTTCCTGCTGCACCCGTCGTGCGTCGACGACGCCCAAATTGAGAGGTTGGTGGCCCTCGGCCTGTTGGAGGCGGACGTGCAACCGCCGAAGACGGTGCAAATGGACGCGCAGCACGACGCGATCGCGCTGCGCGTCTTCGCGTGTAGCTTCTAACTTGAAAATACTATTCACAGTTAAGATATCTATCAAGCCCAGCCAATGACGATGCGCAGACGTCGCACGGCGCCGCCCAGGCCGGCGCCTCAGGAACAGGAGGCACGTCGTCGTCGTCGCCCTCGGCGAACCAAGACAGGCCGCGCGCGATGCGCAGCGGGCGGTGGCCGTTCAGGTAGCCCCCCTCTTCCGTAGTTTCGGTGACGGGTTCGCCCGGCAACAAGGCACACACGAAGCACCCCGCTTGTCGTGCTTGGGCCGCGCCCGCCTCGGAACCGACGACGGCCAGCACCGTATTAGGGGAGAGTCCCCTTCTCTCACAAAAGTCTGAGACGGACCCGTCGGAACAATGGAACGCGCGCGACGTGCTCCCGCCGACGCCGCCGACCACCAGCTCCCCGCGCTTCCGCAGCCACGCCGGCGCCCCGCATTCATTCAATGCCCTCGCGTCGACGTCGACGTCCACAAAAACCACGCCCTTGAGCCGGTCGCGCCGGCACCGCGCCACCAGCGCGTAGTCGCCGCCGGGCGCCGTCCGTGGCGGGTCCTCGATATGTCTCTTCGATCTAACCAAGGCGATCTCGGGCGGGACCTGCTTCCCGTCGATCGTCCGCGCGCTCCGCTCCCTTAATGTTCTTCGCAGCACCGCGGACAGCGTCGCGCCGACCTTCTCCAGCGCGAGCGCGGGCTCCAACGGGTGTCGACTTAACCACGCTAGTAACAACGCGGCGGTGAGGTCCCCCGTGCCCGTATACCTTCCTCGCAGTCGCGGCAGCTCCAACACATACACCCTGCCCTTGAGGGATAAAAGCATGACGATGCGGTTCGGCACGTAATCAAGGGACGTGACGCAGACCTGCTCGACGCCTCGACTATGTAATTTGTTGATTGCGTTCACAGCATCACTTTCGTTCTTGATCGACGTGTCCGTTAAGAGTTCCAGCTCGAACTGGTTCGGCGTTAGTAGTGTAGCGAGCGGCACGACGTCCTTCTTATAGATCTCGACGAGCTCGGCCGGCACGTAGAGCTTGCCGTGGTCCCCAAGCACGGGATCGCAGACATATACGGATGAAGGACTCCTTTGTTTCACGAGCGTGACCAGATCTACGATCTTTCGCAGAAAAGTCGCGGACCCGATGTAGCCCGTTAGTATATGAGAATAGCCCTCCAGGAGTCCGTTCGCGTCGAGACCCGTCGCCAGGCCCCACAGGTCGTCCCCCCCCAGGACCTGGCCGCGCCACGTCGGGTAGCCCGTGTGGCAGCAGAACTGCACGCTGTTCACGGCGTCAGCCTCGAAGCCGAGCAGTTGTAACGGGAAGACCGCGGACTTGTTGCCCACGTAGCCGTGCGCAACGTGGCTCTGGACGGAGAGGACGCGCGGCTCGCGTTGTTCTGCGGCGAGGGCGGCCATCTTCTTTCGCTACTCTTGCGGCGCGCGCGTCCAGGCTGTCGCGGCTGCTACGGCGCGCGCGCGGCTGAGCACTGTATTGAAGTGCCACAGGCCTGAAGTCCTGTGCGCCTGCCCCGGGCTGCGCTGACCTCAAGAGCTGGTGCGTAACGTATATTAGCGAGGCTCGCGAAGCCTTCGGCGATGCGTAACTGTATCTAATGGCTGAAACGCCGCCTCCAGAGCCGCGGCGCAGTGATTCCTAGTGCCTTACGCCGCTAGCGCGCATCGGAAGTGCGCAACGAAGCGCTACGACGCGTCGACGGGGTATGTTATCCACAAAATTAAACAACAAGAAAAATCACGCGGCCGCCGCCTTGTCGCGGTTCCGCTCCATGACGTCCGGCGCCGCGAAGACCCAGTGGCGCACGACGGCGCGGCACCCCTTTTTGACGGGCTCGCGCGCGTGGTAACAGAGCTTCGACCGCCAGAGCACGAGCGCGTCGGCCCGCGGCTCGACGTGCGCGAAGTCACCATCTGGCGCCCTTTTCAAAACCACGTCGCCTCCCAATGTTTCGGGCGGCTTCGCCTTCGGGTCCGGATCTAACAAATGCGCGCGCGGGTCACCGCCGTCGACGAAGTAGAGCGCCGAGATGAGCGGCCGCGCGCCGTCTCCGTCGCCGTCGCAGAGAAACAAGTTGTTGTCGACGACGTGGTCCGGGTCTAAAACAAGAAGCTGGGGGCCCTTCGACGGCGGCGCGAGGGCCGCGCACGGCTCCCACTCGATCGGTAGGGCGGGCTCGAGCAGCGGCCGGACCTCGCGCGCGTCGGGTTTTGATGCCGCCGCCTGCGCGAAGGCCTCGGGCAGGCCCCGCAGCCTCTTCGCGAGCTCGGCGAGGGCCGGGAAGTCCGCGTCGAGCTCCGTCGGGTCGAGCCACGCGACGGCGCCGCGCGACGCCAACGAACCGGGCTCATCCCCATCGCAGACGAGCTGCTGGAGCCGCCGCGTCTTCTTTGTTGATGTCTGGCTCTCCTCTATTAAACGAGCCACATCGTCCGCGACGGCCGCGTGCCAGTCCTTGCCCAGGTAATTCGGGACGACGCACCCAACGCCGCCCCACGTGTCCGCGTCCGCGTCCAAGGACAGCGCCCGGCACGCCTGGCGCGGCAGCGCTTCGACGGACGACGGGAGCTCCACCACACTTTCCGTCGTCCCTTCGTGGGCGCACTCCTGGAATTCGCGCGCGTAGGCCTCGGCGACGATCTGCGGCCACAAGACCCGTTCGACCTCGGGCGGCATCGTCTCGCCCGCATCCTCGCCCTGCTTCTTCGCTCCTACCAGTACCGTGTGCGCCTTCCTTAATACAGACGGCCACCGCTTTTTTATGGATGAAGCGTAGCGCTCGTCATTCAGGAACTCGCAGAGCGTGCCCGGCAGGTCATTATCGTCAAAGCGCTGCGGGGGCTCGCCCGGGAAGATCATTTCCCGAAAATCCGCCTTGTTGCAAGCGAGCTTCGTGAAGTAGACGCACATGCCGTGCGCGTCCTGGAGGGCCGCGTCCTTGCCGTCAGCGGCGTCCCGGGCCATTCTTCTTAATCGCTCCAGCGCCAGCTGCGCGTCGCGCGCCTGCGCCTCGACGTGCGTCGGCGACGGCCTCGGCGCTTTCACTTTTTCGCCGTACAGCTCGGCGCCCGCCGCCTTGCACTTCTTGAGGAGGGCCCGCGTCGCCGCTGAATCATCCAACGCGTGGGCCTTCGCCGCGGCGATGCGCGCGTTCTTGTAGCTTTTCCGTTTCAATTCCGCCGTCGCGAATCGATACCAGGCCTTGGCGCTCTGCGGTTTTAGTGCAGTGGCCTGCTTCGCGTCGCGCGACGCCTGCAGCACGTTGTCGACGGCTAATAAGCACGCGCTGCGGTTGCACAACAAGAGAGCTTTTTCGTCGTCGTCGGCGTCGTCGAGCAGCGCCGAGTAGGTGGCGATGGCCGCGGCGTACTTCTTCTGCTTGAACAATGCGTTGCCGGCTTCGCGCGTCGTGCCGAGCTCGATGGGTTCCGTCGTCTCCTCGTCGCTGTCCGCGATGCCGTCGAACTTGGAGTAGTCGACCATTGTGGCCGCAGCGCTGCAGCAGGCGTGCTCAAACTCACGCAGGCCTGCTCAAATCGTGCAGGGCTGCGCTCCACGCGTCGCAGAGCCGTTGCGCGTTGCAGTATTGATGTTTTTGCTCCAGTTTTTACAAGCCAGGCTTGCTAGTGTCTTACAGGCCGCTAGCTTCGAGCTCTCCCGCCCTACTACATGGTGATCACCAATAATTACAGGACACACGAACGTGGTAGGAGAGAAGAGGAAGAATGAGGCCTGCGCCGTAGACGGTCGCGCGCGGGCCGCGCGGCGAACAAGCTGCCTGAGCCGCTTGTCCGGAGTCTCACGCGTATGTCGTCATCAGAGTCGTCGGGTTTGATTTTCATAGAACATCATCGAGTCCGGAGAAGGCGTCGTCGAAAGGGACGCGGGACACCTGCCGGCGTGAAAGTCACCGCTCGGTCACGGCGCGGCGGCGGACGATGCGGCACGATGCGTTGGGGGTCTCACGGCTATAAGATCGGCATCAACGAAAGCACCGCTTGTCCAGCGCGCTTCAGTATTTCAATCATGAATTTGGAAGCTCATCGACCCGCGACGGACGAGTCGAACGAAACGCTGAGACGACGGGCAGGTAGTGGCGGAGGCCGGCGCCGACGGCGCGCCAGTCGACTTTGCGTTCCGGGTCCTCGAGGCCGTCGACGGAGCCGTGCGCGTGCTTGGAGACGCCCGTCAGGAGCTCGTCGGCCGACGGGAGGGTGGTCGTTTCGGACATGGTCGTGGGCCTGCGCGAGGCGCGCGGTCGGGTCGCGTCGGCGCGGTGCGCGCATCTCGGCCGGCGAATCGATGCAAAGCTTTAGAGTCTGGTTACAATCGTTAAGTTCACGGGTCGAGGCGAACTCGACCTCGTATGTCAGAGGTGTGATTAGGTTTCTCGTCCTTAGCCAGTTGAAGTGAGCGGGTTGCGCGGCGTGGACCGCGCGCGCCTATAAGTGACGCCGCGTGCTCGCGCTTTTATTAAAAAATGAGCAGGTGAAGACTTGCTCTGATTGATGACTAAGGTCAGCGGTTTCACTCACGGCGAGGCGAGTTTGTTGCTCGCGTTGTCGAGAAGTATCCCCACGGTCTCGGCGGGGCGTCGTGCGCCGCGACGCTGTCGTCGGCTCGCTTTGCAAAAAAACAGGTGCTAACGGGCTGTAAGACACTAGCCTTGAGCCAGTTGATGGCCACAACCGACGCCACCGTCCAGAGCACCAGATCGGGGGCTGCCCCGGTGCCGTGGACGGACGTACAGCGTCTTGGAAAGGCGCTTGCTCGCACGGTGCCGCACACGCGTCCTGTATCGTCCAGCACCAGCTGCTCGACCCAAAGTCTTGGAGGCTGCCCAACGCGGCAATGCGCCTCCTGAAACTCCGCCGCCGCCAGCCGACGGCGCCGGCCTTCGGCGCCGCGCGCGGGCCGCGCTTCGTCCACGCGACGACGGCCGGGACGGACGGAGGCTACGGCGCGCGCGACTGGCTCGCGGACTGTCGAGCCCTGAAGCGTCGCCGCGACGCCGTCGACGCGGCGCGCGAGGCAGAAAACAACGCTATTGCGGACGGCCACGTCTGCGCGACGACCATGAGGAGGTGGCGGCGGCGCGCGCGCATCGGCGCGATCTGGCGCCGCGCGCTCTCGCGGACCGGCGTGCTCAGCGGCTGGATGAAGTGGCGCGCGGCGGACCGGGACCTCGCGCGGCTCCGGGACCTGGGCCGACGAGCTCTATCATTACTGAGGAAGAAGTGCGGCGACGGGCGGCTCTTCGCGAAGTGGATAGTACAGACGCAGAAATGCAGGGAGGGCTCGCGGTTGTCGGCCGCTCTTCACAAAATCGCGCGCCGCAAGATGAGGCTGGCGCTGCGCTGCTGGAGAACCAGGCTCGAGGTCCTACGAAGGAACGCGCGTTTGCTTGGAAATGCATGCCGGAGGTGGCGGAACCGCGTCGGCCTCGCGCGGGGCTGGAGCCGCTGGCGGCGTTTTATCGTGACGGGCAAGGTCACGAAGCGGCTCTTGCGACTGAAGCTCGCGCAAGGGTTCGGACGGTGGGCGCAAGTCAGTAAGGACCTGCGGGCCGCCGAGCTCCGGAAGAACGAATGCGCGAAGCGCGTCGTCGAGGTCCTGTTCCGCTACCGCGGCCGGCAAGAACTTAGATGCGCGTTCTTTACGTGGCGCCGCGCGCTCCCGCCCCCCGCGCCCCGCAAGGCGCGGCCGCGGCGCCGCCGCGCCAAGCCCACGCGCCAGGCGCGCGTCGGCCAGTGCTCCTGCGTCTACGGGACGAGCGCGGGCTTCTCGTGCACCTGCTCCAAGAAGTCGCACACCGAGCGGCGCCTCGACATGCTGCGGCGCAAGGTCGACGGCATGCTCGCCGACGGCCACGCGAACCTCCCGAAGCCTCCGCGGTCCGAGCGCGCCAGGCGCGTCCACCTCGCCGGCTCGGGCCGGTTCCACGCGTTCCTCGACGTCGCGAACGACCCCCAAAGAAGCTGGGACGCGCTGCGCGAGAAGCGCGGCGACGCCGCGGCGGAAACGCTGCGGAAGTCGGTCGACGCGGCGCGCAGACGCGTGCCCGGCGCGGACGCGCGGCTCCTCGACGGGCCGCCGACCGTGGAGCGCATGAGTCTCGAGGGGGCGGAATGGCCGCGGGGGAGGCATGGGAGGTCATGGTGGTAAGCTATACTGGTCTTACGCTTCGCTCGACGGCGTTTCTTCGCGAGCGCGGAGCGCCGCTCGCGCTCGCGCTTGTCGCAGGAGCGTTTCGAGAACTGATGTGATCGGGTTCGCGCCGCCCATCACGCGCCGCGCGATCCGCTCCGCGTCCTCGAGCGTCGTCACGGCCTCGTGGATATCGTCGAGCGTGGCGCCGTTGTCTTTGTAAAGCGTGCACGCGTACACGGACCTCATCTTCAGCGTGAGTTCGTGACTCTCGCCGAGGACGCGTCGTGCCACGGGCACCTTTTCGCGCAACAGAGATCTGGCTTCTTCGAAGCGCTTTAGATTCATAAGGGACGAAGCGTAGTTGTTGGCTGTTTGGAGGGTATCATGGTGATTTTCGCCATTGAGCTTTATAGTTCCAGAGTATACGTCTCGTTCGATCCGCAAGGCCTCAGCTTGTTGTCCGAGTACAGTATAAGTTATCGCAAGATTGCTCTGCACTAACAGAATTACGTCAGCTGGTGCGCCAAGGCGCCGCAGCAGAGACAACTCGGCCTCTTGCACGGACAACGCGTCCGCATGGTGGTAACCGTCGGATAAACCGTTCCCAAGCCGCTTCATCGCGTTCATCCGAGGCTCGTTCGTCTCCGGCCGCCCGACGTACGTCTTCCAGCACGCCCACCCGAGCGCGCACGCCACGGCGCGGTGGTAGTGTTGCTTGCACAAGCTACACCTGTCCCACCGGTCCCACCTCGCCTGCAACGCTTTGGCGCCCAAATTGTTATCCTCTGCCTCCGCGAACAAAATCTTCGCTTGCTCCGCCAAACACGAAACATGCGCGAAACCCGCCGTCCCGCGGCATGCGCACATGCGCACGAGGCCCTCCTTCGTTTTCCAGTGGAGGGCCTGCGTGCAGATGTAGCACGTCTGGCCCTTCGTGTCGTCGGCGCACGCCTCGACCGCGACCGCGACGGCCTCCTAACAACATTTTGGAGCACCTGGACGTGGCAATGCTCACCGTCGACGAAACTGTGGATGATGGCATTATTCTGGAAGTGGACTCCAAAACCATCGTGAACCGCGTGCTCATGCAGGGCGCGGACGGCTCCGTCAAGGACATCACGGACATGACCATATCGCAAGCCATGGAGGTCGCGCGGGAGCAGCTGCTGAAGAACGTCGTGTAGGAGTGAGTGGGGACTAACTACTTTAGTTTACGTCGCGTCGATGACGTGTGGGGGGCAGCGCTTGCGTTAGATGCTTCCAAAAGCTAGCGCCTGAAAGACACTAGCAAGCATGCTCTCGAGGCCATCCTCCATACCCTACCACCCGGAAACAACGTCACCACCCTCGCATCACTCGCCCACAACTCCTCCGAGGCAGCCCGCGGACCTCCGTGCAATCATACGGCTGCCCGACCACACTCAATCAAACACCCAAGGAGAGCACCATGGCGGCAGAAGAGGAGGCCGCGCGCGCATTCCTCGACCTCCAGGAGAACGGCTCGGTGAGCGGCGCCGCGGCGGTGAGCTGGGTCGCCGGGCACCCGCGCTTCGCGGCGCTGAGCCGGCCCGCGCGCGCGAAGGCGTGGTCCGTCGCGGACAGCAATGACAGCGGCGCCCTCGACGACGCACAGTTCGCGATATTCGTGAAGGAGTTAGATGACGCCGCGACGGCGAGCGACGCGTCGACGCCCGTCGCCGCGGCGGCCGCGGCGGGATTAGTGGTCGGCGGCCCGCCCGGCGCGGTGGTCCTGGGCGGTCTGACGGCGTGCTACCAGTCGTTGTCGCGCGTGGGCCAGTCGGCGTTCGTGGGCGGGCTGGGCGGCATGCTGGCGGCGGGCCCGCCGGGGGCCGTCGCGGGCGCCGTCGTCGGCGCCGGGGGCCAGCGCGTTGCCGACGAGTCGTACCTCGGGGACCCGCGGCGCTGGTCGCAGTACGCCGATTTGGCGACGAAGGGCGTGGAGGAGCGGACGCGAGGCCTGGATTCGAAAGGCGTCGAGTTTGTGGACGAGGGCGCTTGGGTCAAACAGCGCGACGCGAGGACGGGGCCCGCCCTCGAGGTCTTGCTAGGGGACAACTTGCCGGGTCGAATCGGTATCTGCGGGTCCGGCGGCGGGCTCCGCGCGGCGACGGCCCTCGCTGGCTTCTTGGCGGAGGCGCACGCGTGCGGCCTGCTGGACGCGACGACCTATCTCTCCGGCGTCTCGGGCAGCTGCTGGACGCTCTCCGCACTCTACGCGGAGGACGCGTTCGATCCGCGCAAGTTCCCAGACGTTCTGAGGGACCGCGTCGCGAAGGACCTGCGAGCACCGCATTCAGCCTGGCTCGCGGGCAGCGTCTCCGCACCAAACTCCTTCGTGTTCCCCCGCTTCGCGGCGAGATGCCGCGACGGCCACGACGTGGGCATCGTCGACGTCTGGGGCGCGCACCTGTCGGCGACTTTATTACCGCCGCCGGCGCACGGTGGCTTCGGGCTCGCGGCCTTCCGCAGGAAGCTTGTGAAGGGCGCGGCGCCGCTGCCGCTCCTGACGGCCGTCGAGCCCGTCAAGGTCGGGCCGGAGTGGTCCTCGAAAAATTGTTGCGAACGATGCGGGGACAGCTTCTCGCTGGCGAACGCGCGGCACCACTGCCGCGCCTGCGGGGCGTCGGTCTGCGACGCGTGCTGCCCGGGTTTCGGCGCGGCGACGCTCGCCGCGGCTCTGGGAAGAATGCGGTCGACCGACGTGGACTTCGAAGGAGGCGTTTGGTGCACGTCGGCGTCTTCACTTTTGAGAGAATCCGTGTTGATCAACTATTACTCGCAGGGCGCGGCCACTCGACAAGGATCTAGTCCGACGCTGCGGCCGCTGCGTCGCAGCCGGCAACGAGGCGCCGGCCGAGCGGACGGCGTGGCGCTGGTGGGAGCTCGGTCCGTTCGACGTCGGGCCCGTCGGCGGCCCGAAGGTCGACGCCTGCGCGTTCGGGCGGCGTTCTCATGAACCACCGTGCTCCTTAACGGGCGGCGAGCCCGTCGGGGCCCTCCTAGGTGTGGTCGGTTCCGCGTTCTGCGCGACCTTGGAAAAAGTCGAGGGCTGTGGCAAGAAGGGATACGTCTCGGCGGCCGCGAAGTGGCTGGCTCATCCTCATGGAGACCCGGGCGCGTCGCTCGTGGACCCCGCGACCTTCCACTCGTCCGACGGGAAGACGCTGCGCCTCGCGGATGCCGGCTTCTGTCACAACCTCGGCTGGCTGCCTCTTCTACAGCGGAAATGCGACGTCATCTTTTCCGTGGACGCGTCGATGCACGCGTTAGCGGGAGACGGCTTCGACCCGTCCTACGAGCTCAGTCGTGCGCGCACGGCGGCGGAACGGTTGGGAGTGGCCCTGCCTCCGATAGATATGAAAGCGTACGCGACGCAACCCGTGTCCTTCCACACCGACGGCCGGACGTTGCTGATCTGCCTGCCGCTCGTCGGTTTTGAAGATGATCCGTGGTGTCCCTTGAGAACTGCACATGCGGGCGGCTTCTGCTCGAACGCGGGAGCGTCCTACGAGCCCAAGGACTTCGACCGGCTGAGTGGCTTCATGCGGAACCGCCTGCGCGCCGCGCTACCGGAGGTCAAGCGGCGCATCGCGGCGCACCTTCGTAGTACTTGTTAATTTCACATTATGTCGTAAAGGGCGCGCACGCGGCGCACCGCCCCCGCTGCGACCGCAAGCGAGTCGCGTCGCAGGCGCAGCGTTCATGGCCGCCCCAGCCCCGGAAGAACTCGAGGCCGGCGGGGCACGCGTCCGTGCCCGCGAATCTCGTGAAAACCACTTCAAAGCCGCAGAGCTGCGACCGCGGGTCGGCCCCCGAGAGCGCGTCGCTCATGCTCGTAAACGTCCAGGGGTCCCTTCCTTGGGCCCGGGCCCGTTGCAAAGCTTCGGGCGAGGGCCCCGTGCAGAAGGCGTCGCAGTGGCGCGTGAACTGGAGCGAGTCCCACCCCTGAGTTTTCGCGGCGCCGATGATGCGCGGCAGCTCCGCGTCGCACTGGAAGATGCCCAGCTTCATGTCCGGAGGCTTCCCCGGCGCGCAGGGCCTTCCCAACAAATAGCGCGAGGCGTCGTCGTGCGTCTCAAAGGCCAGCGACCGCCCGATATCGATGTACAAACCCGAGCCCCGGAACGCGTAGAAGAACGCGCCATTCGTTTCGAACTTCGAGCCGCCGCAGTGCGTGACTTCGATTCTCGAGAAGTTGCGGAAGGCCGGGGGCGGTGGGTCCCGCGCTGTTCTCCTTCTGAAATATCTGAAGCGAGAAAAGGGCGCGTGCCAGTTGAACCGCTTGAAGGGCTCGTCGTCGGACCTAGGACAGCCGCGCGGCGCCTCCTGTAAATCGGGCGGGAGCAGGGCCCTATCTATCACATCCATGTCTCGGATGGTGGCGTTGTTCGGGCCGTAGAGTTCCTTCGCGTACGCGACCCATTTCTCCTGATCGAGCCAGGCGTAGCGGCCGGTTCTACTGATACGGGTGCCGGTCGTGCGCGAGAGGGTGTCTGTACTACGGTAGGCGAGCGTGATTGGCTCCTCCGCGCGCGCCGCGGCCAAAGCGAGCAGTGCCGTCCTCATCAGGGCGACTTGGACGGCGACGATGCGAATGACTTCGCCGGCGACGCGGCGGGTGTCGCGACGAGCTGCGCCACGATCTGGTTCCGGACGGAGCGGCGGATGTTGTTCGCGCGGCGGATGGCCGCCATGCGCGCCTCCTTCGATCTCAAAAGCTCGTCGCGCTCCTTCTGGCGCGGGCTGCCTTCTTCTTTGCGCTTTTTTACTTTCTTAATGTTGAATTTCGGGGGCGAGCCCATAGGTCTGCTGTGTTTGTGGGCTGCCCTTTGTTTGTTAGCGTGCGTAATGGCCTGTAAAAGCCGATGCTCGGCGCTTTGCAAGCAACCCCGCACGAGAGCAACGTCGCTTCTGCACGCTGTATCAAGCAGAGAGAAGGTCTTCGCACGCTGGGAAGCATCGGAAGCGATTCGGCAGCTCGTCCAAAGCAAGCCTAGCTCTCACAGCGCATGCCAAATCGCGAGCTATTAGACGCGCCCGCCTCGACAGCAGCGGTGCTCGCGGCGAGCGCAAAATCAATTTTACTGATAGCCAAAGCATCTTGCGCGCATTTCTTTTGCAAGCGCTGCAAGACAAGCGCCAAAGTAAAAAGGACCTGCCAAGAGCACCCCAGCAAACGCCGCCGCCGTGCACCCAGCCGTGCGCCCGCGCGTTGTAAATACCCAACCACAGCGAATAACGCACAAAACCGCCAAAAATGGCCGACGCCGACAAGCCTCAACAGAAGCCGCCGCCCTCGACGACGAAAAAGAAAACGAAAGCCCAGACCGCCGCCATGAAGGAGCAGATGGCCAAGATGCAGAAGTTGCTACAGGCCCAGCGCCAGTCGTTAGAAGCGCTGCAGAAGAAGAAGGGCAAGAAAGGGAGTACGGTGCAAGCGCCGGCACCAGCGGCACCACCGCCGATGCCGGTCATGGGCGGTGTGTTAGCGCCCATCGGCGCGCCGCCCTTCGGCATGGTGCCGCCTCCTTTGCCTATCCCTCTACAACCGATCACGCTGGGGGCCATGGTGCCACCCACACCATTGATGCCGCTGCCCTTTGGCAGCGTGCCGCCGCCCTTCGGCGCCGCGCCGCCGGCGTTCGGGGCCGGCGTGCCGGCTCCTGCACCAAAGAAGCGGTCGCGGTCGCGGTCGCGGGGCCGGCGGCGGCGGTCGCGGTCGCGGTCGCGAGGACGACGGCGACGGTCGCGGTCTCGTTCAAGAGGGAGACGCCGCGACCGCGACCGGAAGCGCCGCTCGCCGTCCGAGGACTCCGCCGAGAAGCGTCGGAGGCGGCGGAGGTATGGAGACGACTCGGGGTCGTCCTCGGGGTCGTCGAGCGACGGTTAATGTTGTTTAAAATTACACAAACAGATCACACGGGCTGCGCCGCGACGACCGGCGACGACGGCTGGGTCGCGACGACGACGCGCGCAGAAGGCTCATCATTCAAAGCCACGTCCGTCATCTCGCACTCTTCGACCACCGGCGCGTCGACCTCGCGCGCCGCGGCGACGGGGAGAGGGGGCGGCGGCGCGTGGACCTCGGCGAGCAGTTTCACCGAGAACCGCGCGATCAACCCATAACCCAGGCAGAAGACGAAGTTCGAGACGACCTCGTGGTAGGCGGGGTTAAACGGCAACGAGAGCAACGAGATGACGAAGCCCACGCCGTAGATGGCCACGAGGACCCAATTGATGCAGTTGAAGGCCCGCGCGTTGCCGCAGCCCTTGTAGACTTCGTTGGTCGGCGCCTTGACGCTCGCGATCCCCAACTTCGCCGCGAGTAACGTCACGATCAATCCAATAATCGAGAAGGCCCAGGTCGTCGCGCTCCGCTCGATACCGTAAGATAGTATAACAATCCAGGTCAGCGCCCACCACACGACATTTAGGAACGTAAAGCCAAAAATCAATCGCAAGACTATTCTAGCGAGCTTCGCCGCCTCTACATTAGGTAGGCCGCTCTCGACCCGATACGGCGTCGCGAAGGGCACCTCCACAATACCGATCATGGGGTTCTGGAGCTCGTCGCTCGAGTCCTCGACTTCCTCGGGCCTGGCCCGCAGGACAACTACGATCAAGACGACCGCCGCGACCAGCAGTCCCAAGGAACTCCACGCGAGCGCGCGGTAGACTCGGACCCACGAACACCTGTCGTAGGTCACCTCGCGCGGCGCCACGTAGGATGCTGATAGCGACGAGGGGTACTCGCACGCGCACCGGGCCGCCGCATTGCAACCGACGTCGACCCACTTCTTCATATCGGAAGGCTTGTTCGTCTCCCAGCCCATGGCGGCGCAGTCTTCCGTGCAGCCGGACCAGTCGTTCGGTTCGTTGTCCCGCCACGCTGTATAAGTGGAGGTGCACTCGGAAGCCGCTTGGCGGATCCAGCCGTTTTCGGCGTCGTCGGCCCTCCGCTGGTGCAGGCCGACCCAGGTCGGGTGCTTCTTCCCATCTAAATCGCCGGCGAGGTAAGCGTTGATGGTAGAACTGGAGACGCAGGCGAGTGTGGAGTTGCCAGAAGCGAGTAACGGGCAGTAGACGCGGTTGCACTCATCAAATGTATACGATTTGTCCGTCAGCTTGTAGCACGTGTGGTCTCGATAGGACCACGTCGCGTCGGGGCAGTCATTGATCGAGTTTACTAGGTGCGTGTGGGCGCCGTCGTCGCCGTGGCCTCGCACGAGCAGTGGGAGGACGAGCCACGGGAGCATGGTGCGGGCCCTCGGGCAAGCCCACCAGGCTTTTGGGCTGCGATGGCTGGCTAAGCTTTGCGATGGCATGGCCATTTCGCCATTTCGTGCGGGTCCCGCCGGCTGACGTGGCCAGTTCGGTGCGCGGGGGGACTGCTGGGTACTTGTGCGAGCCGCCTCCTCGCATGGATCGATAAAAAAAACCCGAGGCCAGCGGGCCAAAGTCGCGTCGATCGTTGCGCCGCCGCCAGCGTACGCGACGCCAAGCAATTCTCCAGCTGCTGTGGTCTCACATCAGTGTGCCAGCGACCCCAGCTCGACGTAGGACGACCGGCGAGCGTCAAATTGGGCCTCACAAGCAGAACCAAAAAATCTAGCTAACTATATTTTTTTTGCGGTAGCAGCCAGCCGCGGGCCGGACACACGGCACACGAGGCACCGGGACACCACTGAGGACCGGCGCACGCCTGCGGCACCGAGTTTCCCAAGCTACAACAACCGTAAACAAGAATGAGGGACGAGGCCGCCCTCTTCGCGGCCCAGGCCGCCGAGGCCTTTGTGCTCAAAACTGCATCATCGATAGACGACGTCCTCTGGTTCGCCAAATTTTTAACACGTGAGAGATCACGAGTAGAGCGGGGCCGGAACATTTTCGTCTATTGCGTGATATGTCTCCTGCAGACCATGCTGGCCTTCTTGATCGCTCGAAGTGGCGAAGAAGCGTTGGACGCCTGGGTGCACCTGCACCACTTCTCGTCGGAGCGATTGCTGACGTGCATTGCTGCCGGTGGGTTAGGCCTCTATTCCATCAAATTACTGTTGGAGGAGTTTGAAGAGAGAGAAATGTGCTGCTACGCACCAAAGGGGGGCTACGAGCAGACGCCGACGTCGGAGAAGAAGCCGTTTCCCTCCAAAAAATCCATCGATGACGAGGATGATGTCAACGGAGTCGAAATGCTCGAGGTGCGCTCCGAGGGCTCCGACGACTCGCCGCCGCGCGCCGCGCGCGCCGAGGGTTCCGATGAAAAACCGACGGCGTCGCCGCTGCACGAAACACTGGAGGACGTCGATCTAGAGGCGAACGACTCAGGAGACGACAACGAAGACGACGACGACGAGGAAGAGATGGACACGTCCTCCATGCGCACGCTCATCGTCGTGGCCTTCTGCGGGTCGCTCGACGATCTGACGCTCTTCGTGCCGATGCTGGCGGGCGGCGCGATCGGTCCTTTGGCGCTCGTGACAGGGGCGCTGGCGGCCACGGCGCTTGTGGTCTTACTGTGCCTCTTCCTCAATTTGTTTCAGAGGGTGTCGGACTGCCTCCAGAAGATACCATTGGTGGCGATTACGTCGTGCTTCTTTGTGTATCTCGTGCTGAAGGCGACGGTGCTTTCGGGGGAGATGCGATGATGACCATTAACATATTAAACATTGTCTCCTAGTGCGCATCTCGTCTTCCACAAGAGCTCGGAACGGTGCCGCGTCGCCCCGCTCATATGGCGCCGGCCGCGTCGCCACGACCCTTTGTAACGCATCGGCCACGTCGTCGACGGTTGAGACGACGACGTGGCCCCGCGCTTCGAGCGCTGTTGCTAATTCGGCCTGGTGGTTGTCCATGAGCTTCTCGTTCACGCACACGACGAGTCGCTTGCCGAGCTCCAGCGCCTCGAGGATGGAGCCGGCGCCCGCATGACTTATAACGACGTCCGCCGCGCGCATCTCTTCCGTTATCGTCGGCGCGAAGCGGAACCAGGAGACGCGGTCGGTGTCGGTCGGCGCGGCGCCGCGGCCGACCTGGAGCCGCAGCTCGTCGAAGGCCAGCTTTTCTAACGCGTTTGCGAATTCTGGTGTTGTTGTTGCTGCGATCAGTGCGTCGAAGGACGTCGTGCCGACGGTCACGAAGACGCGGCGCGGCATTGTAGTATGTTGCTGTCGCGTCGATGGCGTAAAGTGGCGTCGTCCAGCTCTGCAAATGGGTGCTTTTGAGCCCAGCACTTGCAAGCGTGTGCTGGCTCGCAGCGCTGGAGCAGCGTGCAGCCCTGCAAATGGTTGCTTCGAGCCCAGCCGCTTTGCAAGCGTTTTGCGGCTCGAAGCGCTGGCGCACGGCCGCAGAGATGCTCGAATTAATGTTAACGAAACGGGAGGCTGTTTGCCGCTCGATTTACGCTCGTTGTGCGTTTTAGGCAACTCGAAGGGCTAGCGGCTTGTAACACACTAGAAAACAGCTTTTGTCTAGCTGAATTGAAGGTCAGACTCGCTGCAGACATTGTATTTCTTCGTTACACGACGACCATGGTTGCAGTGCTCCGTGTTGCCGCACTGTTGCTCACGCGCTGCAACGCCTGGCACCTCGTAAGGCATACAACCCCGCTGCAGCTTCGAGCAGCGAGCGATGCCGTCGACACGAGCGCCGAAGCGCTCGCGGCGCTGCGCGTACCGGAACTCAAGGACAAATGCCGCGCGCGAGGGCTGCGAGTCAGCGGCACCAAGGCAGCATTGATCGAACGATTACTCGAGGCCGACGGCGCGGACGCAGAAGCACCGCAGGCAGGCTCCTGGGCCTCGCTGGGCCTCGACAGCGAAACGCAGCAGCGCCTACCACACAAAAACCCGACGCCGATCCAGGCGGCGGCGTTCCAAGCATTAAAATCAGGTAAAGACGGCGTGCTCCACGCGGAGACGGGGTCCGGAAAAACGCTCGCGTACGCGCTACCACTACTGAAAAAGCGCGTGCTCGTCCTCACGCCGAGTACAAGTCTAGCGGACCAGATCGCGGAAGTCGTCGATCAATTCACAGAGAGCTTTGCAGTGCATACGCCGAAGGAAGTACTAAAAGCAGAGGACGATCTAGAGTCGATTGATGTGATTGTGTTGGATGAGGTCGACGCATTGTTGCGCGCGCCGGGGCGCTACGCGGCGGCGGAGCAGAAGAAGCATCGGCGGGAAAGGCCCGCGGCGAAGATATTGAGACGTTTTATACAGAGACGGCCGGACGCGCAAGTTATTGGAGCGTCGGCGACGGTGGGCCGACCTTTGAGGCGCCACATCGACGACATCCTGAGGGACGCGGCGCCCTCAAAGCCGCGGTCTCCCATAAATGTGATACGCGGCACGGAGCCGCCATCAAATGGAAGAGCGGTAACGGCGCCGTCATCCCTAAAACACGTCATATCAAGTTTCTGGGACCGCGGGCCGGGCGAGCCGGACCTCGATGCCTTGAGGACGGCGCTCGATTCGCTAAATGCGGCGCGTCCTTTAGTGGTAGTCAACGACGGCGACCCCGACCGCGTGTCGCGTTTTTTGAAGAAGAGCGGCTACGATGAGGTGGACGTGCTGGCGCCGAACGAAATACGAGGCCTCGACTTGAATGGCGTCGACGTCGTCTTGAGTTTGGGCCGCCCGGCGACGTGCGACGACTATTTGCACGTGGCCGGCCGCACGGCGCGCGCCGGCGGTTTTGGATTGTGCTGCACGATCGCCGCTCATAGGGATGCGAAGGCCGTCGCCGCGTTCGCCAGTCCCCTTGATATTGTCTTCGAGACCGTCGAAGACGCGGACGAGCTCTGGAAGTATAGAATGTGAATGTTACCAGCCCTCGTAGTTCCCGCGCGTGTCCGAGTCGGCCCCGGCCTCGTTGTCGAACACGCGATTCGTGCGGCCCGCCGTGTTCTCCAGGGCCGGGTTCCACGTCTTGTGGATCGGGTCGAAGCGTTGTTCTCGATCCGGGTTCGGCCGGCCCTCGGCCTGCTTGCCTCCCACAAACCCGCCGGCGCCGACCCAGAATGTTCCGGAAGGCGTGTCCTTCGGCCCGAAGTCGAAGGGCGACCGGTCGCCCGGCCGCGCGACGGCCTCGTTGTCGATGATATACGCGTGTGCATTCTCATTAATTTCACCACTGGTGGAGTCGAAGAAGCCTTTCCGCGTGATGTGCGGGTCCTCGCACTGGCCCGTCCTCAACCCCGGCGGGCAGGGCTTGCACTGCGTCGCCGCGTACAGACCGGGCTCGAGGCTGTACCTTCCCGCGGGGCATTCGGCCGTGCAGGCTCTATTACCTAACGCCTCCGTGCTTCCATAAGTTCCGGGCGGGCAATATTTGCAGTCGTCCTCGGTCCTCGCGCCGAGCGTGTCGGAGTACTTGCCCAGTGGGCACTTGCCCGAGCACTCGCCGACCGCGCCGGCCTCCAATTCATAACGGCCGCGCGGGCACTCCTTGCATTCCCGTCGAGCCGTTCCCAACTCGGCGCCGTACTCGATGGGCCTAAATCTCCCTCTCGGACACGTCGTGCAGTCGACGCCGGCGGGGGTCGTGTAGTCGCAGCGTTCCCTGCTCGCGGCCCAGGCCCGTCCCGCGACGAGGAGGAGCGCTGCTTTTCTTCGTCGTCCTCTCCAGGCGCCTCCCATCGTGCTGGGGCAGCCCTGCGACCGCCGCGAGAGCGCACAGCGCCTGAAAAGCGGCTCTCTGTGCTTGCTAGTGTGTTACTTGGACTAGCTATTGGTGATCCCGTAGACACAGTGGCGAAGCGTTCCGGGGTCCGTACTACCTGGGGGTGGGCACAATAAGCTACTCGCTCTCTCTACTCTCTCGTGATACTTATCCCTATGCGTCGTCGCCGCGGCTCGACGACCGATTTTCGACGAGGGGCTCCTTCTCGGCCGCGTCGGCGTCGCCGCCACAGCGCTCCCGGCACCAGGCCCGCGCCGCCTTGATCGCGTCGCCCAACGGGTCGGCCCAGCGCCCGGGCTGCGCCTTCCGGAGGGCCGCCTCCCGCCGCGCGAGGTAGACCGCGCCCCACCCCGCGAGGACGAAGGCCAGGATGAAGAAGACGTTCACGAGGACCTGGCCGGGCATCTCGTTCGACGTCGCGTACGTGTGGTACACGCAGCGCATGGCGTGGTTGACGAACTGCGAGACCGCGTTGCCCAGGAAGATCGCGTTGATGCCGCGGCGGTGGTTCTTGGGGATGTGGAACCAGATCTCCTCCGTCTCGCGGCCGTACAAGTCGAGACCGTCGTCGTTCGCGCGGCCGGGACACGCGAGGCCCCAGAGGTGCCAACTATTCGCGAGGCGCCACGGCAGCGCCACGAGCGCGCCGAACGTGAAATTCACGTTGAGCAGCTGGATCGACCAGTTCAGCCACCAGTTCCGCGGCTGGCAGTTTAGGAGGGGCGTGCACATCGTCTGCATCCCGACGAGCAGGCAGAAGAAGAACGCGCCGTTCACGATAATAATGATGATGTTCGCGATGTTCACCTTAAACATGCAAGGGCCATCTAAAAAGGCAAACAAATTGTCGCGGAAGCGCTCGGAATGCGTCGCGTCGGGTGGCGGGCCCTCGGTCGCGTCGGAGCCCTTTGTCGCGCCGTAGTGGGAGCCCTCCTTCTGCGACGCCGCCTTCGTGAGCTCGAGCGTCGAGATCATAATTTAATGATTCCCGCGTCGCGTCGCCGGCGTCACGCGCGCCGTAGGGTTTCACAGCCTCAAAGTTGGGAAACTCTGGAAAGCTTTTTATCAATGTTACAGGGTCTCGGCGTCGACTTTTTTGCGCTTGCGGTTGATGCCGAACCCGAACCTGTCCTCCAATCGATTTTTAGGCCGCTCGGTGACCCCGCTTACAAACGCGACAAAGCCGAGCTAGCGGTCTGTAAGACACTAGGAATGCCTGCAAGCCGCAGCAAGCAAAGCACGCAGCTGCGTTTTGGAACGCAGATTGGTCATATTACTGCTCCCAGAACATCGCCTCCTAGCTGCAGCCATCGCTGTAGCAGGCGCAGACGCTCTAAAAGCGACACTTGCACCGAGAGCCCCTTTGCCTCTCAAACCAAAACGATGCGCCGCGCCCTAGTACAGCTCAGGAGGACGCCGCCGCCGCGCCGCCCCCTCTCTCTGTTAAGAGTGGGCGGCGTGCCCGAGCACTTCAACTACCCCATAAGGCAAGCCGCCGCGAACGGAGGCTTCGCGTGGAGTGAGCACCCGGGCGGGAGCGGTGCGATGGCCCAAAAATTGAGAGAAGATGAATTAGATGTTGCTATTTTATTAACGGAGGCCGCCACGTTGTTTGCACATAAGGGCGACGTGACGATCGTGGGGTCGTTTGTGGACACTCCATTAACATGGGGCGTGCACGCGCTCGCAGGTTCGGAGCCGTCTCTGGATTCGAGGTATGCGGTCAGTAGGATGGGCAGCGGGAGCCACCTCATGGCCCTCGTGGCGGCGCGGCAGCGCGGGGCGCCCGATCCGTTATTTGAGGTGGTCGGCGACTTGCAGGGCGCTCGGATAGCTCTGAAGAACAAAGAAGCGGATTTATTTATGTGGGAGAAATTCACGACGAAACCTTTGGTGGATAGCGGCGAGTGGAGCAGAGTCGCGGAGGTCCCTACGCCGTGGCCGTGCTTCGCGGTGGTGTGTACGCCGGAAGTCGCGCGTTCGAGACGCGACGAGGTCTCGGAGGTTTTGGGGAGCGTCTACGAAAAAGCTTCGCGGATCTCCTCTGCTGATATCGACGCCATCGCCGCGGATTATCATCTGAAGTCCGACGATGTCGCCGAGTGGCTCGCGGGCGTCACATGGGGCCCGGGCGTGCGCATGCCTTCACGGGTCATCGACGACTGCACGCGGGCGTTGTTGGAAGCCGGCGTGCTCGAGCAGGGGGAGGTGAAGTCGTACCGCGAGGTGGTATCGGACTGGACGCGCGACGAGCCGCTGGACGCGTGAGTTACTTCGCGTCGATGGCGTGGAGGTGGCGTCTTTTCCCCGCCAGCACGTCATCGCTGCAACCGTGCGAGTCGAAGGGAAGAGGACGCCCGTCGCCGCTTCCCGCGTGGCAGCGGCAGGAGGAGCCGTGAATAACTTGTTGTCTTAATCTACCATCTTTCCGAGCCAGACGCGAACGGGTTCCGCGCGTACGTCTCAGCCAAGAACTCGGCGTGCGCGCGGCCGCCCTCGCGAAGCTTTCGCCGCGCGACCATCCGGTCGCGGTCCACCGTCCGGATCCAGCGCCTTTGGTCGGCCAGGCGCGCGTGCAAAGCGACGTTCGCGGCGAGCCGCGCGTCCGTCCTTATTAAGTCAGGACAGTCGATACACGCCGTCATGAACCGCTGCATGAACGTGATGAGCTCGACCTTGACTCCGAAGTGGACCTGTGCGTTTTTGACCTCGAAGTCGGCGACGCGAATGTACTCGTCTCCCTCCACGCCATCGCCGAGACCGCAACGCCACGTCGCCGGCGTCTCCTCGACGGCGTGCACGCGACGCCATCGACGCGACGCCTTGGCCTTCACGCCATCGGACGCGCACGCGACGCCGACGCCATCGCCGCGCCGTCGACGCCGAGGGAAGGCAAGGCAAGGCAAGGGACGCGGGCCGGCACGCAGCGGCTGTCGCAGACGTGGTCGGCGACGCCCTCGCCGCACGCGGCGCAGAGCGAGTAAGAGCAGAGCGGGCACGCGACGGCGACGCGCGCCATGTCGCGCGGCTGGATGTCCTTCGCGAAGCAGCCGTCGCAGAAGTACTTCTCCGGCCGCGCGCACGCCGGTAACGGCTGGCGCCGCTCGCGCTCGTAGACCAGCGCGAGGTCCTGGTCGCCCGTCCTCGGGGTCCAGCTTCGTTCGCCATAGGCTTCGTGCTGGCCCAGCTCGATGCAAAAGTCGACGACTAATTGATACGCAGCGGTACCGCCGGCGGGCACGTGCTCGGACGCGTTCTGGATGCGCGCGTGGCGCGCGATCCAGGACCACGCCGGCGAGTCCGTTCCCAATTCTCTTTGTAACCGCGCGTCGAAGAGTAGCGCGACGATCGCCGCGTTGAAGAGAGCGTCGGCGGACTCCGCGTCCCCGAGGGCGCTCCGCGCCGCTTGTAAAAACTGCTCGTCGTTCGCGTACTCCGAGAGACCTTGGAGCGAGGGCGGCATCTCCCGCATGACCTTGCGCAGGTGCTTGTCGATGACGCGCCAGTTCACGTCGCGCTTCCTGTTGACCAGGTCCACCCGCGACGCGTCGAGCTCCGACAGCGCTTCGATGCCCCTCTTGGCGGCCCCGCGAAAGATGCGGCTCACCGCGCTTTCTTTCATCACGACAACCACACATCGCAACGGACACACGAGCGACTCCCACCTTTTAAACATGTTCTCGTCGGACTCCGTCCGTAGTCTCGCGGCCCTTCTCAGTTCATTCGCGTTCTTGAAGGCTAATGCTAATGCTACGCCGCACGCGTTTTTGTTGCAGGCTTCGTGGAGGTTTAGTGCGGCTGGCGCGTCGCTGAAGTCGGCGCACCTCCTTACTAGTTCCGCGGGGAGGCGGTCGAAGCGCCCGGCGCTTGCGGTGGTCTGCTTCTTGGGTGGCATGATGCTTGTCAATGCTCCACTGCGACGCGTCGGCGGAACGCGAGACGGCGAAGACGTGAAGTTCCCAGCGCGAGGCGTCGATCTAGCTTCTTCGGCCGCGCGCGGAGGCCCCGACGTGGCGTTTACCTCCCAAAAGCCAAGACGCCCTGTCGGCTCGCCCTAGTGCTCCTATCTAGTGATCGAACATCAACTTTTTTGCTTTCTAGGCGTGTACGCGACTGGATACACCTTCAGGCGCCCCCGAGACGCCTTTCGTGGGATTTGAGCATCACGGCACACGCCACGCCGAGCTTACTTTTTGCCCTGGATCCAGGGCGCTTTCACGTGAGATCGCGATCCTCTTGCAAGGCTGGTCTGCGCGTAGCTGCCGGCTGCACCACACTACCGCGCTCCGGTAGTGGAAGGCTGCAGCGACCGCCGCACGCGCGCCTTGCAAGCGCTTAGCCTTCCCTCACCAGCTGCAGCGCAAATGGCGAAAAGGGCGTCGATACCGCTGCTCCTGCTTGCGGCGCTGATCGGCAGCGCCGCCGCGGCGCCGCGCGCGCCGCTGGCGCTGCACTTTTTCGCTGCTTTGGCATGCGGCGGGGTCCGCGCGCTCGTCGCGCGGCCACGCTACGTACGACGACCAGTCACGCGCCTGCGCTCGACCATTGACGACACGGACATCGACGTGGACGCGCGCATCCTCCAGGCGAAGCAGGACCTGCTGGAGCGCGTCTATGCCGGCGAGGCAGGCGTCCCCGTCGGCGAGCCACCCGTGTTGGTAAGTGGAGACCCCTGCGACGAGGAGGCTATTATCTGTGAGGTCGACGAGGACGTGTCGGAGCCGGGCCACGTCACGAGCTTCGAGACCGCGGCGGCGATGACCGCGGCGGCCGCCATCCCCCTGCCCGACAAGGAAGTCGTTTTTATGGATGCTCTGAAGGAGACCGTGGATGTGGAAGGCATCGCCGGGACCGTCGGGGACGGCATCGCGCTGCTGTTCGGCGACACGGTGCGGCGGCGGCTGTGGACGCGCGCGGATTATGCGCACATCCATGCGGTATCAGGGGCGTACTTCATGGTGCTCGGGTTTTTGTGGCTATTTACCTCTCATGCTTTGTTGGCCATGGATCCTTCCGCGCCCCTGTCGTGGCACCTCGACAAGCCTCTGGAGGCATCCATAGTGGTGTCGGGCGCCGTCAACGCGGTAAGCGCAGTACCCATGGCGCGCTTCTCGTCGAACAAGCTCCTAGACATGTCCGACCTCAAGGCGAACGGCTTCACCTTTGGGGGTGCTGGTTTAACCTTGATGTCCTGCTGGTGCGCGTGGTGGTTTAGTGGCGGATATCCGTCCTTCCTCCTCCCGGCGGGACCATTGTTCTTCTTAGTCTGGACGTTAGTGTGCGTCGGCACGACGGTGAACTGGGAGGTGATGCTGCAGCAGAACTTCGAGGCGAACAGCGAGGGTGGGTCGAAAAAAGCCATCGCCGGCCAGCGCAAGCTCAAGAAGATGTCCCAGGACGAGTTGAACGAGAAGGCGTTACTCTACAGATTGGCGTCGTGGCCGAACCTGACCCAGCTATTGTTCTTATATAGCATTTCGACGCCCGACGCGTCGGTCTGGTGGTCGCAGGTGACGCAACAGTACCCGCTGCAGGGGGTCATGCTCTACCACTACGGGTATGCTTCTGCCCTTGGTTATGCCTTGTCCATGTTCTCTGAAACTCTCAGAGATAGGAAACTAGTCAGTCTGCGCGTGGACCTGATCATCCTCCTGATCGGCGTCTTCCTGCCGATGGTGTCCGTGGCGTTTGACGCCGCGTGCCTGGGCGACGCGGTGACGATCAAGCCCTGGGAGTACTGGCGCCAGTTCCAGGGCTGGTGATCGAGAATTCCTACCCCCCAATGACGCTCCGCTCTGTTAAAGTTTTCGGATGAATCTATGTGTCCTTCGCGGCGACGGCGTGCGGCGGGGTGGGCCCCGCTTGCCTCGACGTGTTCTGTTGCGAGTGCTAGTGGGAGGCACAGACACAGCGCGTCGTCCCGCGCGCCCCGAGTCTCGCCTTCGCGGAATCCGGACGGCCGGCGCCGCCGCCGTAGTAATACGAGAGGTACGTCCGCCGCCGGGAGAGGGCTCCTCGACCGCGTGACGGCACTAGCTCTCCGGACCAGTGAGCGCCTCGCAGCGCAAACATCAGCGCATTGCATCAACGCAAACGCGAGACGAGCAGGTGCATGGCGGCACGTGCGCGCACGATACAGCTCACACGAGTGTAGTGCTCGCTGCCCGAGCTAGCCGGACCGGCGCATCCCCACTGCTGCCACCTAGACCACACAACCATACCATCAGGCCGGCAAGCCGCCAGCCAGACGAGTGGACTCCGCGGTGCCCGCGGCGGCCGGGATCGAACGAAACGTGAGCAGCGCACCGCATAGAGTGACAAAGCAGTGTCTTCATAAATCAAATGTCGCGGCGCATCTCCATCACTGGTTGGTTGATTCGCGCACAGGTGAGACAAAGATGGTCTCCTGGGCCGCCAAGAAGGCGAAAGAGCACGCCGACAAGAAGAATAAAGAGCACGAGGAGAAAGCAAGAAACCATCTGCAGGGCACGTACTACAGCAACGCCGAGAAGGAGGATGTTCATAGAGAGGAAAAGATTATCATCACGGAAGAACGCACGAAGCATCTGAACGACCTCAAGCAGCAGATTTTGGAAAGGAACTCGAAACTGTCCGAGATCGAGCGGCGCGCTTTTGCGGAGGCTCATACGCCCAAAAAAAAGAACTTCATGGACGTAGAAAAGAAGTCGCTGGAGTTCTGGGCGTCCACCGACCCCCACTTCATGGCCCGGCAAGAAGAATTACAAAGACTGGAGCAAGAAGTGAAGGCGGAGCAGGAGGAGATAATCGAACGACATCATCTCCGCGAGAAGTCGCTGACGGAATTGCGGGACGAAGGGGACGTCGACAAGGTCGGCGCGAAGTGGCTGAAAGAGCAAGAGCGTAAGCGGGAGGAGGCGCTGCGACTCGCAAGGGAGGAGTCGATCCGGAACGGGACCTACACGCCGCCTCCCGTCGATGTCGAGTTCTGTTCCCAGCAAAAGGCCCAGGCCATGCTCGAGGAGGCGCGTCGGCGACTCGAAGCGCAGGAGGGCTCTCATCAAAAAAAAGATAAGGTCGGTGCCGCCGCAGCGTTAATAGCCGAGCTCGAATGTCTACCGGACGACGATCCCACTAAACAGGAACAACTCGCCAAGGCTCGGAAGAAGTACGACAAGGCCCTCAAGAAGCAGTCGTCCAAGGTCCATATTGATGATGAAGCTGATAAGGCGAAGGCGATGGAGCAGGTCGAGAAGGCGGCATCGGCATTGGCCGAGGCCGAAGCTTTACCGGATGACCATCCCGAGAAAGAAAATATGTTAAAGAAAGCTCGGAAGAAGTACGCCAAATCATTAAGGCGGGCCGATCTTGTGGAAGGCGACGACGGTTTGGTATGTACGGCGGACGGCGAACCGCTACCTTCCAAATTCCAGGTGCGGCGGGGCTTTTCCGAGCGAAAGAAGGGGTCGAGCTTCTTTTACGATGCGAAAGCCTTGGAGGAGGCGCTTGATTGGGACGACGGCGCTTTGTACAAGGCGCCGGCCGCGGCGCCGGCGCCGTCGCCAATCGAGGCGGTCGCGCCGCCGACGTCGCCTCACGACGTCCGCGCGAGCCGCGCGAGCACGTGCGACAGCGACGTGAACGCCGTGATCGCGCAACGCGTCGAGGAAATCGTGAGGGCGTCGTCGCCGGTCGCCGCCGAGGCGCCGGCGCCCGCGCCGCCGCGGAAGCGGCGGCGGCGCAAGAAGAAGGCCCTCGCGAAGGTCGCCGCGGTCGACGCCCTGCTGGCCGAGGTCCACAGCCCGGAACGCAAGGCGCAGATCGAGCGGGAACAACGCCGGGCCGAGGAAGAGGCGGCCGAGAAAGCGGCCGCCGAAAAGAAGGCGACACTCCAGGCGAACTCCGACTCAGCGAAAGAGATCTACCGGAAGAAACAGGCCGAGCGCCGCGCGAAGAAGGCCGCCAAGGCCGCGGCGCCGGCACCGGCACCGGCGCCGGCGCCCGCGCCTGCGGTAGGCTCGGCGGCAGGCTCCGAAGTAGGCTCGGCCGTGGCGGCACCCGCGCCCCGGAAACAACAGAAGTCGGTGCCCGACGAGCTCGCGGTCTTTGAACCAATGCAGCGCGAGCCCATGGTGCCGCCGCCGGGCGCCGCGGCGGCCTTCGAGGACCACGCCTGCGAGCTCCATGGCTGTAGCGTAGACGCGAACGGGACGTGCGCGGTGACTGGTGGCGAGGACGGCAACGCCTATGTCTGGGACGTCTCCTACCCGACGTGCGTCCCGAAGCAAAGACTCGAAGCCCACTCCGAGGTCGTGGCCGCCGTCGCTATTACGGAAGATGGGCGGCAAGTGGCGACGGCGGGGCGCGACAATATTGTCGTGCTGTGGGTCGAGGAGGGTCGCGACTACAAGAACATCCTGACGTTGAAGGGCCACACGAGCTGGGTCTCGTCCGTCGTCTTTTCGAGTGGGGGCCATTACCTGGGCACCGGCTCCTACGACGAGACGGCGCGCGTGTGGTCCTGTACGTCTGGAAAGGAGCTGGCCATGTTCCACGACGCCGAGGTGTCTAACGATAGGGGCAAGCCCTTCGTTTATGACGTGGCCTTCTCCTATGATGCCAAGAGGTTGCTGGTCGGCGGCCGCGACGGCGTGGGTCGGATCTGGGACTGCAACATTGAAGACACGTTCTACGTGGCGAAGCTGCTGGTCACGCTCGAAACCCACGCCAGCGCCGTGCTCTCCGTCGCGTGGTCGGCCGATGGGAAGCGCATCGCGACGGCGTCGAAGGATCGGACGTGCAAGGTCTACTCGGCGAAGACGGGGCGCATTTTATCGGTCCTGCAGGGCCACGAGGGCCAGGTCACGTCTATCAAATTCTACCCGGCCGATGGGAGACGCATGCCCGACGGGCGGCTCGCGCCGCCCGTCTCGCTCGCGACGGCGTCGCGCGATGCTACGATCCGCTTCTGGCGCGTCGCGCCGGAGACGCGCGGCTTGGACCCCGAGGAAGGAAGCAAGTGGAACGCGACGTGCGGGGCCATTCTGCGGGGCCACGTCGACCGCATTAGTGGCATCGCCTTCGACGCGACGGGCGCGTCGCTCGTCTCGGCGGGCTTCGACCGCAAGGCGATCGTCTGGGACGTCCAGCAAAGCATCAAGCTGGGCACGGCGGAGCCGCCGGAGCCGTCCCTCGACGACGCGACGGTGGACGCGCCGACGGTGGCTGGCGTGCGCGGGGAGTAATTTGTGTTGTTTACAGTAATACTACAACTTACTTTTCGACGGCCTCCAGCCACCCGGCGAGGGTCTCGCGATAGGTATCCGGTTGCGCGCGGAAGTGGCCGACGTGTGGAGTTCTCCCGAAGTTGCGCGTCTCCACGATAGAGCCCTGGTCGCGGCGCCGGGCCACGAATTGCTCGACGTGGCTGCGCCAGACGAGGCGGTCGCCGTCCGAGTACATGAAGAGCTCGCACCGGGGAATATTGATAGAAGCGTCATACAAGCCATCAAAATGGGATAAATGAGCCTTCCGCACGGGGAACGCCAGCAGCGCCGGCCACAGCGTCGACCACACTGCAGCGAGCCGCTCGCGCAGCGTGCCGCCCGAGAGATAGGCGATCACGGGGCCGGCAATGGGTCGAATCGTACCCTCCGCCGAGGGGGCGGAGTCGTAGACGACGCCGTCGAGGCGCAACGGCTCCAGCTCCGACAGTACCTCGAGCAGCAACATACTGCCGCCGTTCGAGAAGATGTGCGCGTAGAGCCGTGGGGCTTTCGTCGCTTTCGCCTCGGCGACGAGGCGGCGCGCCTTTTCGCGCAGTGCTTGCCGGCCGCTCCTCGCAAACGTGTCCTCAATGGTGACGTTCTCGGCGAACACTGCGGTGCCCGACGGCCAGCACGCCTCGTGCTTGCGCACGTGTCGCAATTTCGAGCCGGACCAGCCGAGGAGCATCACGGCTCGCCGCACGGGCTCGCGCTGCATTATAGCTGCTCAAATGGCAGTGCTGGGTGCACACAGGCAGCCAGTGATCTGCGAATACGTGCCCAGAAATCTCTCCACTTCGCAGGACTGCGCGCGTGGGTCGCTGCTTTGGCGTGCTTAGCCCTGATGCAGGAATAATTGCATACAGCGCACGCAAGGGCTCAAAATCAGTCGACCAGACACGAGTCAACCCGCACGTCAAGCTGGCCGGGAAAGCTAGAATGAAAGTCTTACGCGCGCGCGCCGCCCCACCACGATGCCTTTAGATGTCCCCGCACTCGATGTGCGACTTGGAGTAGAAGGCCGCCGTCGCGTGCGAGCGCCCGAACGTCTCGCGCTTCTGCTGGAGGTCCCACGCGCCGTCGCCGATGTCCTGGGACATGGAGCGGTAGCCGCCGCGGCGCATCTCGCGCTTGCGGGCCTGGTAGGCGTTGTAGAAGCAGTCCGTCTTGGTTTTGGGGTCGAACTGCGTTTCTCTAGAGCGCCCAATGTCGTAGAGGAAGGGCGCCGCGCTGAGGCCGCACACCTCTCTTTGGCGTTCTTCTTCGACGGCGGCTTCGGCTAGTTTCTTGTGGGCCTTGCGGATCTGCTCGGCCAGGCCGCCTCGTTTCTGCTCGTTGCGTTGCAAGATGCGCTTCTCGCGCTTCAGTAGATCTCTGTATTGTTCGGTGCGGACTCTGTCCGTAAATTCGTCGCGCTTCGACGCGTCGTGCGTGCCAAAACCCAATTTACGAGTATCATAGGGCTGGGTCTTGGCATAGGGTAACTGTTCCACATACTTATCTGGCATGTACATAAACGGCTTGCCCATGTTCCCGAAGTACCCGTTGCCCGCGTTCTTCGGGTACATGGTCGTGCCCATCTGCTTCTCCTTCCAGCGCGCCGGGAGGCGCTCGGCCTCGTCGACGTACGGGTCCCCGATACTGATGTAGCGGCCGGCCTCACATTGTAAACGGGGGTGCGTGAACTTGTCGGCGTACATACCAGCTAAATGGTTCGTGTAGCCCTTCTCGGCGATCATGCGCTGGCGCACGATGTCGCGGTCTCCTAAAAAGCTGTCGTCCCCCATGGTGGCTGGCGTTGCGCGGGGGCAGCCCCTTTCTACTGTTGTTTTTTGTTGGGGCGCAGTGGCTTCTCAGTGGCTCCTCTGCGTCGGTCGCGGCGGCGGCGCGGCGGTCCCTGTGGCCCTGATTGCGGCCCCTCTCGCAGCGCGTTGTTTGAGGGCAGCTTGTCTTAGTTAGCTTAGCCTATGCCGCGAGCTCGGCGAAGACTCCTCCGGGACTCCTCGCGGCCTCGACCCGACGTCTACCGGTGGGAGTAGAGGCGTATGAGACGTGGAACCCGAATTATCTAGCGGTCTGTAAAGACACTAGAGCCGACCAATTCGTGTTTTGACTTAAAAGTGGCGTGGTTGCCCTCAATTTGCGTTCTCTGACACAGAGAGGGCGGGAGGACAGAGCTGAAGCCACGCGTCTGCAGCCAGCTGCTCGAAACAGCGACGCGTAAGCCTCCCGACGAGCGCGGGCTCAAGAGCCAGCTACACGCGAACCCGCGGCGCGCGGCACAAGCGCGAACGCGGAACAGCGCAGACCGCCACCCTCGCGCAGCGCAGCCAACGCGCAGCACGCAAGCGCAAAAGCGACCGCGCGGCGCAAAAACGTGCGCGCGCGACGCCGTGAATGTCGACGAAACCCAGGAAGGTGTCGACGGGCTTCAAGACCGCGTCAACGCCGGATTTCAAGACCGCCCGGGCCGCCATGGAGACCGACGGCGCCGCCCCGGTCACCGAGCAGCCACCAGACAAGACGACGGCCGACGCGCACGTCGACTGCACGCAGATCCTCGGCGACGTCGAGGCCTACGAGGGCCCGACGCAGCTCAACGAGGAAGAGGAGGAGGAGGAGACGCCCGCCGTCCCGCGCCAGACGCCCAGCGGTACGGCCGGGCCGCCGCCGCCGCGGCCCCGCTTCTCCTACACGTCTCAATCATCAACACCGCCGCCGCCCGCTACTACACCGGCCGATGCCGCCGCCGCCCCGGACGCCTTGCGGGACGTCCTCGCCACGGCGCCGGTCCAGCGCCAGCTCTCGGACGCGTCCCGGCACGCGACGGCCGGCGACACGGCGCCGCCCGAACCCATTGACCTGACGCAGGACGAGGACACCGAGGTCGAGCCGAGCCAGCCGCGGGCGCCGGCGCCGGCGCCGGCGCCGGCGCCCTACGAGTCGGCGCCGACGGAGGTCGACCCCGCGGCGCCGCCGGGCGCCGACCCGCTCGAGGACGACCCCATTGAGGACGACGACGATGAAGATGGCCCGCTCGCGGCGACGCAGGTCGAGGCGCCGGCCGCGCCGCCGGCGGCGGACGAGGACGACCCGATCGAGGAGGATGCCGACGCGGTAGACGCGATTCTCGACGCCGGGCGCCTGCGCACGCAGGACCCGCCGCCGGCCGAGGAGGAGGAGCCGGCCTCGGACGCGTCGCGCGCGGCGACGGCCGGCGGCACGCAGCCGGAGCTGGTCGCGGAGCCGCCGGCCGCGGATTCGCCGGGCGGCGCGACCGCGCTCTACGACGACTCGCAGCCGCGGCCGGCGCCGGCCGCGCCGGCGCCGGCCGCCCGCGAAGGCAGCGTGGCTGGCGACGGCGACGCGATGGACGTCGACTCGCAGCCGCGGCCGCCGGCCGGCAGCGCGGCGGCGCCGATGGACGTCGACGAGGCAGCCGCGGCGCCTGCGCCCGCGGTGCCGTCGCCGGCCGGCGCCACGGTGCTCTACGACGACTCCCAGACCCAGCCGCCCTCGGTCCAGGCGGCGAGCCCGCGGCCCGCGCCGGCAAAAGCGCAGGGCAAGTCGCCCGCGACCGCGACCGTGCTCTACGACGACGCGTCGCAGTCCCAGCCGGAGCCCGCGGCAGCGCCGCCCCGAAAGGACGCGTCGCAGTCCCAGCCGGCGCCGGCGGAGGACTGGGACGCCGCCGCGGCCGCGCCGGCGCCGGCAGACGCACCGGCGTCGCAGCTGTCCGTCGCCGAGCCGTCGCAAGTCGCCGAGTCGCAGCCGTGCTCGCAGCTCGCCTTCGCGTCGCAGCCCTCGCAGCCGAGCCAGGGCACGACGAAGCGCCGGTCCGCGAGCGACCAGTACCGAGCGATCGCGTTAGATGAGGACAACGACGACGCCTGGCCGCCGCCGGACGAGGGCGCGGCGAGGGACGCGCGCACGGACGGCCCCGCACGCCTGATCCACGTCCCGCCGGGCGACATTGACGTCGACATCCTCGCGGACGACCTCGCGCAGAGAGGCTCCGAAGCCTCCACGATCCGGGACTGCCGCGCGAGAATCGCCGCTAGATTACGAGACCGCTTCCCCTGCTGCGCCGTGGCCCTCGGCGGCGCGTCGGACCAGCCCCAGTCGCACCCGTCCGTCAGCTCGATCGGGAGCGGCTCGCCGACGTCGATCGCGCGCGTCAAGCGGTCCACGCTCAAAGCGTCGCCGGTCTGGGTCGTCGGCGCGGCGCGCCAAGGCCCCGGGGCCCAGACCTTCTTCGACTGCACGCTCATGGTCGGCCAACGGTCGTCGCCCCTCGTCGTCGCGGTGACGTTTTTGGAAGGCGGCGAGTGCACGGCCGCATCTAAAATCAGAAGCGACGCGGCGCAGCTCGACGAGGCCGCGGTCTTGATACATTTCGAGCGCTACTTCGAGCCGCTCCAGCCGCCGCCGTCGCCCTTGACGCAGCCGTCGACGTCGGGCTACCCGCCGCGCTCGCCGGCCTTCCGCCTGCCCACGGACGACGACGCGGCGCCGGCGCCGGCGCCGGCGGCACCACGGCCCGCGTCGCAGCCGCGCGAGGGGAGCTGGCTCGTGGGGCGCGGCGCGGCCGCGCCGCCCGCGCCGCCGCCGCCCGCGAGCAGTGATGATGAGGACGACGACGAGGACGATTCGGAGCAGGACGAGGCGCCGGCGGGCCGCAAGATCAGCCCCTGGCTCGGCCGCGGCGCGCCGCCGCCGCGGTCGTCGCGGGCCTTCGCGCTGCCGCGCGACTCGGGCGGCGGCGGCCGCCTGCGCCGCAACTCGGGCGCGCCGCCGCCGCCCGCGCGCGACGACGACGACGAGTTCGAGTTCGACGACGGCGCCGACGTCGAGGCGGCGCCGCCCGCGCGCAAGCGCCGGTCGCCGCGGTCGCACCAGCCCGCGCGGCCCTCACCCAAAAAGCGGCCCGCGCGCAAGCCCACGCCGAAGCGCCGGGCGGCCGAGTCCTCGTCGGAGTCGGACGACGACGAGTCGCCCGCGTCGCCGCGCGCGCCGCCGCCGAAGGCCCGCAAGCCCGCGCCCGCGCCGAAGCGCCGCGCGGCCGATTCCTCGTCCGACGACGACGCGGCGCCCGCGCCGCCGCCGCCGAAGACGCGCAAGCCAGCGCCGAAGCGCGACGCGCCGCCGCGCAAGAAGCGTCGCGCGCGGCCTTCCGCCGCCGCCGACGACGCGGGCCCGGCGCTCGAGAAGTGCCGGAAGTCGCTCCAGGACGCGGCGCGCGGCGTCCAGGCCGCGCACGCCGCGTCGGCGCGCGCGCTCGACGGCTACCGCGACCGCCTCATGGCCGCGGGCGAGCGCCTCATCGACGCGTCGCGGCGGTCGTCGACGGACCAGAAGGCGCGCGGCGACCTGCACGCCGTCCTCAGCGAGCTCTGCACGGCGGCGAGCCCGGCGGCGCCCAAGCTCCCCAGCGTGCCCAAGGCGCCGCCGGCGCGGCGGGCGCGGCGGGCGCCCTCGCCGTCACCGTCGTCATCGTCGTCAGAGGACGAGGCGCCGGCGCCGCGGAAGCGGCCGCGCGCGCGGCGCGCGGCGCCCTCGTCCGACGAGGAGGAGGAGGACGCGCCCGTGCCGTGCTCGCAGGCGGACCTGCCTCCCGAAGAGCAGAAGCGGAACCAGACCGCGCTGTGGCACAAGCTGCGGAGCGAGGGCTGGACGTGGCGCAAGGGCACGGGCCTCACGGACAATTTCTGGTACTTGAGACCCGGCGTGAAGGGGCGGATCACGGACCTGGAGCACAACGTCGACTACTTCGGCGTCGAGGACCTCTGGGTCTACGCCGACGCGCACGACCTCTGGCCGACGGGCGTCGTCGTCGCGGCTCCTCCCGCGCGGAAGAAGAAGAAGAAGGCCAAGGCCCGGCCGCCGCCGTCGAGCGACGACGACGAACCGCCCAATGCACGCGAGAAGAAGCGCGCGCGCGAGATCCCGGAGTCGCTTGGGGACACGCAAGACGTGCGCGCGGAGCTGAAGGCCCAGGGCTGGTCGCACATTATGGCGCCGGACTACATCCAGCGGGCGCGGCCCGCCGTGACGCAGGTGTGGAAGCGGCCGGGGGTGCGGCCGAGCAAACTCGTGCTGGGCTACAACTGCTTCGCGACGGCCGACCTCGCGGCCCTGCACGCCGACGACCGCCCCCTCTCGATGGGCTTCATCCGCGCCGAGTGCGAGAAGTACCTCCCGGACTTGCTCGTGAAGCTGCCGGATCTGGACGACGACGCGGCGCGGTACGAATACGCGAAGGCGCGGTTCGACCAGGAGAACGCGGTGCACGCGACGTCTAAGCGCGCGCGGCGCGGCGAGAAATAAGTTATGCTGCAGTCACTTGTAGCTCCCTTTCTATTCGGGTTTTGGGCCGGGTTCGCGGCCGGGGCAGCCGCAAAACGAGTGAACGCGGCGCTTGATTTCGTGGCCAAGCATCGCATTGCGGCCACCAGCACGCGCATCGATGCGACGAGGCCCAACAAACGACCACAGAGCACTGATGCGATTCCAGCATCCACTTTGGTACAGCTGCCCCACCTGCACCGATCTCGACAACGACGCCACCAACGCGACGTATTGATGCGCAAAAACTTGATGCGCACTCACTGCGGCATGCTGCTCTTCTGGCTCATCTTATGCACCGCTCGCGCGAACGACATCACGAACACGTGCGCCGCAGCGTTCCGCTTGACACTGAAGGGCTACGTGAGCAATGGCAAAGACCCCTCAAAAGTCTGCTCGCCGCCGCCGGCCACGTGTCGACGACCCGCGGGCATTTATCACATGTACTGCAAACAATGCGCCGGCTACGTCATGGGCAAAAACGTCTTCAATCCTTTATGGCCGACGGGCAACATCACCTGGATCGAGAGCACCACCCTCGGGCATGGGAAGACCGCACGCCTACTGGCGAGCGCCCAGCGATCGCGTTGGGTTACCATCACGGTGCTGCGCCACCCGGTCGATAGGGTAGTTGCTCATTATTTCGCCACCCAAATGAACGCGGACTTGGACGCGTGGTCGACGAAGGCGCTGGCGAAGCAGCGGCGCGGCTACGACGGCTCGACTAGGTTATGGTTGGAACTGGAGAACCTGTACACGAAGCTGTTCTCGGCCCACGACGACCGGCGCGGCCCGCTGCCCCCGGACGCGCTGGAACGGGCGGACCGCCAACTTCAGGGCTTCGACCGCGTCGTCATCGCCGAGTGGCTCGAGAGCCCTAGGACAATTGCCTGGCTCGGCGACGTCATGTGCTTCTCGCACGTCGCCGGCGTCGTGAGCGGCAAGTGGCCGTCCTTCGTCCGGACGCGGCGGCGGCGCGGCGGGAAGAAAGTTTTTGAGGAGTTCCGGCGGGACTCCTACGAATCTGCGGAGTTCTGGCGGGCGGCGCGGCCGCGGCTCGAGGACTTGGCGCGGCGCAACAGTCTGGACCAAGAACTCTACGCGCGGGCCTCGAGGCGGATGGACGCGCAGAGCGGGGACCACTGGCGCCGGACGCAGTCGGCTCCGGTGCCGGCGTTGGCGCCGCTCCCCTGCGCGGGCGGCCACTGCTGGGACCTCGCGCGGGGCGGCCCTCCGAAGGACGCGGCGCTCGCCGTGAACGGGTAAACTACACTTAACTTACACAGTCCGGCGCGAACCGCCGCAGGTTCGCCTCGAAGACGCGCGCCGCCTCGGCGTAGACGGCCTCGTCCGCCGCATCAACAAAACCGTCGAGCCGCCCCTCGTCGTAGGGGGCGGGCACGAGCGGCGCGTCGCGCCCCCGCCGCCGCCGCGAGTGCGCGACGACGAACTCGATTTTCCGCGGCGCGCCGCCGAGCATGGCGTGGAACAGGCAGATGGAGTCGGCCCAGCGCTCCTGCAAACCCACAAAGGCGAGGCGCCGCACGACGGCCGTCGCCTTGGCGACGGGCAGGCCGCCGCCGCGCGCGGCCTCGTTCGTCGCGCGCGCCGTCTCCTCGCTCTTCTGGTGCACGTGCGCGCACTTCGCGCCCAAGAGCATCCTCGTGGTGCAGCCCGCGATGCCGGGATGCCGCGCGTAGCCCGACGCGTTCAAGTCGCGCCAGTTCGGCGCCTTGTCCCTATCTTGAAACCCGTCGGCGTGCTTGCGGTCCCTAAACGCCGAGAGAATACGCTGCGCCGGCCGCCGGAACATGGCCACCGTGTCGTCGACGCGGTCCATTGATGCTGGCTTGTGGCCGGGCAGCGTCTGATCGACATCTCTATCACACAACGTCCGGTTGAGCTGGGAGCCGTCGTAGAGCTTGGCGAACCGGATTGGAGTAGCGCCGGGCCCGTAGCCCGCCCGATGGGGCAGGCCGGGGCAGGCCCAATGAAACACAGTATTCTGGAACGTGCTGCCGGTCTTCGGCACGTGGAGCCACCTTAATGATTGTCGCGTGCGGTTGCCGTGCAGAGCGTTTTGCAGGCGGAAGCAGGGCGGGCAGAGTTCTGCGGCTGTGAGTGCGACGACGGCGAGCAGCCGCATCATCGGTGCATGGTTGGCATTCGGCTGCCTCCCGATCTCCCATGCAAGGGCTGCGTGCGCATGCGCTCGACGCACACAAAAATTTAAAGAGGTGCTGTGTGCTAGCGTATCGACATACTAGAAGGCAGTAAGCAACTCAGTAAGCCGTGGAAAGCTTCCGTTGGCGTCCTCCTGAGGCGCGGCAAGTCTCTTCTTTCGCAACGTGCGCAACGCGTCCCGCGTCCGCAATTCCAACGGAGACGAGCTTTAGCTGGCCGCGATCGACCGCGTGGACATGGGCGAGTGGCTCGCCGCCCTCAGGCGCGCGTTTCTGCAAAAGGAAATTCAAACAAAGTATACCTCGGCGGGCTCGCTACTCGCCCGCTCGGCCAGCGTCGGAGCGTCCGGCGGCGGCGCGGGCGACGGCGGCGCCGTCGTGAGCTGGATGATCTCCTTGAGGACCCGGATCTGCGCGAGGAACGGCGTCGCGAGGCTCGCCGAGGAGTCCGAGGAGTAAATCTCCCCGGCCTCCTCTTCAGACTCCTCCTCCTCGACGACCTCCTCCTCGTCAGCCTCGGCCTCGGCCTCGGGCTCACCCCGGTCGTCGTCCTCGTCGACTACATCGGGCTCGGGCTCGGGCTCCGCCGCGACGGCATCGTCCTCCCGCGGCCGCCGCCGCCGCCAGGGGAAGAGGCCGCGCCGCCGCGGCGCCACCTCCGGCTCCGGCGCAGATGGTGCGACCACCACCTCCTCCTCCTCGGCCGGCGCCTCCGCAAGCTCCTCCGCGTCCTCGTCCTCCACAACGACCTCATCGTCGACGACCTCCTCCCCACCTTCGTCAGCAACAGTGTGGTTGCGCGCCATGGCCGCCACTCCGCCCGCGGCTTTCCCAACGGCCTTGCCGGCCTTGCCCAGCCAGCGCGTCGCGACCTTCGACGTGTTCAGCGCGACCGCACCCGCAATCTCGGCGCCGTCCGTGATCTTCTCGCTGATCTCCGCGGCTCTATCGTAGCGCGACCGTCTTTGTTTGCGGGCGGGATGGGAAAACGGCAACCCCAGCAGCTTCTTGCGCTTGGCGCGCTTCCTTTTAATAGCATCCCGAAAATCCTCCATCGCATCAATCGCAAAGGCCGCGCCGTCGGCCATCAAGCCGACGACGGCAGTTCCCGCGCGTCGCACGAAGGGCTCGGCCGCGGTCCAGGCCTGGCCTAAGGCAGGCACCAAGTCCGTCCGCGTCTTCTTGCCTACCACTAACGCCGCGTTCGTCGTCTGCTGCAAAGCGGGTTTTAAGGTTTTGACGGTTGCGGTAGGTACCCCCTTCCAGTTCGACAGGCTCTTCTTCATATTTTTCATGTCCCGGTCATGGAGGTAGGCGACCCAGGCGCAGTACCCGCACGAACACGTGATTACCGTTCGTGTCAAGGTGGGCGACCACCGTTCATAACAGTAGCGGATGGCGCGCACGGGCGCGAGGAGCGTGTGTCTCAGCGTTGCGAGGGTGCCGTTCTTCGGTGGCGGTGGCCGTTTCGGTCGCAGCTGGGGGATGCGCCAGTCGCGGCCGACGAGGGTCGTGCCGCGCGTCGGCGCGGCGCGCAGAGCATGGCTAGCTGTGGCACCAAGTAACGCCATGCGTGCGGCGTGCGACGAGCTGGCAGTACCGCTCCTGATTGTTGCCATGAAAACGTACAGGAAACACGTGTTGGGACGAGCCATGGTCCCGCGGCTGTGGCGCATGGGCGGCGCCAAAGGCTGCACTCAAATGGGCTGCTGCTCAAACTTTTTCATGCTCGCGCATTGCAGGGGTCCTCAGGCCGTCTGGAGGAGTCTCTGCGACGGTTTTTGTAGACGCGTGCGCAGCAAAGTTTCGCTAGCGGCCTGTACTTCAGGTAAGACACTAGAAGCACCTTCGCGGCCATTCAGCCTTTGCGGCGCTGCCTTGTGGTTCCTGGTTGCTCGCAGCAATCAATTTACCGTCGCGTAAGCTCCTTTTGTAGCTAAGAAGGCTTCGTCGCCGCGAAACTGCAGCGGAACGAGTCAAACCTTGTGCTTAAGTAAAGAAGACCCCTGACCATGGCATCACTGCTCCGCGCCGCGCGCACGACGGCGCTGCGAGCGCGCCCCGGCACGGCCGCGCGCCGCTTCGCCTCGGTCGACGTCACGATCAGAGAAGCGCTGAACATGGCCATGGACGAAGAAATGGAGGCCGACGACGCCGTGTTTGTGATGGGCGAAGAAGTGGCCCAGTACCAGGGCGCCTACAAGGTCACGAAGGGTTTGTTTCAGAAATACGGGGAGCGCAGAGTTATTGATACCCCAATCACGGAGATGGGCTTCGCGGGCATCTGCACGGGCGCGGCCTACAAGGACCTCAAGCCGGTCTGCGAGTTCATGACGTTCAATTTCGCGATGCAGGCGATCGACCAGATCGTCAACTCCGCGGCGAAGCAGGCCTACATGAGCAACGGCGACATGAACGTGCCGATCGTCTTCCGGGGCCCGAACGGCGCGGCGGCGGGCGTCGCGGCGCAGCACTCGCAGTGCTTCGCGAGTTGGTTCAGCCAGTGCCCCGGGTTGAAGGTGGTGGCGCCCTACAACGCCGAGGACGCCAAGGGGTTGCTCAAGGCCGCGATCCGGGACCCGAATCCGGTCGTGTTTCTGGAGAACGAGTTATTGTATGGCACGTCCTTCCCCCTGTCGGACGAGGCTCAATCCAAAGATTTCGTGTTGCCGTTAGGTAAGGCGCACATCGAAAGGGAAGGTACTGATGTTACATTAGTAACGTTCAGCAAGATGGTCGGCTACTGTTTGGATGCGGCTGAAGAATTAGCAGCGCAAGGGATCAGCGCGGAGGTGCTCAATTTAAGAAGCTTGAGACCGTTGGACCGGGACGCCATCATCAACTCCGTCAAGAAGACGAATCGCCTCGTGGCCGTCGAGGAGGGCTGGCCGCAGTGCGGCATCGCGGCGGAGATCTGCGCGGTCGTCATGGAGTCGGACGCCTTCGACTACCTCGACGCGCCGGTGGAGCGCGTGACGGGCGCCGACGTGCCGATGGCCTACGCCATTCCCCTCGAAAAGATGTCTTTACCGCAAGTCGAGGACATTGTCGCCGCGGTTTCTCGTACGACGGAGCGGAAGATGTACGGCGTGGCCTAGATATTTCGTTTCCCCCGGCCCCCGTCTAAGTGCATACTATATCGTGGATGATGGTTCGCGGCGACGGCGTGGGCCGGTCAGCCTCGCTCAGGCGTCGGCCTAAAAAACGGGTTTTTCAGGGCCATTTTTTTTTGCCTTTGCGAGCTCGTCGAGCGACAAGGAGAGTTGAGAGACGCAGGGACAATACACAATCACAGAGGAGCAGTCACAAGCGCGGAGACAGCATCTCTGGAGGCTCGGGAATCGAATTTTGTGAAGGCAGGTCAAAAGTCTTGGTCACTGCGCGATGACCGCAAAAGCCTCCATCCCGGCGGGAGCCCTCGCTCAAAACCTACTCGCAACAATCGATGCCTCGGCGGACCCCACGCGGCCACCGATCCACCCGGACACGCTGGCGCTCTACGATTTGTGGCTCGCGAGCGGCGCCGCGAACGAGCCGGCCGCGCCACCCCCGCCGCCCGCGTCGGACGACGATGAAGAGGATTACTCGGAGTCCGACGACGACACCGGCAACGAGCACGACTTCGGCCCGCTTCAATCGAGCTTCTACGGCGTCACCTGGGACCGCAAGAAGGGCCGCTGGCGGGCGGCCGTCCGCCTCGCAAAACGATTAGGTTACGAGGGCCAAGTCTACAACATCGGCCTGTTTGATCATGCGTGGGTCGGCGTCCGAAGCCTCGCTCGTTCGTTCGAAGGCTCGCCAGAGGCTACCGTGAGTCCGTGACGGTTTCGTCGCGCGCAGGAAAAGCAGGCGGCGCGCGCCGTCGACGCCTTCGTCCGGAGGTACATGCCCGAGCTCGTGCATTCGCACCTGAACTTCCCGGACGAGCCCGACGAGGACGACGGCCAGGACAGCCCGGCGGACGACGCAGTACCGCGTAAGTTCGTGCCGAACGAGCTGGAACGCGCCGCGGACGCGTCCGCGGGTCCTCCGCCGCCGCCCGCTCCGGAGGTGCCACCCGCGGCTCCTCCGCCGCCGCCCGCGGACCAGATGGCCACCGCCTCGGATTCCGCCATGGAGAGCGCACCCGCGCCCATGGAAAGCGACGAGGATCAAGACGACGAAAGCGTACCGGAAGTCCCGGGTACGACTATCTGAGGTCGTCCGCGGATCGGCGACGGGCGACGGCTAGGCGAGGCCTAATCAATCATGTAGTCTTAAATGGGGAAGCTGATATCTAGGAAGAGAACTAGTAAACAAGCCATTATCAGTAGTCCGCCAACCGAGCACGTTTGAGATCCTGGGTCGGCGCCGCCTCCTCCTCGACGGCTTCGTCGTCGTCGCGCTCCCGCTTGCCGTTGTCCTCAATTTCCTCGAGCGCCGCCATACCCACGCGCGACAGCGGCGCCAGCAACACCTCCTCCTCGTCGACGCCCGGCAGCAGTTGCGCCTCGGCGAAACTATCAAGCCCCTCGAACGGCTCCCGGTCCGCACGGTCCAGCAGGTCCACTAGCGGCTGCACGGCCGCGCCCGGCGCGCCGTCGGGGTCCCGGCAACTTTTGGATAGGGCCTCCCGGACTTTGTTCAGGAGGCGCACGTCCTTCGCGTCAATATTGGTCACGAGCGGCACAATCAACGAGTCCGGCGCCTGCGTCCCGAACAGCTCGACGCCCACGATCCTATCATCATCCAGCAGCCACCGCACGTCGCGCGAGCAGGCCAGTAATAATAACTCCGCCGCGCCGCGCGGCTCCGCCGGGAGCAACGTCGGCGAGTGCGCGAGCTGCCGCGTCTTCGACGCGCCGCGCGACGAGAAGCACGGCGCGACGAGCCACCGCCGCCGCGTGGCCGCAGACCCGTAGGGGTCCACGAAGAAGCGCGCGTTCGGCGACGACCACGTCGGCTCGACGTGCGCCGACGCGCCCGGTCGTCGGAACTGGAGCGTCGCCGCCTTGAGCTGCGGGTCGCGCAGGTGCAAGGACCCGTCCCGACCTAGAGGCAACCTTAACGACCCGCGCACGCCGGCCATGCGCGCGCACGCGACCGCGTCCTGCGCCGACCGCGTCGTCAGCTCTAAATACACGGGCGTTTCGTCCGTCTCCATGGCGTCGGGCTTCGTGTCCAGGCCCTCGTAGACGGCATCAAAATCCGCGTCGCGGGCCTTTTGCTCCGCGTCCTCGTCGTCCTCGTTGCCGCTCAGGCCCTCGATGTCCAGCGGTTGGGTGGTCGTCGTTTCGGTGGGCGCGGGCGCCGGCGCGGGCGCGGGCGGTGCCTCCTCCTCCATCCGGTCCTCCTCGCCCTCCCGATACAGGCGCGCGTCCGTCGCGCCGCACTTGTCGAAGGCCTGGCGCGCCTTCTTCGCGTCCTCTGTGAATGATTCCCGGGGCCGCGCGGGCTCGACGCGGAACCGCAATATACCCCTCTGCTCCGTCGACTGCTCGCAGCCGTCCGAGACCGCGACCAACGGCGCGAAGCAACATAAGAGGGCGAATTTTTTTGCCGTCGTAATTAAAGCAGGTTGTTTTTTCAGGAGGTGCTGCAGACCGTTCCGCGCGCGTCTTAATCGTTGCAGGGCGCCTCTCGGTCTTTTTTGTCGTCTTGCGATGAGTCGATCGTACGTGTCGCCCAACCTCCGAGACAACGCGTCCACTTCCACCAGGCGTTTAAACGAGGCGTGGTTCTGGCGCGCGTATCTGGCCGCATCATCTCGGGACTGCGTCCTTAGTCGCCGTTTGAACTCCCTTAAAATAGCGACTGTCGCGAGAGCGTCGGAGAATTGTTGTTGTTCCGTGATCCGTCGCCGAGGGAGGAAGTGGGCCACCTCCTGCCGGCCCTGGTCTAAGGTTAGAGCCAAGGGGTCGCCCTCCGTCGCTTCCTCGGCCTTCTTCTTGCCGGCCTCGAAGGGCTGCAGGAAGACGTCCCTCAGCGACACGGCCGCGGCGACGACGCACATGTCGTCCAAGCACCCCAGGGCCGCCCCGAAGGCCACGAGCCTCCCAATGTTCGCGTCGACCTCCAAGCGAGCCACCAACTCGCCGAGGGGCTCGACCTCGAAGTCCTCTCCAATTCTCCGAATCGCCCCGATCTTCACGAGCGATTGTAGAGCGTCCAACACGTCGCGCCGCTGCGGCGCGTCGAGGGCCTCGGCCAATAGCTGCGCCGGCTGGTCATCCAACAACAACGCCTTGAGGGCCACCGTCGGCAGGGGCGCGCGCACAATTTCCGGAGGGATGTACGGCGGCATGGACCCATAGATCTTCTGGCTGTAGAGCCGGATGCAGGCGCCCGGCGCGACGCGGCCGCAGCGGCCCGCTCGTTGCGCGCACGACGCCCGGGAGCAGTGTCTCGTCAGCAAAGCTTGCGTCCGCGTCCGCGGATCATAGACCGGCAATTTTTCAAGACCAAAATCAATCACGAAGCGCACGCCGGGCACCGTCACGGAACTCTCGGCGACATTCGTCGTGATGACGCAGCGCCTTTTCTCGGAATGTTCGGGCGTCGTGAGCGCGTGGCGCTGCTGCTCGTCGTCGAGAGCTCCATGTAAAGGCAACACGTCGTAGAGCCGCTGGACGCCCTCCTTCCGACACAAGTTCTCGAGCTCCTCGATTTCCGCGACGCCCGGGGCGAAGACGAGGACGTCCTTGCGCGTGCTCGACTCGGTGTCGGGCGGCAGGAGGCTCGCCTCGAAGTCCGCGTCCATGAGGGCCTTGAGCACGCTGACGCAGGCCCGCGACGCCTCGCGCTCGAACCGCGCGTTCTGCGTGTCCTTGGGCACGTACTCGCTCCAGGGCTCGATGCGGAACTCCGTCGACCGCGACTTCTGGATGACCTCCTCGAGGTCGTGGACGCGCACGGGGTAGGGCCGCGTGCCGACGTGCAAATGCGGCGTCCGGTCGCCGAAGAAGCCACACAACCGCTGCGCGTCGACGGTCGCCGACATGATGATGACCTTCGGGACGCGTTTCGATGAGGTGCGCCCGTCGATGACCATCCGCCTTAATGTGACCAGCACGAGATCCATGTCGACGTCGCGCTCGTGCGCCTCGTCGATCAAAATGTGGGAGTAGTTCATGGCCGTGTCGTCTCTATGATGGGTGAGTAACTGCAAGAGCACCCCGGTCGTCATGTAGACGCACTTCGCCGGTTTGTTGACCGATCCCTGCGCCGCGGGCACGGCCCGGAGCTCCTCGTCGTCGTCGTCCTCATCTTTCCCTTCGCGCTGGTAGGCGTCGAGCTCCTCGTCCAAAGCGGCCTCGTCGACCTCGCCCGCGGCCGGCGCGCCGCGCCGGTCGCCCGCGACGTGGTAGCCCACGGACTGGCCGATGGCCTCGCCGCGCTCCGCCGCGACGCGCCGCGCGACGCTCACGGCCGCGACGCGCCGCGGCTGCGTCACGAGCACGCGCGGCTCCCGTTCGTTTTCCGGCCGCGGCGCATCAATAATATATTGGGGCACTTGCGTCGACTTGCCGCAGCCGGCCTCGCCCGTGATGACGACGGCCCGGTTCGCCGCGACCAGCTCGACGATCTGTTTTTTAAATTGCGTCACCGGCAGGGCCTCGCGCCGGTCCGCGGCCGTCTTGTCGCGCGTCCAGGTCCTGGTGGCGCCGCGCCCGCGGCCTCTCCCGCGCCCGCGGCCCTTGCCCTTGCCGCCTCGTCCATAACCTTTACCTTTGCCGTAGCTTCGGCCTCGGCCGCGCCAGGCCATTCTTCGCGCTGCGCCTCGCGTTGACTGTGCGACTGCTGCGCCTGTTTTCAGTGCTGCTTTCCTCGCGCTGCGCCTGGCGTCGACTGTGCGACTGCGTCCGCCTGTTTTTCAGTGCTGCTCTTCTCGCTGCGTTTTAGTGATGCTGCAGGAGGCAGGCGTGGACGTTTGACAGCGATTCGAGCGCTTTAACAACACCCCGTACGCGATTATCGCTCGTTTTGTACGACGCGGCAGCCCTGGTGAAAAAGCTAGTGTCTTACAGTCCGCTAGCCCTGAGGCCTCGGTGAAATAAGCAGGCTCTGGGCTGAGCAAGAAAGTTTGGGAAGGGCGTCGCGGCGTTTTCTGAACGTCCACGGCGCAGCTGAAGCGCTTAGGGACCGTCGTTGTCATTCGTGCCTGTGCAGGTGCCCGAGCCTGCAGTGTGCACAAGCTGATACCGATCGTGCCTGCAGAGCGTCGTAGCGATGCTCCGGGTTCTATTATGGTGCGCTGCAGTCGTCCAGAGCTTCCGTTTCGACGCGAGGCAACGCTGCACCGTGCAGCGGCATGCTGCCGCGTCGGGTGCTTCCAACGCTGCTGACGCTGCGACGCCAGCTGCGACGCCAGCCGCCGCGCCCCACACGCGTCGCAAGCGCTACGCTGGAAGGTACCCGCGGAACTTCAGCGAGCGGTATAAGGAACAAGCGGGCGACGAGGCGACCGTCAAGCGGGTCCTGGAGAAGGGCGGCACGCCCGCCGGCACGCATGTCCCAATAATGGTAAGCGAGTGCCTCGAGCACCTAAACGCGACCGGCGCCGACGTTGCCGTTGACTGCACGCTGGGCTATGGCGGCCATTCTTCCGCACTGATCGCGGCGCTGCCACCCAACGCGCGCCTGCTGTGCTTCGACCGCGACGGCGTCGAGCTCGCGAGGACATCAAAGCGCCTGGCGCCGCTGGCCTCCGACGGCAACGTAGAACTGGAAGCGGTCCACGCGAACTACGCGCGCGTCGGCGCCGAGCTGGCGCAACGCCATGTGAGGGCGTCCTGCCTCCTGGCGGACCTGGGCTGCTCGTCGATGCAGATCGACGACCCGGAGCGGGGGTTTACTTTCAAAAGGGACGGTCCATTGGACATGCGCATGGGCCTGGCCGAGGCCACCGCGGCGGACTGGCTGGGCCGCGCGTCGATCAAGGAACTGTCAGCGGCACTGCGGGATGGCGCGGACTTCTCCCGTCGCGACGCGCGCGAGATCGCCGTCGCAATATTGAAAGAATCGGTGCCGGCGACGACGACCCTACTCGCCGACCGCGTACGCGCGGTCCGCCTCGAGGAGGAGGACTGCACCGGCGACGACGCCGTGAAGCGAGCGATGCAAGCCCTACGGATTGTAGTGAATGGCGAGTTCGCTGCGCTTGAGGAACTCCTTGCTTCGTTGCCAGACATTCTGGCGCCCGGCGGCCGCGCGGTTTTCTTGACCTTTCATTCAGGCGAGGACCGACGCGTGAAGAAGTCCTTCAAAAAGGGCATCGCTTCTGGAATCTACACGGACGCTGCGCGGCGGCCCGTCCGGCCGTCGCCGCAGGAACGGAGGTCAAACTCGCGGAGCGGGTGCTGCAAACTGAGATGGTGCGTGCGGGCTCTAGATTCGTAGTAACGGTTGTGTGTCTTCCGAAAAAAGCGAGGGACTGGGCGGCGTACGAGAGCCCGCGGGGGCGGCGGGGCGGGCGTTCGGTCACGCAGCGCCCGCGGCGGGTCGTGGAGGCGGCCGAGCTCTAAGCAAAGCAGACTACGATAAAGAGAAACTTATACTACACATCGCCCCCCGTGTGGATCCGCTTGTTGAGGATGTCCACCATCATGCGGATGCGAAAGTGCTGGATGTCGTCCTGCGAGAAGTCGAGCTGCTCCGTGAGCGACATGTAGTGCGCGCAGAACGACGCGAAGACGCCGCAGTCGTAGCCGTTCGTCTGCCGCGGCGTGTCGCGCGTCGTCCGCGTGAGCGTCCAGCCGCCCTCGAGCTCCGAGCCCTTCTTCGTGCGGTGCTCGTCCTCGAGGTAGCGCTTCATCGCTTTGAGGTAGGGCTCGCCGCCGGCGCCCATGGAGTCGAAGTAGCGCACCTCCTTGCGCGCCACGTCGACCATGACCATGCACCAGTGCATGTTGCCCACGTTCACGGGCGCGAAGACCTTGGACCGCGAGAAGAGGTCGAAGCGCTTCGTCCAGCGCTTGACCTGGCGGTAGTTGTAGCTGCCGTTCTCCAGGAGCTTCGTGAAGAAGAAGCTGTTGAAGAAGTGGCACGGCTTCCGGCTACCGTCGGACGCGCAGACGAGGGCGTCGCGCTCCTGCAGCAGGAACATGTAGTAGTTGACGACCTCGTCGACGAGCCAGCCCGACGGGCTCAGGCGCTGCGTGTGCTCGCCGAAGACCTCGGCGTTGACGAAGCGCAGGACCTCGACCGGCGAGTTCTTCCCCAGCATCTCCGCGACGAGCTGGCGGTCCGGCGCGCGGATCGCGCGGTGCGCCTTCCGCCGGTCGTCGTCGCCGATCGGGTCCTTGGCCCGGTTCGCCAGCGCGAGCAGGCGCGCGGGCCCCGCCGCCGCCGCGCGCCGCCGCTCCTCGGCCTCCTGCTCGGCGCGGATGCGCTGCAAATGGTCCTGGCGCCGCTTCTCGACGTGAGCCTCGCGCGCCGCCTTGCGCCGCTCCCAGCCCCGCTCCTCCTTCGCCCGCGCGGCCCGCGGCGAGAAGGCGGCGAGCTCGGCCGCCGGCAGCCGGCGCGCGGCCGCGTCCAGGGGCGGCGGCGGCGACGGCGCGCGCGGCGTGCCCGGCGCGACGTCGTAGCGCGTGCTCCCCAGGCTCAGCTTCTCGAGGCGCGCGCGGTACGCCTCCCAGGACGCGTCGGCGTCGACGAGCCGCTTCGGCCGCGGCCGCGGCGGCACGCCGACCCGCGCGCCGTGGATCACGGCGGCGACGAACGCGTCCTCGGAGACCTTCGCGCCCGGGTCGCACCGCTGGAGCTCCTCGAGCCGCGCCTCGAGGGCCTTCCGGTCGCGCGTCGCGAGGCCCGCGTAGTCCCAGAGCGCGTAGGACCGCGCCGCCGCCACCGCGTCGCGCAGCAGCGTGCCGTTGTCCTTCGGCGCGACGCGGTGGCAGTCCCGTAACGTCTGGGTCGCCTCGAAGCTCAGGAAGAGCGTCGGCGCCTGCTGCTGGACGAGGGCCATGACGTTGCGCCGCGCCCGCGCGCGCAGGCGGCGGCGGCGGTGCTTCGCTATTATTCAAGCTCGCGCGCGCGCCGCAGCGATGCTCGCGCCGCAGAGATGCGAGCGCCGCGGTAGCCTGAGGAGGCACAGCCGGCGGCCCTTGCAGGCGTGCGCAGCGCAAGCGTAGCTGCGCACCAAATTGGACCCACAGCCCATTTTCCTAGTGTCTTACAGCCGCTAGCCGTCAACCTCAAAAATCGCGCCGCCTGCGCCGCCGCCGGCCCACGACGTGCCCGGGCCACTGATGCGTCGACCTCTAGATAAATAAACTAACATTACCTCGCCACGGGCACCGCCTCCGCGGCGCGCACGGGCGCGTTGTTCTCGAAGAGGTACTCGAGGAGCTCGCGCGACGCCGTCAGGATGTTGCGCGACGTCCGCGGCGCCGCGCCGTGGCGCGCCGCGATCTCGGCGTACTCCTCGTAGAGGCCCGCCAGGCGCGATTGCGCCACAGTCGGTATCGCGTGGTGCAGGGACTGCATGTTGAGGCCCGCGGTCAGCATGGCAACGAGCTCCCGCTCTCTTGGATTGTGCACCGAGTAGTCGTAGGAGTGCGCGATCTGCCGCGCGGTCCAGCAGTCGTCCTCGGCGACGGGCTGGTGGCAGTCGTCCTGGACGTGGCTCGTCTGCGTCATCGCCGTCCAGATCAGCGACGCCCCCACGAACGGGTACAGGCTCTCGAGTACCGCCAAGCCCCAATTCCCCCTTCCGACGCCGAACGCCAGCAGCGGATACACGAGGCAAAAGATCGTCGGCGCCACGGAGAGCCAGAGCTGTTTTTTGGAAACGTCGTCGGGCACGGGCGTGATGTTCACGTCGAAGTTCGGCGTCGGCTTGTCGAGCAGCGTCCGCAGCGGCTGGAGCAGCGACGTGCCGAGCGTCGTCAAACACCCCTTCCAGCAGAAGGTCCAGGCCTCGTTGAACTTGTCGTTAATCGGCGTCTCGGGCGACAGCGCCGCCGGCGCGAAGTGGTGCAGGTCCACGTCGAAGTCGTGCTCGTTCGTGAACTGGTGGTGGCTGTGCAGGTGCTGCGGGATCCACACGAAGACGTTGAAGAAGAGCGGGTGCGCCGTGAACTGGAGCCAGTAGTTCACCCAGGGCCGCTTCGAGAGACTACCGTGGGTGGCGTCGTGCGCGGTGTGGGCCACGAGCAGCCAGGCCGCGAAGGGCAGGACGAGCGTCGCGAGGACGGAACCCTGCAGCCACCGCAGCCACGCCGACGCCGTCAGCGCGCCGAAGAGGCCGATGCGCAGCCATTGCCCAGGCGTCGCCTTCGCCGCGTCGGGGTCCGTGCCGAACCTCCGTCGGACGAGCGCGCGGAGCTCCTTCCGTAACGGCGAGTCGATCTCGACCTCGTCCGGTTCCTCGCCCAGCGCGAAGCCGTACGGCGCCGCGTCGCGGGGCTCGTCGATCTTCGGCAGCTTCCGGAGCGCGTTCCGCGCCTTCTCCTCGTTCAAAGAATGGATGGACTTGAAGAGGAAGGACACGTCGCGCCCGCGGGCGTACTCGACGAGCCACCGGCCGCCGGCGTGCGTCGTCTCGGCGTAGTGGCGCGCGTCGTACCATTCGCCGTCGATCCTTAGCGGCAGTGGTTTTTTTGTTGGTGTCTGGAGGGCGGTTGTGGTCTGCAATGCGAGCGCGACGGCGAGGCGACGCATCTTGCCCCTGGAGCAATGTGCTCGAGTGTCAGCAAGGGCTGCTTTTGTCGCCTCGCTGCGCGGGCGGGTGGAGGCAGCCAAGCACGCGTCAAACCAAGCTTATCACCTGGATGCGGACGCTACGCTCGTCAACCTCCCGACGTGTACGTAAGCTCGCAGCAGCGCTAGTGTCTTACATGCCGCTAGCAAGGCGGCTTCAACTTTTGCGCACGCGTCTGTTCCTGGCCGTTCGCGCTGCATTTGTCTCGAACCAAGTGCTTTTTGCATTTGCTGGCATTTTTTTGCGGGCGCACGACAGCGTGCTGCAGCTGCCTGATAGTTCATGCACCAAGACTTGGTGCTGCCTGCATTTGCCGGCGATTTGGGCGCACGACAGCGTAGAGCTGCCTGATAGGAGCAGCAATGCGATGATCCGCAAGACACTCCTCGTGGCCTGCTTCGCGTCCGCGACGGGCAGCGGCTGGGTCAGACGCGCCCACAAGCGCAAGCAGCGGAACGCGACGCGGCCGCAGCTCCAGCCCGTGACGTCCGAGGACGTGTCGCGCTACTTTGCGCGAAACGACCTCGACGGCCTGTGCGCCGCGCTGCGCGACCACTTCTCGCGGACGGCGCGGCAGCCCGGGCCGCTCGACGGGAAGCTGCCGCTGCGCGACGCGCTCGTCGCCAAGGGCGCCGGGGCGCACTACTCGTCGGCCTACAAGCTCCAGCACGACGTCGAGCAGCTGCAGTACGTCGCAGCGCGCAACGCCTCAATAGCCGCCTATCTGAACGAACATGCCGTTATAGAACGGTTCCAGCGCGTGCGGCGCCGCATTCCTCCTTTGGACCAACTACAAAGGACCAATGGTCTCTGGGCGTTCCGGCCCGAGGACACGGCGGACATCGGCGACTTTTACAACCGGGCCATCCACGTGCCCGACCCGCAGCCAGTGACCCCCATGCTCAACGCGAAATCCTTCGCGGACGCCGACGCGCGGTACCGGGCGGGCCCCTTCGCAATCGACGATGCGTTGACGCCCGCCGCACTGGACCAGATCCGCTCGCTATTGTTGGAATCGACGGTCTTCTTCGAAACCAAGATGCCGGCCGTGTTCGGCGGGTACGTCGGCGCCATCGTCGAGGACGGCTTGCACGCGCGCGCGCTGCTGGAGCTCGCCGACGCGCTGCGACGGGCCATGCCCGAGACGCTGGGCGACCACCCGCTGGCCTACCTCTGGTGCTACAAGTACGATTCGCAGTACGAGGGCATTAGCGTGCACGCCGACGAGGCCGCCGTGAACCTGAACATCTGGCTGACGCCGGACGACGCCAACCTGGACCCGGCGAGCGGCGGCCTCGTGGTCTACACGGCGAAGCCGCCCGCGACCGCGACGGCCGAGGAGTACAACCAGCGCGGCGCCGAGTTCGCGGACGAGCTGCTGCGGTCGACGGACTACGAGAACGTCACGATCCCCTACCGCCAGAACCGGATCGTCGTCTTCGACAGCGCGCTGTACCACAAGACGGACTCGTTCCGGTTCCGGGAGGGCTACGAGAACCGACGGATCAACCTCACGCTGCTCTTCGGGAAGATGCGGCGCGGGCACGATGCGCCGGCGGCGGGGGAGTTGTAAGCTTTCTCTGTCCGATCCTAGGGCGACGGCGTCTCGCGGCCGCGCGCGCGAGACAACCTCATTCATTGGCCCCTTGGCTCCGGGGATGCGTAGGTACCCGTGCCTGCGGCGTCCCCGCGCTTCTTTCGCGCCCTTGAATTCATGAAGCGGAGGGGGGGTAGCAGCAAGCGGAGCAGCAGTGAACGACCCACACGCGAACTGCGGCTCGGGAGGGGGGGCTGCAGCTGCGCGAGGATGGTCCCGGCCGGCGCCCGCGCGCGGGTCCTCGTGCTGAGCGCGCTGGCGGCGCTGCCGGCCGGCGCCGGGCCGGCGGGGCTGCCTAAGCAGCCACTCCCCAAGCTCCTCGCGGCGACCAACGCCGCCGCACACGACTCGCTCGCGCCGCCCGGCGCGATGGGAGCGACGTCGCGCGCGCTGGTGGTCGCCCGGGAGCGGCGGCTGACAACCGCCGACTACGCGCAGCTCGCTAAGCTCGTGGCCGGCGACGCCGCGTCGGGCGATTACTTCGGCTTCTCCTTGGCGATCGACGGTGACACCGTCGTGATCGGGGCCTACGGGGCCGGCCCAGGAGTAGCCTACATCCTACGTGCGAGCGATGGCGTCCAGCTGGCCAAGCTCATGGCCTCCGACGCCGCGGCGGACGACTACTTCGGCTGGTCCGTGGCCATCAACGGTGACACCGTCGTGGTCGGGGCCAGGCAAGACGACGACGGCGGCTCCAGTTCGGGCTCAGTCTACGTCTTCCGCACGAGCGACGGCGGCGCCACATACGTCGAAGTGGCCAAGCTGACAGCTTCCGACGCCGCGGTGGGCGATCGCTTCGGCTTCTCCGTGGCGATCGATGGCAGCACCGTCGTGGTCGGCGCAAACCAGTGGGGTAACGGCGGCTCAGGCGCAGCCTACGTCTTCCGCACGAGCGACGGCGGCGCCACGTACAGCCAGGTGGCCAAGTTGACTGCAAGCGACGCCGCGTCGTACGACGAGTTCGGCTGGTCCGTGGCCATCGACGGTGGCACCGTCGTGGTTGGTGCATTCAAAGACGACGACGCCGGCTCCAAATCGGGCTCGGCCTATGTCTTCCGCACGAGCGATGGCGGCGCGACGTACGGCCAGGTGGCCAAGCTGACGGCCGCCGACGCCGCTGCTAGCGACGAGTCTGGCTTCTCAGTGGCCATCGACGGAGACACCGTCGTGATTGGGTCCCCGTACGACGACGACGGCGGCTCCAACTCGGGCTCGGCCTACGTCTTCCTCACGACCGACGGCGGCGCCACCTACGGCCGGGTGGCCAAGCTGACGGCCGACGACGCCACGGCGAGCAACGGGTTCGGTTGGTCCGTGGCGATCGACGGGGATACCGTTGTGATCGGGACCCGCTACGGGGAAGCCGCCTACGTCCTCCGCACAACCGACGGCGGCGCCACGTACGGCCAGGTGGCCAAGCTGACGGCCGCCGACGCCGCGTCGGGCGACGAGTTCGGCATGTCCGTGGCGATCAGCGATGGAACTGTCGTGGTCGGGGCCTGGAAAGACGACGACACCGGCTCCGACTCGGGCTCGGCCTACGTCTTCGCCCTGCCGTCGACCGACTACGCGCAGCTCGCGAAGCTCGTGGCCGGCGACGCCGCGTCGGGCGACCGCTTCGGCGGCTCCGTGGCGGTCGACGGGGACACCGTCGTGGTTGGTGCCTACTACGAACACAGCCAAAGAGGCGCGGTCTACGTCTACCGCACGAGCGACGGCGGCGCCACATATGTCGAAGTGGCCAAGCTGACGGCCTCCGACGCCGCGTCGGGCGACTACTTCGGCTACTCCGTGGCGATCGACGGGGACACCGTCGTGGTCGGTGCCTACAAAGCTGGCACCGGCGGCGCACTCTACGTCTTCATCACGAGCGACGGCGGCGCCACCTACGCCCAGGTGGCCAAGCTGACGGCCGCCGACGCCGCGGCGAGCGACTACTTCGGCTACTCCGTGGCGATCGACGGCAACACCGTCGTGGTCGGGGCCTACGGCGATGATGATGCCGGCTCCGCCTCGGGCGCAGTTTACGTCTTCCGCACGACCGACGGCGGCACCACGTACGACCAGGTGGCCAAGCTGATTGCAAGCGACGCCTCGTCGGGCGACGACTTCGGCCTCTCCGTGGCCATCGACGGCGACACCATCGTAGTCGGTGCCGATGCAACGAATTTTTATGGTGGTTCTGGCTGGGGCTCGGTTTACGTCTTTCGCACAAGCGACGGCGGCGCCACGTATGGCCAGGTGGCCAAGCTGACAGCTGACGACGCCGCGACGTACGACTCCTTCGGCGAGTCCGTGGCGATCGACGGCGACACCGTAGCAATCCGTGGTGATGGTTCCGTATACATCTTCCGCACGACCGACGACGGCGGAACTTGGTCCCAAGTTGCGAAGCTCGTGACTAGCGATGGCGTTTCTATCTATCGTGTGGCGATCTCCGGTGATGTCGTCGTGGCTGGGGCCTTCTATGACGACAGTATTGCCAGCAACGCGGGCGCGGCCTACGTCTTCCGCACGACCGACGGCGGCGCCACGTACGGCCAGGTGGCCAAGCTGACGGCCGCCGACGCCGCCGCGGGCGACTACTTCGGCTACTCCGTGGCGACCGACGGCCAAAAGGTCGTGGTCGGGGCCTACTGGGACGACGACGCCGGCTCCAACTCCGGCTCGGCCTACATCTTCGCCCTCCCCGCCTCGTCGCCCGCGCCGACCGTCGCGCCGACCGCCTGGCCGCTCCACGCGGAGACGGACAAGATGCTGGCGAGCGACGGCGCCGCGAGCGACTGGTTCGGCGTCTCCGTGGCCGCCGCCGGCGACCTCGTCGCGCTCGGGGCGCCGAGGCACAAGACCTACGCCGGCGCGGTCTACGTCTTCCGGACGAGCGACGGCGGCGTCACCTACGGCCAGGTGGCCAAGGTGGCGCACCCGGCGATCGCCGACGGGGCCTGCGCGGCGACCTGTTTCGAATACTCGTGCGACACCTTGTTCAACTCCGGCTACGCCTGCGCGACGCTCGAGGGCACCTACGGCTGCGACTGCTCGGGCTGCTCGTGCGGCGCCGGGTACCTCTTCGGCTGGTCCGTGGCGCTGGCCGGCGACCGCCTCGTCGTCGGCGCCGGGTGCCCGCCCTGGTGGATCATGGGCGTGTGCGACTACGCCAACGCCGCCATCGTCTTCCGCACGGCGGACAACGGCGCGTCGTGGACGCACCTCGCGACGCTGACGGCGGCCGACGCGGGGCCGGACACGCGCTTCGGCTCCGCCGTGGCCGCCGCCGGCACCGTCGTCGCCGTCGGGGCGCCCCACGACGACGGCGGCGGCGGCCTCCAGTCCGGGGCCGTCTACCTCTTCGCGACGAGCGACAACGGCGCGACGTGGGCCCAGACCGCGAAGCTCAAGGCCACCGACGCCGCCGCCTACGACATGTTCGGCATCTCCGTGGCGACGGACGGCGCCACCGTCGTGACCGGGGCCTACGGCGACGGAAACGCCGGGTCGGACGGGCAGAACAATCCGGTCGGCGCCGTGGGCGCGGTCTACGTCTTCCGCGCGAGCGACGGCGCCCAGCTGGCCAAGCTCACGGCCGCCGACGCCGCGACGGGCGACATGTTCGGCTACTCCGTGGCGATCGAGGGCAGCACCGTCGCGATCGGGGCCCGCGGCGACGGCAGCAACGCGGGCGCCGTCTACCTGTACGACACGGCGACGTGGACCGAAACGGCGAAGCTCGCGGCGGCCGACGCGGCCGCGGGCGACCTGTTCGGCTACTCTCTTTCCCTGTCCGGCGACGGCCTCGCCGTCGGGGCCATGGGCGACGACGGGGCCGCGGGCTCGGTCTACCTCTTCCGCACGGACGGCACGACGTGGGCCCAGTACGACGAGGTCACCTCCGGCGACGCCGCGGCCGGGAACGTCCTCGGCTACTCGGTGGCGCTGTCCGGCGACCGCGTCGTCTCCGGCGCGCCCAACGAGGACGAGCTCGCCGACAACGCGGGCGCGGCCTACGCCTTCGTCCCGGCGCCGACGCCCCAGCCGTCGCCGGCGCCGTCGCCGCCGCCGACGCCTCGCCCGAGCGCCCAGCCGTCGCCCCGGCCGACGCCCGCGCCGTCCGTCCGGCCGACGCCGGCGCCCAGCGCGCCCCCGTCGTCGCGGCCGACGCCGGCGCCCAGCGCGCGGCCGACCCCGACCCCGACGCCCCGACCGTCGCCGGTACCCACGCCGAAGCCGACGCCCTCGCCCTCGCCACGCCCGACCCCGAAACCGACGCCGGACCCGACGCCCGTGCCCGGCGATCCCACGGCCGCGCCGGTCTTCGCGCCGACGCCAAGACCAACAGCGAAGCCGACGCCAAACCCGACGCCCGCGCCGACGCCGAAGCCGTCGCCGAAGCCCACGCCGGCACCCTCCGTCGCGCCGACGCCCGCGCCCTCGCCGCGGCCGACGCCGGGCCCGTCGCCGGGCCCCACGCCGGGCCCCACGACGCCCCTGCCGTCGCGGCGGCCGACGCCCGCGCCGTCGCCGCGGCCGACGCCGCGGCCGACGCCGGCGCCGTCGTCGGACCCGACGCTCGCGCCGACGCGGGAGTCCGACCGCTACTGCCGCGCCGGCACGTACGGCGCGGGCGGCGTCGCGCCCTGCACGCCCTGCGCCGCGGGCTACTTCCAGCCCGACCACCGGCAGGAGAGCTGCCGGCCGTGCGGGCTCGACACCTTCAACACGGCGCCCGGCTCGGGCAGCTGCCTCCCCTGCGAGGCGGGCAAGTTCGCGGCGACGGGCTCGCAGAGCTGCTCGCGCTGCGCCCGGGGCCAGCGCGAGAGCCCGCTGCCCGGCGGGACCATCGCCTGCGTCGACTGCGACCCCGGCAGCTACTCGCCGCTGGGCCTCTACTGCGCGACGTGCCCCGCGGGCTCGTACTCGCCCGACCGCGCGACGTGCCTGCCGTGCGCGCCGGGCACGTACAGCGACGCCGACGGCGCGACGGCGTGCGCCAAGTGCCCGAACGGCCGCTACCAGTCCGCGCCCGGGCAGCAGCGCTGCGAGGCCTGCGAGGCGGGCCGCGCCGCCGAGCTGACGGCGGCCAGCCCGCTGAACGTCCAGTGCGACGCCTGCGACGCGGGCAAGGTCAGCGCCGCCGGCGCGCGCGTCTGCCTCGCGTGCGAGGCCGGCCGGAACCAGCCCGAGTCGGGCCGCGCGGCGTGCGAGGCGTGCGCGGCGGGGCGCTTCGCGCGGAGCGCCGGCCAGACCTTCTGCGAGAGCTGCCGCACCGAGGGCGCCGGGCGCTGGAGCGCGCCGGGCGCCGCGGCCTGCGACGTGTGCGAGCGCGACTACTACTACGACAACCGGACGTGCCACGGCTGCCCCTGGTCGGCGACGTGCCCGCAGGGCTCGACGCTCGGCAGCCCCTGGGGCGTGCGCGCGGGCTTCTACCGCTTCTCGATGGACACGCCGGCCATCTACCGCTGCAGGCGCCTGTGTGGAAATCGAATTTCGGGCGCCCCACTTGTCTCTGTAGCTGCGTCTGCTCGATGGCGTGGAATTTCCAGGCCATCGACGCGACGTTGTCCCCGTGGCCGCGTCGGCTCGATGGCGTGGAGGTTCACAAAGGTCTAACCTAACTCACTGGTTGATTTCCACACAGGCAAGCGCAACGAGGGCTGCGCCAGCGGCAACTCGAGCGGCAACGCGCTCTGCGCCAAGCACCACCGCGGGCCGCTCTGCCAGCTCTGCGACGACGGCTACTACCTCGAGCCCGTCCTGCGCCGGTGCAAGCGGTGCGGCGCCAGGCCGTCGGTCTTCCTGCGGGTCGTCTACGCCGTCGCCATGATCGTCGCCCTGGCGCTCGTCGGCGCGGTCGCGTGGTCCGCGGCGGCGTCGCTCGGGGCGCTCTGCGGCTGCCGCTGGCCGGCGGCCCTCTCGTGCGAGGGCTGGCGCGCGGTGCGCGTCTGGCGCGCGGCGAAGCGCGAGGTCTGGAGCTTCCTGACGAGCACGTGCGCGCTCGCGATCTGGCACTCGCTCGCGGTCCTCGTGCGCTTCTCGAGCGTCGAGGACGTCGACTACCCGGGGGCGTTCAAGTGGCTCATGCGCATCTACGCGCTCGTGACCTTCGACCTCGCCGCCTGGCTGCCGACGCCCTGCGCGGGCTGGTCGTACTACCACACGCTGCTCATGGCGACGCTCCTGCCCCTCTACCTCGTCCTCGTCGTCGCGCTCGTGTCGCTCTGCTCGCGCGACCCCGACGCGAAGCGGCGCGCCTGCCGGCGGCTCGCCGTGCTCCTCATCATGTGCCACGCGACGGTCTGCTCGGTCCTCTTCGAGTTCTTCCACCTGGACGGCGTCGAGTACCACACGGCCGACGAGCGCGGCTTCCGGACGTCGGCGACGGAGCGCGAGCTCTACCTCGCGCGGGACTACACCATCCGGGCGTCGTCCAAGCGGTACCAGGCTGTGTGAAAATCAAATTCACTGCGCGTTCGTCCTGAATCGCCGCGTCGACCTCTACGCCATCGACGCGACGCCTGCTCGATGGTGCACCCGACACACTGGTTGATATTCGCACAGGTACCAGGCCTACCGGGCTTACGCCATCCTGTGTTGCCTCATCTACGTCGTCGGCCTGCCGGGCCTCTTCCTGTGTGGAAATCAAAATTTTACGGCGCGTTCGTCCTGAACCGTCGCGTCGTCCTCCACGCCATCGACGCGCCGCCTGCTCGATGGCGTGGCGATGTCGATTCCTCGCCGCTCGATCGAGCCAGGACGGCCGCGTCAGCGCCAAGAAACGACTGATTGAAGAATTGTCGGGTGCACCCGACCCACCGGTTGATTTCCACACAGGCCTCTTCTTCGCCGTGCTCCTCCTCGAGCAAATCCGCCAGCGGCGCGCGACGTTCGGCAGCTGCGTCGACTGCGAGGCGCTCAGCGACATCCTGCGGCCGACGCCCCTCGTCCGGCCCTACCGCAAGGGCGCCTGGTTCGCCGAGCCGCTCTCCATGGTCGTGCGCTGTGTGAAAATCAAGCAGTGAGTCGCATGCACCCGATCATTCTTCACTAAGTCGTTTCTCGGCGACAACGCGACCTTGATGCGACAACGCGACCTTGATGCGACAACGCGACCTTGATGACTGAATCGAGTGGTGTAGGACCCACACCGCCACGCCATGGAGCTGGCGTCGCGTCGATGGCGTTGAGGCCATGATTCAGCAGTGGCGGAGACGCGCCGCAAGAATTTGATTTATGCACAGGTCGTGCGCACTTCGCTGAGCGGCTTCCTCCTCGTCTGTCTGCCCGGGGCGCGGCGCATGCGACTCGTGCTCTCGTTCGTCATCTCGCTGCTCTATGCGCTGGCCATCGTCGACGGCTGTGTGGAAATCAACCAGTGCGTCGGATGATTCAGCACGAATGCGCGGTAAAATTTGATTTCCACACAGGCCGACGGCGAGCCTTTCCAGTCGCCAGCGGTGAACACGGTCGCGCACACGTCCTGGTTCTTCGTCACGTCGACGTTCTTCATGGCGCTCTGCTGCACGCAGAAGACACTGAAGCTCGAGCAGCTCCGCATCGTGTCGGGTGCAGTGCGGAAATCAACAGTGCGTCAGGCCGGCCTGGAGGTATTATTTATTATTCTGGCAGCCTTGATGCAGCACGAGAGTGCTTGTCGTCCTCGCACGAGGCGTCTTGGGCTTATTCACCCGAACGTTTGATTTCCGCATAGGTCGGGTGCGCTCGTCGCGGCCCAGGTTTTCGTGCTGGTCCTGGCGGTGCGCCGCTACGCCTACGAGAAGCCGATCCGGACGCTCTGCGCGCGCATTCGGCGCCGCCCAGCGCATACATCAAATCGTCGCGGCGCGTCTCGCCATCGACGTGCACCCAACTCACTGATTGATTTGCGCACAGGCGCCGCCTGCGCACGGAGAATTTCCGATTCGAGTTCGAGACGTTGTGCACGGAGGGCGGCGAGCACTTTCCGGTGCAGAAGATAAAGCCTTCGACTTGTTTCGATTTGCTGACAATCGTTCGGTATATACGTTGGTGTTTTCCTACGCAGGCACCTGCTCGAGAGTGCGACCTTCGAAGCCATCGTCGACGGCTATCTCGGGGACTTCGCCTGGAGCGACACAAATGCTGATACCAGTGCATAAATTGAATTTCACGGAGCCTTGGTCTCGAATCATCGCGTCGATCTCGACGCCATCAACGCAATGTCTCCTCGATGGCGGGCGGTGTTGCACCCGACTCAGTGGTTGAGTTTCACACAGGCTGATACGCAGTGGGGTATATTTCGGAGCCAAATTTGTTCCTTGCACACATTCTGGCGCGAGCCGCTTATCGAAGCGCACGAGCAGCACCGCATCCGCCACTGGTACCGCAGAGTCGCCGCCCGGGCGAAAAGCGATGCGCAGCGCCGCGTGGAACGAGCCTCGGCCTTCCTCGCGCCAGGCGCAGCCGTCGCCGCTGCGCCGGCCGGGGCGCCACAGCGCCCAGCGCGCTTTAAGCTCGCGCCCGCGCCGGAGGCCGACGCGCCGTCAGCGCCTGACGCAGCCGCCAACGTCGACGAAGCCGCGGCGCCGCCACGGCCGGCTCGGTTCAAGCTCGCGCGCGGCCCTGCGCCCGACGCAGCTGGCGACGATGCCGACGACGAGGTTGACGACGAGGAATGGGCAAAGGCCAAGGACTTCGTTCCGACGCGTTGGGCCTGGCTACGGTGCGAGGCGCAGGCGCGCGCGGACGAGCTCGAAGACTACATCACCGAGGAGCTGCTGTCGCCGGATCTGCTTGACGTGCTGAGGCAGGTCAAAGAGCTCAACCCGGAGAGAAGCGACCCACAGCCTCAGCAGCGATTGATCTGGCGCGGCGGCGCCGGGACCAACCTCACGGAGGCTGTTGTGGCTGCCGTCGAGGCCAGTGCCCTATATCAATGATTCAGCCCTCTCTTCTCGAAAGCGACCGGTTCGTTTGCACACACAGATGAAATCGTGCGCCTCTGAGGCGACGCTCAAGGCCGACGCCGAGATCCTCGTCAAGGGCAAGCTCGCGCTCGACCAGACGGTGCTGCCCCCCCTGCTCCGCATCTTCGCTGCTACCTGCCTACCTGCACTGACGGCGGCGCTCTCCGACGTCGCCAAGCAGGTGGAGGGCGCTGTGGTCGTCGCGAGCAGTGCATAAATCAAATTCTCATGTGAAGAATTGCCGACTCACTGGTTGATTTGCGCACAGGTCGTGAGTGAGGAGGGCTCCATTAAGACTGCCGAGCGCATGGTCGAGGCGATGAAGTCGGAAATTGCCAAGAAACATCAGGCTGAGGAGGGCGCCGGGTGGCAGCCCGTCAGCGCGCTCGTGCGCGACGCGCTGCGCGCGACGGTCGTGTGCCCCGGGGCCCAGGCCATGTGCGACGTCAAGGCGGCGTTCGATGCGAGCCCCAGTGCCCAAACCAAAGCATTGCGGCGCGTCTGCTGAATCGTGGCCTCCGCGCCGTCGACGCGACGCCAGCTCGATGGCGTCGGTGCCGGTTCCTCGGCACCCGACTCATTGATTGATTTGCGCATAGGCAAGCCCGCTCTTCACGCTAAAAAAACTTAAGAACAAGATCTGTCGGCGCCAGGTCCCCTTTAACCTACACGCCGTCTACGAGTTCAAGCCGTCGAGCAACGACGTCTCGATCAGTGCATAAATCAAATTGTCGCGCCGCGTCTCCACCACGGCTCAATCATGACCTCCACGCCATCGACGCCTCACCGGTTGATTCATGCACAGGTCTCCATTCTGGTAGAGATACAAATACACGATACCGAAGTCAGGAAGGCGTCCGCGGCCCAACAACGCTTCTACCAGATCTTCCGGGCCGTCTCGAGCGAGAAGCTACATAAAGTCGAGGCCCATCACACGATGACGCATTCCAAACTCATGAAGCAGCGGTCCCAGCGCCACATGCTGCGAACGGCAAAGATCAGCAGCAGCCGGGCGCTGAAGGCGCTGCACAGGAACTTCTCCGTGCGCAACACCGGCCGCCGCGTCTCGCTGCTCATGCGGCTCTTCCCGAAACGAAAGGAACGGAAGGTCGCGCCCCAGGAAACCGCGGCCGCAGCTGCTCCGGGCGACGACGACGCGACCTACGAGACGCTCCTCGCCGCGGAACGCGGCGCGGCTGCGGCGCGGACGCAGAGCCGCGCCGATAGCGCCGCGCGCCACAAGGAGGCGATTGCGCGGCGCCTGGCGAAGCGGCGGCGCGGCTCCTTCGGCTAAGGTGCGTGGTCCCTCCCCTTCCCGTCGACCCGCATCCTCGGAATAATCATATACATATCACTGGCATGAGCTTACAGTAGTTAACTACAACAGGGCGACGCCCCAGGCGATCTCTCAGCGGCCTACTACGGCGTCTGGAACGCGCTGCGCTGCGCCGACGGCGGAGCGTTCCGCGGCGGGCCCCGCTGGTTGTCGACCGCGTCCTGCCCCATCGGCGTGGAGAAGCGCCGCGGACCCCCCGGACCCGGCGTCTGAGGCGCCGCGGGCGCGGGCGCCGCGGCAGGCGCGGGCGGAAGCGCGTATCCCGGCGGCGGCCCCGCCGGGGGCATCGGCGCGGTCCCCGCGGTCCCCGTGAAGATCTGAGGATGGTGGGCCGTCGTGTTGGCGGACCCCATGCACCCAGTCAACCGCAGCCGCTTCGTCACATCCCCGAGGAAGCGCTTGAAGCCCCTTTTCAAATCTTTGCCGAAGCCGGCCTGCTTCGGTACGTTGCCAAAGCCGACGCGCCGCACCTCCTTCACTACTATCTCTCTCTTGCGGGCGTCGGCCCGCAGCGCCTCTAGATTGGTGCCCTGCACCGCGGCGACCTCCTCCAACGCCGCGTTCGTCTGCTCGACCAGCGCTCGTGAACCGTTCCGCGCCCTATTTAAGGCGATAACATATGCTCCCATGTCCTTCTTCGAGCTATAGGAGGCGGCAAGAATCCAAGAAAGCTCGCCGTTAGATGAGGGATCTTTCTCGTTGTAGATCAGGCCCGTCCGACGGTACCTATCTGCGAGACTCCCCCGTCCCCCAATCATATCGTCGACGGCCGCGCACATCCTTTCGCAGTACTCCGCGTCCGGCTCCTCGACCGTGTCGGCCAGCCCGCGACCTATCACAAAAATGTCGACAAAAACAAGTGAAATAGGAGGACGCCGCCGTCTCGCAGGTCGTGAGTCGCATCGTGACCTCCATGCCGGCCGCTGAACACCACACGGGCAGGACGAGCTGGACCACACCGTCGTCGCCGGCAGCTCCATCGTCGCACAAAGCTAAGCTAACATCTTCTGCATCAACGTCGTCGGCGCAGAAGATCTCCGAGGCGCCGCACTCTTTGACGAAATTGCCAAAGCGCGCTGACTTTTCATCAGTGCCCCCTTCGCGTTGCAGAGACGCAATGAGGTCGGTATAAACCATGCCGCCGAGGCCCTTCGATTGTAGACTTTTAAGGTGATTGCGGGTATGCTTGGCCTCGCCCGTGCAATAAGAGGAGTAGCAATCGGCCTTGCCCGCACCACCTTCCCCCACCCACACGCCTTTTTCCGCCGTCTCCGGAGTAGTAACATTAACAATAACGCCCGGCCTCAAATCAAACTTCTTTCGCATCTCCCAGGCCCGATCTGCGGCCGCTTCCATCAACCTACGGTCGACCTGCGCGCGGCGGCGTGATGGGCGCGTCGGGCGGTTGCGCGGGACACCGGCAAGCCACCCGCACGACGCTATTGTTAGATAGAAACGGCGTCCCAAAGGCGCAGCGAAGCACCGACCGCACCAGCGCGTCCGCAGTACAAAAGCTAATGAAGCCCAAACATAAACAGCACTGGGGCACGACACCGCGCGCCTTTTGCACCCAGTACATCATTTGGAGGTAGATGGTCCACTGCCACGGCAACCAGCGATTTTCGTACCATTTCTTGCCGGCGAACGTGCCCTCCGGGACCGGCAGGCCTTCTCCGAGCAGGGCCGGGTTCAGCACGCGCGGCTGCTGCTCCCAGCTCGCGTCGACTACCGGACTTTTTGTCGTGGGCACCGGCGCGTCGCGCGAGCGGGTCGCTTCTTGCCGCAGCTTCTCGTCCGACAGACCGCCCTTCTCGCCGACGCCGCCGATGGTGCCGTTTTCTAATGTTACGGTGTAGGCGTCGGGCCCCTTGGCGACGCACGCGGCTAACGTGTTGTGCCGCTCCGCCGGCTTGGGTGCCTCCTTGGCCTTGCGCTTGGGCGGCGGCGTGGGCGCCTCGGTGTCGACGCCGCGCTTGCCGCCGAACCAGCCTCGGATGCGATCCATAATGTTAACTGCTACCACTGTTGTTCGAATGCCCTCAAAACTCCGCGAGAGCTGAAACTTGCGCCGGAGCAGGGCTAGCGTGCTGTAAAGACACTAGCCAGCAAGCTCTCGCGGCCGTGCTCGCCACACTCGTGCAATTATCTCTCAAAAAACGCAAGCCAGCACTGCTCCGGCTCGGTCTTGAGCTCGTCGCGCAGTCGCGACGAGCGCTGCTGCCGCGCTGGCGAGATTGAACAGCACGCCACAGCAGCCCAGCCACCGCGGCGGCTTAGCGATCGGTTGCGTCAGCGCAGAGGTCCCAGCGTGCTGCGCGCTGGCGCCTCGACAATTACTACCACGCGCGGACTCGTCCGCGAAACCGCCGTGTCGCGCGGTGCGCATCGCTCGCTGGCGCCGAGAGCAGCGATCGACTGACCGGCGCGGCGCATACCTAGACCCGCGGCCTGTGCGGCGCGATGCCGACGAGCGCCTGCGCTGGCCCGTGCGTCAGGACGACGTGTCCCTGAACGCGCTCGGGCACCGCCATAGCATTCGTGGGGCCGTGGAAGGCCGAGGCCGCGCCTGACGGCTTCCAGTCTGCTTCGACGTGATGCTATGTGTGTCGTCCGAGAAAAGCGCCAGCCGCCGTGCAAGACGTATCGTCGATCGCGTCGCGGCCATCCAGAGCGATAGATGAGCGCCACCGAAGCCTTCGCCAAGCCCTGGAGCGGCGGGACGCGACCGCTTCTGATCGAAGCGACGCGGTGCGGTTCCTACGCGAGCGTCGGCGGTCGCCGCGCGGGACCTGGCGTCGACCGCGTCGCGGCCAGACATAGATGGTTCGTCGGACCGCGGGGCCGCGACACCGCCTCTCGTCGTCACGCCCGGTGCGACGCGCGGCCGAAGCGGCGACCGCCCGCCTCCCCGTCGACACGCTCGTGCGCTGCCCAGGACAAAAAATTAAAATTACCCGTCCTCCAGGATGTGGTCGCGGCTGTCCCACATCGTCTCGTCAAAATTGAGAGGGGGGTCCACAGGGGTGTGTCTCGCGGACTCTTCGACGATGTACTTCGCGAAGTCGAAGAGCTCGTTGATGACGAGCTCGTACTGCTCGAGGTTGCCGGTCGAGGTCATTCTGATGGGGTTCCGGAGGTAGTTGGCGATGCTCTCGGCGACGTGTCTCGCGAGGGGATCGTAGTCCGCGGTCGCAGGCGGGAAGGCCTTGCCCTCGGCAGCGCGGAGGGCGTCTCGGAACTTCTCGCCGACCGTGAGCTGGCCCGGGAGGTCCGAGACGTACTTCCCAAATCGTGCGAGGGAGAGTGCGAGATGACCCGAGGCTACACGCCGGCGTTCTCCTATGCGCAGGCGTGGTTCCGCTATATCACCAGCGCTACTGGTGGAGCTGTTCTTATGCGGCGATCCAAATGGTCCTGGTCGCGGTCGCGAACCGCGGCGAAGCGCACGAGGCGGCGCTACGATCTCGTCACCTGGTCGATGAGGACGGCGACGCCGCATCGATCAGGGACCTACAGGCGGCGCTAGTGGCGGCCTGGGGTGACGGTCTCGATCCCGACGGACAGGACTTCATCGTGGGGCGGTCGCCCAAGCCGTTGGTCGGGCGCCGCGGTCGGCTGGCGTCCTTGGGCGCGCCCGAGGCGAAGGTGCTCTTCGGCCACGCGGGCATCGAGGCGTCGACCTTTTCTTACGAAGGGGTAGACGCGGCGTCCGACGTGCTGCACGACGTAGTCGAGTACTACAGCGTCCCGAACCGCATGCCCGGTTTGCTCGTCTGCGGCGACCACGTTCGCGTGGTCGTGGGGGCGCTCGACGCGCCCCATATCCGCCAGCTCGTCTTCATCGACCCCAATTGGTCGGAGCCGCGCTTCGAGACGCTTGATCAAGGGGGCCTCGAGAGCAAGGCCGGCGAGTTCGAGATGATGTTCCTCGACGACTGAGCGGGGTTACTCGAGTAAGTACTATTCTGAAGTAGCAGAAACACCGGGAAGCGGCGGCGCGGACGCAGAGCCGCGCCGACAGCGCCGCGCGCCACAAGGAGGCGATCGCGCGGCGCCTGGCGAAGCGGCGGCGCGGCTCCTTCGGCTAAGGTGCGGTCCTACCCTCCCCTTCCCGTCGACCCGCATCCTCGGAATAATCATATACATATACCGTGACTGTCTGGAAAATTTTAACACACTACTAAAGTTTGCGCATCGGTACGCGGCCGCCGAAATCGCCCGAGAACCGTCCGTCGAGCGACGAGCTCATGCGGACGGCGACGAGCGCCGAGCCCGCGGCGGCCCGCTTCTCGCGCGCCGCGTTTCGCGCCGCGCGTCGCAGCCGCTCCAACGGGTCGAGCTCCCGCGCAGTGGTCCGCGCCTCGACGGTGCGGCCGCGGGGGTTCGTCGGTCTCCGCTGCTTCGGGACGGCGGCTGGCTCGGTCTTTTTGCCCGGATACACCGCCGGCTTGGCCAGCTGCGTCAGGACGCGCTCCACAAGCTGGTGCGGCGCTTTCGCGGGTCGCGGCTCCACGACAGGCTCGGCAGGCGCAACGGCGATAGGCGTCTCCTCGATCGTGGGCGTCGTTGTCTCCTCGACGAGTGGGGGCGGTTCGACCGGCTGGACGACGGTCTCCACCGCAGGAGTCTCCACAACTACCACGGCAGGCTTCGCTGGTGGCGCCTCCACGACGACGGCCGCCTCGAGAGCACGAGCCCGCGCCGCGTTCTCTCGCCGCGCCCGATCGGCGGCCGCGTCCGCCTCCCGGCGGAGCCGCTCCAGTGCCCGCTCCCTTTCGGCAGCGACGCGCCGTCGTGCGAGCGCGCACTTCGCGCCGCCGCCGAGCGCCGACGCAGCCTCGCGCCGCCTGTCCGCCTCGGCTTGCGCGGCGAGGCGCGCTTGGCGTTGTCTCATGGACGCGCCCAACGTCGCCGCTGCACCCCGCCGCTTCTCGGCCTCCGCTTGCGCAGCTAAACGATCCTGACGTCGCCTCGCGCATCCCCTTAACGTCTCGCCCGCGTCACGTCGCCTCTCCGCTTCGAATCGCGCTGTCAAACGATCTTGGTGCCGCCGCGCACAGGAGCTCAACATCAAGGTCGCGTCGCGCCGCGCCGACAATTCGGCTCGTGCGGTCAAACGATCCTGCCGCCGCCTCGCACACGCTCGTAGAGTCGCACCAGCGTCCCGTCGCATCTCCGCCTCGGCTTGCGCAGTCACACGGTCCAGGCGGCGTCGTGCACAAGCCAGGAGCAGCGCCGCGGCCTCGCGCCGCGCAACACACGCAGCGCGACCGTTGCGACCGCGGTGCGCCGCCTGCACCTGCAAAGCTGCCGCAACGCGCTTTTCCGCCGCCTCCCTAGCCCGTTGTTCCGCAGCCGCGAGCGCCGCCCGGCGGTTGCGGTCCCGCTCCGCCTGGAGCGCCTCGTTCGCGGCGTCGCGCGCCGCCGCGGCGTCAAGGCGCTGCTGCATTTCGAGCGAGGCCGCCGCGAGCGTCGTCGAGGCCGCCGCGAGCGAGGCGGCGCGGCGCTCGGGCGACAGCGGCGTCACCGGCGACGGGAGCGAGCGCCGGCGCTTGCGGCCCTCGGCCTCGCGCAGCGCCCGCTCCAAATCCGCGGCTGCCTGGGCGACGACGTCGGCGTCGGGAATGGCGTCCAGGGCCTTGGGCGACACGAGGTTCTGTTCCGTTGTTGGGGGAGCTGTCCTCACGACCGGCGACGCGGGCGTCGCGAGCGGCGCCGGGCGGTCGTCGTGGTCCGGGAGCGGCGTGGCCCGCGCCCGCCGCGCAGCGGCCAGAACGGACGACGACTCGTCCAAAGCCGTCGCTGCGCGCTGGGATGGCGGCGACATGCCGCCGCAGACGAACGCGACAGCTGCCTCCGCGTCGCCGTCGCACGCGTCGAGCGCGAGCTCGGCCCAGCGCGCGTCCACGCGGGCGATCTCACGCACCTGGCGGATCTTCTCGGCCCGGCGGTCCTGCGGGCTCAGGTATATCTGTGCCGGCAGCAACTGTTCCGCGGCGCGGCCCTCGTGCCAGCCGCAGGCCACAAGCGCCGCTCGCGCCTCGACCCTCGTCGTGTCCGTGTGCAACCTCAAGCGCTCGACCATCTCCCTCTCTTCTATGGCCGACCGGCCGGACCCTAGGCTTCTCTGCATCGCCTCGCGCAGGTCCCGGTCCGCAAAGGCCTCATCGGCGGTCTGGCCGCGCCGTCGCAGTGTCTCCTGGAGCGTCCGCTCGTGGAGGCTTGGTGTTGTGGGCGACAGGACCTCGTTGACGGCGGCCCGCTGGTCGCCGTTGGCCGCGGCGAGGGCGGCGCGCGCGCGGGCCTCCGTGCAGAGCGTGAGGTCCATGACCTCGCGGACCTTGGCGCGGTCCATTTGGCGCGCGCGCGGTCTCATCGATGGCGTGCTGTGGCAGCCTGCTGGCACTGGCTCCAGATTCTCGGGCGTCAAGCAGCCGTCACGCCTCAGCCGTCCTGTACCGAGCGGTGGCGGGTCCCACGATCCTATGGGGCAGCCTTCGCGCCAGTGGTGTCGGTGATAGACGGTACCGAGTGCGCCAACCGGGGACTGCCCGCGGCGCGGCCAGTGGCGCCGCCACGGAAAACAGAGGACGGCCCGAGCGCTACAGGGATACGTCGGCGGCAAGTATACCTCTCCCTACTGGCCAGGTGCAATATTAAGCGGGCGGGGTTTGTCTCACCAGGCCTGCAGCTGGGAGAGCGCGCTAATTACAGAGGAGGAAACGCGCGGGCAACTCTGACCGCAACGAAGCACCGCCGCCAGCAGACCATCCGCTAACGCGCTGCCCATCCAGGCAGCTGCAGCCAGCAATAGTCCAAGGCAAGCAGCTGCAGCCCATCCAGGACGCTGCCCGCGTACATTCCGCGTACATTAGGCGACAGAGCCCGCGCACACTGCACATAAGGTGACAAAGGGAGGCCGACAGGCAAACCGCAATGCTCAAAGCCGTCCGCAAAGCGGCGCGCGAGCGGCGCGGCGAGCCGACGCTGCTGTGTCGCGCCATCTACGATTTCGTGGCCGAGGGCCCCGAGGAGTTGTCACTAAGAGCGGGGGACGAGGTCCAGTGCCACCAGAAGCAGGACGACGGGTGGTGGTTCGGCGTCGTCGTCGACGGCGAGCGGCCGCGGGGCGGGTTGTTTCCGGGCGCGTACGTCGAGGAGCTGCCGGAGGACGCGCCGCGGCCCGTCGTGCTGCGCGAGCCGCTCGCGGAGTCGCTCGTGGAAGGCCGGACGACGGAGCTGGCGCCGAGCCCGGGCAAGGAGGCGCTGTTCGCCGCGGCCGCGGGCCAGGGGGGCGAGGACGCCGTTTTTGTCGAGGAGGCGCCGGAGGGCGACTTCGTGGAAGACTCGCCGGACGACGAGGAAGACTCGCCGGACGACGAGGAAGACATGGCGCTGCGGACCGTCCTCTTGCTCGAGCGGCGCGCCGAGGCGGCGGAGGCGTCGCTGGCAGAAGAAAGACAGAAGGCAGCGGAGTTCCGCGACGCGACGACGCAGTCGCTTCGCGAGCTGAACGACGCCCTGGCGCAGGCGCTCCAGCCCGTCGTAGGTGGCGTGCTCCTGACGCCGCCCTCGGAGACGTTCTGGGAGGACGACGCCGAGGCCGCGGACGACGTGGAGAACGACCTGAAGCGAGCCTTGGAACCTAGATTGGTCGTTAGGCTTCAGCGCAAAACCCTAGATTGGTCCGACCTCTGCGCCGCCGTCTCGCAAGTCGTCGCGCGCCACGCGACCCCGATGCACACCCGCCAGGGCAACGAGTTCGAGGCCACGGACTGGGCATCACCCTCTGTTTTAAATGACGACCAACGCCACAGCGAGGTGCCCCTCGAGACGCCCCTGAAGCAGACCAAGATAGTGGACCTGCGGAAGCCGGCGCCGCCGCCGCGCTCCGACGGTGATGTGGCGGCGGAGCAGAAGCCCCAGTTGCGCGCGCTGTTCGACGCGTACAAGGAAGGTACTGGCGTGGGCCACGTGTCGCCGGCTGGCTTCCTGCGGCTGTGCCGCGACAAGCGACTGTGTCCGGACCTGCTCGATCGGCGGGACTGCGCGCGTCTATGCAAGCTGGAGCTGACGGGCGTGGCGGGCCTGAACGAGGCGCGGCTGGGGCGGGCCCTCGCGCGCGCGGCCGTCGCGGCGTTCCCGGCGGTGGACCCGGCGTGCGCCGTGGACGAGCTGTTCGACCGCGTCGCGAGCGTGCCGACAGGATTGCCAAGCTCGCCGACAGGAGCACCGGCCGCGGCCGACGCGCCGCCGCAGATGCTCCCCCTGTCGCCCCTGCAGGTGCACGGTTACCCCGCGTACTACCACCAGCCGGGCGCCGCGCCAGCGCCGGCCCGCGGCGGGGACCCTAATAATACGTGAGTAGCTATCTTGGTCTTATCGCCCCGTGTTCGTCATCGACGCGAGGTCGATCTGGTCGCCCTTCGTCGTCTTCGGCTTGGGCACCTCGTAGAACTTGACGTTCTGGGCTTTGGTGCCGGACTGCTTCACTTTCGCGTTTTCGACGACCAACGACTCGAGCTGAAACAGATCCATGCCCTTCAGGGCCGCGACCTCGCGCAGCATGGCCTCGAAGACGGGGAAGCCGACGGTCTTGTTCGTCTTCGCGCAGCGCGTCCAGATCATGTCGATGCCCGAGTCGCGCGTGAACTTGTCGTCCAGCAGCCCCTTCGTCTCCCTACAGAGCTTGGCCCAGATCGTGTTGTTCATGTCGGCCATGCGGTAGACCCGGCAGAACTCCGTGAAGATCGCCTCGAGCGCGTCGCGGTCCACCTCGGGCTTCAGCGGGGTCCCGCGCCACCGCGCCTGAATGACGCGCGCCGCGCGCTTGCGCTTCGACCGCTCCTTGCGCGGCGGGTGGCGCCACGCGTGCACCCGTTCCAGCCTGTGTGGAAATCAAATCAACCAGTTTGTCGTCGTGCCCGTGCTGGCTGAGTCGAGTTGTGAGGAACCGACACCGCCACGTATTGAGCAGGCGTCGCGGCGATGGCGTGGAGGTCTAGATACGCGGCGATTCAGGACGAACGCGCCGTAAATTTCCACACAGGTTCCAGCTCGACGCGCATCTCCTCGAGAACGTTGTGCGGCCCTGTGAGCGGCCGAAACATGGGGTACCGCGACACCTTGTCCGCGGGCCGCTGCAGGACGTCGAGCGTGTCCTGCCGTGTGAGGCGCCCGGGCTTCGCGAGCATGATCCGCACCTGTGCATGAATCAACCAGTAAGTCGGGTGCATCGCAGAGTCATTCTCGGCGACGACGTGCCCGTGCTGGCTGGCACGGGCGCCACGGCCACGCCCTCAAAACGCACGACGCCGACCACGTCCGGCGCCTCGGTGACCGCCAATTGTTGGTTTGCTGCTGCGGTCACCTCGACGACGACCGGGGCGCTTTGCAGCCACGCGGGCGCGTCCTCGACCGCCTCGTCGCCGGCGCGCTCGTAGCGGAGCACGAGCGCCGGGCTCGTTCGTCACGGCGCCGCGCAGCGCGAGGGGCGAGTGTAAAACCCACACCGCCATGCCGTCGAGAAGGTGCCGCGTCGATGGCGTGGAATTTATGATTCAACCATAAGCGGAGACGCGTCGCGACAAATTTGATTTCTACACGGGCGCGGACGTCGTCGGCGCGGACCTCGTGGCACTTCTGTAAATACTTTTCGTAGGCCTCGACGGCGTGCGTGCCGTGCCATCGGCGCACTCTTCGTAAGACCTCCTCCACGGTCCTCGTCCGCTCTTTGCGACTGAACACCGCGTGGTGGTACGGGTCGTCGACGATGACCTCTTCCCGAAGCTCCCGCGACGCCCGTTCCGGATCCCGGCTCCGGATTTCGGCCCTCCGCAAGACCTGCGCCACGAGACTATTGCCCTCGATGGGCAAGATCGCCTGCAGCCGGTGGTCCGCCGTAGCCAGAGCCTGGGCGCGGTCGTAGAACCTGTGTGGAAATCAAAATTTCACGGCGCCTTCTTGCTGAACCGACACACTGGTTGATTTCCACACAGCGTAGAACATGGAGTCCGGATGCGATGTCCGTCGGATAGCGTGGACCTCGACCTCGACGCGCCTTCTGTCGAGCTCGTGCTGGAAGTCGATCTCCGCGAGCGCAAAGGCGCGGTGCAACGCCGCGATCCGCGCCTGCCGCGTCGCGACCCAGCCGCGCACCATGCGCTGCGCGAGCTTGATCTTCCTCACGAGTAACTTCATGCCGCGCTTGCCCTGGCACTTCTCGGCCTTGGCCAGGAAGTGGTGGATGATGTCCGCGCTCCGTCGATAGACGCGGTTCCGGTACTTGGCTATGATCTGTTGCGTGATCTTGGTCACCGTGAGCGTGACGCGGACGCGCCGCGCGATGCTTATGCCGTTGAGGAGCCACCGTATCTTGAGCCCGAGCCACCACCGACCTATTTTCGTCGACGATTCTCCCGTTAAAGCTTCGGCGGCCCTGCGCCGGTCGCGTCTCCGCGACCGCTGCTTCGGCGACGGCGTCGCCGCGACCGCTTGTTCCTCGTGGTCGTCATCCTCCTCCTCGGCGGCCTCGCGGCGGTCCCGCAGGAGCTCGCCCTTCATCAACTCGGCGCGCGCCCCCAGCGCGACCATGCGGAGGAGCGCCGCGTCCTTGTGCGCCCGCGCCGCGCGCGCGCGCCGGCGGTCGTCCCGCCCCAGCTCGTGCAGCGTCTTCGCCCGGAACGCCCTTTCCAACTCGCGCCGCCGTTTCACACATTGTGCTACGCGGTCCTCCCACGGCTCGCGGTCCTGCTTGATCAGGTCCGGCAGCAGGTGCGGCGCCGCGTCCCAGGGCCGCTTCAAGTAGTCGCCGCGCATCACGCGAAACAGCTTCATCGCCCGCGGCGACCTCGAGCCGTCCGCCACGAGCACCATGCCGTCGCGCGCGCCCGGCGCCCGCACGCCGTGGGCCACGCAGTCCGAGACGACGATCTTCCGCGGTTCGACGTGGACCTCGACGTCGTCGTCGAGGCTATTCCGACTATCGCGCTTGCTGTGGTGGTCCGGCGGGACGGACGCGAAGCCGATGGGCAGGTGCAGCTGTTCTAGGGGAGAGAGCGTTTCCGTGATGCTCGACCGGAACGACGCGGAGCGGCGGATGCGCGCGTTGCGCGCCTCCTTGGCGTCGCGCACGGCGGCCTTGGGCGAGGCCTGGCTGGCCATGCGCTGCGAGGGCGCTGCCATGCCGCCGTTTTCCAGTCGATGTGCGTACTTTCCCCTTTGTTGGGCAGCGTCTTGCTGCGCTCTCCTGTCTAGCGCCGGAGAGCGCGCACCACGACATGAGGCGGCTGTGTGAACCGTACTAGGGGTCCTAGCGAGGGCATTGTCGGGGCGGATCCCTCCCTGTATCTTTCCCGCGGTTTTGAGTCTAGTGTGTCTATCATCCTATCATCATCCAAAGCGCCGCATCGGCTCCATACTATCAAACGCGCAAACTTGCGCCTTCTGCAGCAGCGCACTGCAAAACCATGAATGCCTTGGCCGGCTACGGCAGCTCCAGTGATTCGGACGCCGACGCGCCAGCTGCGGCACCCCCGGCGCCCGCCGCAGCCTCGACGCCGACGGCGCGGCACGACGACGGGTCATCCCCGGCGCCTGCTGCAGCTCCCACGCCGATGGCGCGGCACGACGAAGGATTGTTAGGGGAGTCGGAGTCCGAGGACGAAGCCGAGGCCGCCGCGCCCGCCGCCGTTTCCACGAGCGGCCTGCCGTCGGCCGCGAGCCTGCTCGACGGCGGCGGCACGGCGGCGTGGCTCGCCAAGCCCGCCTGGGCCGCGGCGCCGCGCGAGCCCGACCCGGTCCCGGCGCGGCCGTCCGCGGCGGTCGCGGCCCGCGCGGCCGCGGCGGCCGGCGCGGCGCGCGAGGCGCAGGAGGGCGAGTACGGCCACGACATGTACGAACGCTACGACCCCGCCCGGGGCTGGGTCGGCAAGCAGGCGTCGAACATCGAGCACGACGACCTGCGCGGCTACGGCACGCACCTCGCCGCGGCCGGCCGGCGGCCGCCTCCGCAACAGCGCGCGGCGCCGCCGCCGCCGCCCAAACCGGCGGCGAAGCGCGGGAGCGGCGACCGCAGCGCCAAGCCGACGGGCAAGGAGCGCGTCAAGCAGCAGCGCCTCAACGGCCAGTCGGGCATCGGCGACCACTTTCGGGTCTGGCGGTCGGAGGAGGAGATGCGCATGCGGCAGACGTATGACTAAGCTATACCTTTTGTTTTTTTTTATGAGCTAGCGGCCTGTAAGACACTAGCAAGCAAGCAAGCGGGGCCCCAAGATTGGTCTTTCGGCGGTGGGGCCAAGACCTCATGCGTCCGTTCCGCCACCCCACGGCGCCAAAGCGCCAAGCCTCAATGGGACGTGGGTGTCGGCCCGCGGTCAACTTCTATATTGAAGTTTTAGTCCGCGTGCCCGGCGATGAGTCAGTTCGGCAATGAGCCAGTTTGAGGAGATCCCGTCCCCGGGGCGCGGCTTCCAGGGCTCCCGCGCTTAGGTGGGCTAGCGGCCTGTAAGACACTAGCAAGCAAAAAGCCCAAACCACCACCCAGGAGTGTGCGCCTACTACTTGCATACACGGGGGACCCACGGCGCCTTTTCGTGATCCTTTCATCACGTACGAACCCACCGAAGAGCTTTGAGCATCTCTCGCTCGTGGGTGCAACATTTCAGTGACTTCACCCGAGATTCAGGCAAGGCATACGCGCTTGTTGCCTACGATATCAGTGCTCGGGGCGTTCCTTAAGAAGGCGGAGACGCCCAATAAGCGCCACCGACGCGCCATGAGGCAACGCCACGCCCTGAGGCTCGCCGCCGCGTTGCTGCTCACCGCGTGCGCCGCCATGGCGGCCTGGCCCGGGGGCCACGCCATCGTTTTATTTGGGGGCGAGCACATCAAGTCCCGGAAGAGCGGCAAAAAAAAATATGCAAGGCTCAACGACGTCTGGGCCTTCTCGGCGCAAACGAGGAACTGGACGAACCTTATAGCCGACGCCGACGAGCCCCAGATTCAGGCGGCGGCGGGCCTGCCGGCGTGCCTGGCGAACGACTCCGTGCAGCTGGCCATCGCCCTGGTCGTGGCCTTCCTCGTGACCGGCGCGGCGCTGCGAGCGCGCTTCCGCCACGACGACGCCTACGACGGGCCGCCGGGCGTCCAGGCGTCGCCCTACGTCGGGGTCGCGTGAGACGTCGCGTCGACGGCACCTAGGCCGCGCTCCGACCCCTAATAAAAAGTACTCGCATCGGTGTTATTACGGTGCTGGGACTAGTTGGCGGAGCCCCTGTCCAGGGCTGCGGAGGGACAAGACCCGCATAGTGCTAGTGTACCGACATACTAGCTTCAGGCTCGCAGCAGCAGCCCGCGTCGCGGCGCGCAAGGCATCAGTATTGCTCTTCGAGCGAGCATAAGATCCTGCGGAGAAAAATAATCACCACTTCCGCCAGCGAGCTGCAGCACTAGCGCCGCCAGCCAGCAGCCAGCCTGCAGCCTGCAAAAAAACATGGCGAGAAGCAAGCCGCTCCCAAGAGCCGGGGACGGGCCGCTGTTCTTCGTTGCATTAGTACTCATCCCAGCCTTCAGTGCTACCATCGCTGCGAGCCAAGCCGACTGGAATCACGTCTTGTGGTGCGAGGCGTATCTCGTGACGGTGTTCAGCCTGGCTGCGGTGCAAGGCGTCGCGCCGCGCGCCTACTTACGACTCGTCGAGGGCGACCTCGGCCACCCGCTCTGGGTGCACCGCGGCGCGGGCCTCGTCGAGGTGTGCGTCGTGGCGCTGCGGCTGCGCGGCGCGACGGCGCCGGCCGGTGTCTTGACGGTCGGATTGATGGGCGGCGCGGCGTGGACCTGGCTCGCGCACCACCAGCGGCCGTCCCGGTTCGTGCCGGCGGCGCTCGTGCTCTTGGCCACGCTTGGCGCAGCGTCGGTGCCCGCCTACGCGGGTCTCGCCGCCTACGCGTCCGGCGCCGCGTCGGCGACGCTCATCCTACGGCCGCGGACAGCTCCGCGCCGGCGCCAGGGCCGCGGGCGCGCCGCGACGCCCGCCGCCGCGCGCCGCCTCGTCGCCGCCGCCACGCTCGTCGGCGCGAGCGCCCTCGCGCCCGGAACCACTAAACGGCCGACTCGTCGAGGCGCAATTCGGCCGGCGGCAGCGGTCGCAACGCCGCGCCGCGACGCCCTCGACGACGCGGACTTCTGGCGCGGTCTATGCGAGGCGGTCTACGACGGCCAGCAAGCGGCGCTGCCGCGTTTTGACGAGTTCTGCGCGAATTGCCGCGACCAGGGACCGGCGCTCCGCAGACTTTCCTCGGGCCAGGTCGTCGCGCGCGACGGCCACTACCCCGGGCTCGCGGCCCATCCGGTCTGGGACGCGCCGCCGAAGTGGCTCTTCGGGCTGCGACTGCAGGCACCGCAAATCGCCGACGAGATGAGCGAGGTGCTCTTCGAGCGCGCGCGGCTGCGGGCGGAGGGCGGCGCCTGGCGCGACGGCTTCCTGTACGGCGGCGCGGCGGGGTATCGCAATTTCGAGCTCTTCGAGGTGCGGACCGCGGCGTCGGCGCGGCGCGCCGCGAGCTTTCCCGCCACGACGGCGCTGCTCGACTCCCTTGAAGTCCCGGACGGCCCGCGGATCGTCGGCTTCGGTCGTCAGCGGCCGGACTCGGCGCTACCCGTCCACAGCGACAAGGCGACCTACGTGCTCACGGCCCACGTGCCGCTTGATCTACTGCACGAGGACGACGCGGCACCGGCGCCGGACGCCGAAGAGCTCGCGTTTCGCCTCGACTTTAAGCTAGACTTGCCGAGTGACGGCGCGGGGCTGGCCTTCGCGGACCTCGATGATGCGCTCGCCGAGCCCGTTGGCGGTCTCCGGGCCGTCGCTCAATGGCACGACGCGACGGGCCGGCCGCTTCCGCCGACGCTGGTCGACACGTCGTTCCCCCACACGGCGTACAACCGCCGCGCCAACCGCCACGCGTACGTGTTGCTCGTGGACGTCTGGCATCCCGACCTGAGCGAGGAGGAGCGGCGGGCGCTGGCGCTTTTTCAGGCGAGGAAGCTGGGGTGGAGCGCTCTGTATCCGGCGCCAGGGTTGTAGACTGTTCTTTTGTGGTTATAGGATTCCTAGACCGGTCCTCCGCGTCGGTCGCGTCGAGGACGGCGTCGACGATGGCCTTTGCGAGCTTTGCGCCCCCGGTCGGCGACGGCTCGACGCGCTGGACGTAGTCGCGCGTGTCGGAGCCGTCCAAGACCTCGAACAACGGCAAAGCAACAACAGGAACGCCATTCAGGCGTATCCGCTTCGTCGCGTTCCGATAGACCTGCCGGATCCCCCGCTGCAAGACGCCCGGCGCATAGTTGTAGCCGAGCAACTGCAGGGTCGCGTCGGCCCACGAGCCGCGCCCATTTACATCCAGGTAGTAGATCATGCATATCACGACGACGCGCGGCTTCTTCTTCGCCACCAAATTTGAAGCGTACGCCCTCACCCGATTTCCAAATAAGTCCACGAAATACCCCAGGCCCGGAGGGAACCCACACAACCCCGTCAGGCAGCCGGGCAGCCCGCACAGGCAGCAGCCGCAGTCCGTGGCGCCCCCGCAGGGCGTGTAGACGTCCGGCGGGCACGCGCAGGCGCAGCGGTCGATCGCGTCGCCGCAGAGGCCTCCGATGCAGAGTAGCGGCGCCACGTTGCAGCACGTGCACAATAGGGGAGCGAGCGCGATATCGTTCCCGCCGACGCTGATCACGACGGCGTCCGTCTCGCGCACCGAATCCCGCAGGAACTGATCCTGCTCGAGCAGTCTGCCGAACGCCCGATCATTCAGACTCGTCGCCTCGACGGCCGTGTTGACGCAGGCCCAGCGCGGATTCCGCGCCTCGAGTAGTTTGTTGACGTGGTAGGCCACATCCAATTTGCTCTCAGGCGGCCGCAAAATGTGCTCGTAGCCGTTCGCGGCCCTCGCGCGGTTCTCGAACCAGAATTTGTTGTCCAGGCTCGAGTCGCCGGCGAAGAACACGAGGTTCGGCTTGTCCTGCGCGCGCAGCTGCCGCTCGACGACCTCGAGGGCGTGCACAGGGTGGCCGTGATACCTACGAGGAGATTCTCAGTGGTACGATGTCTTCGTCTTTGAGACGGGAGCCTTACTGGGCGTGCCAGCCGTGCGCGTCGACCGTCTCGCGGCCAGCCATCAGTTGTACGTTCTCCTGCTTGCTTGCTCTGACGACCGGCTGGTCTCAATGTTTTTACTCCTTGGCTGGCTGCTGTGCTGCACCAGGCCCACCAGGGGCTCGGGTGAGTCCTGGGGTTTCAGCTGTCGCAAGCGATGCGTTGCGAATTTCGTCAGGTGTTGAAATGATGAAGCTTAATCACCACTGCAAGCAACGGCTCTTCCCAGCCAAAAAAGTTGGAGGATGGGTGGTGCTAGTGTAGTAACATACTAGCAGCAACCACAGCTTCATCACGCCCTTAACACACGCGAACGCATCGTTTGAGGATCGTGAGTAGCTCGTCGGATGTCTGCACTCGATTTCGCAGCAATGCTGCGAGCCGAAAAGCGCAAAGCGAGGAGCGGAGCCGTAGCAAAGCCGGCACCCAAGCCACAGCAGCAGCGCCGGCCGCCGCCCGACGCCGCCACCGCGGCCCTCGACCCGTCAACACAACGACCGCCGCTGCAAACCCTGCCCGGCGCGCCGCCGACCATCGCCTACGCGGCGGACTGGATCAGCGAGGCCGAGGAGGCGGCGATCGTGGCTGCGGCGAAGCGCGGCGACGACTGGGTCACTGTGCGCGGCCGACGACTGAGACGGCTGGGCGGCCCGGCGGGGGAGGCCAGCTTCGCGCCGGAGCCGCTCCCGCGGTGGGCGCGCGACGCCTGCGCCGCGGCCGCGGCGAGCGACACGTCGTCAAGGCCGGCGCCGAACCACGTTTTGGTCAACGCGTACGATTTCGCGAAGGAGTCGTACGTGCTGCCGCACACGGACGGGCCCGCGTACGACGATCGGACGTTCACGTTGTCGTGCGGCGCCGATGCCGTCGTCGTCTTCAAGGAGCGCCTGAAAACGAGCGACATCGGCGTCCGCGCGGCGGCGACGCGCTGCGAGGTGCTGCTGCGACGGCGGTCGCTCCTGGCGTTCTCCCGCGAGGCGTATACCGAGTGCACGCACGAGATCGGGGCGGCTCCGGACACGATCGGTTTGTGTTGTGTGAACCTCGACGCCGCAAACGCGCGCGTCGGCGACGTCGTGGGCCGCGCGGGGGAGCGCGTGTCGTTCACGCTGCGGTGCGCGCGTGGTGCGGAGTAGTCTTATGTGTAATTCTGTATCGTGTCTAGAGAATAAGCGTTAGAGAGGAAGCGTCAGGCGGTGAAGCCTGGGTCGAGCATGGAGAGGGAGGCCCAGGAGGAGATCGGCCCCGTCAGGTGCGGCGCGTCGTCGACGGTCAGCGCCCGGTCGTCCACGATGGGCTCGCGGAGCAAAGCGCTCGTCGGCGAGAGGCTGTCGTCGAAGGAGCCCTCGCGCGGCTGCACGGGCGGCGTGGGGACGGCTGCGTAGTCGGCTTGCGGCGGCGCGGCGGCCGCGCGCGGCGAGCGCGAGGTCGACGACACGTCCAGCGAGCTGTCCGAGTCCGTGACGACGACCGGCGGCGCCGGCGCGGCTGGCACAGCCCTGCGTTTCTTCGCCGCCCTTCGCAATTTTTTGAAGTACCTGTGCGGAACCAGTGCGTCAGGCCGGCCTGGAGGTATTATCTACTATTCTGGCGGCCTCGACGCAGCGCGAGAGTGCTTGGCGTCCTCGCACGAGGCGTCTTAGGCTTACTCGCCCGAACGTTTGATTTCCGCACATTGAAGTACTTTTGCGCGTGGGAGCGGCATTGGGTCGTCGAGCGCGTGCCGACGGCCGCCTGTGTAGATAATCCTTGACGGCGTTCGCATCGAATCCGCGCCATCGACGCAATGCCTGCTCGACACTCGTTGATTTCCACACCGACGGCCGCGGCCACGTTCGGCCAGCGGCGGCGCGCCGGGTCGACCGCGACCATCGCCTCGTACGCTTCGAGGAACTTGCGGTGTTCCTCGTCCGTCCAGCGGCCCTCGTTGGTTTTCGTCTTGGGCGGCTTGGCCCGGGCGGCGGGCGGCTTGGCCCGGCCGGCACCGCCGCTGCGCGTCATGGCTTTGCGTACGGGCCGTCGAACGCGCCTCTCGGTTGACGCCCGCGTTTACAGTCACGCGGTGGCCGTCGAACGCGCCGCCCCTCGGTTGACGCCCGCGTTTCACAGTCAAGCGATCGTTTCGGCTCCGCTTTGGGGTTAGAGGCGCGGAGTGGTCCCCTAGTCGATGGTCGATGCAAAAACAAAGTCGCTCGCCGCCGAAAAGGGGGAAAAAGCAGGTTCAATGTTGAGTGCAAGTATTCTGAATCGGGGCGCCTAGGGTGATTGGGACAGTCCTTCGGCCTGCGAGGTCGATCGCGGCTTAGTTCCAAGGGTCTGTGCCGGTCGGCGGCGCGGCGCGTCGCGCGTGGGACGGCTGTTCTGCACAGCCGGACGACGGCCGATCGGACGGACGCAGCTGCGGAGAGAGGTTGCGGAAAACCACACCCCTTGCTCTGCAAGAGATCTCCGCGGCGTGTGATGGCAGTTTCGTGACGCGGGAGGACGCGCAATACGGTTAAAACCTTGAAGATAGGTTTGCAGGCCTCCTCGCCTGTGCCGCAATAACGCCGCAGGTGTGCGAGGGAGTTTGGGCGCAGCTGGGGTGTTTACAGATGATGCTACGGGGAGCACCCTTTTCCGGCCAGACGGTCTAGGGGCGCGGATCACAGCGTTCTTAGCGGCCGCGGCTCCGGTACCGAGCTCAATAGTACGGGGCGCCTGGTACGGCAACCTGACAACACGAAAAAAACACCAGTATGGACACGTGTTGAGGCGCAGGAACCTCCCCGCTGACGCCTCAGGACAAGGTCCGGCCTCGCCGCGCTCCACAAACCCCACCGCGGCCCGTCGGCGGTCGCGGTAGCCGCCTAGTGGACGCTTAGTGGTGCGTAAAGGTACACAAAAAGCAAAGGGGTCGCGGCCGCCGCTTAGTGGACGCGCAGTGGTGCGTGAAGGGTACACAACAAGCAAACCTTACACCCTCGGCGCCAGCAGCGCGTCCCCCTCCGACGGAGGCTGGTCGGAGAAGAGCCGCTGCACGTCGGATAACGCCGCGCCCCGCGTCTCCACGACGAACGCGTAGCAGAACAGGGCGCCGCCCGCGGAGAAGAGCGCGAAGAGCCCGAGGACTCCGGCGACGGTGAGCGTGGCGACAGCCACGTCGAAGAGTTGCAACGACGCGAACGTAGTGGCCCAGAACAAGCACGTCGCGTAGGCCATACCCCGGCCCCGCTCGCCATCGGGCAGCACTTCTGCGCAGTAGACCCAGGAGAGCGTGGACAGGCCGAGCGTGACCGCCGCGATGTACGCGTCGGCGGCCAACGACGCCGAGAGCCCTTCCTGCGTTTCGGTGAAGGTGCTCATGGCGGTCAGAGCAGCCGTGGCGCCCATCGCCGAGGCAATGAGCAGGGGCCGTCGGCCGAAGCGCGCCACGCCGTAGAGGGCCATCAGGACCGCGAAGACAAACTGCGTCGACGCGTAGGTGATGGCGCCCGCCCGCGCGCTCGCCTCGGACAGCCCGGCGCCCTCGAGCACGACGCTCATGTAGGCCTGGATGCAGCTGTTCCCGCAAAACGCGAAGCAGCCCACAACACCAACCCCCACCGCCACGGACCGCTGTGACGCGCGCCGCTTCGCGGGCTCCGGGACGGCGCAGGCCTCGTCCGCCGCGGCGCCGCGGCCGAACAAATGCTCGGCCGCCTCCTTCGCCTCGGCCGCGCGCCCCTGCTGCGCGAGCCACCGCGGCGACTCGGGCACCCAGCCGCGGTGCAGGCCCAGGCCGACCGCGAGCGCGGGCGCGACGGCCGCTATAGCCATCCACCGCCAGACGCCGTCGTCCGTGCCCCGCGCGCCGAGCGCGAACACCGCCAAAATACCCGCAGAGATAAACACGTTGAAGAGGCCGCCCAGCGGGCCGCGCAGCCTCGGCGGCGCGAGTTCCGCGGCGTAAACGGGCACCGCCACGGACGTCGCGCCCATGGCCGCGCCCGCGACCGCGCGGCCCGCCGCGAAGCCGAGCAGCGACGACGCGCAGGCGACGACGACGTAGCCGACCACCCAGAGCCCGCTCACGGCGATCAGGAACGTCCGGCGTCCATAGCTATCCAGCAGGCGCCCGGCGACCGCCGCGGCGAGCAGCGCGCCCAGTGGCGCCGCCGAGGCCACGAACGACGCCTCGGCGCAGAGGTCCGCGCCGCCGCAGAGGTCGACGGCGTCGATCATCGACTGGAGCGTCGCGCCCGTGAACGCGACGGTGTAGCCGAACTCGAAGGCGTGCAAGTTAATCAGGGCCGTGCGCAGGACGTGGTCCCAGGTCGTCGTCATCTTGGTGTGTATGCGCGACGGCGTGAGGCCGAACGTAGTCTGCACTCTGCCGATATTAGCTCTATGGGTCTGGATTGTCTGCAGGCCGGCGGGAGAGGCGCAAAGGGCAGCCCGCAGCGCTACCACGGCTCAAAAGGGATGACCCCTACGGCAGCGCTTCGACGTATATTGCGTCTGTCCTCGTCAAGAGAGACAAATCATCCCATGGACCACATCTCTCTCATGGCGCCGAACATCCGAACCTAGAGCCGCCGGCTCCGATCCGCGGAACCGTCCGCGAAGCGTCGCCTCCGACCCGTGTGGCCGTCCTGCGGATAGGGCTGCGTTTCAAGTTTTTGTCGGGGCGAGGCGGAGGCAGCGCCATCAGCCTCGTCGGCTCCCGCGCTGCCCGCGCAGCCAGCGGCTGCACCCAGTACACCAAAAGGCCGGGTCCGCTCCCATCGAGCCCATCTGTAGTCGCCCCGGGCTGGGCTTGCTCCATCAAGGCCCTGCAGTAAAGATGGGCAGCCTGCCCTTATACACAGGGATGTACGATCCCGACACCGAGGGCTTCCTGGGTGGACCCAGACGCATCGAAGCGTACAAACCAGCCCACCGCGGCGCGCTCCTGACCTGGAATCCGCGGCGGGACGAGGCCACGACGAGGGTCGAGACCTATCGCGTGTCGAACGGCAACCTGGGCTGCGCATGGCCCGTGGACGTGCGGCCCGAGTTGGAAAAAGAGCGCGAGGCGCTACGTAGTCGGCTGGGCACGGCGGAGGGCCGCATGCGCGACATCGAGGGCATGCTGGCGCGGCGAGGCGCCCGCCGCGGCGCGGAGCGGTCGCCGACGAAGAGCGAGCGGCCCGCGACGGCCCGCGAGCGATCGCCGAAGTCCATCGTCGACTACGAGGAGGAAAAGCCGCCGCCAGCTTATCCGCGCCGCCGGCCGGCCACGGCGCCGAGGCAGTCCTTACCCTCAGGCTTCGGAACCCAGAGAGAGTCAAGGAATCCGACCGCGGGTCGCACGAAGTTCGGGAAGGCCGACGAGCGCACGCAGCCCGAGCGCTACTGGCCACTGACGAAAAATCGGGACGGCGCTGCCGCGGGCCACAACGAAGGCCAGCGACCCATGGGCGCGAAGCATCCCGTCGCGAAGCATTCGCCCGTCGTCAAAATCAAGGCCCCGGTCCGGCGCGATCGGCGGGACCACTTCCACTACTACGACGATATGCCTGCCAGATTCATGGGCCAAACGAAGGTCCGGAAGCCCCAAGATTATTACGACCCCATCTTGAAACCACCCAAAATCGCCACCACCCACCAGAGAACGGCGTTCAAGAGCACGTATCGCTACAAGAAGAAGAGGTTCCAGCCTCCTCTCGAGCAACTGTCCTGGCGCATCTGACGTGGTTTCAGTCCCTTAGTAGTTCCTTGTAATTTATCAATCGTACTACGCCGTCGGGAAGACGACCTAGGTAGACTCAATCCAGTTGACAATTTATACGTTATAGGGAGTTCCCAATAATGTGCAGGCAAAGGGGTGGGGACGGACGAAAGGGAGCGTGCACTGCGCCGTATCACGGGCGCAGGGGCACGGTTGTAGAGGAGCGGGCCGCGACCGTCTCGGTCGCCGGCGCCGGTGCCGGCCCAGGAGGAGGGGGCGGGCCGACCATCAGCTTCCGGTAGCTGAGGCCAAAGAGCGGCGACGCGCCCATCGGGTCGGCGCGGCGCGGCGACGGGTGGCCCGCCTGGCGCGCCGCCTTGGCGTCGTCCTGGACGACGAGGCGGCCCGGCGACGCGGCGCGCTTGTGCGAGAGGCCCGGCGGCCCGGACAGGCACGCGGGTCCGGGTGCCGGCGCTGGCGCTCGCGCGCGCGCCGGCGCCGGCGCCGCGTCGGCAGCAGGCGCGGGCGCGGCTCGGTCTCGGTCCGCGTCGGCGGCGGGCGCGGGCGGCAGCGCGGGCCGCGGCGGGCCGCGCGGCGGCTCGGGGCAACCCAGCACGCGTGCGAGCGTCGCGGGCGACTTGTTCACCCCAAGGTCACGCGGCACCCAGCCGTAGAGCTCGCCGTACAAACCGTCGCGCGACTGGCCGCTTCGGCCGACAGCCGCACTGCGGGCGGCCGCAGCGGCGGCGTGGAGATCTCTGGCGGCCAAACCGGCGCCCAAGGACTTGTCGTAGCCGGGACCGCGCGGAGGCCGCGGAGGCGCCTGCATCATCAACGGCGTCCGGCGCGGCGGCGGCGCGCTCGCGGCGGAGATGGAGTCCAGGCTGCGCATCAGCGACGTTCTCGGACTTTCATCTATCGAAGGAGGCGGCAGCACGCTCCGCGGCTCGGAGTCGCCGAACGTCGCTCGGGCGGCCCGTAGCTCGGCATCCCTTCTAGCCGCCGTCGTCTGGGCGGCACACTCGGCCACGCGCGCGGCCCAGGAATGCTGGGACGACGCCGACGCGCCTGGCGCGAGGCTCGACAGCGAAGACGTCGACGTCGCGTGGGGGAGGCTTTGCGACGCGGCCAGAGCGCTCCGCGCGGCGGCGGCATCGCGCCGCACGCCGGCCAGCGCATCGTCCTCCGCGGCGCGCAGAGCATCAGGCCCTCGGGCGCGCCGGGCGGCCCGAGCGGCCCTCCCGGCCGGCGGCGCGCCGTCCCGATGAGCCCTGCCTCTCATCGCGAAGAAGACGGCTTCCGCGGAGTTCGTCTCCTCGGCCCGCACGAACAAACTCTCGAGCCTTCTAAGGTTCGCAGCGTCGCCGGCGTCGAGCTGTCCGGTCCGCGAGAAGATGGACTTGCCCAAAGTGGCGCCGGCGAACTTCTTGGTGATGCGCATGGGCGCGCAGTGGAGGCGCCTCGACAGAAAGGCCCTCAGAGTCGTGCCATCGGCGCAGTCGGGCACGAGGCCCGCGAGGAACGCCTGGATCAGGACCTCGGAGAAGTTTTGTTCTTCCGGCGTCCACTTGCCTCTTCGCAGCGGCAGGTCCGCGAGGCTCGCCACGGTCCGCAGGGCCGGCTCCTCGATGTGCGCCGGCGAGCCCGGCTGAGTTGGGGGCGAGCCGAGGGGCTCCATGATTTTTTCTTGGGGTTCACTGGCCGCGCGGTCGGCTGGGCAGTCCGCACGGCGCGTCACGGGAGGCCGGGGGAGGCCGCCGCGCCCGGTCTCTTCCACTTTCTAATTTGAGGTTAGTACGTTCGTAGCGGCCTCGCCGTATCTCCGGCGGCCGCGGTTTCGGCTGGGCTAGGCTTAGGGTCAGCTACGCCAGCGCCTGTCGCCTCTTCGGTCGTTCCGGGGCGCCGCGGCGTGTTCTATGGCGCCGCGGTAAAGCCAGCTTGGGCTGTCAAAAACGCCACGAGACAGACTCAAGTTCCGAATAGGTCGTGCCCGCAGTCTTCTGGGGCGAGGCTGACCGACAGAGAAGTCGCAAAGTAGACCGTGGCAAAAACCCGCACGATAACAACACTTTCATCGAGTTCCCCGTCGATGGAGCCTCCGCTTCCCGGCGGACGCGAGAACACATCCGGGATCACACGGTCTGACACAAAAATAACTTACAAAGAAGAAGCCGGCGGACGACCGCTCTCCGCCAGGAGCCGCTCGCACTTCCGCACGAGTCCGGCATTCAGCGACGTCAGCGTCGCCGCGCGGTCCTCGGCCGCCGCGAGCCGTCCGCTGAGGTCGCCCCCGGCCGCGAGGTCCGTCCGCGCGCGCAGGGCCTCGTCGCGCGCGGCCTGGACCTCGGCGCGCAACGCATTCAATTCCACGCTCGCGTTTGGAATCTTTGATAGCTTGTTTCGGAGCGCGTCGCGCTCGGCCTCGAGCCGGACAATCCTTTCCTTCAGGGCGTCGACGCGTTGCGGCGTCGTATTTGGATTGAGCTCATGCTTTAGCGCCTCCGCTGCTTTTCGTGATGCGTCGGAGATACGAGGAGGAAGGCGTCGTAGCGACTGGACTTCGGCGCGAGCTTGTTGGAGGGCCCGCCGCAGCGACGCATTATCTCGCCTGGAGCCTGCTAAAGCTAGTGGCGTAGCCTCGAGGGCAGCATCCCTTAATTTGCGCAGCTCCTTATCTCTCTCATCATTCAAAATGGCGACAGCGGCGGTTTGAGCTGCGCGGGACGACGGGTGAGGCGTCGCGTCGATGGCGTACGGTTGGTAAAAAACACTACGGAGACGGACGGACACCGGCCGCGGACCCGCCATGCGCTCCTCAAGCGCCCGCACTCGCGCGCTGCTCGTCGCAGACGACGCTTCCAACAACTGATACTTCGCCATGCAAGCCACCGCGTTTGCCTTAGCTTGGTCCAACACGCGGGCCGTCTCGGTCTCCCGATCTTTCAAGCACGCCTGGAGGCGTTCCACCGCCGCGTGGTCATCAGCATCTCTTTTGCGGCTCGCCTCGACGGTGTCCTGCTCCTTCTGTTGGATTATCGCCTCGAGCCGTTTCACCTCGTCCGCCTTACGGGATAGGGCTCCTTCCGCGCGAGCCGCCGCCGCGGTCGCCGCCACGAGGTCGGTGCCATGCTGCTCGAGCGCGGCCTCGAGGCGCCCGACGCGTAATGAGTCCGTCGCCTGCGCGGCGACGGCGTCCTCATGAGCTTTACGTAGGGCCGCGAGGTCGTCCGTCGCCTTCGCTTCAGCGCCTCGCGAAGTCCCAAGGAGCGCCTGGGACTCGTCGAGAGCGCGTCGCGCCTCGTCCCGCTCCCCGCGGAGCGTGGCGGTCTCGGCGACGGTCTCGCGCATCGCCTTTATCTCATCATCGAGCGCGGAGGCGCGCCGCCGTGCTTCGGCGGCGGCGTCGCGCGCCGCCCTTATTTCGTCCTCTAGCGCGGCAGCGCGGTCCTGGGCTTCTTCCAGCTTCCAGTCGTAGGCCTCGAGCGCCGCCTCGTCCTGGGCCGCCGCCGTCTCCAGAGTTTCGATGGTCCGCTGAGCTTCGTCGGCAGCCTCTTCGAGGGATGAGATGGTCTCCTGTGCCTCTTCCAGGTCACGCGCGAGCGCCTCGATGTCAGCGCTCTCCTCGTCGCCATGCGCCAGCGTCCGGAGCAGTTTGGCGCCGGACGGCGGCGTCGAGCTCGTCTTCGCGAGGAGCTCGCGCCGCAGTTCCTCCTCGACGCCGCGCCGCCGCTCGACGTCCGCCCGGCAGCGCGACACCTCGTCTTCCAGGACTTCCAACTGGTCGTCCTTTCTACCTAGAGCCTCCCTCAGCCGCGCCACGGCGTCGTCCTCGGCCGGGTCGCCCCGTAACCGTTGATCAGTCAAGGCCGCCCGCGCCGCCTCAAGCTCCCTCTTGAGTGAAGCGACGGCGGGGCTCTCCTCGTCATCCGACGCCACGGCCGCGGGCGACGCCGCCGCCCTCGCCGCCGCAAGCTCCCGTCGCAGCCCCGCGACGACGGCGCTCTCGTCGCCGCGCCAGACCGGCGACTCGTCGTCCGACGTGCCGCGCCAGCCCGACCCGTCCGAGCCCGCCTCGAAGCGCACGCGCCGCGGCGGCGTCGCGTCGATGGCCCGGAGCGCCTCGGACGAGTCGAGCGCCTCCCGGAGCCGCGCCGCCTCGTCGGTCGCAGACGCCGCCGCCGCCAGCGCGGCGTCGCGAGCGCCAGCAATCTCGGCGAGCTCCCGCTGGTGCGCCTGGTGCCTTTCCGCCGCCTCGGCGTCCAATGTCACGCGCGCAGCGTCGACGTCGCGCGACGCCTGCTCGGCCGATCCACGCGCGAGGCGCACGGCGTCCGCCGCCTCGGCGCGCGCGCTCGCGACCGACGCCTCGGCCGTCGCGCGCGCTTTCTTCACCGTCTCCTCGGCGTCGCGCTCCAGCGCGTCGCGTTCGGCCTGGGCCGCGTCGAGCGCCTTCTTAAATCGTCGCTTGGCCTCATTGAGCTCATCCCTCGCCGTTTCGATGCCATCCAACGCCTCGGCGAGCTCGCCCTCGAGGCGCGCGAGGCGCCGTTTTACCATCGGCGACTCGGGAACAACTTGGGACGACACGGCGAGTTCCGATTGCGCCTGGGCGAGGTCTCGCTTGAGCTCGGCCAGTTCACGTCCGGTTGATGACGCATCGGCTTCCGCCTTGGACCGCAACTCGGTCACCTCCGCCTCCAATCGCTTCCTCGCCTCGGCTTCACCCTCGAGGAGAGCCACCGTCTGCCGGAGCCCCTTCTCCGCCTGTAACGAGCCCTGGAGCTCCTGGCGGCACTCTCGCAATGAAAGCTGGAGATCAGTCAAATTCTTGTCGTGGACCTGGCGCCTGGCCTCGGCGTCGCGCCGGGCCACGCTCAAATTCAGCTGGAGGTGCTCGTTCTGCGACTGCGTCTCTTCGGCCTGGAGCTCGAGCTTCGACCGGCTCTCCTCGGTCTCGACCAGGCGCGCCTCGAGGGCCTTCAATGTGTCCGCGAGGCCCTCGCCGCGTTTGACAGCGTCAGCCTTTGCTTGCTTGAGCTCGGTCGAGGCCTCTTCCAGCTGCTGTTGCAGCGCCATCACTTGCTGGCCCTCGGCCGTCGCCTCGCTCAGGCGCTTTTGGAGTTCCTCGACCTCGTCCTGGTTCTGAAGCGTCCGCGTCGCGAGCTCGGCCTTCAGCGTCGCCACCTCGTCGCGCTCGGACCGCAGAGCCGCCAACTGCTCCGCGAACCGCGCCTCCGTCGCCCGTAAATCTAACGCGGCCTTGGCCTCGGCGGCGGCCCGCGCCGCCGCCGCGTCCTCGAAGCGCCGGTCCACCGCGGACGTGTCCTTCTTCCTCCGGCGGGGCTTGTCGGGCACGACCTCCAGCCCATAGATCTGCGTCTGCGCCGGCCGGTCGACGCGGTGTACCTCTACGCTCTGCGTCCCGCGGTGCGTGACGTCCCGGTCCAAGACCTGGCGGAGCTGCTCCTCTGTCGTGCGCGCCACGTCCTGCAGATGCGCGTGTTCGGCGGTCTTCGATGCGAGCTCCTCGTTCAGCTTGGCGACGCGCCCCTCGAAGTCCTCGCGCAAGCTAGATTCGGCCGCCTCGGCCGCCGCCGCGCCGTTGGCCAACCTCTCCTCGAAGTCGGCGGCCGCCTCGCGCGACGCCTCGGACGCCCGCAAGAGCCGCGCGTCCCGGTCCTGGATGACGGCCTCCAAATCCTCGAGACCCTTCGCCAGCAAGCGCTCGGCGTCGCTCTTCGCCCGCTCGACCTCCGTGAGTTCCGTCTCGGCGGCGAGCCGCATGGACCGCTCGCGCGCCAGCCGCTCGTCGCTGCGGCCGTGCGCCGCGGCGATGGCCTCGGTCGACGACGCCCGCGCCGCCTCGAGGTCCTCCTGGGCTTGCCTCATCCGCCTCTCCAGCCGGTCCTCGCCGACACCTTCCGCCCGTTTGACCTGCTCCGCGCATTTCGCGCGCCACTCGTCCTCCAGCTTTGAGAGCTCCCGGACGCGCCGTTGCTCCGCCGCCTCCAAGCGTTTCTGGCCGTCGTCGCGCTCGCGCGCCGCCGCCTTCGACGCCGCGACGGCCGCGGCCTTCGCGTCCGCTAACTCAGAAGTGGCCTTGGCGAGCTCGGCGGCGACGTCCTCGGACGGTCCAATAGACACCTCGTCCACAGCTTGCTGCGCGGCCCGGGCGGCCCTGAGAGCGTCTCGCACCTGCGCGACGGCCTCGTTCCGCTCCTTCACCGACGAGTGGAGCCGTCGAACGAGCTCGCCGTTCTTCGCCGCCTGCTCGGCGGCGGCAACCTCCCATCGTCGCTCCCAGTGGGCGTCGCGCGCCGTCGCCGCTTGTTCCGCCGCGAGTTGCACGCCGCGCTGGAGCGCCTCGTCCGCGTCGAGGCGCAATTGGTGCTCGCGCTGCTGCATCTCCGTGGCGTGGTCCTGCGCCTGTTGGTCGAGAGAATCCTCGAGCGCCGCGACGCGCGCGTCGCACTCGGCCGCAAGGCCTCGCTCTTCCGACAGCGCCGCCGCCAGCTCGCCGGTACGCGCCACGGCGGCGTCGCGGGAGCTAGTGACCTCGTGGAGGCGCGTCTCGTACTTGTCGCCGAGCGCCGTCGCCGCGAGCCTCAACTCCTCGATGACCTTCAACGTGGCGTCGTCGTCGAGGTGGGGGCTGCTTCTCGTGGCCGCTCGCGTGGGCGCCGACAGCGCGGCGCGCAGGACTTCGTCGGTCGCGCGCGCCGCGTCCGCGAGCGCGGCGGGGTCGACGATAACGGACGCGTTCTCGAGCGATGCGACGTTGAGCCGCGCAAAGACGTCCGGGAGAGTAATCTCGGGCACCTCCACCACACGTGGTGCGAGGGTCACTTTGTCGAAGTCCAGCACGGGCCGGTCGATCTCGGCCGCGGCGAGGACCGCGATCATCCCGCTCTCCGGAAGTTTTACTTCCGACGGCGGCGTCGCGCGCCTTAGTCGTTCGACGGCCGCCGATACGGTCGCTTCCGCATACCTCAGGGCCCGCGCGACCGCCCGCTTCTTGGAAGCATGGCACCGGACGAGCAGGAGCCGCTCGGCGCGCTCGGCGTCGTCGTGTAACGCTTCTAGCTCTCCCTCGAGGTGCGCGACCTGGGCCTGGAGCGTCTCTTCTCCTTGCTGGAGATTTTCAACTTCGCCCTCGAGATGAGCCACTTGGGCCAATGCCGTCGCCGCCTCTTGGGCGCTGCTCTCCGCCCGCGCTTTGTGCGTTTCGGCTTCCTGAGTGAGCTGCTCGACCTCCGCCGCGTGCTCCCGGTTCCGGAGCTCCGCCTCGGCCTCCAGAGTGACGCGCGCGGCGTCGACGTCGCGTAGCGCCGTGTGCGAGCCCTCCCGGGCGAGCTTGACGGCATCCACCGCCTCGCGCCGCGCCGCCTCGGCCACGCGCGTCTTCTCGTCGAGCTGCTCACTCAATGTGGAGTTTTGGGCATGGAGTTGCGTCAAGCCGTCCTTCAATTCAGCTAACTGAGCCTGGGCATCGGCCATGTCGATCGCATGCTGCGCGTACCGCTCCTTCGCCGCGGCCAGCGCCCGCTCGAGCTCCGGGACCCGGTCGGACTTCACGTTCCGCCTTCTCGCCGGCAGCGTCCGGCACACGAGCTCCGTCAGCGCCTTGACGGACGGCGCGGCAACGGCGTCGCAGGCCTTCGAGGCCTCGGCCAGCGCGCGGCTCCGGGCGCGCTCGAGCGCCGTCGTCAGCGGACCCTCCTCGGCCCGCAGGGCCCCGTCGTCGAAGGCCCAGACGACCTCGCGGAGCTCCGTCCGACCCTCCGGCGAGGATTGCCCTTTGCCGGACGCCACTTCCAAGTCCACGAGCTCCTGGACGCGCGTCGCGAAGCGCTGGAGGCGCGCGCCCGCCTCGGCGAGGGCTGCCTTTGCGGCGTGGGCGTGCACGGTCGCGCCCTGCTCGCGCAGCGACGCCTGGGCCACGGTCTTTTCGCTCGCGCGCGTCTTCAGCGCGAGGTCGGCCTCGAGGCGCTGGATGCGCTCCGACGCGAGTAGAGCCTTAACGTCGTCCTGAGGCGTGTGCGCTTCGGCCTCCTCGAGCCGTCTCCTCGTGACCCGGTGCGCCTCCTCCGCCTGGACGCGCTCGTCCTTGGCCGCGGCGGCCTCCCTTCTCAGGGCGGTCATCGTCCGCTCGCAGTCGCGCTCCGCGTCACTTCTCGCGCGCTCCGCGTCCGCTCGCGCCGCCTCGAGCTCCCTTCGTAAACGGAAGGCGTCGTCGTCGCGGCTCCTTAGTTCAATCTGCAGGTCCCGGACGCGCTGCGACGCCGCCGTCTCCGCGTCGACCAGCGCCTCGATGGCCGTGCGCGTCGGCGTGTTCACGGGCGCGACGGTCTCCGGCGACGGGCCCCGCGCGCGCGGCGGCGTGCGCACAACGGCCGATTGATTCTGTTCCAGCTCCGCGATGCGCCGCAGTTTCTCCTCGGCCTCGTGGGCGTCGACCTCGGCCGCCGCCTCGAGCTCGGACACGCGCCGCCGCAGCGCGCGAGCCGTGACCTCCTGCGCCTGGTCGGCCTCGTCGCGGGCCTCGGCCAGGGACGCGAGCTGCGCCTTCAGGGAGGCGCTCCGCTGGTCCGCGGCGTCGCACTTGTCGTTGAGCTGCTCGGCTTCCGCTTCTAAACGCTCCACGGTCGCGCGGAGCGTAGATGAGGTGTCGTGGCCCGTTTTCAAAGCGTCGTCGCGCTCCGTTTCTAGAGATGCGACGCGTGCGTGCAGCTCGTTGACGACGGAGTCCGCGTCGTTCAAAAGCTGGTCGCGCTCGTCGGCGACGGCGTAGCAGTGCGCGCAGGGGCCCTCCTGCACGTCGGCCAGCCGCTCGGTCAGGTCGTCGCGCGCCGCCTCGAGGGCGGCGACGCGATCCTTGTGGACCTCTTCCATCTGGGCCAGGGCCGCCTCCTGGGCCTCCTTGTCGGCTTTGAGGGCGTTGGTCGCCTCCCGTAGGGAAGCGATCTCCTCGAGCACGTGGCGCGGCGTCGCGTGCAATGCGTTTTCAAGCTCGGCCGTTCTCTTCGTGTGGAGCGCCGCCGCCCGGTCGGACGCCTGCACGAGGTCGTCGCGCTCCTCGGACATGGTCTTCAGGCGCGCGTACAAGGTACTGGACGTGGCCTCGGCCTCGGCGAGCTGGCGGCGGAGGTCGCTGGACTGCGCCGTCTGCGCCTCCAGTTCGCCAAGCAGGTCCCGCTTATCCTTCTTCAGACGCAGCAACGCCGCCTCGCTCGCCTCCGTCGCCGCGGCCAGGGCCTGGAGCTGCGCGGCCTCGGCCTTTTCGCGCACCGGGTCCGCGACCGCTTGCGCGAGGGCACTTTCCAGCTCGTGGACCCGTCGCCGCAATTGCTCGTCCGTCGCGGTCAGCGCGAGCATGCGCGCGTCCGTGTCCACGAGTAACTGGTCCCGCTCGTCGATCAGCGCGCCGCACTCGTGGTCCTTCTGCCTCATCATCTCGTCGCGCTCGCTCTCCAAATCTCGTTTTTCGCTCCGCAATTGCTGCGTCGTGCGGTCGGCCGCGTCCCGCTGCTCCTGGAGCGCCGCTTCCAGCGACGCGATGCGTCTTCTCAAAACGTCGTACTGCGCCATGGCTTCGTCGCGCTCGTGCGTCGCGGAGAGGAGCGCCCGCCGCTGGGTTTGAACGCGACCCTCGGCGTCCTCGAGCAACTGGTCCCGGTCGGGGCGCTGGGGCGTCGCGACGGCAGGCCGCTCCGCCTCCGCCAGGCGCGCCTCGAGCGCGGCAACCTGGCGTCGGAACGCGCTCGCGTCGTCGTCGCGCGCCCGGCGGGCCTCGCGCGCCGCGTCCTCGGCGGCCGCGACCTCGGCCCGCAGGGGCGGGAGCCGCTGCGAGGCTTCCGTGAGTTCCGCTTCCAGCGTCGAGATGCGCCGGTGCAGCGCCGCGCTCCGCGCGTCGCTCATCGTCTGCAGGTCGTCGCGGTCCGTTTTTAGGGAGACGAGCTGGCGCTTCAAGTCGACCGCAGCCTCGGCCTCGCGCTCGAGCTCCCGCACGCGGCGGCCCGACTTCTTCGCATCGAGTTCATGCGCGTCGCGCTCGGTCCCCAGGTCCGCGACCTGGCGCCGCAGCGTCGCCGCGACGGCGTCGGCGTCGTCGATGTGCCTCGCTAGCTCGTCGCGCTCGTCGACCAAAGCGGCGGCGTCCGCGCGGGCCGCAGAAAGGGCCGCCTCGCCCTCCTCGCGCGCCCGCGTCGCATCGGCGAGCTCCCGGCGCAGCTGCGCCAGGGCCGCCTCGTTTTCACTCGCCTCGCCGCGCAGCGCCGATATCGTGGCGATTGCACTCTCGGCCTCCGCCTCGGCCACGCCGAGTTTGCGCCGCAGCGCCGCCCGCGCCTCGTCCCCCGTCTCCCGCGCCTCGTCGCGCGCGCGCGTCATCGCGCCGAGCTCGCGGCGCACCTGGGCCACCTCCGCGTCGCGCTCGTCGTTCAAGGTCCGGAGCTCCTTCCTCAACTCCTGGACCTCGCGCGGGCCGTCTCCAAGTAATGTAACCTCGCCCTCGAGGGCCCGGAGCCGCCGCTGCGCCGCGGCGGCGGCCGTCTGCAGGTCGCCGTTCTCGTGCGTGAGCTGCGCGACGCGGCGGCCGAGCTCCGCGAGGCGCGCGTCGGCCTCGTCGAGCGCCGCGCGCGCCCGCTCGTCGGCGGCCGCGCGGTCGCGGCGGAGCCGCTCGCAGTCCGCCTCGGCCTTGCTCCGCCTCGCGTCGAGCTGGGCGAGGCGCGCCTCGGACGCGACGCCCAGCGCTTTTTGTTGCGCCTCGTGCTTGGCCTTGCTTTCTTCCGACGCGGTCCGGAGCTCGTCCCGCTCCTTGGCTAGGACTTCGACGCGGCGCTCGAGCGCGTCCCGCGCCTCCGCCGCCTCGGCCCGGAGGGCGTCGCGCTCGGCGGCGACGATCTCGAGGTCCTGGCGCAGCGCCGACGCCTGCGCCTCGGCCTCTTCAGCTCTCTCGGTCCGCGCCCGGAGCTCCGCGTCGACACCCGCTTGCTCCTCCTGAAGCCGGTCGCGCTCGCCCTCGAGCGCCCGCCGCGCGCGCTCGACCTCGGCCAGCCGCGCCGTCGCCGCGTCCTGAAACTCGCTGTGCGTCGCTGTGTGCGCGGCGGCGGCCTCGGCGGCGCGCCGCAACTCTTCACACCGCGCCTCGGCCGCGGCCTTTTCCGAAGCGAGCTTGGTGAGCCGCGCCTCGGCGGCGACGCCGAGCGCGCCCTTCTCGCCCTCGAGCGCGCTTATTTTCCGGCGGAGGCCGGCGGCCGCCTGGGTCTGGGCCTCGACGTCGCTCTCGAGGGCGGCGGCGCGGCGGGTCGCGGCCGCGAGCTGCGTCTGCGCGGCGGCCGCCGCGTTGGTGAGCTCGCCCTCAAGCGCGCTTACCTTCCTACGCAAGTCGGCGGCTTCCTGGGTCTGGTCGTTCTCGAGGGTGGCGACGCGGCGCGAAAGTGCCTCGCGGTCCCGCGCTGCCGCCTCTTGGTCGTCCGCCGCGGCCGCGAGGCGCGCCTTTAGGGGCGTCTGCGCGGCGGTCGCCGCGGCGAGGTCGCTCTCGAGGGCGGCGGCGCGGCGGGTCGCGGCCGCGAGCTGGCGCCCGAGCTCGTCGTGGTCTTCCCCCGCGGCCGCGAGGCGCGCCTTCAGCGGCGCGTGGGCGGCGAGCTCGCCCTCGAGCGCGCTCACCTTCCGACGCAAGCCCGCGGCCTCCTGCGCCCGCGCGTCCGCGTCGCCCTCGAGGGCGAAGACGCGGCGCGCGAGCGCGTCGCGGTCCCGCGCCACCTCGTCGAAGTCGTCGGTCGCCGTCGCGAGGCGCGCCTTCAGCGGCGTCTGGGCGGCGGCCGCCGCCGCGACGTCGCCCTCGAGGGCGGCGACGCGGCGCCGCAGCGCCTCCTCCTTGGCGGCTTGGGCCTCGGCGTCCGCCTCGAGCGCGGCGACGCGGCGGCGCTGCTCCGCGGCCCGGCGATCGGCGTCGGCCAGGCGCGCGTCGGCGTCGGCCGCGAGGCGGTCGCGGTCCTGCGCGAGGGCCGCGAGGCGCGCCTTGAGCGGCTCCGGCGCGCTCTCCGCGGCGGCGAGCGCGCCCTCGAGCGCGGCGAGGCGGGCCTTGAGCGTCGCATTGCGCGTCGTGTGCTCCTCGTTCTCGGCCTCGACCGTCGCCACGCGGGCCTTGAGCGTCGCGGCGGTCCGCGCCGCCGCGGCCGTCGCCGCCTCCGCCTCGTCGAGCTCCGCGAGGCGCCGCGCGGCCTCGGCGCGCGTGGCCGCCAGGTCGCGCTCCAGCGTTATGCTTCTTTTCGCTTGTTCGTCCGCGCTCCGCCGGAGCTCGTCCCGCTCGCCCTCGACGACCGTCAGGCGCTTCGCTCGCTCGTCGGCGCTCCGCCGGAGCTCGTCCCGCTCGCCCTCGACGACTGTCAACCGCTTCGCTCGCTCGTCGGCGCTCCGCCGGAGCTCGTCCCGCTCGCGCTCGGCGGCCGTCAGCCGCTCGGCCTGCGCAGCCGCTGCCTCGCGCGCCCGAGTCCGCGCGTCCTGCGTCTCGTCCCGCAGGCGCGTCGCCTCGACGAAGGCCTCGGTCCGCAGCGCGTCGGCGTCGTCCTTCCACTTGGCCGCGTCGCGCTTCGTCGCCTCCAGCTCGCGCTGCAGTTGTTGTATAGTCGCGTCCCGGTCCTCCTCCGCGACCCGCAGGGCGTCGCCGCGGCGCACGAGATCGCGCCGCAGCCCTTGGATCGTGGCCTCGGCCGCGTCCCGGTCGTTCGTGGCCGCCTGCAGCGCGTCGTTCGCGCGCGCGAGCTCCGCGTCCTTGCGCTGCGCGGTCCGCGCCTCCGCGGCCGCCTCGTCGCGCGCCTCGCCCAGGGCGCGCTCGTGGGCGCGCGCCGCGGCCGTCGCTCCCGAACTGACATGTGCGAGCTCGCGCTCGAGCGTCTCGATCGTCTGCGCGGCGGCCGCGTCGTCGGCGTTCGCGTCCTCGAGCGCCGTGCGGGCCGCGGCCAGCTCGCGCTCGAGCGCGGCGATGCGCCGCTGCGCATTGGAAGCCTGGGCCTCGTGGTCGCTCCGGGCGCGCTGGAGCTCGGCCGCGCGCCGCTGTGCCGCGTTCCGGTGCGCGTCGACCTCGTCGGTCGCCGCGGCCGCGAGGTCGACCAGGTGCGTCTCGAGGCGCTCGACGTCGCCGGTCCGCGGCCGCACGGCCTCGGCGAGCGCCGCCTCCGTGCGGTTCCGCGCCGCCTGCTCCGCGGCCAGGGCCTCCGCTTTTGATTGAAGCTCGGCGCGCAGGTCGTCCTCGGTCCGAGTCCGATCCGCCTCCACCGCCCGGAGCTCTTCTCTTAGATCGTCCTCGGTCCGCGTCCGCTGCTCTCTCTCATTCTCGACCTCGGCCTCGACCTCGGCCCAGGCCGCGCGCTCGGCCTGCAGGGCGTCCTGCGCGTGGGCCAGCTCGCCGCGCAGGTTCGCCTCGACCTCGTGCTGCGCCTCCAGGTTGCTTCGCAGCGCGGCCGCCTCAGTTCTATGTTCCTCGTCCAGGGCACCCAACGCGTCCGCGGCCGTCGTGAGGTCCACTCTTAATGAAGATTCCTTCTCGGAGCTCGTCCTTTGTAATTCTGCGAGGGCGGCCTCGAGCTCGCCGCGCCGCCGGCGCTCGGCGCCGAGCGCCGCGGACACCGCCGCCATGTCCTGGAGCGACGCCTCGGCCTCGGCCCGCAGCCGGCGCTCGGCCTCGAGCGCGCCCGCCTTCTCGGAGATCTTGCCCCGCAGCGCCATCTCCGCCTCGGCGAAGACGCTCTGCTCCATGCGCAAAGCCTCCTCGCTCTCCGCGCGGAGCTTCTTTTCTTTAGCCACTTCGTCGTGGAGTTCCTGGCACTCCTCGGCCGCGTGCCGCAGGTCGTGCTGCAGCGCCTTGACGTGGGACTCCTCCGTGTGGTCGGAGCGAAGGCGCATCTCCGCGAGCGCGGCCCGCGCGTGCTCGAGCTCAGTGCGCAGGCTCTTTAAAGCTGCGGCGCGCATGCGGCCCGCGGTGCTGCCCGCCGCGGCGTGGTCCGACGACGGCTCGCGCGGCGGCGTCTGAGGCGGCGTTCTTACGAGAGACGCTTCGTGAATTTTCTGCCGCAGTTCCTCCGCCGCTTGCTTCTCCGCGGCGTGGGCCCTGCGGCATGCCTCGAGCTCGTCCGCCGTTTTCTTTTGCGACTTCATGGAACTCCGTGCTTCATTCAATTCGGAAGTGGCCTCGTTCAGCGCGTCCCGCAGCCGCTTCACAACTGAAGTGTCCGCCGGCTCGCTGTGTATTTCTAAGGACGCCTTCGTGGCCGCCAGGTCCCTTTTCAGCGTGGCGACGGCCCGCGCCTCGCCGGCACTTACTTTCTCGAGCTCCTGCCGCACCTCAGAAAGCTCGGCCTCGAGGACCTCTCGTCGTCTTTTTTCCGCGGCCAACGCCTGCTCCATGGGATTCTTCTGGGGCGTCCGCAACACGTCGAGCTCGGCCTGGGCCGCCGCCAGGTCCCGTTTCAGCGACGCGACGGCCCTCGCCTCCGAGGCCGCGGCGTCCTCGAGCATCCTCCTTAACGATTTCAACTCATCTTCCGCTCTCCGCCACTTGCCGCGGTCCTCGTCGTCCGAGGACCCTCGGGGCGACGGCGGCGCGCTCCGCGGCCGCTGCTGGAGGCCGTAGACCTTGGTTTGTGTGGCGCGGCCCCTCGTCTCGACGATGGGTCTTGCAGCGTCGCGCTCCTGCGTCACGCGCGCGAGCTGCTCCGTCAGCGAACTGATCCGCTTCTCGGCGTTCGCCAGGAGCGCGTCCCGCTCCTCCGCTAAAGCAGCGACGCGTCTTCTTAAGCCGCGCGACCGCGGCGGCGTCTGGGGCGCGTCGCCGCTCTCGAACGTCTCCACCCTCCTGATATTCTGCCGCACGCTGCGGTCGGCCTCACGCAGCACCTCGGACACCTCCTCATTTAGAGCCGCCGCCGGTGACCGCGGGACTTCCTCGCTGTCGGACGTCGACGCCGCCCGCGCCTCGGCCGCGTCGAGTCTTCTACGTAAAGCAGCGAACTCCGCGCGGACCTCGGCCTCGCGCGCCTCCGCCTCCATCTTCTCGCGCTCGGCCCGGTCGGCGCGCGCGGCGTGGTCCCGCGGCGGCGTGCGCACGGCCTCGAGCTCGGCCTCGAGCTCGTGCTTCAGTTTCAACGCCCGCAGCTCGCCGTTCGCCTCGGAGCACGCGGCGAGCGCGACGTCGCGCTCGCGGGTCATGGCCGCAAGCTCGTGTTCCAGCGACGTCTTCGCCGAGTTGAGCTCGCTCCGGTCGGCCCGCAGGTCGGCCTCGAGCCGCACGGCTTCGGCGCGGCACTCGTCCCTGACACGCGCCGCCGTCGCGGCCTCGGCCTTTTGCGACGCGGCCTTGAGGTCGGCCTCGAGCCGCGCCGCCTCCGCGCGGCACTCGTCGCGCACGCGCGCCGCCGTCGCGGCCTCGGCCTTTTGCGACGCGGCCTTGAGGTCGGCCTCGAGCCGCGCCGCCTCCGCGCGGCACTCGTCCCTTACACGCGCCGCCGTCGCGGCCTCGGCCTTGCGGGCCGCGGCGAGCTCCGCTTCGAGGCGGGTGACGTCGGCGCCCTCGGGCGTGCCGTGCCGCCGCGGGGAGTGCCACTCGGTCCGCGCCGCGTCGAGCGCCGCCTGCAGCCGCGCCGCGTCGGCGACGGCGCCGTCGCGCGCGCCCTCGGCGGCGCGCTGCGCCTGCCGGGCCGCGTCGAGCGCGGCGGCGGCCTCGTGCAAGGCGCGCGCGTCCGCCGCGTCGCGCCGGCCCGCCGCGGCGTCGACGTCGCCCTTGAGCCGCGCGACCGTCCGCTCGAGCTTGCGCGCGGCGTCGACGGCCTCGTCGCGCTGGCCCTCGGCCGCGCGGAGGTCGTCCCGCAGGTCCGAGGCGACGGCACGCGCCGCGTCGGCCTCGTCCCGGAGCCGCGTCGCCTCGACGAAGCTCGTCGCGCGCCGGCTCTCGGCCTCCTCGGTGAGGCGCTCCACCTCGCGCTGGAGCTCGGCGACCTGCGGATTCCGGAGCGGCGGCGGCGGCGGCGGCGCGTCGTCGCGTGGCGTCCTCGCCGCGGCGAGCTCGCGCCGCAGTTCCCCCATTTCCGAGAGCTCCTCCCGCAGTCGGTCGGCAACGCGCTGCAGTTCCGCGTTCGACGCCCGGAGCGCGTCGGCGTCACGGCGCTTCGCTTCCGCGTCGCGTTTCGCGTCCGCCAGCGCTTCGGCGTCGCCGCGCCGGGCGTCCGCGAGGCGCTGCTCGGCCTCGCGCTGGGCCGCCGCGAGCCGCGCGTCGGCCTCGCGCTTCGCCGAGGCCATCCGCGCGTCGGCGTCTCGTTTGACTGCGTCCGCTTGGCTGAGCGCCTCCTCGGCGGCGCGGCGCTGGTCGTTCGCCTCGGTCTCGGCCTTGCGGCGCTTGTCGCGCTCGCTCTCGACGTCCCGCCTCAAGTTCGTGGCGCTGTGGCCGGCGTCGGCAGCCTCGACGGTCATGCGGTCCAGGGCCTCGGACGCCGTCGCGAGCTCGGCCTTGAGGCGGGCGACGGCCGGCGCGTCGGCCTCGCGCGGCGCGGGGCCGCTCAGTAATAAAGCGTTGGCCTCGTCGAGCTGGGCCTGCTTCGCGTCGAGGTCCCGTCGCAGTTTCTGGGCCGTCGCCTCGCCGGCGGCGCGCTCCTCGCTCAAACTCCGCTCGCGGTCCTCCTTCAATTGGTCCGATGCTACTTCGGCCGCGGCGCGCTCCTCGCGCAGCTGCTTCTCGAGCGTATCACTTCGCCGCTTCAGGACGTCGACGGACGCGCGGAGGTCGTCGCGATCTGCTATAGACCCGGCGAGCTCGCGCCTTAAAGAAGCGACGCGGTCGCGCTCGTCGCCGACGCGCCGGTCGCGCTCCTCGGCTAATGATGAGAGCCGGGCCTCGTGCGCTTCCTGCGCCGCCGCCAGCTCGGCCTCGAGGGCCGTCAGGCGCCGCTGGAGGTTCGCGGCCTTGCCTTTGATCGTCTCCCGGCCCGCTTGTAATTCGTCGCGGTCCACCTCCAACGAAGAGAGCTTCTTGCGGAGCTGGACACATTCGGCGAGGGCCGCGTCGCGCGCCTCGTCGGCGGCGTCGGCGTGGGCCTCGAGCTGGGACAGGCGCGGGTTCGGCGACGCCGGCGGCGTGCGCGCGACGTCGAGCGCGGCCTTCGCGGCAACCAAGTCGCGCTGGAGCTCCGCCGCGGCCCGCGCGTCGGCGGCGGCCTGCGTCTCGCCCGAGGCCCGCGCCGCCGCGAGTTCTTGGGAGAAGCGCCTGGCCGCGGCGCGCGCGTCCGCGATCGCGGCGTCGCGCGCGTCCCGGGCCGCGTCGGCGTCGGCCTTTGATTGGACCAGGTCCGCCTTCGTCGCCGCGAGGTCGCGCTTCAGGCTCGACGTTTCGGCGTACAACCGCTCCTGCTCCGTCTTGGCCTGCGCCAGGCTCGCGACGGCGCCATCTAAACGCCCCGTTACCTCATCCGTCTCGCGGCGCGCGGCGGCGAGGTCGGCCTCCAATCCACCATTCGATTCGATGGCTGCCGCCTTGTCCTCCTCGAGTTTCTGACACTTCGTGAGCAACGCCGTGACCTCGCCCTTGAACCTGGATGACTCCTCGGCCCAGTCGACGGCGTCGCGGCAGGCCTCCTCCTTGGCGGCCCGTATGTCGTCGAGCTGCGCGCGGAACGCGCCGGTCTGCGCGGCCCGCCCCTGGCGTTCCGCCTCGAGCTCGGCGTGGGCGGCCGCGAGGTCGGCCTGGAGCCGCGCCGCGGCTCTTCCAGAAGCCTTCAAAGCGCTCACCTCGTCGGCGAGGGCGCTCTTGGCCGCCGCGTCCCTTGCATCCCGCGCGGCGGCCCCGGCCTTCATCGCTTCTAGAGATTGTAATGCTTCCGCCAGGTCCGCGTGCGGCTCGGACCGGCGCAACAGGGCGGCCTTCGTGTAGGAGGCCTCGCGCAGCTCCGCGCGTTCGGCGTCGAGCGAGGCTCGCATGGCATTTATTTCTTCCGTGGCCCGCTTTCTTAGGTCGTCGCGCTCCGCGGCCGCGTCGTGGATGGTCTTCCTTGCATTCTCCAGCGCGGCTTTCAACATCGCGTTCTCCGCGGCGAGGCGGTCCGCGGCCGGCGCGGACCGCGGCGACGGCACGGGCGGGAGGACCCGCGGTTTCGGAGGCGTCAGGGCGCCGTCGGACTCGTCCGAGGCGTTGTTTTGTGCTTGCGCGGCGCGCAGCTCACGGGCACGTATGCTTTCGGGCTGCATTTGAACAGCATGGGCTGGCATGGGTGGCGGCGCCGGGCTGCGCCGCTGGCCGGGCGCCGGTGGGGGCTCCGGGGAGCCTGGATCCCCCGGTGGGGGCCCCATGATTTGGTTTCAATATCAACTGTGATGCAAAAGAGCTTTTTTGACAGTATAAACATACTAGATTGCTGCAGCGGCCGGCCGCAAAAGCTGCCTGGCGCCGGCCCGACGCTGCCCCTTGACTTTATACGGCTTGTACGCCGTCGCAGCGTTGCCCTACACCGCCCTGCCTGCTTTTTACCCAGGCTTTGTCGTGCTGTGGCAGCCCCCAGGTGTCATAGGCGCACCCGACGCCGACACCATGGCCGACGACGAGTTGGACATCCGCGAGCAGGCCCGCGCGGTCGAGCAGCGCGACGACGTGCCGTCGTTAGCGCACGTGAAGACGACGGGCCCGCTGTCCGGCGGCGCCGGCGGCATGATGCGCCACTTAAAATTCGCATTGAACGACGTGCGCTACGAGTTGCGGCACCGGAGGCCGAAGACCGGTCCTGCCGAGTACGACCCGGGCAACGCCGGGCGCATCCGGGCGCTTGATCGGGGCGAAGCCGTTCGATTACGCGTCCGAGCAAAAGACCACGCGCGGCACTACCGCGAAAAAATGGTCAAGGTCGAAGCGAAGAGGAAGCGGCGCGCGGCCCAGGCGGCGTATGATCTCAATCAGGCGTCGAAGAAAGCTTTAAGTGTGTTTGTCGATTTGTTGCGGAGGAAGGGTGATCGCCATAGGGAGGTCTTCTCGGCGGCCGTGAATTACGGCGCTTGTCTCGTGGATGAGGACTCGAAGAACGCGCAAGCGCGCGCCGAGGCCAAGGCGGCGCTCGAGGCGAAGCATGCTGATGAGTGGCGCGAGTTCGAGGAAAGGGCCGAGGCGAAAAGAACAAGTGCAAGGAAGACGAAATTAATAGATAAGAAGAAGGGTAGAATACATATGGAGAAGGTGCTGGTCGAGGTCGCCGAGGAGGAGAAGGAACTGAGGAAGAAGCACTGGGACGAACTGATCGTCACGAAATGGGGCCGCGCGGTGCTGGAACGAGACATGCGGGAGCGCCACGCCCAGGAGCTCGAAGAGTTCGCCAAGAAGGCCGTCGAGGAGCGCTTCGCCGCGCGGACGTCGGTCCTCGTGATGCAGAAGCTCGAGCTCGAGTTGAAGCAGCGCGACGCGGAGATGAAGGAACGTCATAAGAGCGAGTGGGCGGCGACGCCGTGGGGCGCGCCGCCGGATCCGAACGCGGAGGCGCCGCCTCCCACGAAATGCGAGACGGCCGTGGCCTTCCTGCGGGAGCAGCACTCGTTATGTAAGAGACATCGGGGCGACGACGACTATCTCACGGTCGCGCTGGCGCGGAACCTCGCGGTGGCTTTACTAAGGTCAGAAGCCGCGACGAGCGCCATGCAGTGCGAGGCCGAAGCTTTACTGGAGGACGTGGTGCGCGCGTCGAGCGACTGGTCGCACGGCGCAGTCAATTTAGGAAGTACGGTGGGCCCGGACTGGTCCGTGCGCGCGGAGACGAGCCTGGTCGAGAATTCCTTAGATGAGGACGACGTCGCCGACGGCGCGCGCTTCGCGCAACTCGTATTGATGGACCCGCACTTCGAGCTCTCGCGCATGCCGTCGCTCGCCGACGCGCCGTCCGTGCCGGACGTCGCGTGCGTCAAGTGCTCGGCGTCCGCGCGCGTCGCGGCAGGCCTCTGCGAGGTGTGTTTTTGTGAGGCGTTTCATCGAGCGCCCGGCGACGACCGGCCGCTGCCGCCGCCGCTGCCCCCCCAAGAGGGCTCGGGCGCGCTCTACGCCGCCGACGCCGCCGACGCGGCCATGGTGGCCGAGATCAAGCGGTTAGAGGCGACGCCGTGCTACTTCATGGCGCCGATGCGGAAGACGCCGACGGAGCGCGCGATGGAGCAGCTGGAGAAGGAGCGGAAGGAGGCGCTGGCGGAGGACTACTAGCTGGTAACTTGTATGTACATGTTATTATTGTCTATGGTCAGATGTCCTCGCACCGGTCGCCGTGAAACCGGTCCGACGCGTCCTTGAAAATAGCGGAGACGTCTGCGAGATGATCGTGGACGGCGAACGACGGGCCCAAGAGTGAAGTTGCTCTATAAAGCTCGGCGGCGTCCGGAGGGCCCTCTAATTTTTTAAGGTCCTCGAGCGCCGTTGCGAGCTTCGCGTTTTCCAATCGCAGGTAGGCCGTGACCTGGTTGCCCTGTTGCAACGTACGCGCTTTTACCGCGAGGAGCTGCTTGGTCATCCGATTCTTTACTAGCAAGACGTCACGTGCTCGGCTGAGCGAGGCGACGCGACTTTCCAGGTCCTTCATCTTCTCCAACTGACGAGTCTTGCTGATCTGCGCTACCGACTTCTTCGCGGGGTCCTCCAAGCGGCGCTTTGCTGGTAACTCCGCCATCGCTTCGCCGCTTTAGCGCGGCCGGCAGTACGAGGAGATTGAGGTGTTCGGCCCACGCCGCCGCTGCCGCAACACACGCGTACAATGCCCGGCGGCGCGGCAGCCCCTTTTATTGCAACAATTTGCAGACGCGTACGCTGCCCGCTGCCCGGCGCCCGGTTTCCAAGCCCGTCGCGCGTCGCGCCTGCAATGGCAGGGCTCGCGCTCGGCACCCGCACGAAATGGAAGCTACTCGTCTGCCTAATGATTGTATGATGCATGCTTGTACGACCAGGCTGCATCAGGGATGCGTACTGTGTCGGGTTTTTGCTCAGCGCAAAAAAAAAGACCTGTAGACGCATCACTCTCAGAGATCCGCTGCATCACGGCTCACGCGCAATGCTGATTTTGCAAGGCGTCTTGTGCAACACCACTTGATCTGCAATCCTGCTCGCGTGAAACCGTTTCTTAGCTGCTCATTGCTGCAAACAAAAGCCCTGCTGCTGCACTGTAACATTTTTTCGTGCGCGCGGCCTCGCATAAAATGAAGCTCTGGCGAAGAGAGCCGACGCCAGAGGAGGAGCTCGACCGGCGCGCCGCCGCAGCGGTGACGTTACAGCGGTGGACGCGCGGCATAAAATGGCGAAAAACACACGCCAAAGACGTCCGAGCACTTGCTGCGCTACGTAGATTCCAGGCCTCGACGCGGGCACGCGAAGCGGAACTGGTCGAGGTGACGCCGCTGCGGCGCTCCGCCGGCCTCGTCGCGAGCGCGGTCGGCGCGGCTGCAGGCTTCGTCGCGTCGTCTGGTGATACCACGATCGCCGCCGCGACGGCCGCCTCGCTCGCGGCGTTCACCGAGCGGCAGGGTGAGAATGAGAGGCATAAACAGACGCAGCAACTCACGGCTTCTCTCCAGCGCGACGCCATCAATCAAGATCGATTGCTCCATCGCGATTCCTTGCGCGCCGACCAGGAATTGCACCGGAGGAGTATACACGTCGACAAGGTATTGCATCTGAAAACAATTTTAACGGATTTACTGGAAGCCGATAAAGAGGCGGACCGCGATTTGTGGGAGCAAAGAACTGAGCGCTTCCAAACTCTGATGACCGTATCTGGCCTCCTCTTCGCGGGGGCATTTGCGCTCGCCGTCGAGGGCGATTTGCCGCGTGAGGCTCGAAACGACTGCGCCTTTCCCACCCCGCGGAGCGACCACCCGAATTGCCTGAAACTCGTGACGCTCCACTATTCTTTGCTCGCGTCCGCGTTCGGGCTGCATCTATGTGTTATTTCGGGCTGTTTGTGTATTACACGACTATTCTCAGAGTTCATGGACGTGAGATTAAAAGGGCAAGCCGTGATCAAGCGGAACATGAAACGCTACTCCGTGCTGTTATTGGGTATGCACGAGAATTCTTTGGACTCTAAGGAAGTCGAGGAGGCAGAGCGGAGGCTAGATGATGCGCTACGGCAGCAATGCGTTATCGAGACGTCGCGGCGCGGGACGTCGGACGGCGGCGAAGCGACGTTTGCCTGGAGCCTGTTTGAGTGGTACGAGCGGCGCTGCCTCCTCCAAGAGAAGGTTGTGAACTTCTGTTTTCAGACCGGAACTCTAGCGATCATCGGCTGCCTGATGACGTACATGAAGGGACATTTAACGCTCGGCGACCCGGAGGAAATGTTGGTTGCAAAGACGGCGTTCACGTGTTTCGCCTCGATCCTCGGTGGTTTTGCCATTGCGTCCAATATGCTGAGTTGCCTCGGCGCGACTTGGTGGACGTCTGTGTGGAAATCCTTCACTAAGTCATTTCTCGGCGATGATGCGGCCGCGCTGGCTCCGTTGACCGCCACGCCATCGAGCAGGCGTCGCATCGATGGCGTGGAGGTCAACGCGAAGATTCAGCACGAACGCGCCGTAAAATTTTGATTTCCACACAGGTGGGAACGCTGCGGCATCAACCGACGGAGGAGCGGGCGGCCTATTACCTACGATACTGCTGTCGTCGTGCAGCGAGCCGAGCAGCTCTACACGTGGGCGGACGCGGACGGCAACGGTATTTTGGACCGCGACGAGTTCGCGGAGATGATCCGGTCGATCGACGCGGTCGAGGGCCCGCTCATCAGGAAGGCTCACGACGCCCGTCTGCGCGCAATGGCCAATGGCGACGAGGAACCGCCCCGTCACCCTTGGGATGTGCTCGGCAAGCAAGAAGACGGTACCGTCTACAAGAGAGTGTTGAGAGCGGTCGTCAAGCGACTGATGCGAAGGCATGACCTTCACGCGGGAGACACGGTGTCGAAGATGGAGTGGGATGCGGCAGTGAACGCGGTCACGTTCTCGGGCTGAGGAATTTTTGTACTAGTTATCTAAAGTTTATCAAATTACCGCTTCGAACTCCGCGCCATGAAGTCCTTCTCCTTGAAGGAAATGAGCGGGTAGCGCTTGCAGATCGCGACCCACTGCTCCTGCAGGGGACCTCGTCTCATCTCGTCCAACTCCTTGCTCGGGGGCGTTCGGCCGAGTTTGGCCACTAAAGCTTCCAGAGCGTTCCAGGTGTTGCCGAACGGCTCTATAGGTATTGAACCATTCGATACTCCTGGGAAGAGGACCTTCGGGTCGCCTGAGCGGCACTCCTTGCCTGAGATATCCATCGCGAATTCGTCGGCCGTCACCCAAGCCGCGCCCGCGGAATGAAACGACGGCACGGCCTTCATCTTGCGAGGCTGCACTTCGTCCGGCTCGCAGTAGAGGACGCTCCGAATCGAGGCGTTGTCCGACGGCTCGAGGAGAATGCGGATGATACCCTTTGGAATCACCTTCACGTTCGTATCTCGCATGCACGAGGCGACCGCGGCTTCGGCCATCGTCTCGCCCGGCGCGGCCTTACCCGCCGGGATCCACCAGCGACACGAGCCCTGGCAGTTTGCCGTGTGCGAGGACTCCAGAACGACCAGATATTTGCCATCGGACGGCCTTCGCACAACCAACAACGCATAGGCCGAGTGCGGCTTGTACTCGTACTTAATTTCCTCCGCCGGCGGCTCGTAAACCGGTCCTCTAGCTACTGAGACGTCGTCCCTGTTCAGCATCGCGTCGAGCTCGCCCGACGAGAGAAAGCCGTCGTCGTTCTCATCAGTTCCCTCCGGTTCGTGACTCTCCTCCAGGTGCGCGGCAAAGTTGAGGAAGCCCTTGCCAGCCCGACACACTACACCACATAGAGGGCAATCTGCGTTCGGCGAGGGCTCCGTCACATGCATCAGCGAGTAGTGGGCAAAGAGTTGGGCCGGATTAAGGCCCGAGAGGCCGCAACAGGGACACGTCACGCCATCCGACGACGTCTTGCGCGGGACCGACGAAAGCTTCGCCAGTTTCAGCGCGCGTCGACAATCCTCCAGATCAGACGTCACCATCCGTGCCCCTGCACTAAGCACGTCCAAGGTATGCCGCGGAGATTCATGCACCGTTTTGGAGACGAAGACCACAAACGTTTGCCTGATATCATCCCTGTACGGCTTGCACGGCCGTTGTATGGTACGGAGCAGCGGCCAGGACATCTCGTCTTGATCCAGCTCGCCATCGTCGTTTTCGTCGTAGGCGTCAACGAGCGCGACGACCGGCGGCTTCGGCGCCTCGCGCAACACGTCTAGGGCGTCATGGGTCGTTTCAACTTCGACCGCGTGCAGTCCTTCGATGCTTCGCGCGAGCGTCGCGATCTCGCTGCGGCGGCGAGCGTCGGGCGACTTGACGAGTACGTAGTCGGCGTCCGGCGGGGCCAGCGTGTAACGCGGCGGCTTTGGGGCTGGTGCGGGCGGCGGCGGCGCTGGCTCGGGATTGATTTTGTAGTTGTGGTGCCGGCTCTGGACCCAGGCGACAGGCATCGTCAGGCTGCCCCCTTGGGCTCAAGCAAAGTCTACAGCCGGTTGCTCCCCTGTCCGTTTGGCGTTGATTTGGCACGCAGACGTTCTCCTGCCTGCCGTGCGCAAGACCACGCCGTGCGCCGCGCTGTGCACAGCGCCAGCGTTCCGCTAGCTCAAAGAACTAGCTAAAAGAAACCCCGGCGTGCAGCAAGCTTGCGCAGAGAGCTCTCGCGTCCCGTCGGACGATTCTGTCAAAAAAACAAACAAAACGGGTTCCGCGGCCCTGCCTCTCGGCTCGTTGCTCCTTTGGTCCGTGCGCGGGATACGGACCAGCCATCTACACATCTAACTCTTGTCCGTTGCAGCCAATCGATCCTCGCTGGCCGCGGGCCGCGCAAGGCTAGACAATCTCTAGACCAGCCTCAGACCAGCCACACTAAAACGCAGCCGCCGCGACGTTGCGCGTTGCCAACTCAGCATCGCCGAGAGATAACAGCTCAGCAGCGCTATGGACACAACTCTCTCAGCCTTAGGAGTGGGCAGGAGCGGCCGCCACGCGCTCTGGCACCTCGGCCTGGCCTGCGCCGCTGGCGGTGCCGTATTAGAAGCACTGACCATCGCGGCGCCGTGCGCGGCCACGGAGTGGCTCGAGGACGACGACGACTCAAACGCTTCGGCGCGGGCGGGCACGGGGATCGTCATTGGTCAAATAATTGGCGCGGTCGGATGGGCAGTGGCGGCTGACTTCTTGGGTCGCAGGGAGGCAATTGTATTAGCTTGCGTCGGGGCCACGGGCACCTGTGCCGTCGCCGCGTGCGCGTCAACGCCATTCGCATTTGAGGTGGGAGTAGCTGTCTGCGCGGCCAGCGCGACCGGCCTCTTTATTCCGTCACTCCTACTCGCAGTGGAGCGGGCGCCCGTCACCGCGCGCGCCGGCTACGCGACGACGCTCGCGGCCTTTGTCGCTGTCGGCTCGGCTTTAGTTTTGGGAGCGCACGCTTTGCTTGCAGTAATCGCCGGTGCAATCGCAAGCTCCTCAGTCGGCGCGCAGTGGCGCGCCGCGCTCGCGTTCGCCGCGGCCCTGCCGTTCTTCGCCGGCATCGCCTGCGCGCGAGGCCTGGTCGAATCTCCGCGCTGGCTATTAGCGTCAAACAAGCACGTCCAGCTGCGTACGCAAACACGCCAAGAAGCGGCACGGACCTTTAACGGTACGGGCACACCGGGCGCCAATCGAGTCACATCCATCCTCGACGATACTCTGCGCAACTCCGGCGATGGCTCAAAGCCGGCCGTGCCTGCTCCGGGACAAGCCTGTAGAGCCTGCGTTGGGGGCGTCAATCTGTGCGTCGTCGGTTTCGTATTTCTCGTGGCCTTCGGGCTCTATGGGATTACGTCGCTGATTCGCCTCGAGTTCGCGAGTGACGGAAGAAACGCGGCGGCGCCGTTCCGCCGGCGCCTGAGTCTGAGCTACGCGGACTCGGAGCCGTGTCCGGCGATCGACTACGGCCTGGCGTTTTCGGGCCTGGCCTTCGACGTGCTCTTCGTGCTGATAGCGCGCCATGTCGTTGATGTCATGGGAAGGCATCCTTGTTTAGCTGGCCTTGCAGCCTTCGCGGGAGGAGGATTACTTTTCCTCTGTATTCCAGAATACTTCCCTTGGGCCAAAGGAGCTAGTATAAACCTTGTCATCTGCATGATGTCGATGGCAAGAGGCGCGTTGACGACCGCAGTGTGGCTCACTTTGGTCTATTCCGCCGAGACGCAAGGCGACCCGTCCTGATCCGTGTGGAAATCAACCAGTGCGTCGGGTGCACCGACAATTCTTCACTAAGTCATTTCTCGGCGATGACGCGGCCGACCTGGCTCGGTCGAGCTGCGAGGAACCGGCATCAGCACGCCATCGAGCAGGCGTCGCGTCGATGGCGTGGAGGACGACGCGACGATTCAGCACGAACGCGCCGTAAAATTTGATTTCCACACAGGTCCCGATCAGCTACCGTGGCCGCTGCCTATTCAGCTAGAGGCTTGGGCGGTTTAGCGGCGTCGAACTGGGTAGCTTCTCCCAACTCGATATCAAATGTGATCCTGCTCGTCACTTTAGTCTGCGTTAGCGTGGGTTGGGCGGCGCACGCGCTGCCGATGGAGATGTCTAGAGTTCCATTAGACTATCACGAGCGCTCCAGGAACAGGCCGGTGGCCTCTACTCCGGTCCAAGCGCCGCAGCCGGCGGTGGGCGAGGTGTCGCCGTTGCTCGCGCAGTGAGTGGCCCTGGTGTAACCGTGTTGTTCATCTAGTAGTCACATAAATAAGCTTAATCTTCAGTGGCGCGCGCAGGCCTTGGTGCCGCGCTGCTGCCGATGCGTCGCCTAGTAGTCGGCGGCGCGGTTGGTGCGGTTGACCGGTCGCTTGTCCTCGGCCGGGTCGAAGACGCGCGGCCGCGTGCACTTCGTCGGGCAGCCATGGCCGCGCGCGCCGCAATTGTAACAGAAGAGCGTTCCGCACCGGCACCGCATGTGGTCGCACGCCTATGAGTGAGTGATTATGAGTCGCGTCGATGGCGTATTCTCGAAGGACGCCGGCCGCGGACCTCCTTCTTCTCAACAACCGTCTTACAGCCGGGACAGCGCTGCCAGTTACCGCGCCATAACGTTTCGTCGAGCGCGCTCGCGGCGGCGGCGCAGGGCCCGTCGTGCCCGACCTGTTGACACGACTTGCAAACGACCGTCGCGCAGACCTTGCACTGGGGCGTCGGGCTCGTGAGATCGACGATCGAATCCTCGCACCCGTTCGGGCACCAGCAAGCCGCTCCCGGACCAAAAACACTAATCTTCGCGGCGCGGACGAAGCGTTTGGCTTTGGCCACATCTGCAGGCCGTAACAACTGGTCCGGGGTCGGGTAGGCATCCCCGTCGCCGTGGCCGCGCATAACGGTAAACGTCGCGGCCAGCGCGTCCAGCGTGAGCGGCGTGGAGCAGCCCCATTCCACGCAAGGGAGCCCTTTCTCCGTGATACCAGACGAATCAGCTAAATGATTTTTGCAATGCTCTCGGGCGCAGGACACGCAGACTTCGTCGAAATGGGCGCAGAGCTTGGTTCCTAAGTGCGCGCCCATCATCTCGGCCTTCGGCAGGGCGTCCCAGCAGATTGGGCACGTCTTGAGCTCCTTCCACCGATCGGCCCAATAGCGGTACCGCCGGCGCGCCCGGTTGAGCCATTGGTTGCTGCTCGCAAAGACGCGAGACAAGTCCGCCGCCGGCTGAAAGGGCAGGTCGTCGCCCTGGGGCGCCGCGCCGTCGGCGAGGGCTAATTGGTCCACATAGCGCTCTAGCGTCGCCGGCCGCGTCAAATCTTCGTCCCCGACGGCGTATCCGATCCGCGCCCGAGACGGGGCCGCGCCGGCCGCGGCGAAGACGTCCTTGATGCGCTTGACGAGGCCCGCGATGATCTCCAGATCGTCTTCGCGCGAGAGCTCCTCGAAGGCCTTTTGATCTAATAAGGTGTTCAACGCGTCGCGCGAGAGCACCGCTGGCATCACCACGGTGCGCGAGGGCGCGACGGTCGAAGCGGCATCGATGACGTCCTGGAAGCGCGCGCGGCGGTCGGCGACCTCTCGCTCGGCCGCCGAGGCCGCGGCGGCCAGAGTAGCCGAAGACGCCCGGAGCCGATCCACGGCGCGGTCGACGATTCGAGCCATCGCCCGGACGTCGTCCGTGAGGCACGCGCTCAGCGTAGCGAGCGTGTCCTGGGGCGCCCGCCGGCACGCGTCGAACGCTTCGGCGTAGGAGCACTTGGCCGTGGTAGCGACCGTCTCTAGCGTGAGCTTCAGCAGCTTGCAGTCGACGCCGCGGAGGAAGTCGGCCTCGCTGGCGAGCCAGATCTCCTTGTCGTCGAAGACTGCGGCGCGCCAGTCGACCGGCGACGTCACGTCTGAGCCGAGCGTCGTGCGCGCGTCGCGCAGGGCCTGGCGTTGCTCGGCGCGCGACCGCGCGGCGATCGTTCGCTCTGCGGTGGCCAGCGCCTTCTCGCGCGCGTCCAGGTCCTTGCCCTCGTTTAAGACCGCAAGGTCCATGCGGAGAGACGTCGAAAATACCTGGGTCTCGCCGATATTGTCGGCTAGGATTTTCCAGCGAGGGGTGGTCGTGGTCCGGCTCGGGCTACGCGCCAGTATGACGCAGCGCCGGTCGGGCTCACCCGGGGAGACCCACACCGCCTCGTCTCCGACACGCCAAGGCCACTTCCGAGCTATCACGGTCGACCGACCGGCCCAGGCATCCTCGCGGGCGCGGCGGCGCCGCGCGAGCGACTCGCTTGCTTTCCGGGCCACGGCGAGGGCCGGCGCGTCACGCAGATCGGCAGCGAGCGTCCCCGAAGCCGCTTCGACGGCCGCCGCGGCCGCGTAGGACGAGAGCCGGTCTCCTTCAATCCAGAGGTCGTCGTCTTCGTCGAAGTCCAACCTGTGTGGAAATCAAAATTTTACGGCGCGTTCGTGCTGAATCGTCGCGTCGTCCTCCACGCCATCGACGCGACGCCTGCTCGATGGCGTGGCGATGCCGGTTCCTCGCAGCTCGACCGAGCCAGGTCGGCCGCGTCATCGCCGAGAAATGACTTAGTGAAGAATTGTCGGGTGCACCCGACACACTGGTTGATTTCCACACAGAGTCCAACCCCTCGTTGAGGTAGCGGTCATCGAGGTGTGAGATGGCGCGCACACCCGGCGACCAGTGATCGGGATCGGCCTCCTCGTCGACGACGACCGCCATGGCCACGCGACCTTCGAGTTCGCCCGCGGCGGCTCGCCACGCGGAGTCGAAGGATTCCTCCTCCCGGAATAGGCTGCTTAGATCGTCCGTGGTGTCCCAGCAGGCGCGCCAATCAACCCGCGGCTTGGGCTTTCCAAGGACCTCGCAGATTGCTCCGAGCGCGTAGCGTCGCGCGCCTACCGTTTCGATGGCGGCGAGATGTTCGTAGGCGGCGTCGAGAAGAGCCGACCCGGCCGCTACCTCCGCCTCCAAACGCGCGACGCCTCGCTCGAACAGGCACGAGCCAAGCAGGCCCTCGTCGATGGGTCGCTTGATCAGGGCGCGCATTCGTCGCGAGCCCTCGAGCTGTTTCTGGAGACCAGTAATGCGCGTGACGGCCGTCCTGGCCTGGGCCACCGCAGTCGTGAGGGCCGGGAAGTTCTCCTCCGTGAGGCGGCGCCACGACGAGCTGCGGCCGGCTTAAGCGCGCAGCATCTTCTCGAGGAAAAGCGAGTCGACGTCTTTCCGCGCCCTCCAGTCGCCGCCGGAGACGATGATTTGCTGCCGGCTGCACGCTTCGCGCAGCAGCCGAGCTCGTTTCTCGAACGCGTCGCCCGCGACGGCTCGCGCGCCCGCGAACACAATCGCGTCGCCGTCGATCTCATCCCGCCAGCGCGACCGCCAGTCGCGGCCGCCGCGCGGTTCAACGGCGAACGACGGAAAGTTCTCGACGCCCGTAGGGCTCACGAAGAACGTCTGCCGCCCGTGGTCGGGCGAGAGGAGATTGGCCTGCACGATCGCCTTTTCTGGAGTTACGTTCGTCGAGACCTCGTCGAGCGGCTTCTTCTTCGTCGGCGTCGTCACGGGCGCGGCTTTGTCTTGCGGCGGCGGCGGGGCAACGACTGTGATCGACTGCAGGACGACCGTGCTCGCACCGTCGAAGTCGGCGCGGCCCGCCGACTTCACCGAGACCAGCGACCGCGGCGCGACGTTGGCGTGGACGCCAGCCGCCAACAAACACGACAGCGTCGCGTCCCCGTCGTCAATCTCCACGCGCCAGCGGTCCACGGTATTCGGCTCGCGGAGGACCTCGGCCACGCGGACCACGACGACGGTGCCGGCGCTCGACGCCCCCGTGAGCAGGTGCACGCTCCCGGCGGCGGGTGTCGCGTCGGCCTTCGCGTTCGCGTCGGGCCGGCGGGGCTGGCCCTGGACGAGCTCCGTCCGCTCGATGGCCATGCGCGGCGTCTCGGTCGCCGACTTTATCTTGACCCTCTTCACGCAGACGACGTTGCCCGGCGCGAGGTTGGCGCGCTCCAAGGGCCCGAGGCTCGAGATGTCGAACTCCATCTCCGTCAAGCCGTCCGACAAGCAGCACCGGTCCGCGGCGAAGGAATTCGACCCCCGCACCCAGAGCTTCGCGTCCACCGCGCGCGTCGAGTCGACGGCCTCCCACTTGAGGAACCGCGAAAAGTCCCCGAGCCAGCCCGTCGAGAGCGTCGTACAGGCCGGTGGACCCGCCGGGAAGATGGGCTGCTGCGGCTGCTGGCCGAAGAGGACGGGCGCCGCCGCCGCGCCGATCGCGGGTTTCGCCCCAAAGGCTGGCGTCGCACTGAATAACCCGGCGGGCGCCGGCGGCGCACCCGACAGGCCCAAAGCGGCCCTGGCGGCCTCGACGTTCGCCTGATGCGGCTTCGTCGTCGGTTTTGCGGCCGGCGCGGGTGTCGAGGCGGCCCGAGCGGTAAAGCGACGGCCGACGGACACGATGCGGCGGCCGGCCCTTGGACTCGCCAAATTTGTGGCCGAGTGCGCGGGCGGAGGCGGAATTAAACCGCTCGGCGGCTGCGGCGCGGCCGAAGACGTAAATAGACCACCGCTCGGCGGCTGCGGCGCGGCCGAAGACGTAAATAGACCACCGTTCGTGTTGAACGTGGGAGCTGACGCGGCTGCGCTCAGCCGCGCAGCGGCGGCGCGGAAAGCGGTCGTTTGCGCCGCGGAGCCTTCGCTCGCCGTCCGCCGCGGAAAGTGGAAGTTCGTCTGGGAGACAGGTGCGCTCGACGTCCTCTGCGGCCAGCCGCTAAAGAGGTCGCCGAATTTGGGCGCTTCTGGCGGCGCCGGCTGCGACGAGCCCGGGCCGGCGGCGGTCACTGGCGCGGTCGTCGCGGGAGCGGGCGCGGTCACGGGCGCCGCGGCAGTCAAGGGTGCCGCCGCCGCGGTCACGGGCGTGGTCGCGGGCGCTGCGGCGGCCGCGGGCACCGCCGCGGTCACGGTGGAAGGGTGCGTCGTCGCCATGTTTGCGCCGCGGCCGCTCCTGACCTCGTCTGGTCAAATCCGTCCGTTGTTCGGTTCAAACGAGCTGCGCAGTCGTTTCGCTTACGCGGAGCCCAGCGAGGGCTTGCCAGCGCTGCTGGCGCGCTGCGGCCGGGCTTAACCGTCCTGCCGCGGCGCTCGCGTCGAGTCCACTGCGCCTTTTTACGAGGCCCGGGGGGGGGCGCAAAACTACTGGTGGGTTTGAGGCCGCGGGTTTTGGGGAATGACATGCAGCTATGTGAGTACCCTTCAGTCCGCTACTGGTCCAAAGAGATCAATGGGACACTTACTGGGGGCCAAAAATAGTTTCGCGGTGCGGAGGCGGACGAGGCCACAGGGCGGCCGCGCCGGTTTAATCCTGTCAATCCCTGCCCTAGAGGTCTCCCAGGGGTCACTCAGGGTCGGTACTATACACGTGCAAACGCCTACACCGCATGCGCGGGCGCTTCCTTCGGTATATACATATCAGTACAGGTCCTTGGCAGTGCGCGGCCCTCTCCCATGATCCTCCAAAGTTTTGGATCCAGAGCTCTCTGGAGAGCACCAAGCACTCGCGCATGCGGTCTAGGCGACCACCCGACCTCACACCCACCCGAGAGGGAGTCCGCGAGCCGATCTACCTCCGAAAAAAGTAAATAATTTGGACCCGATGGCGCCCCGTTCCCGTAAAAAACGTCAATTACCCGAGGGCCTCCAATAATCGTGATAGCGGTCTCGTCGGACCCCATACTACCCCACCGATAGTCAATTACAAGTATTTGACATCTACACCACGAGAAGGGTACTTTTGTGCTGCCCACGCTCGGGCCGTGAACATCTGCATCTGGACCTCGCGCAAGTCAGTCAATCATGGAACAAATGATCGCGTCATGGTCCATGGTGATGGTACACGGGCTGATGGCCGCAGGTCTGTGTACTTTGCCAAAATTAGCGAGATAGTGGGCTCGCGGCCGAGCCGAGCCGCGCGGAGCATCGTGGGGTCTCAAGCAATGTAGTAGCCGCTCAGGCCGGTTAGCTGGCCCGTCCCACAATAAAAGCGCCTGAAACGCGAATTTATTTCACAACTCACCGGTCTGGGGCCAATTCAGTGCCCCGCGTACGCACCGTCGTCCGCGGAGAACGGGCAAGTCGGTCGATTGTGAATAGAACGACGGCGTTATGGTCCATCTGGATGTTTTCGTCGCTGATACTCGCAGATTCAGGATTTGTGGCTATCTTCGTTCAACGCGTGGTCGCGAAGTCGCTGTTTCGCGCGGCTCATACGGATCACCTCAAATAGCTCAGTGGGCGCTGATGCGGCCTAGATGGACTCTACCACTAACAAACGGAAGGAAACGAACATAAACTCGGGAGTTGTCCAGTAGAATTCTTTTCCCGCCCTCCGAGCGCGGGCCGTCGGCTCCGGTTCCGTCGAGTGTGTATGAAAACTGGGCTGGAGTTGATATAATGTACCATCTGGACGGTAGATGGCGGCGTCAATCGCTGGTCTACTTTGGCAAGCTGTAAGACTCATCCGCGAATGTCGCCGCGGGGCGGTGTGTTCCGGGAGGCATGAGGGTATGTTCCCAGGCCGCTGATTGCAAACAAACGGTCTCGGCGGACGACTATGGTATATTCCGAATTTGGGAAGTCGTTAATTTCTGGGTAGAGTGGTGGTGAGTTGATAAATGGCCAAAAAACCTCCCAAGCTAGCGTATCGACGTACTAGCACTAGATACGTAAAACAGGAACACGTCGATACCGCAGTGCAGGCGGTGGCGAGGTGTCTCGGGAGTCTTTTGCGCGCGTCGAAAGGAGAGGCGACGGTATTGTGCGTTTCCCGCGATTGGTGGCTCTGGACGCTATCGAGGCGGACAAAGAAGACAACAGGCTAGACTTAAAAAGTTACCTCACCGGTGGTGCGAGCGCCAGCGCCATCCGTATGGCCTGCGCCGCCCCGCCCGCGTCGTTCGACGCGACCACAATATCCGCGGCGCCCATCGCCGCGGCGCCCGCGTTCGCGACGGCCACGCCGAGCGCCGCCGCCCGCAGCATCTCGGCGTCGTTCTCGCCGTCGCCGACGGCCGCGAGCTCCGAGCTCTCGTCGATGCCGTGGTGGTCGCAGAACGCGCGGACGCCCTCGCGCTTCGACGCGCCCGGGGGCAGCACTTCCAGCATCGTCGGGATCGCCACCGTCAGACTGGCTTCGGTGCCGAGCAGCTCCGCGAGGGCCGGCCGCGCCGCCGCCAGCGCGTCGGCGTCGCCCAGCAACAAAATCTTGTTCGCGCGCGCGTCCCTATCAAGTGAACCGACGACGGGCCGCGGCTCGTAGTACCGGTCGGCCAGCTCCTCCGTCCGCGGCGTAATCATGGAAGTGTAGAGCCGGTCGCGGTCGTAGGCCACCGGCGCGAAGCCGTGCTCGGCGCCGAAGGACGCGCATTGCTCAATGACGGCTCCATTTAACCGGCGCTCGTGCACGATCTCGCCGTGGGCGTCGTAGGCAACCAGTCCATTCACGAACACGCCGCCTTCTAGAGAATCAGACACCTCGCGCGGCAGCGCCGCGAGCGCGCCCGCGCGACATTTTCCGGTAGCGATGAAGAAGCGCACGTGGTCGTGGGCGCAGGCGTCCGCGACCGCCGCCGCGGCGGCGGGGTGGCATTTTGATGATGAGTCCAGGAGCGTGCCATCCACGTCGGACGCGATCGCCCGAACCACAGACGGCATCCGGGGCGGCGCCGCCCGCGGGAAGTAGGTGGCGTAGCGCGGCCGCCCGGGCCACTGCACGCCCAGGTCCACGCATTCCGACAAAGGCTTTGATGATGCGCCGATACTGTCAGAAGCGCCGTAGCACTCGCGCAGCACTTTTGAAATGAGAGGGTGCCCCTCGTCTCTCAAAAAAGCGTCGCGGTCGTACCAGCGGCAGGCTGAGATCTCCGCGGGGTCCGCCTTTATTTGTTGCGCCGGATCGACCGGCTCCAACCTAACGACGCAGTACAGGTCGGACTTGCCCCAAGGTACCAAGTCGTGCCGGTGCCACATGCCTAGTAAAGAGACACCTCTACATTGAATACCGGTCTCCTCGAAGGTCTCCCTAGCGGCACACTCGAAGAACGACTCGCCCGCGTCGGCCAGCCCTCCCGGCAGCTTCCAGTTCTGGGACGGTTCCCGCGTCGTCTGGCCCTCCTTCGGCGGCTGCCATTCTCTTACAACTAATAACTCACCTTTGTCGTTCACGACGAAGCCGGCGCAGCCGATCTGCGTGTTTCCCCACGGCGGCACTTTGTCCTCGCCCTCGGCGAGCCACTTGTACAGGACCAAGTCGTCGCCGGCACAATGGTGCAGCTTGAAGCCGCGGCGCCAGGCGTGCGTCGCTAGAGCTGCCTTCTCGGGCGGCAGCGTCAGCCAGCCGCTGAGTGCGCCGTCCCGCGTCCACCGCCGCTCGCGTTCCTCGGCCCACGCGTCGAAGGCGTCTTCATCCTTCAAACTGTCCGGCAAGCGCAGGTCTGCCAATACGCCGCGGTAGGGCAGGTCGACCTCGTCGGCGGCCGTCGCGCGGATGCGAGGCGCTTTTGTTGATCGCCGTCGCAGGGCGTAGGCGCCGCAGCGGACTGCGCGCCTTCCCAGTAGTAGTAACATTATGGCTCGCATTCCTGGTGCTGCGTGTGGTGGTGGTGAAGTCCTCTCTGAGGCAAGCAGTGGACTTTTGCACGTCACCAGTGGTTGCCGCAGCGGTTCGCGTTTCGCAGTTGTACGAGGACTAATTTCAAGCACTCAGCACCTGCAAGCAGGCCTTCGTCGCGCTACTACGTGTGTGCCCCTCGTAACCGCGCTAGCGTCCCGTAAGACACTAGCAAGCCTAGCTCGACGCCCGCGCGCGCGCTAATCGTGCTTCACAGTGCTTCACAGCAGCGATACGAAGCTGTTTTCGCTGGGCGCAGCCCTATCAAGCCCATTCTTGCACTACAGCCTCGCAGAAGCGCTCTACAAAAAAGCGCTCTCCCCAAAGCCTTAAACTTAAATGGAGCAGAACTGGGGCGCGCCGCAGCAACAGGGCGCGCAGTGGCCCGGCGCCGCGGGATTTCAGCCCGCGCTCGGGCCCTACGCCGCCTACGGCGCCTATCCTCCCATGGCGCCGCGGGCCTACCCCATGCTCATGGCGGCGCCGGCGCAACAAGGCATGCTCGGCGCGGCGCCGGACCAACAAGCCATGCTCGCCGCGGCGCCGGCGCAACATCTAGCTCCGCCGCCGCCGCCTCTGCCTCGGGCCGCGCCGAAAGACATCTCCACGTGGCTCGACGAGGTCAAGCCGGGCTACGGGGAGAAGTACGCCTCGATCTTCGAGGACCTCGGCGTCGACGACGAGGAGGACGTGCAGAACCTCCGCGACGACCTCGCGCGGGACCTGCGCGCCGCGCTCGAGAACGCCGGCGCCAAGCGCGGCCACCTGAACAACATCGAGTCGGCGGTCATCGCCAAGCGCGCGAACGCGGCGCCGCGCCACCTCGCGCTCCTGCCGCCGCCACCGCCCCTCGCGGCGCCGCCGCGCGCCCTGCCCGCGCTGCTGCCGCCGCCGCCGGCGGGTGCCCTGCCGGCCCTCCTGCCGCCGCCACCAGCGGCGGGCCCGCGGCCCTCGGCGCTACTGACGGCGTGGCTCGACGAGGTCCAGTGCCAGGGTCCCGTCCGCGAGCGCGTCCTCGCCATCGCCAACGACGTGCCCGAGCTCTTCGCCACGTCGGTCGAGGACCTCGAGCGCGAGTGCAGCGCCAGCACGCTCAAGCCGCTCTCGTGGAGCCGCTTCCGCAAGGCCTTCGTCAAGGAGAAGGCCGCCCGCGCCGCGGCCGCCAACGCCGCGCCCGCGACGCCGGCCAACAACGCCGCGCCCGTGACGCCCGTCGCCGCCGCGCCGTCGCCCGCCGCGCCGGCGACGCCCGTCGCCGCGCCCGCGCCCGCGCCCGCGGACGAGGAGGAGCTGCCGGACGCCCCGCCGCCGCAAGCTTCGGACGACGACGACGCCGCGCCGCCGCCGTCGCCGCCGGCCTCCGACGACGAGGACGAGGACGCGCCGCGCCGGTCGCCGCGCCGGTCGCGGTCGCCCCGGCCGCGCCAGCCCGCCGCGCCGGCGCCGCGCCGGTCGCGGTCGCCGCGCGCGCGCCAGTCGCCCGCCGCTCCGGCGCCGCGCCGCTCGCGGTCGCCGCGCGCGCGCCAGCCGGCCGCCGCTCCGGCGCCGCGCCGCTCGCGGTCGCCGCGGGCGCGCCAGCCGGCCGCGCAGCCGGCCGCGCAGCCCGCCGCGCCGGCGGCGCCCTCGTGGCAGGGCGACTTCCGCGAGCTGCTCGCGGCGATCCAGGACAAGTCGCTCATGGAGCTCCGCGGGCCGTTGACGCGCTACGGGTTCAAGTGCGGCCCGACGTATCCTGGCAAGTGGTACTACGACGTCAGCGTCCCCATCACCTACCCCTGTTATTACGACCTGGTGGGCAAGAACTACTCGCAGCACCAGGACTTCGTGCGGTCCACCGTGCAACTCACGAAGTACCTCGAGGGCGCGCTCGCGCTGGCGGGCAGCAGCGGCACGATTCGATTGGAGTCCGCGCGGCGCGCCGAGCTCGAGACTTTGTCGTCGGAGTCGAAGCAGCGGAGCCTCGCGAAGCTCATGGTGCGCCGCTTCCAGCGGAAGCTGCGGTTCAGCATCCAGGAGACGGTCGCGGCCGCGCTGTCCGACTCGCCGCGGCTGACGCCTTCGCCCGACAAGGCGGTCGAGGCGGCCAAGGAGCACGGCTGGAAGGCTGCTGATTTAGTGGAGGTCTTCCTCTGGGGCCAGGACGACTCGAGCGACGACGACGACGACGTCGATCCCGACGGCCCGCGCATTCTGGGCCTGCTCCACCGCGGCGACCTCTGCACGTTGAAAGCCGACGACAAGGTCATCGTCAAGGTCGTGTCGGTCGGCCGGCGCAAGGTCGACGTGACCTTCGTGAACTGGCACGAGGGCATGACCAAGTCGGTGAAGCCCTCCGAGCTCGTCCCGATGAACCTGGACGAGGGTCGCCAGCCGCGGCGCCACGTCGGGCGGCTCGCGGTCGGCGCGCGCCTCGTCGGCGTCTCGTGCATGGACGGCTACCATGACGGCGTCGTCCGGTCCGTCGAGCAGTTCGGCTACGAAGTTCGCTTCGCGGACGGCGACGAGGGCTTCGTGTCGCTCAAGCAGGCGCACGAGGCCGCGGCTCGAGCGCTCGAGAAGAAGCGGTCGGCGGAGTCCTCCTCTTCCAAGCCGGCGGCGAAGAAGCGCAAGTAGTGCTCGCGTCTTCCTTTCCCCCTCTAATTATGCTTCGTGTACTTTGTCTTAGAGAAAATGGGAGAGAACCTAGACGCCGAGCGTCCACCGGTCGCCCGCCACGAACTCCGACTCCTGCTTCACGATGAAGTCCCGGAGGAAGGCCACGTGGGCCCGCTGCCGCTCGATGTTCGCGAGGACGTGCGCCGCCGACGGCGCGTCGGCCTCGAGGCGCTGGCGCTCGTCCGCGTCGGCGAGGCGCTCGGCCTGGTCGTCGAGGGCCTCGCGGAGCATCGCGAGCGCCTCCCGCGCGTCGGGCAGCGCCGCGCCGCAGCAGACCGGGTTCGACGCCGCGAGGGCCGCCAGGCGCCGCAGGCCCGCGTGCGTGGCCGGCGGCAGCGAGGCGTCGAAGACGTCGGCCCCCGCGGCGCGGCGGCACGCGTCCGGGCCCCGCCGGACGATCTCCTCGAGGCAGGCCCGTCGCAGGCGGTCGTCGGTCAGGTCCCGCGCGACACCTAATAGAGAGGCAGCACTGGCGAGGTCGACGCAGCGGACGAGCCTATCTAGAGCCGCCTTCCGCAGGTCGTCCAGCAGCAGCGCGTCCGCGACGCGCGCAACTGTCACGGCGGCGGGCTCATCACCACTCTCGTCGTCGTCGAGGTAGCACGCGTCGAGGAGTTCCTCAAGCTCGCGGCCGTCGCGCGTGTAGAGATATGCCACCAGCCTCCTAAGGTGATTCTCCAGCGCGGCCCCGCAGAAGGGCAGGTCGACGCCGTTTTGTGGAGCGAACTGCAGCGCCGCCCGACAAAAGGGCGACTGCGCGTGGAGAATGCAGCGGTGCGCCTTGATTTTCGCGGCGCCGTACCGCACGGTCGTGTCCGTAAAAAGCGTCGTATGCAGGGCGTCCAGGACCTTTTCGCGCGCGCCGGCTCTACTCGCGGCGCCGCGCCGGCCGTAGGCCGCGGGCAGCGCGCCGGGCCGCCGCACGCCTTGCGTGAAGACGCGGTGCGCCGGCCGCCCCCTTATATCACAGTCGGCGAAGGGCGGCACGGGGCCGTCATGCACGAAGAGCAAAGTCCGGAAGTCGCACTGGACCGAGTCGTCCTCCGGTAGAGGCGGCGGCGGGAGCGGCGCGGGCGTCGCGGTCAGCCGGATGGCCGAGATCTCGGCCCAGGGCCGGTCCGCGAGCTGGAGGACGTCGACCTCGGCCGCGGCCATATTGTTGTCAGCTGGGCTCTCTTTGGTGCTGTTTTTGGTGTCCTGTAGGCGTCGAGCTCGCGGTTTCTTCGCACGATGCTGCCCTTAGGCGCCAGATGGTCGTTTCGTGCGGTCCTTAAACGCTGACGTCTTTTTAGAGGGCGTGCGGACGCCGCAGAGCTTGGCTCAACGCACTCATGCTCTCACGAACATTGCCCGGATTAGACGTAGTTTCCAGTACTAATCCTCTTCATTTCCGTCCGGAAGAAAGATCAGGGGCGCCGTTTCCTAAGAATCTGTGCGCAGCGCAAAAAGCGAAAAAAACGGGTTTCCCCTGCCCGCGCCTGTGCTGTTTTTTGCAGTTTAACAGCGCCATAGCTGCGCATCACTCGTTCTGACACGCCTACCAGCCCCGCAGTGCACCCACCAGTCAGCTCTCGCTGCACGCAGAGGCGCCACGATCTCAAACAGCAGTAAGCACCCAAAGCAATAAATCGCTGCGCAGAAATGTCCAGCGAGTGCCGAGAACCGTTGGACCTCATCCGGCTTTCCATCGACGAGCGCATCTACGTGAAATGCCAGGGAGATAGGGAACTGCGGGGCAAGCTCCACGCGTACGATAACCACCTGAACATGGTGCTCGGCGACGTCGAGGAGACGGTGACGACGCAGGAGGTCGACCAGGAGACGGAGGAGGAGATCATCCGCACGTCGAAGCGGCAGATCGAGATGCTTTTTGTCCGCGGCGACGCGCTCATCCTCGTGTCGCCGCCGCTGCGGACCACATAAATACAATTTAAGCGACGAACGTATCCCTCGCGTCGTCCCAGTCGGGCACGCGGAGGCGGACGCGCTGCCTAGCCCTCGCGTCGCCGTAGGCGAAGGCCCGCACGCAGTCCTTCGAGAGAATTTGGGGCGGGCAGTCCTCGGCGTGCTGGCGCTTCGACGGCCGCCACTCGACGGCCTCGACGGCCTCGGGCGCGCGCGCGTGGGCCCGCAACCCCGCGGCCCAGGCCTCGAGGGTCCGGCCGACGGAGACGACGATGACGCGCCGTGGCGCGTAAGACCGCAGGAACGCGTCGAGCTTGATGGCCCGCAGGTTTTCCAGCGAGAGGCGCCCGTGGACGCGCGTCTTCTGGCGCGGGTGCTGGCGCCAGCCGAAGAGTGCCGTCTCTGGTAGCTCTTCGTCGGTGGCGGGCGGCGACCTGTGTGGAAATCAGATTTCAGTAGCCCCACGCCATCGACGCGACCGCACTGGCTGATTTCCACACAGGCGGCGACCGCACGCGGCCGCACGTGAGGCCCCGGGCGAAGAACTCGAGCCACCACCAGAGGTCCACGGGCACGTCCAACGTAGATCCGACGGCGCCGTCCTGCGCAAAGGGCGGCGCCGGGCCGTCGCGGTAGCAGCCCCCCGTCGCGTTCAGCACGGCGTCGACGGCCGCCCGCGTGAACACGCCCGTCTGGTGGAGCGCGGGGATCTCCACGAACCGATTGGACGCGAGCTCCGCCGGCCGCGTCAAACTATTCTGCCAGTCGCAGTAGGCTCTCATCCGGCCCGTCGCCCCGAACGGCCGCGCGTCGGAGCAGCAGCCGTCCCACCCGTTGGCTCGCAGCGCGTCGACCATGAGGGCGAAGGCCCTTGGGTTGGGTCTTCTATCGTCGGCCTCCATCTGAGCGATCAGCGGCGCCGTCGACCGCGCCAGCGCGAGCGACATGGCCGCGCCCTGGCCTCTGTTGAGACCGTCCCGGTATTTCACGGCGCGCAGCGTGTTATTCGCTTGACGCGCCGCGGCGACGGCGTCCGCACTCAGCGGTTCGCACGGCGACTTTTCAACAGCCGGGTGGTCCGCGTCTTCGTCGTGGCGCGGTGCCGCGCTGCGGGCCGGGTTCTGGGACGGCGCCCAGGCCGGGACGTCACTTGTTGCGCTCGGTTTTGAGGACGTCGGCGGCGCCGGCGCGTCGACGACCTCGACGCGGCCGCACCGCTGCGCGACCTCGACCAGAAACTCCCACGCATCCACGTCGCCGCCGTCCCACGCACAGATCAACTCGAGGCCACCCTCGACTTCCTGACGTAAAATGTCTCGTATGGCTACCGTGAGGTAGGGCATTGCGTTATAGACCGGCAGCACTACGGAGACGGCTGCGGGTTGTGGTGCAGCCATGCTGGGAGGTAGCGGTGCTGCTGGCGCAGCAGCCATGCTGTGCCTTTGCAATGCTGGTGTTAGACGATGCTGTGCCTTTGCAATGCTGGTGTTAAGACGATGACTAGATGAATTTATAGCAGCTCTTGCAGCGCATACAGCGGCGAGAGCTCTCACGCCTCGCTTGCTAGTGTCTTACACCGCTAGCCCGGTCTATGGCGACGACTAAAAGTCGCAACCCGGGGCGGTACCCCCTCAAATTGGCTCATTGCCGAACTGACAAATCACCTGCGCATTCCTAGTGTCTTTATCTGACGCTAGCTGGCCCCGAGTTGCGCCTTGCCTTGACTTGTTCCCGACCCGGAGGAGAGCGCGCTCTCGCACGCAAAACTGGACTGGACGCCACTAAGGCTCCTCACAGATAGTGTGGCAGCCCATCTGGCAGCAGTATGAAGCGGCCCCACGACGACAGTGACTCCGATTCCTGCGTAGATTTGACCGAAGAGCCGCCGGCAGACGTAAAGCCAAAGCTGCCAGAGCCCCACGTCTTCGACGTCGACGAGGATCCAGTCCAGGCGCCGATTCGACGCGGCTTGCTGCTGCGGAGCACGCACAGTGGCTTCTACGCCGCGCGTTCGACGAATAAAACTAACGGCCGGCAGTCGTCGCGCGTGCTATTGGTTGCGCGACAATTCGACGGGGAAATGAGGCACGATACCCCATTGCTACTCGCAGAGAGCGACATTTTCGTGCGAGGCGAGGCGCGACAGTTCTCGCTGAGGGGCCCAGCAGTCTCGCGCCGAGGCGAGGTGGCCAGGGAGCTTGGACTCAAGCTGACGATCGGGTCGATAGACATCGTCAGCGACGACGAGGAGATAACCCTGATCATCTCGGCCGACGGCGTGGTGGAGACACGGAGCGGGTCGCGCCTCCGTCGCGTCGGCGAGCTGAGCTTTGGGGAAAATCCGCCAGATGTCAAGGTCTGGGCCACAAAGATGCTCGCGAAGGCGCTCCACCCGAACGCGATGGATCACAAAGATCCGGACTTGGACGGCTCCGTCCTCGTCGAGGCCTCCGCGCTCGACTTCGACGTCGTCGCCGGCGTGGACGAGTCACAGTAAGACACAAATCACACATTACTAGCCAACCAAGCCGAAAACGGCGCCCCCGCAGAAAAGCGCAGCGCCCGATCCGCCGCCGCGAACGCCTCCGACGCGGCGGCCCGCTTCGCGTCACCGTACGACGCCGGCGCGTCGCGCACGAGCGCCCGGTAGCGCTCCAAGAAGGCGGCGCGGCAGAGCGTCGACGGCGCGCCGCTTGTCGTGGCCCCCGCGCTCCCGTCGAGCTCCTCCGCGTGCGCGTCGCCGCGGCACCACGCGTAGCAGCGTCGGTCGCGGAAGTCGGCCCCGTCGTTGTCGACGTAGACGCCCTCGTCCAGCAGGAGCCCCGTCCCCATGAGCGCCGGGTGCCTCTGTAAATGCGGCACGCGACAGCAAAACGCCCGCCGCGCGTGCTCGAAGCAGTATTTTCGGCCGACCACGATCCCCGCGAGCGCCGCGCCCTCGACGACGCGCGACAGGAACGCACCCTCTAAACCCACGGCGCACCAGCGCGCCACCTTGTCCGAGCAGCAGTGCGGCCGCAGCGCGTCGCCGTCGAGGGGCGCGCAGCCCGGCGGCACGTTGTCCACCGCTGCGGCGTCGTCGGGCCGCCGCTTGCCCAGCAGTGCCACCTGGGCCGGTGTCAGCGCCTTGAACGGCGCGTGGCGCTCCGGCGGCGGCCCGGCGCCGAGCTCGGGCCGGAAGACCTCGCGCGTCGTCTTCGCCCACCTCCTAATCGTGCTGTTGCCGCAGGGCGCCGACGAGCAGTAGAGGAAGAGCGCGGCGCCGGGTCGCAGGCGCACGCCGGCCGCGGTCTTCTCGAACGCGGCGCATCCATTGCTTTGAAGCGCGGCGTAGAGGTAGCGCCGGAACGCGCGCACGGCCAGCACCTCTGCGTGGCAGTCGCGCAGCGCGCCGTCGCCGCCCGCGACGACGGCGGCGCGCGACGGCGTCTTCGTCCCCGCGCCGAGCGACAAACACGTGCATTTTTCTTGGTGGTGCAGCACGATCGCCGCGACGACGGTCTGGCGACTCGTGCGCACGTCGAGGCTCCGCCAGGCGTCCAATGCTGCCTGTGCTATTGCGTCTGCCAGTGCGCAAGTGCTGTTGCGGCGTTTTTCAGCGTGTCTTATCTTGGTGCTGCTCTCTTGTGCACTCATGACACTGGCATTGATCCGAGCAAGCGTGTAACTATGCAGCAGGTGCCTGCTGGAGCTCAGTCTGCTATTGTCACAGACCTACTAGCTATTTCCTGGCATTGCCTAGCACCGTAACAATACGTACATTGCACATACTTACTGGATTAAAAAGCAGCTAGCTAGCTAGGCCACTTCCGCCATGAACCGTCTTCTTGCAAGACCGGGACACGTGTAGCTTTACCTCCGCGGCTCTCGAGCAGAGCGTTAATCGCGTCGACGTTCGGGCCGTCGACGTGTCCAACACGTCCCCAAATAGCCGCTGCCACCGCGTTTTGGACCAATAACTGAGCATCCTCCGATACTTCCCAATTGAGCTCGGCGAGCTCGGGGCAGCCGCGGACTAGCCGTAACACGTCTTCAGAAGAGAATTGAGGGTCATAGGAAATCTCGATCGAGCGCAGGGTCTCCGCACAAGGGCTCTCCAGAATTATGTTGATGGCACGATCAGTCAAATTCTCAACGCACGTGAGCTCCAGATGCTCCAAACGCAAGCCGTTGCATATGATTCGCAGTGCATCATCGTCTAGTTCGTTGCTTAACCCAAGGCCAAGCTTCGCTATCGAGGGCCGCGCTTGCACCAGTGAGCTATAAAACGCGCGCCCACCATCGAATTCGTGGGGAAACTGCAAGTCAGACAACGCTTCCAAACCTCCAGCAAATCGCAGGATCAATTCAGGCGAAACCGTGGCTTCATTTATGTCTAGGCGCTTCAGCCGGCCAGCCGCAGGCGCCGCCAGAATCAAGTCCACTAATCGTGGCGACACGGTTACATTGGTAAGATCCACCTCTGTCGCATGCACACAGGTGCGGAGGGTAGCTTCGACGCCGTCCCAGCGGAACGCTGAGGCGGATCCGGCGCGCAGGAAATTAAGACATTCTAACCTTGGGAAATGCCATTGGTAGTCTTCGGCCGGGGACCGGTGGCGTGGGAGATAAACACAATGGAGCCGTGGGCAAGCTCTACTCACTGCCGATGCGAATTCGTCTAAATTAGCAGCAGTGATAACACCGGTAGGCGACCCGTGCACAAACAAGCTCCTCAGCAACGGACACGCGCGGCACAGTTCCAGGAGCTCGGGCATAGAAAAATATTGAGAGGACGCACCACTGTATGACAAGTGCCGCAGCTGACCGTTAGTGCTCGTCACAAAGTTTTGAAGCGACTTGCGCGCTTCGTAGGCTTGGTCGGACTGGACCGTTCCAAAACTAAGTGACCGACAGCCGCTGCCAAAGACGTGTCCGATGGCCGCGATTTTCTGAGCACTCGAGCGTTGAAAGGAGAAAGACCTTGCAGCTCTGTGCTGCTTCGCGGCCCGACGGACGGCGCCCTTGCAGGAACGTGACGCGCATCGCAGCGCGAGCAGCTCGCTTAGGTCAAGGGGATCATACGACCTATTGTCGTTGCGCCTGTTCGTGAATAACGCGACGTGCGCGAGCAGCTCGACGGGCAATTCGTCGAGCTTAGGCATCACTGCGCCCTGGTTGTGCAGCAGTCACTGGTGTTACGGTGCCAAGAGCTGGGAGAAACTGGATCGCGCAGCGCTCGCAGGCCGGTCTGTAAAGGCCAAGCAATATAATTGTGTGCGCGCAGGGTGGCGCTCTACCTGCTCGACCTAATTCTCGACCTCTGCAATATTTTTCGAGCTAGCGGTTGAAACACACTTATAAACGCGCTTTGGTGGCTTCGCTGGAGAGTTCGGTGCCGAATGCGTCGCCGCAGCCCAACAACAAGGTCACACAATACTTATTACCCACTCTCCGCCTCGGGCAAAGCCACGCTCCGCGAGATGGCCTCCTCGTCGTCGGCCGCGTCGTCGTCGTCGTCCATGCCGTTTTTCTTGAGAAGCCGCGGGTGGACGTCGTCGCCGCGCTGCTTCGGCGACTTGGCCGCCGCAGGCGCTTCCGGGGGCGGGGGTGTCGCCGCGCGCGGCGGCGCGGCCACGGGCTCGAGGCAGACGCCGTCCAGCAGCGTCGCGAGCGTCGCGTTGCCCTTGACGCGGGCCAGCGCCGCGGCGTCGTGGCCCCGCTTGTCCTGTTTGCGCGGGTCCGCGCCCCGCGACAATAAAGCTCGGCAGATCTCTTCGCGCCCGTGGTACGCGGCGGCCATGAGCGCCGTCTCGCCGCCGCCCTCGGTCCTGACATACCCGGCGTCGGCGCCGTGCGCCAACAAGGCCTCGATGGGCGCGAACTCGCGGCTCCGGAACGCGTCCCAGATCGCGCGATCCATGCGCCTTCCTAAGAGCCGCCGCTGCTGCGCCTGGCGCTGCGGATCCGCGACGGGCGCCGGCGTATCAACAGCGACGGGCTTGGACCCGTCCGCGAAGGCGACGCGCGCGCCCTTGGACGCCCGTCGCGTCGCCGGCTTTTTGGGCGACAGGTCGCGGCGCCAGGCCTTGGGCCGGTGGCCCTCGTCGTCGTACGCCACGAGGCGGCCCGCGACGCGGCGTCTCTTTTGAGTTTCCTCCGGCGCGGCGACGGCCTCGGGCGCCGCCGCGGGCCGCTTCTCGGTGGCTACGCCCGCCGGCGCCGCGGCCGACATGCCGAGGCGCGCGGAGCCCCAGTCCTCGGCGACTGGCGGCTTCGGCTCGGTCTCCGCGCGCGCGCCGCCGCCCGATGCGTCGCCCCTGCGCCGCTGGAAGCCGCCGGAGAGCTCGGCGGCCCGTTCGACGACGGCACCGACGCTCCCCGTCCACTCCCGGACGCGGGCCTGCGAGGCGCGACGCTCGACGGGTTCCTGCGACGGTTTTCGACGCGCGCGTGCGGGCGCAGAATCGGGCGGTTGCACACGCCGACGACGCTTCCGCGACGGATTGCCTCCGGCCGCACGACCGACGACCGTAGATGCCACGAGTCCCTCCGCCGTCCGGTCCCGAGTCTCTCTCAAGAGGGCCCAGTCGATCGAAACGAGCGGACGAGTCCCTCCGCCGGGCCCGACACCAGGACTGGTGCCGACCCCCGGCGGCGCGGGCCGACGGACCCCCCGCCCCCCCGAAAGTAACTAGCGCGCGGGACGACGCGCCTGCTGCTTCTGCGACAGCGCGTCGAGGCCGGCCGCGAAGCGGAGCACGTCCAGCAGCGCCGCGAGCGCGTCGCCGTCGGGCGTCTCCGAGAGCTTCCGGCCGTCGCTGCAGCCGTCGGGGTTGATGGCCGAGAGCGCGTCGAAGAACTCGTTCGTGACCCGGGGTAAGGCCCAGGGGTCATTCAAACCCGGGACCCGCCGCGCGGTGAGGCGGCGCAGCGCGGCGATCGCGTCGCCCGTCTCGCGCTTGGCTCTGTGCTTCGCGTCCTTGAGGTCGCGCCGCAGGGCCCGCGCGGCGTCGTCGGCGCTGGGTCCCGCCGCCGCGGGCCGCGCCGCCGCGACGGCGACGGCCGCGCGCCACGGCGCCGCGCGCTGGATCTGCGCGGCGAAGGCCGCGACGGCCGTGGCGCCGGCCGCGTGGGCCGTCGACGCCGGCGCCGGGACCAAGTTCAGCGACGCCCGCAGGCTCAGCAACAACATTCGGTCCACTAACACGAAGGTCGTGTCGGCACTCCCAGACGCGCCGCCGACGGACGCCACGAGGGGCGCGCCCCCGCGCAGCGCCTTCAAAAACCCGCCGCTCTGGCGCGTGAAGGCCTTGCCGGCCTCTGACAATTTTTGGAGGCAGCGCCGCGCGCAGCAGGCCTCGTGCGTCGCAGTCCCGTGGCGCTCCTCCTGCACTTTCTCGATGGCGTCGACGTTGTCCCCGCGCTCGGAAGCCTCGCGCGGCAGCGCCGCGACGGCGCAGACCTCGGCGAGCAGGTCCCAGGGTGGTGGTGGCGCGGCCGGGCGCGGCGGCGCGTACGGTCGCGGCGGCGCGTACGGTTGTGGCGGCGGCGCGTACGGGGGCGCCGGGCCGAAGCCGCGGCCCGCGAAGGGCCGCGGCGCGGCGGCGAAGCCCGCGCCGAAGGCGGGCGGCGCGATCGGCCGGAGCACGGTCGGCGGCGCGGCGCTCGCGGCGGCGGCGACCCGCTTCGCCGCGGCGATTCGAGGGTCTGGCGCCGAGAAGCCGGTCGCCGGCGGCGCGCGCCACGCCGCGGCCGCGTCGTCGACGGCGCGCTGGCCGTACTTGGCGGCCATCTGGCGCCACAGTTCCGACTCGTTGTGGCCCCAGGCCGTCAGGATGGCGTCGATCTGGGCCAGGTTCGTCGGGTTGTGGCGCTGGTAGAAGGCCACTAATCGGCGGCGCAGGTCCGCCATCGTTTCTTGGGCTGCGCACCGCTGCGCCGCCGCGCGCGGCGTCTGCTTGGCTGCAAGAAACTGAGACTTAGCGGTCGCACAAGCCAGCGCTCGGGCGCGGCGTTGCGTCCAGCACGAGTCGCTGCTGCTCTGAGGCTACACCAGCCGTGCGCGCGCAGCGCACGTAGCGCTCGTCCCCCTCTTCTCCTCTCAGTGCTTGCTAGTGTCTTAGAGCCGCTAGCACCTTTCCCCAGAGCTTTCCTCGGGGGACTAGAGGTATGCGCACGCACGCCGAGGGCTCGAAGGCGGCCGCAAAGCACGCCGGGGAGAGGCCCTACTAGCCTAACGCGGCAAGCAAACTTGGCCCTCAGCGCACTAAGGCGGGCCGCGCGCCGCCGCGAGAGGAGCAGGGCCCGCGAGGCAGCTATTTAACGACTTCTCCCGCCGAACCGGACCACCGGGCTGCACGCGACGCGCAGCGGGCAGCACCCAAGCCTATCTCCCCCAGAGCCCGGCCTAGCCGGGAGCACCCGCCACCATGGCCCAGGAACTCGCGGTCGTCGAGAAGAAGCCGAGCCAGCTCGCGAAGCTCAAAAAGAAGAAGAAGAAGCAGCAGCTGACGCCGCTCGATCGCTTCGGCAAGCCCATCAAGAAGCCGACGTTCAACAAGCAGGAGCTCCAGGAAGCCGTGCGACGACTAGCTCCCGGCTACAATGAGATGCCGCGCGTGCCCCACGAGTTCGGCCAGGCCTTCAACGTCACGAACGTCGACGCGTCCACCAAAGCGGCGAAGGGCGGGTCGGGCTTCAAAGGGGTCACCCCTCTAGACATGATGGAGTGGGGCGTCAATTTCGCGGCCAAAAAATTTAATGAGATAAGGACGCAGTGCGACATCAAGGCGCTGGAGCTTAAGAAAAGGTTGGACGTGTTGCGGGATTTAAAAGCGCAGAATGATGGTGTCGAGGACATGCTGCGACCCGAGAACCCCTACTCTGTCACGATCAATGAGCTGCTCGCGAAGATCCAAGTCGTACAGGACAAATTGGATCGGGAGTGCCACTACAAAAGGCAATTGGAACACGTGAAAGAACGACTGGAAAAGACGCAAATTAAATATGATTGCCACTTAGGACACTTGCAGGAAGCTAGAGATGCCGCAATCAGAGAACACGCGGACATGGTCGCGATGACGAGGCAGATCGAAGCGGCGGTCCAAGGGTTACTTGTACAGGTCCACGAGAAGCAGTACGAGATGGAGGTCGAAGGGGATGAAATGAAACGTAGTCTCATGCAAAGAGAAGCCGAAAAAGAACAAGCCGCGAAGATGAAAGGGTGGGACGCCGAACGGAAGCGGGAACGGGCCCTGTTCAACGCCGAGATGGCCGGCGACCTGACGGAGGAGGGCGAGCAGAAGCTCATGGACAAGTTGAATGCGAAGAAGGAGGAGCTGAAAGGACTGAGGAAGGCCCATGACGCGCTAGAAAAGGAGTTTAACCAGCTCGACGAAGATTTTAGTGAAGTGCGGAAAGTGACCGGTGTCAATTCACTGGCGGAAGTTGTGGAAAAGATCAAGAAGCAGAAGGAGAACAAGAAGCAGTTAGTCTTGGAGAAGAGGGATGCGGACTCGAGACTAGCTGGAGCCAAACAAATGAGGGAGAAACTTGAAAAAAGATTCTCCGAGTTGCGGGCGTCGGGCATCGGGACGACGGAGATGAATCGCGACGTGGCCGATGACTTGGAAAAGGACATTGATACAGCTAGAGCAGAGCTGAAGACCACAACGCAGGATTGTGAAAGACTGGAAGGCACGCTGATTGGCTTGAGGACGGGAGCGGTTGGTTTGTATGAAAGGTTGATACCTTACTTTAACTTACTGGAGGACCAACCTGATCTAGTCAAAAAAGGCGCGCCCGACCCAAAGACGATCGAGACGGCCGAAGCTCTGGTGCTGTCCGAAGCCATGCTCGTGAAGATGATTGAGTTGTTAGGAGGTGGTGATAAAGAAACGGAAGGCGCGCTGGTGCTCGAGGATCCCAGTGTTGATGAGATGAACGTCTCGCTCGCCCCGGGCAACAACTTGCGCATCAAGTCGGAGGAGCAGAAGGAGAACGAGAAGTCCGTCAAGGAAAGTGTCTTCTTGACGGCCGTCGACGAGGACGAGGCCGACGACGGGCTGGCGCCGGGCGACCCCTCGGAGTTGGTTCCCGCTCGATCGTTCATCAAGAAGAGTGCAGCAAGGCAGTACGAGTCGGCCATTCGGGCGGAGGCCGAGAAGAAAAGAGCTTCTAAACTGGAGGAGTTGTCGGAAGGCCCCGGCGCCGCCAAGGGCAGCAAAGCGGCGCGCAAGAAGGCCCAGGACGAGTGGCTCAAGGAGGCGGGCAAGCCCATCAACAACCTCCATCCTTTACCCATGTCGAAGGTCAAGGGCTGTGCGCAAGACCGGGCGGCGCAATTGATCAGGGACTTCCCGAAGTTCGGCTGAGTAAGGGTTGGGGTTTAGTAGTAGTGGCCGCGTATTTTGGGTTCTCAGGCCCGCGGCGAGACTGGCCTCGGCCACGTGGCATGCGGCGTCCGTACTACTCCTAGGAAGGAGCCGGCGCGCGCCGCGCGGCGACACACAAGCCACCCAAAATCGCGCGTTCGTCCCCGAGGCCCTCGGGACCGCTCCGCGCGGCCCCGATACCACTCCAACGCCGCACGTGGAGTCACTCTGATGGGAGAAATGCCTCAAGGAGTGCGAGGTGACATTCGCGGGGCGCCGCGGCGGGGAACGCGAGTCTGACGGCGAGGCGGGCGCTGCCCGGAACCCATCTTTCTCAATAGGATGGCCTCGCCGGCGCCGCGGGCCGCCGCGGCGGGCGGTGCACCATCAGGTCCGGTGCACCCTCACTTGTTGCCCCCGGGCACGATCGTGGCCCTGCCCGACGGCCAGGTCGCCGTCCTCCAGCAGCCGCGGCCGGGCCTGGCGCCGCCGGGCTTCGTCCCGCTGCCCGTGCCGCCGCCGACGCGCGCGGCGGCGCCGCGGCCTCCGCGCGGTGGTCCGGCAGCTAGAGCGCAAGCGAGGTGGGTCGCGCCCTTCGTGCGCCAGCTCCACGAGCTCGCCGACCGGCCCGGGACGCTCGTGTCCTGGGAGAGCTGCGGGAACGTCTTGCGCGTCTCGGACCCGCGCGCCTTCGCGGCCGAGGTCTGCCCCGTCTACTTCCGGCACCGCAACTGGACGTCCTTTACCAGGATGATGAACCTCTACAGTTTCCGCATGCTCAACGGCACGTCGCGGGCCGTGGCGCCGGACCACGCGCGGACGGCCCGGTTCGTGCACCCTCACTTTACCAGAGACGATCCCGATAGGTTGTGGCGCGTCGTCCGCGAGAAGCGGCGCCCTCCACAACCGAAGCCCAAGCCGCCCGACGCGTCGGCCGCCGACGCCTTATTGGGGTTGGCCGCGGCGGCGGCCGCCGCGGCGCCGGCGCCGGCGCCGAAGCGCCCGGCGGATGACGCCAGCGACTCGGCGCACGACGCTAGCAAAGAACCTAAAAGACCGCGCAACGACCGGAGCCCTACGTGCTCCGCCGCCCAGATCGATATCATCTGAGGCCACTTTCGACGAGTCCATCGTCCCGTTCCTGCTCGAGAAGAACATCGAACGCTCTGCGCCTATCTGCGCACCGCTGCCGCGGCGGGGGGCACCTACGTCCGCCCCCCCGCCGCGCCTCCCCTCGACTTTCCCCTCACCGACTCCGCGCTCTATGACTCGCGGCGGCGCCCGCCGGGCGGGCGCCGTCCGCGCCGAGGAATTCCATCCTGCGGTCGGTCACAATCCCCCCCCTTTCTAGCCCCAATCCGGGCCCTGCCGCAACCTGCTTAGTCAGCTGCGGCGTGAGAAACATCGATATACATAAGAAAACAACTACACTAGAGGTCGCCGTGCGAAAAGCGGCACGCGGCTCCGTTGCGGCACAGCCCGCGGGCGAAGAAGCGGCACGGCGGCCGCGCGCGAGCCGGAGCCGGCGGCCGGCCGAACGCATCGCCTTCGGCTGGCCGGGGCCCGCGCGGTGCCATGGCGGGAGGCGGCGCGGGCGGCTGCTGGCGACCGAACGGACCGTCGGCCGGAACCGCCGGGGCCGGTGGCGGCGGCGGTCCTCCGGCCAAACGCGGAAACGCGTAGGCGTGGAGCGCTTGGAGGCACGCGTCGTGTGCGGAACCGTGGTCCTCCTCCGCGGCGTGGGCCAGGCCGTGAAGGAGCTCCGTAACGAGAAACGGCGTGTCGTCGCGGCGGATGCGCCGCATGCGCCCGGCCGAGAGGATCACGCAGCCGTCCAGCAAAAATGCGCACCGATCGGGCTCCGCGATGGCCACCGCGCGCGGGTTCACGCCCAGGGATCGGCACGCGGCGGCGAACGCGTCGAGCGAGGCGGGTAGGGCCCGGAAAGACGGCGGCAAATGCGCCGCGTCGCCCTCGGCCACGCGCGCCAGCGCCGCGCGCGCCAAAGCTTCCGTCGGCGCGGCGCCGGCGGCGCCGGTCGATGGTGGCGCCGCCAGGTCCGCGGACCGCAACCCATCTTGGATTGTCGACGGCTCGCCGGTCCCCGGAATAGTGTGACCGTTGCTGCTCACGGCCGGCTCCTCGAGAAGCTCGGGATTCACGCCCAGCACGTCCACAAAAAACGTCCGTAGCGACGCGTCGAAGTGGTGCGACAGCGCGTAGTGGTCGAGAGCGGTATGCCGTAAATGCGCGGAGACGTCCCAGTAGGCCTCGTCGGCCCGCAGCGCCACCAGGACCGCCCCACCAGGTTTCGGGACGAGGATGAGCCGCTGCGCGACGAAGGAGTTGGCGCAGGCGGCCCGGTCCGCGGTCGACGCGACGCAGGCCTCGGCGAGGCGCCGGTAGCACTCGCGCGAGAGTGAAGCAGCGTCCGACGCCTCGACGACAGACCCGCGGAGTGCGTCGAGGATCGCGAGGAAATCTCTACATTTCCCGAGCTTGGGCTCGACGCCCGCGGCGACGAGCGCCTGCTCGGCGCCTCGCGAGCCCGCGTAGAAGGGCGCCAGGCGCTTGGCGCGCGCCAGCTCGCAGAGCTGCTCGTTGTCGTCCCAGACGCAGTTCGTCGGCAGCTCGAGCTGAAGTTCGTCGTCGGCCTCCACCAGCACCCACGGCTGGTTCACAGCCGCGAGCTTCATCGCGGCGACGCCGTAGAGCGCCGCCGCCGCCTGGAAGACGCCGTCCTTCCGCGTCGCCCCGGCCAGCACTTCCAGGGCCGCGCGCGCGTCGGCGGCGTCCGACGGGTCCGATCGCACGAGCTTGGCGACGAGGGACCGCGTCGCCTGCGCGCCCGTCGTCGCGAGGCTCGGGAAGCCGTCGGCGCCGTCGCCGCGCTCGAACGCGTAGGGCAGCAGACCGCCGCAGAGCGGGTAGAAGGCGTCGCGCAGGAACAGGTCGCGCAGACACTTGACCTCGCCGTCGACGCGCTTCGCCGGTAGGCTCCGCAGAAACGCGAGCGTCTCCGCGTCGTCGAGGCGCCGTTCGACGTACGCCGCGGCGAAGGGCCGCAGCGCCGTCCAGAAGGACGCGCTGGCGAGGGCGGCGCCGGCCGCGGCTCGGACCTCGAAGCCGAGCTCGTCGAGGCGCGGCCGCCGGCAGCCGAGGCCGTCGAGCAGCGCCTCCCACTCGACGGCCGCGCCGCGCGCCGGGTACGGACCGGCCGTCGGCGTCCGCGTGGCGACCGCGGCCGTCGACGGCCCATCGCCAACGAGCGCACCGATCGCAGCGTCTAAATCAGGCGGGAGGAACGCAGGGGCACCGAGGAACGTCGCCTGATTGACGTCGCCCGCGAGCGCCGCCTCGCCCTCGACCAGCGGCACGCGGATGACCGTCGAGGCGCGCGGGTCTTCCAGTAAGCTTGAATCGCCCGCTGCGACGGCGCGGCGGAGCAGGTCGAGGAGCGCCCACCAGCGCTCGTCGTAAGACTCATCGGCGGCATCCGTGAATGCTCCGTCGCCCCTCGCCGCCGCATCTAAGGCGTAGGCGTAGGCGTCCTTCACCGAAATGGTCGCCGGTACGCCGTGGCGCTCGAGGAACTTGCGCCGCGCGGGCCCGCCGTCCGTCACGCGGAAGATGTTCAAAGCTGGCGCCGCGACGTCGCCGCCGAGGACAAGCAGACCGTTGTCGAGAGCTTCATGGCAGCCGGGACCGACATCAATAATCTCGAGGCGCCGAATGCAAGGCCAGAGGTGCGGCTCCGCCGTCAGGAGCGCAGCAAATATTGCATCATCGTTCTCGACCCGGTCGTAGACACTTAGCCACTCGACAAGATCTTCGACACTAAACTCGGGGGCGACAGCCGGTGCGCGTCGCGCCAACCGCCGTCCACCAACACTAATTCTACGATCTCCGAAACTCCGGAGTGCCGCCGCCAGCGCCGACGCCTCCGGCGGCCAGCGCATCACGGCGTCGATCGGCGCCAGCTCGCCGTCGTCGCACCGCACGCAGGCGACGCCGCCGCGCGCGAGGCCGTCCACAATTTCCCGGCGACAGGCGCCCCAGAACGCGTCGCCGTTGTCGTCGTCGTCGTCGGGCTTGAGGAAGTCGAAGATCTCCGCGCGCAGCTCATCGTCCTGGCAGGCGTCGAGGACCGCGCCGGAGATCTGCTGCCGCAGCTGGACGTTCGCCGCCGAGGTCCGGAGGGCGCCGCGCGACGCCACGACGTCGAAGGGCGCGTTCACGCTGAAGCCGAAGGACCGCGGCAGCGCGCAGATCGGCAGCGTCGCGTGGGCCCAGCCGCGCGCCGGCGTCTCCCCGAACGCGACGACGGCGTCGCCGCGGCGGAAGACGCGGTAGGCCGCGTCGACGTTCGCCAGCACGCGCACGTCGTCGTCGACGCGCACCGAGAGCTTCCTCAGGCGGCGCGCGAATAAAAGCGTGCGCCGGCCCTCGTCGCCGCCGAGCTGTTCTAAGGCGGCCTTGGCGTCTCGGACGTCCTCGTCGCCGTTGAGCTCCAGCACGACGACCGTGGCGCCCGCTTCAAAACGCTCCAACGCGGCGCGCGGCAATTGATTGACGTCGTCCAACCAGCGCGGACTTACAAGACCGATGGCGCCGTCGCGCGCCGTGTCGAAGCCGAACTGATAGTCGTTCGACAGGACGTGGACGGCGTCGGCCACGGCGAAGACCGCCTTGAAGCCGATGCCTTTGGACCCAGTCGTCGCCTCGTCCAACCGCTTCGTCGACTTGTTAATGTCACATAAGGCGACGACGTCATCGCGAGTAAAGCCGGGCGCTTGGTTCGACGCGGCATAGAACCAGCGCCCCCTGAGGCCGAGCTCGAGCTCCGCGTCACTTGCGTACTTAGCGTCGTCGGCGTTCTGGACGAGCTCGTGGACGAAGTGCGCGCGGTGCTCGTAGAGGTCGCCGGCCAGTCGCTCGGCCGCGGCGGCGAGCGAGGCCTGCAGGCCGCGCGCGCCGGCCCGGACCGCCGCGGGGCACGAGGATAAATCGACGTCGACGAGGCGCGCCCGGCGGATCGCCTCGACGACGCCGCGCGGCGTGTCGTCGTCCACGTCCTGGGCCGCGGCGTCGGCCGGCGCTTTTTCAATTTCGGGCGCGCGCGCCTGGCGCGCGGCGGCCGCCTGCTGCGTCGCGCGGGCCAGCGCCGTTTCCAGGTCGGCGATGCGCGCGCTCAGGGCGTCGCGCTGCTTCGCCGCGCGGGCCTCCGCCTCGACGCGCGCGCGCTCGGCGGCGTCGCCGCGCGCCACGGCTTCTGCTCTCGTCCAGGTCTCGGCTTTCGCCGCGGCTTCCGGTGCTGCCTTTTCTAGGGTTTTGAGGAGCTCGCTCGCACGGGCGCCGGCGCGGAGGGTCTTTTGGGTGGCGCGGAGGGCTTCTCCACTCGCGTAGTTTTCGAACGCGGAGAAGATCTTGGTTTTCGCCGTCTGGAAGTGGGCTTCCGTGATGGCACCCTTCTCGAGCAGGTCATGCCATGCCTTGATTTCGTTAGTCGTTCGTTCGGAGGGGGAGGCCGGGTCGTCGGGCTGAGCGTCGTGGCTAAGATCACCGACCCGATACCGGCGCAACAAAGCCTGGAGCTCATCGGTGGTTTCGTCAATAAGTTCGTCTAATTTTCGGCGAGCCCCGGCCTCCAGCAACAGCTTCGCAATCTCCGGATTTCCGCCTCCAAAATGGACACAGCAGTAAAGTGGTGTCTGTCGACCGGTGCTCGACCACTGGTCGACGTAGACATTGCCTGCTTCAATAATTTCTCGTACTCTCGCCACGTCGCAGTCACACACAGCTTTGTGAAGCGCTGTCCACTCTTCAGTGTCGTTCGAAACGTCCTGCTGAGGCATCAGCATCCGCCAGCCTCGCGGCTCCGGGAGGCCCCGCCGTTTGAGCGTCGCGTCGACTTCTTTTGCGATATTAGAGACCGACGACGAGGCGCTTCCGCGGCGCCTCACCGCTTCCACGATCGACGCTGCCGCGGCGTGCGGCGCGGCTAGCGCGAGGAAGCCAACGCAATGGAACTTGTCTTTTGTCCAGGGACTATCCAACATCTTGGCGGCGGCCTCCACATCTGCGAAGACCGCGCCGACGTCCGCGCCCTCGCGCACGAGCGATCGGCACCAGGCGTCGGTCAGCGCGCCGTCGGCCGCGATGCGTTTTAGCGTCGCTGTGGCCTCCGCCCGCGCGAGGCGTGCTGCTTTTGTGTCGCCGCGCGCGAGCGCCCGCTCGAGGCGGGTGCCCGGTTCTAAACAAAACCAGCTCGCGGCCGGCTCCGGCGGCGCCGCGGGCGCGGCTACCGTCTTGAGGTCGTCGTCGTCGCCGTCGCTCGGGCCGACGCGGCGCTTCAGCTCGTCCACGAAGCCGTCCGGGTTGCGCGCCTTCGCGGCGTTGCCAATCGCGAGCAGGCGCCGCTGCAGGTCTTCGGCCGACAGGTTCGCACCGGCCGACCTTGCATTTTCTCGTCGGTGCCGCTCAAAAAATGGAATGCGTCCGCCTCGTGACGCGCCGCGTCGCGTTGGCGGGCGCTCGAAGCCCTCCATGATTTGTGCGACGTGCTTACTTGGTCTGTGCTGTGCAGGCCTGTAGCCTTGCAAATCGAGCTTACGCGTGCACACAGCTCGCTTCCGTTCAGGAGGCTGGCTGTATATGTATGTGAGTTGCTTCTGTCAATGCCGGTTGATCGATGCACCGTCTTTTGCCGCCTTTTTGGTTGCTCCTCCTCGAGGCCTGCTTGCTAGTGTCTTACAGCCGCTAGCGCCACGTCCTTTCGCTTTTACGCATCGAGCGGTCTTAACAGCGTAGCCTGGGCGCCAGGGCTCCTCACAGACGGATCCAACAGGTGGGCGAGACACAGACGCACTACGCCGGCCGCCTCAATTGCAGCTCAGAGCCGCCCTCACGCCACGCGTGAGCGACAAGAGCGTGAGCACGATTAGCATCCTTGCCGCAGTGCCGCGTGCCACGGCTGACAGGTACCAGCGATGCCCTCCAGCAAGTCCTTAGTGCTGGCCCTGGCGCTGACGGCGCCGGCCGCCGCGCTCGTCCCGCCGACGACCCAGCGCGTCCCGGCTACCATAAGGCACGCCGACGATGCGGCGAGAGCCGCACGGCGTGAAGCGCTGATGCAGGCGTCCGAGCGCGCCGCGGCCCGCATCGAGGCCACGCGCAACAGCGGCGAGTCCACCCCCATGCGGCCCGACGACATGATGGCCTTCGTGAAGCCGGCCACGGAAGCCCAAGCGCCCGACGAGATGAGCTACGTGCCGACGGACGACGAGGGTCGAGCGAACTACGCCGTGGGAGGCGGCGAGTCCGGCATGGACCGGTCGTCCATGAAAGAACGGTTCTCGAGAGCACCGGAGGGCCACACGCCCCACTACAATACGGGCGAGGGCTACTTCGCGGACCTCACCAGAGATTCCAGTGAAAGGCACTGGACGAAGAACGACGGCAAGACGGCCGGCTACGACACGATCAAGCGCCAGTTCGGCCAGCGCCCGGATGAAGATATCGAGATCGACATGTCCGACACCTTCCTCGTGAACCAGCTCAAGGTGGGCGAGCGCTACGAGGTGAAGCCGGCCTGGGAGGTCTATTATGAAAAAGCAATTGCGGAAGGAAGGGACACGCTCGAGGTGCCGAAGCAGCGGCCGGCTTCTACGCCGAAGCCCGCGGCGCCGTCGGGCTACGCGGCCGCAAGGGCGGCGGCGGCCGCCGCCGCGGGCCGCGCGCCGCCCGCGGCGCCGCCGGCGCCGGCGCCGGCCGCGCCCGCGCCGCCGCCCCCGGCGCCCGTCGCCGCGGCGCCGCCGCCGCCCGCGCCCGCGGCGCCCGCGGCACCGCCGCCCGCCGCGCCGGTCGAGCGCGACCCGACCGGCCGGCCCGTCGCCGCCGCGCCGGCGTCGGGCGCGGCCCTCGAGGGCGAGGACCAGCAGGTCGTCCAGGGCGCGCTCTCGGCGCTGATGCAGTACGCCGGCTCGGTGCAGCTCGACAGCCCGCTGCCGCCCCAGGTGCAGGGCCAGGTCGCCGACCAGATCAAGCGCGCGCGCGACGTCATGGTCGCCGAGGCCACGGACGCGCCCGCGGCGGCCGCCGCGCCGCCGCCCGTCGCGGTCGCGGCGCCGCCGCCGACGCCCGCCGCGGCGCCCGCACCGCCGCCGCCCGCCGCGGCGCCCGCACCGCCCGCGGCCCCGGCGAAGACCGAGGTCCACCTCGGCAACCGCGGGTCGAGCCTCGAGCCCGCCCTCGCGACGCTCGACGCGGCCGGCGTCGCCGCGCGCGTCGCCGCGATCGGTCCCGGCTTTTCGCAGTTCGCGGCGGCCATCGAGGAGCTGGCCTGCGACGGCGCGTTCCTCGCGTCCCTCAGCCCCGCGGAGCTCGACGAGACCTTCGAGGACATCGGCGTCACGGCGCGGCTGCAGCGGCGCCGCGTGGCCTTCGCGCTCGGGCTCGGGAAGTAGAGTCCCTCCCTTCCTAACTGTCATTCACTCGACATTTACAATGCTCCCCCTCGGCGCGGCGCTCGATAGCGTGAGGCCCGTGCTACTACTGCACGGGCTGCGAGTAGTACGGCTCGGGGCGCACCTTCCGCTGGGGCAGCGCCTCGAGCGGCGGCGAGCCGTCCGTCAGGGGGCTCGCGACGTCCGCCTCGCCGTGCTGGCCGCGCCAGGCCGCGCGTCGACGCCGCGGCGTCACGGCCGGCTTCGTCAGAGGACTCGGCACGTCCGCCCCGCCGTGCTGGCCGCGAGATCGGCGTCGCCGCGGCGGCGTCGCGACCGTCGTTCGGGACACCCGCAGGGCGCTGAGGCGGTCGGTGACGGCGTTGGGCGACAGCGAGTCTCGTCGTCGCGATATCTCGCGGCGCGTCGCCGCCTCGACCATTTGCGGGAGGTCTGCGAAGCTATCTGCGTCGTCGTCAATGTGCTCTGGCAGCGCGCAAGCGTCGTCCTCACGCTCACGCGGTTCCCACGCATCCGCGATGAATTTCGCCTCCGGCGACTGTGGAGGCTCTACGCTGAAGACCTCGTCTTCTTCGACGGGCTGGCGGCTGCCGCACAGCAAGTCCATCCACGGCCTACGACTGTCTGAGGGCTGCCCCCCACACAGGTCCAACCTAGCTGGCCCGCAGCTCTCCGCCGAGGCAGCCCGGCGTCGCCACATGAGGCTACCGTCTCTTTCCTTCAAACAAGCGCGTACGGTCCATTCAAGCTGGAGTGTGCCGGCCCAGCGCACGTACGAAGCTGTGGTCCAACCAATTTTTGGCGCCGTATACCCGCCCAATAATAATTCAAGGTGCTGGTATGATCGGAAAGCCGAGACGCGATGCGCGGCCGCCCGGGGGACTACTACGTGGTCCCGGCGGCGCACAGCCGGAGTCAAAAATCCCATGCCTGGGAGTCTCTGCTCTCTGTTAAAAGTCATCCGCACTACCGCGGGGTGCGGAGGCGGATAACGAGTGCAAGGGCAGCCCAAGAGCTCACCGTAGCAACCTCGAGGCGCATAAACCGCGAGGCCGCTCCTCCTGTACAGACCCAGACCCAGGCGGGTCAGTGCCGCGCGCGCTAGCTGCCCTCTCCCGTGCGACACCAGGTAGACCTAGACCCAACAAGCAGTGCGGTAGAACCATGTTCGACGACGTCAAGGAGGTCGACGACGGCTGCGGCAACTTTTATTATGTCAACACGGCGACGGGCGCGTCAGGATGGACGAAGGAGGAGGCCGCGGACGTGCCGCTCCCCTCTGGCGTCGTCGCGGGCTTCGACGAGGCGTCCGGTTATGCCTACTACTGCCACGAGGCGTCCGGTGCCACGGGCTGGTCCGTCGATGAAGTGTTGGAGGCGGCGAAACAATTAAGTCCGTCAAAAAAAGAGCCGGCGCCATTACCGTGGGAGGTGCCTGTAAGCCCACAGCCGCCGACGCCGGCGAAGGGGCCTCCTGTTGTGAAGGATGCTCCTCAATTATCGTCCTACGGCCACTACGATGGCAGGGGCGGCTTCGAGACGCACTCGCGGGAGCAGTCTTGGTTGCTCGAGGACGCCTTCGCGCGAGGCGTCAATAGTGTGAGACTGGCGTGCCCGTCGAACCCGATCGGGTTCCGGGAGTTCGAGGTGCGGTTCGGGGATAACGCTGTCAGTGAGCGGGTCCCTACTCCACCCTCGACGCGGATGATCCAGGTCAATCTCGATTCGGGTGCTACGCGAGTCGTGCGTCGAATAGCGCCCTGCGACGATGTGATTGACGACGCCAAGACGCACTCCGGCGAGATTCTGCGGTGTCGCGGGCTGTTGCTGAAGAAGGGCGGAGGGACCTCACTGTTTGGCCGGCGCAAGTGGCAGGACCGCTTCGTGGACCTAGATCCGGTCATGGGCACGATCACGTACTACTCTGATAGAGAAAGGCGTCATAAGAAGGGGTCGCTCAAAGTAGGAGCTGCTACAAGGGTCTCGGACGACGCGAGTGGAAAGCACTTCAAGGGCCGCGCGAAAGACATAGAGGACCCCTGCTACTTCGTGATATCTTTACTGGTTGATGCGGAGACGGGCAAACCTAGAGAAGGCGCGTTAGAACTAAGAGCGCCGAACCGCGACGAGCTCGACAGGTGGAAGGCGACGATCGAGTGGGCCGTGGCGACGGCGGCGGCGCGGGCGCAGCATCGCCTGTCGACGGTCGACCGCAAGGACGCGCCGCCATTGCCAAAAAGGGTCTCGAAGCGCGTGTCATCTGACTCAGCGCCTCCGCCGCTGCCCCCGAGGACGCCGGTTCATACGCCGCCCGGGCCCCTCACGGCCCAGAAACCTAAACAGGAAGACGAGGAGGTTTTCTATGATGCGGTGCAGTCGCCGGCGCGGAAGCTGTTCCCCCAGGCGTCTCCTTCCACTCCGTCGCCGACGAAGGAGCCCAAGATGCGGGGCAAGACGTGGGGCGACCGGCTCAACGCCGCGTCGGCCGCACCGGCGCCTGAACCCGCACCAGCGCCCGCGCCGCCGCCCGCGCGGCCCAAGCCGCCGCCTCCACCACCAAAACCGGCGGCGGCGGCGTCCGGTGACCCAGCCCTCGCGAAGTACGAGAAAATGATCGCGATGAAATTACCTCAAGGTGCGGTCGAGCAGAAGATGCGCGCGGATGGTGTCGATCCTTCGTTATTGTTCCCGGATGCCGCGCCTGCCCCCGCAAAGCTCGTGCTGCCCAAGCCGCGCAAGAAGACCGTGCACCTCAAATTACACGCGGGCGGCGATTTGATGGCCCAGTTGAAGGCCGGGACCAAGCTCAAGAAGGTCGAGGTCTCCGCACCGTTGGGGCCGCCGCCCCCGAAGGCGATGAGCTCCGGCGACGGAGGGATAGGGGGATTGGCGGAGGCCATCGCCGCCTCGCAAAAACGGCGGGCGAAGGCCTTGGCGAATCTTCCGTGATTCTGCGTAATTTTATACATATTTTCTTCAGCTCGAACGTCGCTGCGGCGAAGGCGTACTGCAGGCGTAGTCGATGTTACGGTGCTAGGACTAGTGGGCGGAGCCCCTGGGGGGAGACACCGCGCGTCGCCGATTCATCGGCGGCGGGCGCGAGCCGCTCTTTCACTGCAGGCGTCGCGCTAGCGGCATGTAAGACACTAGCAAATGGGCTCATGCGTGGAGTACTTGCAGCGCTCCCCACGCCGCACAGACCGCACCTGTGCAACCGCAGGCCGTGCAACATTGGTGCAGCCTCCTTGTGAACACATCCCTGCGCTGCGACACGCCACCGTTGCACCCACGTGCTGCCTAACCACCTGAGTGCCGCTGTGCAACTTGTGCTCGGGGACGCCGTCGCCGCACCCGTAGGCCCGCGACACACGCCAACAGCCTAGATCACCATGGCCTGGCAAGCCTGCTACGCCCTAATAACAACAGCACTCATCACGGAGTCGACGCGGCCGCGCCACACACCTTCTCTGGGCTTCAAGCACAACATCGTGAGGCGGCCTCTGAGACCATTAACGGCGACGACGCTAACGACAGCACCGTCGTCAACGACCGAAATTTTAGTTGATGATTCAGCCTTCAAGCGACCAGCAGTCGATTCGAGACAGTACCGCCTCTTAAAACTCGCGAACGGCCTAGAAGTAGCTCTGGTAAGCGATAGAGACGCCGACGAGGCCGGCGCCGCCCTCTCCGTCAAAGCAGGATCGTTTGATGACACTTTACTAGGCTTAGCGCATTTCCACGAGCACATGTTATTTCTGGGAACGCAGAAGTATCCCCAGGAGGACGAGTACGAAAAGTACTTATCGAGTAACGGTGGTGGTTGCAACGCCTGGACGTCGGACGACACGACGTGCTACTATTTCAACGTGAATGCCGCGTCGCTGGAGGGTGCGCTCGACCGGTTGGCGCAGTTTTTTGTCGCGCCTACCCTCGAAAAAGACGCTGTGGAGAGAGAAGTGAAGGCCGTGGACAGTGAATATCGGATGGCCTTGCAGGACGATAGTTGGAGGTTGCATAGCGTGCTCAAGGCTACCGCCAAGCAAGATCATCCCTTCTCGCGTTTTTCGACTGGTAGTGAGCAGACTCTACTGGAGAAGGCCGGGGGCGTCGACGGCTTACACTCTGAGTTAAAAAAGTGGAACCGCGCGTATTACAACAGCGCGAACATGCGGCTCGCTGTGGTCGGTCGCGAGTCGCTGGAGGAATTGGAGCAGCTCGTAACAGCTGATGGTAGGTTCGGTGCTATCCCGTCCGGCGACTTGCCTTCGCGGGAGTTGGGACCGGCCTGGACGTCCGACGAGACTCAGACAAGAGTGCGGGTCTCGCCCGTCCGCGATTTGCGGTCGCTGCAATTGTTGTTCCCCTTGCCGCCTCGCAAAGCATTACGAGAGAGTGACGGCGACATCAAGCCCAATCCTGAGGTATTAGTGTCGCATTTGTTAGGACACGAGGGGCGGGATACCTTACATTCCTTACTACGAGATAAAGGATGGGTCGACTCGCTGACGTGTGGCGCGGCGGTGGCCAACGACGGCGGGCAGTTGTTTGAGCTAGCCGTCGATTTGACGGATGCTGGTGATGAGCACTGCGAGGAGGTCCTTGACTTATTATGGAGCTGGGTCGGTGTGGTGCGACGAGCCTCTTCGCAGGAACTAGAAACGGCCAATCAAGAACTCCGAGATTTGGGAGACGTCAAGTTCGACTTTTCGGAACGGTCAAGTGCGGCGACCATGGCGTCGGACGTGGCGGACGCTTTATGGGAGCACCCCTCGCAGCCCGTGGCGGGTCCGGCGTTAGTTGGACCGTACTCTGATGACGCGACGCGGGTTGTCTTAGATGCGTTAGTACCCGAGAACTGCGTCGTCTTTGACGTGCGATCGTCGCACGATGATAGTGAGTTAGTTTCCAGGGAACGGTGGCACGGGGCCTCCTACGACGAAGCTTCATTGGAAGATAACGAGGTGAAACGGTGGTCTGAGAAAATGGAGGCTACCGATAGCTCTTTGAAACTACCTCTACCTAATAAATTTGCGGCGAAGGCGTCTCCTCTGTTGCCTGCTGGCAAGGGTATTGTTCGATTATCAAATACTCCAGAAGCGACGACGCTGTGGAAGCGTTCGGACTATGCAAGAGCGCCGGAGAGTGTGCCCCGTGTCCCGAAGACGGCGTCTATAGCATTATTTAGGTTCAAGGAGCCGTCGACCGCGGTCGAATTAGCAAGGGATAGAGCTTTTTGCGGCGCGTTGATGCAGTCGCTGAACCACGACGCCTACGACGCGCATCTGGCAGGACTCTCGTTCACCGTGGAAGCTGCTCGTAGAGGTCTGGAAGTGCGCGTCTCGGGCTTCGACGCGCGAGCTTCCGAAGCGTTTCAGTTGGTCGCGGAGCGCTTGACCCAAGCCTTATCCGGCAAAAAATGCGGGTTTGAGGATGAAGCGGCGGGGACGCGGGCTTTTCTAGCGGACGCCGAGGACCTTGCGAGAAGGTGCGCCGACTCGATTCGGGATGACCCCATACGCCTCGCGGGCGGCTGGGCTAGAAGAGCTGTCGATTCGGACTCGGATGTCGTGGATGTCGACTCTGTTGGTGAAGCATCAGGTAAGTTGAGTGAGGAGGACGTCGCCGCGGCCGCGTCCGACCTGTCGCGAAGATTGTCCAGTGCTCACCTCGAGATTTACGTGGCCGGCAACGTTGATACGGAGTGGGCGTTGAGCTTCGCGGAGAAAGCACGTAATATCGCGCCCCCATCAGAGGACGCGTCCCGTCCTCAGCCGGAAACGGCTCTGAAACTGCCGGTGGGCGACACCGTACTCGAGCTACGGGCATTGTCAGAAGATTCCGAGCGGAAGCAGACGCTGTTTGCCGGGGATGGGGATGCGCCGCCCTCGTCCGAGGGCGATCCGAACTGCGCCGTGGAGATGGTCTTCCAAGTCGGCCGCGCGGGCGACGATGAAAACGCTGCAGAAAATGGCTGGTCGTCGGCCAACGCGAGGGACGGCGCCGCTACTCTGTTAGGTCGTATAGCACAATCATCAGCGTTTGATAGATTGCGGACGAAGGAACAACTGGGCTATCTCGTCGACGCGGGTCTCGACGTCATCGAGGGTGCCGTCAGTCTGCGGTGCGGCGTGCAATCCGCCACAGGGCTCGACCCGAAGGGTTTGGAGGAGCGTATTGAATCTTGGACTGTAGCATTGAGGGAGGAGATCTCAAATATGTCTGACGAGGAGGTGGCTTCACAAGCGCAGGGCCTCGCGACGGAGCTGCTGCAGCGGCCCGGCGCGTTGCGGGATGTCGTCAGCAGGGACTGGCACGAGGTCTCTACCGGTCGAAGGCGCTTCTCGCACGTCGAGACGCGGGCGGCTTCTTTGTTGGAAGTTTCCAAGCAGGACCTGCTGAAGCTGGTCGACGACCATCTTCTCTCGGATAAAAGACGAGTGTTAAGGACGCGGGTCTACGCGGCGGGCGACGACCGCGACGGCACGTGCGATCCTGATGGATGGACGGTACTCCGGACGCGGGCGGAGTTAAGGAAATGGAAGGACCGGGCGGACTACTGGCCGCCCGCGGTGCGCTGGGACGAGGGGGGCGTCGGGGCGCCGGCGGACTAAGTTGATGTTGTCTAGAACCTTGTTATTCTAGCCCAGAGTAGGAGGGGGGGAAATTCATGGCCAACACTCGCAGATGAAATCCATGTCACTGGAGTCCCCGGTGTAGTCGCAACTAAGTTTGTTGCCTTTGTAATTGCAGCAACTGTTGCCGCTGTCGTCGTACATGGCGTGACAGGTGAGGCCTTGGCTCCCGCACCAGTGCGAGCACGTCCGCTCCTCGCCCCAGTCGGCGTTGCGTATGTAATACCGGCAAGTTCCCGGGGTCGTCGACGAGCAGTCGGCCGAGCACTCGTTGCTGTAGCCCTCGACGCCGTCCGTGCAATCGTTAGTAGGGGCGGGCGTCGTGGGCTCCGGCGTTGTCGGTGACGGCGTGGGCGGCACCGGCCCCAACCAACACTCGCAGATGTAGTCCATGTCGCCGGCGTTCCCGGCGTAGTCGTGAGGATGCTGCCTGCTGTCGGGCGGCTTTATCTAAACTTGGGCGGCACGAAGAGTCTCTCGCGATACATCGAGAGGTCTATGCTACCCTCAAGACCATCGAGAAAACTGATGATCGGGCTAAGCGTGACTTGTTGCATTCGGCCTTGCAATTGGCCTCCGCTCTCATCGCCCCTGGGATTGATCTTTACTCCGAAGCCAGAGCGTTGTGCACGGAGATGCTCCCCAAAAGCCGAAAACTTTTGGGAGAAGAGGACGATATTACACTGGGCCTCCGTTATTCTTACGCCCAGGCGCTCGTCTATAAGCCCGCCCCCTCACTGGAAGAGCTACGTCTGGCCGTGGCGGTGCTGGAGAAGCTCGAGCGGACTGCACTTAGGGTACTAGGGCCATCGCACCCGAAGATACCAGCAGTCCGACAGACACTGGGGCTGGCAAGGGGAAAACTTTTCACTGATGTACTGCCTGCACGTAGTCGCCGCGATGCCTAAGACCACAGTATAGTTTTACCTACACCCCCTCTTGCAGCGATCAGCGCGCGGTGGGGTGCGCACCTTTTCAATCAGGATCGGTACAGGTTTGCGCCACAAGCCCAAAACTACATTGTTTGCTAGTGTCTTACAGCACGCTAGCAGCGAGTGCAGACGGTGCAAGTGCCCTGGCACTGCGCCCTGCATCGGTATCGTTAGTCACGTCACGCAACGCAGCTCCTTTCCACGCTGCACAAAGCTATAGGAGAGCTGCGCTCGTTTTGTGGCACTGGGCAGCACTGCGCCGGGCTGCAATGAGGCTGCTCTGGCGCTGCGCATTGGTGCACAGCGTCGCCCTGCATTCGGGCGGAGTAAACGCATTGCATCCAAGCGGCGTCAAGATCTTCTACGACCCCAGACACGCGACGCACAGCAACGCCAAGGGCCACCCCGAGACGCCGCGCCGCGTCGACGACTGCCGGCGAGCGCTCGAAAAGACCGACGCGACCTGGCAGTACCTCAAACAAGCGAGGACAGACGCTGAAGAGTCGGTCCGACGCGTACACTCAAACCAGCATATTTCACGAGTGAAAAAAGCGTCAAAGTTCTACCGCTTCGGGCGCACGCGACTAGCGGTCGACACGTACGCGAAACGGGGATCGCATCAGACGATGCTGCGGGCCCAATCGCTGTGGCTCGACGCCGTGGACCACGCTTCTATCCAAAATGAATTGGCGGTGGCGCTCTCGCGTCCACCCGGCCACCACGCGTCGCGGCACGTGGCCGACGGCTTCTGCTTGTACAACTTCGCGGCGGGCGCGGCCGCCTACGCCCTCGACGTCCTCGGCAAGGACTGGGTGGCTTTGCTGGATTTTGATGTCCATCACGGCAACGGCGTCGCCGCGTACGCCGACGAGGAAGCTCGAGTAATGTACGCGTCGGCGCACCAGGCGCCGCTCTGGCCGAACACGGGTGATGACCCTTCCGACCAAGGTTTACTGGGCAATCGATTGAATGCGTGTGTGAAAAGAGGCGCCGACGCCGTCGAGTTCTGCGGCGCTTGGGACCGCTGTCTGAAGTTTGTGGCAGATCGTGTTTCAGGAAGCAATGGGTTACTAGTAGTGAGCGCGGGCTTCGATGCGCTGCTCGAGGACCCGCTGGCGCAGTGCCGCCTGCGACCCCAGGATTATGTACGAATAGGGCGCGCTACAAAAGATGCCGCTGAAACTTTAGGCGTCCCCGTCGTGCTGGGCCTGGAAGGGGGCTACTCGACGAAGGTGGGAGACGCCTTCGCCCACTCCATAAGACCGTGGCTCGGCGACGACGCGGATCTAGTGGAAGTGGAGGCGGCGCCGAAGCTCGCAAGGCGCGTCGAGGTCTGCGAATCCAATCAACTACCGGAGCCCGGTGCGTTAAGATGCGTCTCGACAAAACACGGCCCTCTCACGATCGCTACCACATCAGACGGCGCGGCCTACGCTCTACAAAAACGCCTGCCGCCCTACGGCCTGGCGACGCGTTTTTATGGAGACTTCGACGGCCAGGTACGTACCATAAAAGATAGGGGCTCGGGCACGAAGTTCTACGTCGACTCGGGCGACGTCCGCGGGCCCTGGTGCCCCGCCATCTTACCGAAGCGGTGCGCGGCCGGCGTCCCGCTTCATATACGCCATCGCCGCGACTCGTCGCTCGCCGTCCGGTAGAGTTCGGACCAGCTCACACGCAGACCACTCGCGCGGCGGCGGCGCCTCCCCGCGGACTACCGGGACGCAAGCGCGATTCAGACGGCGCGCCTCGACGTCGTCGACGGCGTCGCCACCGCGTCGAGCGACGAGTTGGAGGCGGTCCTCTCCGCGGCCCCGCGGCAGCTCTATCCCAAACTTAGGAAGAGGCGCCGACGTCGGCGCCTCGTGACCCAACGATCCTTCGCGCGCGCGGCCCAGAACGACCGCGCGACCGTCGCCACCTCAATCAAGAATGGGGAATTGCGGACGGCCGCCGTCACATCAACAGGACTGGAACTCGGGTACTACTTAGTGAGGCTGCCCGACGAGCCGACGCCGGGCACGGACGACGCCCTCTCCGCCATTCTCCACGGCGGCGATTCTACAAAAGTGGAACGGGACTCCAGAAGGGGCACGGCCAAGGTCGCGGCGGGCGTCGCCGTCTTCGTCGAGCCGGCGGCGCGGGGGCGGAACATCGGCGAGGTCCTCTTCAAGGAGGCGATGCGGGCGTGCCGCGCGCTCGATTTCAGGTACATGCTCTTCGTCGAGCGCGACGGCGGCTCCGGGAAATTGGTCAAATGGTACGAGGCCATGGGGTTCCGGGTCGTGCCGCCGGACGTCCTGCCCGGCCTGGACCGGGCCATGGTCGGCTACCTGCCTTCGGATCAGACGTTCTACGACGTCGAGGGCGTGGGGCTGGACGTGGAGAAGTATTCCTAAATCATCGTTCTGTATCCGTGTTTTTTTACTTCTCCGCGCGCCCTCCTGGGCGCTTCCGCTCCCCCTGGACACATCGTCCCTGAGTCGCCACGGGTTTTCCCAGGAGTCGCAACTGCGCAAGCGCCTTTGATCGGGTGTTCCTGGCTAACCTGAGGTGTCAGGGCGTTGACCAACACCATCATCATTGATCTCATCGTCGAAACCGACCGTCAGGCCGTGTCAAACCCATCAAATTGCATCAATAATCGCTCTGGCAAAACAGCAACAGTGTCAGCCTGCATTGGTGGGAGACGTTGCGGCCGTGACGAGGTGTTGAAACCCATCGATAGTCGGTCTGCAACTGTGTTGCTGCGCTGGTCGTGTCCATTGGTGACGTCTGCACGATGCGCGCCTTCACCCGTAATGATGAAGCAGCCAAAACGCCGCGTCGATTCCCTCAGCACGCCATCGCCGCGACACTCGACTCACGCACAGGTTCCACGCGACGAAGGTAAGCGTCATGGAGGCGACGCGCGCCTGCCCCTACGCGTTCCCGAAGAAGATCCAAGAGGAGATGGATAAGTTGGCCGACGAGCAGATGATGAAGCTCAAGGAGTTCGTAGACCCGCGTGGAATTCGCACGCCATCGCCGCGACGCCGTCGACGCGACGCAACCGACGCAGGCTCGCGCGCCGGGACTCCCTGCTTTCCTCAGACTGACGCGAAGCGCGTGAAGACACCTGCACCTCCCCTTGCGCCTTGTGTGACACTGCCAGTACTACTACAGAGTAAAAGAGAAACCCCAATTAAAAACTAGCCGCGGCCGTCTAGTCCTTGTCCACCGCCGTCTTCTTGATGCCGCGGAGCCGGCCCGTTCGCCGCGCCGCGATCAGACCGACCTTCTTGCCCGCAACATCATCTCTACGAGTAGTGGAAGGATGACCAATGTGCTGGTGGTTGCCGCCGCCGTGCGGGTGCTCCACGGGGTTCATCGCAACACCCCTAACCTTGGGCCACTCGTTGCGCTTCACGCGATACTTGTGGTATGCCCGGCCCGCCTTGAGCATGGGCTTGTCCGTGCGGCCGCCGCCCGCGACGATGCCGACCATGGCGCGGCACACGGACTTGACGCTCTTCTTGCCGCCCGACGGCAGGCGCAGCTTCGTCGTGCCCTTCTCCTCGTCGTGCGTCACGACGACGGCGTAGTCGCCCGAGCACCGCGCGAACGCGCCGCGGTCGCCCTGCGTGGACGTGCGGGTGACCAGGAGCTCTCTTGTCGCCTCTCGACGATGGTGTGTATAACGCAGCCCAGACGGAATCGAACCGCTCCGTCGCGAAACGGCTGTGGAACTGAAGTCCACCCCCCGGACCACCGAGGCTCAGTGCTGCTGTGACCGATACGTGATTCGAACACGTAACCTTCAGGACTGGAATCTGACGCGCTACCGTTGCGCCAATCGGTCGGATTGAAGAGAAGCGGACGCGGCCCGCGCACGAGCTTGGCCTCGACGTTGCACACGACCGTGCCCTCGGGGATCGCTTTCAGCGGCAGCACGTTGCCGACCGCCAGCTGCGCCTTGGCGCCGCAGTACACGAACGCGCCCTCGTGCATGCCCTCGGCCGCGACGAAGAGCTCCGTATCCCTCTGATACCGGTACGCATTCTGGAACTGGACCTTCGCGATGGGCGCGCCGCGGCCCGACTCGTGGACGATGGCCTTCACGACGCCCTTGACGTAGCCCTCCCTGCGAGTGGGGAAAAAACGCGTGACCGGCGTGCCCTCGCGCGCTCTCTCCGACGCTCTCTACTGGATACCGGGCTCGAACCGGTGACCTACTGCGTGTAAAGCAGACGTGATAACCACTACACCAATCCAGCAGTCGCAGCCCAGACGGAATCGAACCGCTCCGTCGCGAAACGGCTGTGGAACTGAAGTCCACCCCCCGGACCACCGAGGCTCAGTGCTGCTGTGACCGATACGTGATTCGAACACGTAACCTTCAGGACTGGAATCTGACGCGCTGCCGTTGCGCCAATCGGTCGGTCGAAGAGTCGCGAGAGAGGGACGCGGCCCGCGCACTTTTCGGCGTAGTCGATCTTGCGCAGGCGCACGGGGCCCTTGCGCAGGCGCGTGTGCGCCGTGAAGATGGAGTTCTTGCCCTTACGGGCGCCGCGGATGGTCTTACCCATCTTGGCTTACGACCTGTGTGACGCGAGCGTTTCGTTGGCAATCCTTGGCCGCGGCGGCGCGTCGTCGACAGCGTCGGTGGCGCGCGGCGTCTCGCAGAGAGCTCTCCGTCGGGCCGCGGCGGCGGCGCGCGCTCGCTGAGCTGCAGATGGTCGCTGGCTACAAGTGCAGCTCGCGCTCGCCAGACCGCTCGAGCCAGGCGATGTCCGTTCGCCCGCTGCAAGTCAGGGCCTCAGCGGTGCTCTGCCGCTCCTCCGTTTTTGTATTTAGACGCTGTAGCGTGCAAGCGACGCTCCCAATAGCTCGCTCGCTGGTCCATGAAATGGCGGAGGCTAGTGGCGTCCCCTCGCGCAGCGATCCTGGGCTGCGAACGACGTCTCTACTTCGTCTAGGACTTTCTGGTCTGAGACGGGCAAGCGAAGGCCCGCGACGGCCACCTCCGCGGCGACGCGGGCCTCAGGCTGGCAAGAACGCCTCCCAACCAGCCGCCGGGTCAAGAGAGGCGAGGACCTCGTCCGCCAAGCACGGACGGGCCCACGCTTTACGCCATCGACGCGACGCCTAGACGCGCCGTCGACGCAACACCCAACTATAAAAACATACTTACGACTCCTTGTACTGGTCGTCCATCTCCGCCTGCAGCCTCGAAACAAACGTGATCCCGATCTCGTTCGTGTCGTCGCCCCGCAGCGTGTCCTTGATGCAGTACACGTCGACCTTGTAGAGGATCTGCTCCAAGGCGCCTCGAATCGCGCCGCAAATAATATTTGAGTAGAGGAAGTTCTTGCCCGGCGGCAGCTCCACGTTCTCGTTCAGGGGGTTCTCGGGGAACACGAGCGAACACCTTGATTTATCCTCGTTCCAATTCCTCACATCGGCCTCGACCCCTAAAAACATCTTGAAGGCGACGCGCCCGACGACCTCGCAGGTCTCCTCGAAGGATTTGCACGGCTCCCTTTGGTTGCTCTTGGCGAGGAACTCGTCTATTATACGAGTACCGATAGACACCCCCATAGAAAGGAGTTTGTCGTTCACTTCTTTGATATCATCGCAGTCCTCGACCAGTTGCACCACTAAAGCACCATACGTCAAGCGGAAGAACTCGGCGTTGCATTTCGGCATGCGCGCCCAGACCTGGTCGCCTCTTGCCCGTAAGGCTTTGACGCTGTTGGAGGTCGGCGTCTGCTGGGCCATGGGTGCTGCTTTTTGTGGCCGTCGAGCGGTGCCTGGTTCTCGCGCAGGCTTTTGCTGCCTTTTGCTGATGTCAAGCGGGAACCCCGGCCCGCGGCACGAGGATGCTGCTTTTTGCTGCTTTTGTGCTGGCTGTGTCTGCCTGTCTGCTTGCCTAGCTGCGCGACGTCGTTGCGGCGGGGCGCAGGGCTTCAGTACTGATAGATGGCGTTCGCGAGAGCACTACTGCTGCTCGACGATTGCTCCTCGTGTAAAATGAGCGCGCCGCACAGCTAGCTAGCGGCCTGTAAGACACTAGCCGAGCGACTCCTCGACGCCATCGCGGCGACAGGTCACCAAAACAAAAAGGTTATGCGCCGAAAACTGTCGTCGCCGCGAGCGTCAATGCCCCGAGCCCGGCGACGACGACCGCGATCCCGACGTCCCGCCGCGACAGCCCGCCTCGCATCTCACTCAATTCGGCGCCAACTCGATCAATTTCGGAAGGCGGCAGGGGCACGCGCACGGCGCCCCGCAAGTTCATCCGCTTCGGCGAGAACGGCGTGCACGGCTCCGGCGAGCCGATGCCGTCCAGCTCCCGTAATTCTGAGAGGAGCTCCCTCAGAAGCCCATTGGCGCGCGACTCCTTGCCGCGCCGCGCGTCGACGGCCTTGACGAGCTGCCGTCGTAACGCGCGGCGCGTCCCGGCCTCGCGGCAGAGCAGGCGGCACTTCGCGCGCGCCGCGGCGACGGCCGCGGCGCCGGGCGAAAAAGGGCCTTTGCCGCCGCGCCGCGCCGCGAGCTTCGCGCCATAAACCACATAGCACTCGACCGCGTGGCGCGCCGCGTGGCGGTTGATCTCCGACGTCGCGTTGGGCGGCGTGAGCGGGCTCGCGCAGATGGGCCTGAACACCGCGCCCGGCGCCGACCAGGGCGCGTCGCGCGCCGGCGCGTGGCGCTGGACCGGCGTGCACATGGTCCGTTCTAGTTCCGCGTCGGAGCCCTCGATGTCGACGTCGGGTCGTGGTGGCGACGGCATGCGCGCAGGGCAGCAAAAGGGCAAGGGTGGCACCCTTTTACCCGCGTTTACCCGTCGAGGGTAAGGGTGAAGGGTGCCCAGTCTGGGAGAAGGGTGCGGGTGAGGGTAGGGTGGAAAACCCGTCAAGGGTGAGCCAAAGACTCTGGCAAAGAGTGCAGGTGATTTGGACGGGCGCGGCGAAACTAGGCCCAGGGGTCCCGAAACTAGGCCTGTTGGGTCCCAGGGGGATCCTAAGCACACGACGACACTAGCTTGCCACGGAGGTGCCCCCATCGAGATTGGAGGGAGGGCCCAAATTGCCTAACGTGCGGGTATTTAGCTTCTGCGGCGCCGTGCCTGCAAACAAGTTAAAAAGCTTGGGAAGCTAGCGGCCTGTAAGGCACTAGCAAGCTCCAACGCAGTTGAGGGGGTACCGCTCCGGGGCGCGGCTTTCAGGACTCTGGCGCGTTTAGGAATCGCTAGCGGCCTGTAAGACACTAGGGATCCCTTGCAAGACAGACTCGATTGCAGGCGATAAAGCGGCTGCGCGCACGACTGGCACGGTTTGACCACATAAACGTGGCGCATTCGCTGTGCAAGCAGCACTGCCGTGCTTTTTCGAGCAGTCCTACACTCCTCAGCGCTTAAGCACTCACCGCTCTCCCAGACACTGTGCTGCAACCGCTGCGCGCCGCAACCATGTCGAGTGACATGACCGACGGCGACGCGCCGGCGACGCGCAAGCCGCAGAAAGAACGCCACGCGCCCAAGGGCCAGGAGCCCCGACCCGTCGTCTGCCGCGACGACAAAGACGCGTTGGTGGCATGGCTCGCCATTGAGTTGGGAGACCCCGAGCTGCGGCGGGCGCTCACGAAGTGTTCTCATGTTGTGAAGGCGCGGAACGTCATTCTCGCGCGAGCGCGCAACAAGCATATTTCGGAAGCCGCCGAGTCGCTGAAGCACGACGCGACCGCGAATAACATTATTGAAAGAGCCTGCGCCCAGTGCTCGCGGAAGACGGAGGCCGCCGCCGTCCTCGCGCACTGGAATAAACTCAGGAGCTGGCAGAAGGGGTCGAAAAAGATTATCCAGAGACGCGCGAAGGGCAACAAAAACGAGGGCCGGCCTTTGGGTTTTCGCGGCAAGCACAAGAAGCACCAGTCGCGGCACAGCGTTTTTTTCCCGCGGCGAGGGTAAGAAGTAGTGTGTAGTAGTTGAGTCGCCGCGGCGTGGCCTTGGGGTGGCCAGTGGTTCGTTGTTTTCGACACACGTGCCGCTCCTGGGCGCGCGCGTCGGCTCGACAAGTCAAGACTCGGCGCTGCGGCGTGTCTAGGACCGCCAGACCACCCTCACAACCTCAACTGCTCTCGCGCGAGCGGTTTCATAAATTGCCCCACCCCAGCTGTAAGCCAGCCGATCTATTGCAACGCAAAACGCACGCGCCGGTGTCCTGGAGATAATAAACGACTCACCTGTGAGCGCTCGCCGCGGCGCGGCTATTTAACGTGCAGCAAATCGATCCGCGCGGACGTCTCGCGCCGAGGGTCTCCGCCAGGGCTTGGAGCCGCGCGTAGTTGCCTGTATGAGCAATCTTGCAACTGCGTATAAAAGTCTTGGACGGAACGAACAGGCCCTAAGGATGGAGCGAATCGTATACTCCGTACGTCTAAAGTTACAGGGCGAAGAATATGAAGCAACTATTATAGGAGCCCTTAACTACTCGTCATGCCTTGTTCGTCTAGAACGCTTCAAAGAAGCCAAGGCACTGCTGCGCCGAACGATTCCCGTGGCACGACGCGTTCTCGGAGAGAGTAATAACACCACGCTCAAGTTGAGAAAACATTACGTGATGGCGCTCTACGAAGACCCCTGTATGACGCTCGATGATCTCCGCGAGGCAGCGAATGAACTCGAGGATTTGGCACCGACCGCGCTGCGCGTGCTCGGGAGCGCGCATCCGGACGTGGGGGGGATGGAGGATACCGCGCGACGCTTGCGAGAAGCGGTCCGTGCCGGTGAGGCGCTTCTCCGCGCCCGCGAGACGCCGTCGCCGGAGGGGAGCGCGTAATGGTCAGTTTTCGAACCCTACTTAATAAAGACGAGACCGTCACCACTGGTGCACCGCCGGCGCGCCCTTCCGCGTCCGCGCCAATGGTGAAGGATCCACGGGCGCGGCGACCTCCAACCGGCGCCGTCCCGTTGATGACGCGCTGGGAGCGTGGCCCGCGTCCAGTAAAAAGCTAGCCGCGTCGCAGGAGATGAAGCTGAGGCCGTTGCGCGACATGTCGTCCCCTAATCGGATGTAGCCCACACCCGCACTCCGGAACTGAGGGGCTAATCTTCGTGGCGGCGAGTCCGTGTCCCAGTAGGGGAGATAGGGAGCTTCATTGACGGACACCAGAGATTTGGGCGGCCGGCCGTCGTCCCGCAGCCGCTGCGGCGCGAGGACCACGTCAACACGACTGGTACACCCTCTAAAAAATGAACGACAGTCCTCCACAGACGAAAAGGGGATGGCCTCGCCTTCGATCAGAGACAAGCACTCGAAGGTCGCTAATCGCCGTTTCGTGGCCGGATCGACGCAGCGCGCGTGGCACGATTCTAAGGATAACACCCAGCAGCCTCGAGAACCCAACTGCAAAGCACCGGAAGCGTCCGGCGCCTCGCCGGCAGGACCGGAATACCCGACCCGCCCGTAGACGAAGCAGAGCTTTCCAGATGAATGCTTCGTCTCGACCAAGACGTCTGATTTCTTCCCGCGCATGGCCTCGCCGAGGGGCACGTTGTCGTGGGCCACGTACAACGTGAGCGGTTCGTCGTCTCGGGTCACGGACACCGTCCTAGCCAAGTCCTCACGCATTCTTTGTTCATCTCTAGCTCGTCTCATCCTAGATGATCGTTGCGACGCCTCCTGGGGGATCCGCACTTCCCCCCGAGGCGTCGGCGGCGGCTCGCCGTCGGGCGGCGGCGGCGTGCCCGGCGGCGGCTCGACGTACCGCGGCTCGGGCTTGCGCTGTCTACGGGTCGCGCGCTGCAGCGCGACGTCCCGCCGCTGCTCGTGGTGCGCCCGCGTCGGCGTCTGCGACTCGGCGTAGCGATCGCGGGGCATGGGGTCGCGCGGCGCGTCGGCCGCCGACTGGATGCGGACCGGACGCTCTCGGCCCGTTCCCAGAACTTTTTCCATTTTTAATCTTTCATTTTCAGCTTCTAATTCGCTGATCCGTCGCTGTTGGTCCTTGATGATCTGTTTCAATGATTGCACGTCCTCGCCCTCGTCATAGGACCTTGATCGCCTTGTTTCGTAGTGCGTGACCACCCTTAAGTCTTCCCTTGCCTTGCGGACGTCCTTCTCGAGGTCGTTCCTGACTCGTCTCGCGCGCTGCTCGCCGGCCTGCGCAACAGCGGTCTCGATCTGGGGCGACAGGGCACCGTTCGTCGGCCGCGGCCTCCTCGCCTTGTTGCCCGGGAAGGAATGCGAAGTGACGGGCTCGTCGTAGCGGGTGACAGCTACACTTCGTCTTAGTTCTCTTGTAGCTTGAAACGGGTTCGCGTGGCGTCTTGATGCGGTCTCCATGGTCCGGCGGGCAGCCAAGTCTTTTTGGGCTGCTTGTTTGTCCTGGTGCTGCTTCCGGCGGGCAGCCCCGCGGGCCGTCGGTTCCCGGAGTCGAGTCGGCCTGCTGGCGCGGCCGTCGTCCGCTGGCGTTGGCTCCGGCGGGCGCCGGCGGGGCAGCTTTGGCCGCGTGCCTGCCGCTTTTGTTTGGTGGGTGCCGCACCCGCCAGGAGGCCCGCGACGCCCAGGGACGCCTGGCTGCGGGGGCGACGGGTCCGGGGACGTTTGGATCGCGCTCGGACGGATGCTAGTGCTAGTGCCTTTAGTTAGCGAGGCAACTTTTTGCTCCGAGGCCCTTCCATCGCAATTGGAGCTTTTGCAAGCTACGTTTGACGCAAAAAAACACATCGCGAGCAGGCTGATACCTCGCTCCACCACCAACCAACTGCGCTGTAACAAAGACCAGCTACAACCATGCTCGGCCGAGCCACCAGAGCCGTAGCGCGCAATGCACAACAAACGAGGGCCTTCATGGCTTTCGCCGAGGACCACGACCAGATAAGGGACGTGGCGCGCGGCTTCGCGGAAGAGCGGCTCATGCCCATCGCGGGCGAGACCGACCGCCTCCACAAGTTCCCGCGCGAAGCTGTGAATGAATTAGCGGAGTTGGGATTTATGGGCATGATGGTCAGTGAAGAGGACAATGGCGGCGGCATGGACGCTGTCAGCTATGCGGTAGCTCTGGAGGAGATCTCGCGAGGGTGCGCTTCAGCTGGCGTGATCATGTCGGCCAACAACTCTTTGTACTGCGCTCCCGTGTCAGCGAATGCGACGTCCCAGCAACAAAAAGATGAATTCCTGAAGCCCTACGCGTCTGGCGAGAAGATTGGTTGTTTTGCATTATCCGAGCCGGGCAACGGTAGTGATGCGGGCGCCGCCAGTACGACAGCTAAAGATGCGGGAGACCACTTCGTACTCAACGGCACGAAGGCCTGGATCACCAATGCGTTAGAAGCGGACGCTGCCGTTGTTTTCGCGACGACCGATAAATCATTGAAGCACAAGGGCATCTCGGCCTTTGTTGTAGACAGATCAACACCAGGCTTCTCGGTCGGCGCGCCGGAGGACAAGTTGGGAATCAGAGGCTCCTCGACAGCCAATCTCATCTTCGAGGACTGCAAGATCCCGAAAACAGCTCTCCTAGGCAAGGAGGGGGATGGCTTCAAGATCGCGATGCAGACCCTCGACGGTGGTCGTATTGGTATCGCGGCCCAGGCGTGTGGCATTGCCCAGGCGTCGCTGGACATTGCGGCGACGTATGCGGCGGAACGGCAGGCCTTCGGCAAGCCGATCAAAGCCCTCTACGCGATCCAAGAGAAGCTGTCGAAGATGGCCTGTCAATTGGAATCGGCTCGTCTGTTAACGTGGCGGGCCGCGGCCTACAAAGATGCGGGGAGGAACTACACGAAGGAGGCCGCGATGGCCAAGCTCGTAGCTTCGGAGGCGGCTACCTACAACGCCCACCAGGCGATCCAGGTCCTAGGCGGCATGGGCTATGTGAGTGACATGCCTGCGGAACGGTATTACCGAGACGCGCGCATCACGGAGATCTACGAGGGCACGTCGGAGATCCAGCACGTTGTGGTGGCGCTGAACCTGCTCAAGGAGTATGCCGCGGAGGCGACGACGCTCCCGGCCGGCTCCAAGGACGAGGGCCACGCCGCCCAGGAGATTGCTGCCTAGATATAGATCCGATTCCCCCCGACTAATTTCACACATTGTTACACGATCCGAGAGCCACAGTCCTCCGTTCTCGGTGGATGCGGCCGTGCGGCCGAGAAACCACACCGCCACGCTATCGAGCAGGCGCCGCGTCGATGGCGTGGAGGTCGACGCGACGCCCGCTCGATAGCGCCGCGAGCCGCTCAGAGTCAGAGGCTCCCGACGGCCAGCTGCTCGATCTGCGCAATCACGCGCTTCCGCACGGCTCGCACGGCCGGCGTCCCCTCCATCCCATCCAGCTTCGCCATGTACACGTCCGTCATCGTGTTGGCAAACTGCTCGTATTTGACTGGTGAGGAAGTACCATTTTCCGTGAGCCACTCATCCACATCCGTCCGGAAGTGCAGCTCCATCCTCGCCACCTTCTTCTCGAGCGGATCCGTAGAATTGAAGAGTTCCTCGTTCGAATATAGTACTGGAGGTGCAGTCTGGGACATCATCTCGAGCGGATCTTCGAGGTCCTCGACCTCGACCTCGTCGGCGAAGCGCACACTTCCGGACGTTCTCGGCCGTGGTGTCGAGGTCCCCGTCAACGGTCGTGATGGACTCTCGAAGCCTGTTAACGATTGGCCGGTCCTCGGTCTGCTACGCCAACTGGCAGGAGTCATCGGCGGCTCATCCTCAAACCGCACGGACTTGGACGTCATGGGTCGTCGGAACCGCGGCGTCATGCTGAACAGGTTCGAGAAGGGCGTCCAGGGCCTCGAGGGAGACCTCGGTGTTTCGGAGCCTCGCGTCGACTTGCGAGATCCCGGTAATCTACGTCGAGCTAGAGATGCGGCGTATCGTAACTCATCTAAAAAGACCGTAAAGATGGTATTCGAGTCCTTCTTCAATGTTTGTTCTCTTTTGAAATCGGACATCGGGTGCCTCAGCACATGCCGATAAGCGGACCCTTCAATCGTGCGAGGAATCCCTTCCGCATCATGCTGCAGTTCCGTCGCCCAGGTAGCTTCCGCTTCCTTGTCCTGCAAGGCGATGGAGACGGCCGCCCGCCTCCCGATGGTCGGAGGATGTTCATCATTGCCGCCCCTTCCACCGGTGGACCAGAACCTCAACAGTCTGTCTCGGGTCATGGGCCGCTTTTCCGATCTTTTACGCCAGGGCGTGATGGGGCGTTTCGTCGTCCAGTTGATGCCGAGTCGCGCGACGTTCTTCCTTCTTCGACGACTGGCGTCCTTCTCCCTTACTTCAGCGGTCGAGGGCCTCACCACATGATCCTGCTGCTGTTTTAACCTATGTTGCCAGTCGCGCTGCTTCCGTAATCTCAACCAGGCGGCTCGCGTACCCCTTAACCCATCTTCCCCGGGCGTATACAGATTGCCACATATTTTCAAAAAGGCCCTCTTAGTACGTCTTGTGATCTCCTGGGACGTCACTTTCCACATGACCCTTCCGAACTCCCGTCGCTTCCCGGCCTTGCTATCGAGCTGTAACCTTTTCCTTCTCTCGAGCTCTTGGAGCCGTTGCTGCTCCTCGCGCTGTCGTTTGAGCTCATCTTTCCGCGCCTGCTCGGCGTCCGCAGCTCGCTGCTTCGCCGCCGCTTGAAGGATGTCGGGCCACAACCGATGTTTTATCACTTCTTCAGCAGATACTTTTCTGAACTCATCATGCATAGTGGGCTTGCTCGTGAGATCCGCCCTCCCGTGGATAGCCAGCTCCCGACAGGCCTTTCGGTGCGCATGGAGCGCCGCCACAAACACCGGCGTCGCGCCCAATATATGATCTCGCAATTCCACCGCCTCCTTCGCGCGAGGGGAGCCAGATCGCACGATGGCTTTCACCACACCATGTCTGCCCCTTTTGGCTGCCAAGTACAAGGGCGACTCGCCGGAGTCACTGAGACACCAGAACCGGTCCCGATTGACACCGGGCTCCATGAACCTTTTCGCCGTATCTACATCGCCCTCCTCGCAGACAACTAATGGATCATAAGTAGATAAGGGTTTCTTCCGGTTTAATGCGCGAGCTGCTCTTGCCGCTCGTAGTAGTCGTAGTAATCTCAAGAGTCGTAGGAGTCGTAATGCTCGGCCCGAAGAAGCCACGGCGCCCAAAGCACCACCCGCACCGGCCGCGGCCCCCAACGTGTAGGACATGGCGTCCAACGTCACCACGACGCCGTCGATCTGGTTCGCCCGTATCTCGAAGAAGTGCTTCACGCTGTAGACATCCGCGTGGCAGTACAGATGGAAAAAAAACTCGACCGCGAAGACTGCTGAAGTGAGGTAACCGACTAACTCCCAATTACTATCCTCCTCCAACTTGAGCTTATAAATCATGTCCAGGGCCATCTTCGTTATGTCGAAAAAGGTTAGGGATAAGATAAGAAACAGGGCAATATTCGACTCCAACCTCGCGTGCCAGCGGCCCCACGGGACTTCTGCTTGCGCGGCGTTTAGTTTGACCAGACCGCAACAAACAGCACCATAATCTTCATCATCATCATCAAAAGCCTCGTCAAAATCATCTACGATCCGTCTGCCGCCCTCCTCGTCGTCGTCGTCCTCCTTCGTTTCGTTGAGGCTTCGACGGCTCCTTCTCCCACCAGCCGGCGCCACTTGTATGGATCTCGGCTTCTTCTTGCGGTACTGGACGCCGCGCGGGTGGGGGCGCGGTTTCGTGCTCATATTGTCTGCTCAGCCATCAGGGCTGCCCGAGCGGGCCCGCGGTTCGTCGTACGCGTCGGCTGGCCATCCGCAGCGATCGTTACGAATGCGGGCTGCCCCGTGCGTCGCGCGTGCTTTGCTATGATCTGCGCTGTGCGCAGCGCAGACAACTGGCAGGCACCCGGCGCTTGGCAATTCTTTTTTAGGCGGGAGCTCGTCGCGTACGGGTCTTTGCTCGGGAGGATATCTGCCGGAGGGATCACGGCTAGCGGTTTGTAAGACACTAGCAAGGCAAGCCAAGCTGGGTGGTGGCGGCAGCAGAGGCATATTTGTTTGCATTCGTCGCTGCAGCCTGCTCGCTCGATCGCTGTGATCGTCCATTTTTCGACGCCGAAGTTTTTCAGCTTGTAATATTGGGAGAGCGACGCCATGCTGGCAGCACAGGCCTCATCGCTGCTGCCGGGCACATCGCGATGATGGAGGGGCTAAATCCAGCTCATGTCATGCTTATGCAAACCGACTATGGCCGGATATTGAATCTTAAGGAAATTGGACGCGAGTTTACAAAGCTTGCAGCAATCGCGGATGAGTTTGACATGCCGGAACTCGGCAAAGTGTACCTGGATTACGCGCAGGGCTGCCGGGCGGACACCGAAGCCAAACGCCGTACCTTCTACGATGGTTTCATGTTTTCCATTAAACGAATGCCGACCCAGGGCCTGCCGCCTCCGTCGGAGGGCCAGCTGATCAGCGCTCTTTTCGACAGGCTTCACGGAGCGAAATGCATATTCCAAGCGCTCCAGGGGTCCGGCGTGCACGCAAAGCACCTCTCCAGCACCGCGAAACACGCGGCAATAGCGATAGAAGTTTTGACGCCGCGCCTGGGTTTCGACAACGCCGCGATCATGAATGACATCTCGGAGGCCGCCGCCTTAAACATCGCGCAACGCAAGCAGCAGGAGGCGTCCGCCGCATTTGCCGCCACGGCCATCGAGCAGTTGCGGTACGCCGAGGCGCCCCCGGCCTGGGTGACGAACGCCGTGAGCACGGCGCGCACGGCAGATAAGGCCTCAAAGCTGGCCGAGGTATTTATGGAGGAGGACAAGCCCTGGGCGGCAGAGACCCTGCTGCGCTGCGCCGTCGACCTCGCGCGGCGGGCCCACTTCGAGGCAGGCGAGCTTGCGAATGCGCTCTCCAGGCTCTCGCGCTGCCGCGCGCTACTCGGTCGGTACGCGCGCAGCCTCGGACCCGGTTATAACGGGCCGGCGCGCGCCGTTCTCGAGACAGCCGTCGCGGACGCGCGGGCAGCCATCGACGCGGCCGACGTCGGCAGGGGCGTACAAATCACCGGACTCGTATCACGGGCGGACTTGAACGGCGCGCGTGGCACCGTTCTGGCCTACGTTAAAGCAAAGGAGCGATTCGCCGTGGCACTAGCGCCGCCTCACTCGACCAGGATATCCGCGAAAGCTTCGAACCTGAAATTTGACCAAGAGCCCCAGGCGGACGTGCGCACCGCGCGCGTCCGGCTGGCCGACGCGCTCTTGGCGCTAGACCCGAGCGGCGGCGCGATGGAGGCGACGAAGATCCTGACGCCGCTCGCGCGCGACAGCGCTGGCGACGGCATCATCGTGGACGGGCGCTCGATCGCGGACCGCCTCGAGGAGTCCCGATGGGCGAGCCGCTCGTGGCTGCTCGTGTCGCACGTCGATGAGTCAGACTGGCTCGCGAGCGACGACAAGAGGGGGATAGGACCTCGCATCGAGGCTGCGCTCGATCGCTTGCGGATGGACGTCGTCGCGCACCTGGGCGAGAGGTCCCCGAAGCGGTTGGCGCGGTTCGGCACCGACGTCGTTTCTGCCGTTGCCGCCGTTTGCCACGTCGTGCGGCGCGGCTACCGCGACGCGAGGGCCCAGGTGGCGGTGGGCATGGTCGAGGAGGAGCTCCGCAAGATCGCGCGGTGCCTGCCGCTTCGCGCCGTCGCGGCGTCGGACGACCTCCGGAGCCTCGTCTTCCTCGAATCCCCGCGCTGGGACGTCTTCGGCCTCGACCGCCGCGACCGCGCCTGCCGGGCGCGGCTCACCGGGAGCGCAGCCGACGATTGCGACGCCGACGAAGACCCGTGCCGCGAAGAGGAGGACGCCGAGGACGTGTTCGTGAGGGAGCACCTGGCGCGCCGCTCGGGCGGCGCCTCGATGAGCGCGAAGGGGGTGACTCGAGCCTTTTCCGTTATTCGGGGCGCCGAGCCCGACGACGCGAGTGCGCAACGCGACGAGGCGCCCCGGTGTTATGGTTGCTTTGCCGTCACGGTCCTGATGCGCCTTGCGCTGGGCGTTGGCCCGGCCAGCCGCAAGCTCCGGGACACGGCGACGGCGCGACTCGTCGGTCTCGCGTCCGCCGACCGGCACGAGCTCGGCCTCTACGCGGGCGGGCGCTATCTCGAGTACGCGTTGGGTCGGATGGCCGGCACCGGTCGCTACGGCTGGGGCGACGAAGATGCGGGGCGGCGGGAGAAGTTTGGCACGGATTTCGCAACGAAACCCGGCGCGGTCGTGGCCTGCGCCGTGATTGTCGCGGTGTCGAGCGACCACCACCACCTCTTCCAGCGACTGTTCCGCGAGCATCTCCACACGCCCGAGTTCTGGGTCGACCGGGCCGAGGGCGACGTCTGCGGTTTCTTGAGGACATACGCGCTCGCCGCGCTTGACGGGAACAGCCCGCTCTCGGACGAGAACGGCGGCGACATCGACCTCGACGAGGAGGCGCTCGTGGTTTCGTGCGACGCCATCTTCGCCGCCGCGCGGCTCTACAAGGGCGCGGCGGGCGCCGCGGCGCCCTGGGCGGCCGCGGTCCGAGACCTCCTCGCCGCGTCCGCGTCCGGCCGCTTCCTCCTGGACCGCTGCGCGCGCAAGGACGCGGCAACCGCGGAGGCCCGTCGCGGCGTCATGCGGAGCAGCGTCGCGCGGTGGCTGCACAAGCTCACGTCCGCGGAGAAGGCCGGCTTCCGCTGGGACACTTTCGACGCGGCCACGCGCCGCAGGCTCGAGGCGCGGGGCGTCACTCCTCCGACGTCCCAGGCCGACGCCCTCGACGGCGAAGGCGGCGGTCGCAGCGCGGTCGCTACCACGCGGGCGTGCGCGCACTGCGGCGTGGTGGAAACGCCCGCGCAAAAGCTTTTCTTCTGTCGGGGCTGCCGATGCGTCGCGTACTGCTCGCGCGATCACCAAAAGGCCGACTGGCAGGCGCACAAGGCGCGGTGCAAGGACCTCCGCGTCGCCCGCGAGAAGCAGAGAGTGGCCCACAAGCCGATGCGCGACGGGGGTCGCGGCATCCACGGCATGCTGAGCAAGTCATTGTACCACCAGAAGGCGCTCCAGGAGGCGTACGGGGGCCTCAAGGAGGGCGAGGCGGAGTTTATGGCGTGCATCGGAGACATGGAGCAAACGGCAGAAGATAGTGTTTCTGGCTTGCAGAGCGACGACGTCATAACACAAACGGGGAGCCTGAAGGCTATGGCGCGGCTGAAGTCGAAGCTCACCCAGGAATGGTTGGATACGCCGAGTAACGTGTAGTTTTGTTGTCACGGTCTCGCCGCCGGCGAGTTAGCTAAGAATACCGGACTACTCGATAGATTAGAACAACCCCTTCTCCCGAATAGCGGGGCACCACAAAACAAAACCTCCCCCTCGTCTCACCGCGCCTCCCTCAAAACGTCCCCGAACAACGCGGCCCCGGCGAGCTGGAGCTTCCCGTCCGTAAAAACTAGAGACGAGTCGCGCATCGCGGGAATGTCCCCGTCGGCGCACCGCGTCGCGTGGCCCTTCAGCGGCCCCTCCGCGACCAATTTAGCACAAGCTCGACGCGCCTTCGCGGACCGGAACGCCGGCGCGCCCGGCGCGCAGCCCACGAAGCAATGAGAGACGCCATTCACCTCCACCACACACTGAGGAGAGACGAAGGCCTCCCGCAACAAAGGTACGGCCAAAGCCAGCGCGACGACGTCATACAGGTTAAAAGCCACGACTAAATCCCAGACCGACTCCTGTAAGGGCCTTACGAGTACCTCGGGGTTGCCGTGGCAAAAGTTGTCGGCGAACCACTGGGCGTCGCACCTGCTCGGTAGGCCTCGCCTCTCGGCACCGGTCGAGGCCGCCCGCCTTCGTAAATCGTCGATTGTTTCATGCGCCGCGTCCCTTAGTCGTTTACCTATTTCGCTCTCGGTATTTCCCAACTCTTCATAGATGTCCTTCGGCGCGGCGACCTCGTAGCACGCATCTCTACCGACAACTATCAATGGCACTCCGAGCTCTTGGCACCGTCTGTAGAAGTACTCCGAAGCTTTCATATCAAAGGAGTTGTTGTGGGCCGAGTCCGGCTCTGCGAATGATGAGACGGGCCAGCGCACGCCGCCCATGATCGTCACGTCTCGCACTTTATTGACGAACAATCTCTCATTCCGTTTTAACAGAGAAGCAGCATCTTTAAGTGAAGCCAAAATAACGATGGAAATGGAATGCGGCGCGACTCGTTCGAGCAGCTCGTGCACCTCGCTCATGCTCTTCAGTGATTTAGTTCTCTCATCATCGTCTCCGGGGATGTAGTCGTGGTCCTCCGGCGCGGGCGCCGTCTGCTGCTTCTGCGCGTCGCCGCCGTCGCTCCCTACAATAACAGGGACGTCGCTCAACCCTAAGGCGTCGAGTGTGCCTCGCACGAGTTGCGCGCGTCTTTTTGCCGGGTGTAGCGTGCACACTACTGCTTCGAGTGATAATTGGTCCGCGTCAATCAACGCCTTCGCGAGTAGCAAAGCCATCTCATCGTCCAGATCGGCGCCGGCGTCCGTGAAGACGAGGGCGCGCGTCTTCGCCGGCGGCTTTGGGGGGGTGAGCGGCGACGTCGGCGGCGCCGGCAGTTTCTGGGGCGAGGTCTCGGCCGCCCTTATGCTGGTCGTGCTGCTCGTAACGTCGCTCCCGCCCGTGCTCGTTTTCGTCGGCGGCGTCGGCAGCGTCTCCACGCCCTTTTTGCTCCCACAATTGCCCATGGCTGCAGTGAGGCGTGGGGGCGAGTTTGGCTGGGGGCGTGGTGATAGGAGACGGCGGTAGGGAGTGATTGAGTGTTTCAAGCTATCCTTGCATAATTCCACTGCGTGCGTGAGCCGGAACGTAGTGAACAGCAAATGCATTCACGGCGGCCGCGAGGTTGGAGGCCCCGCACGATCGTGCATCAGAATCGGCGACCGCAGGGCTCCAGAATCCTAGCACTGCAATAGAAAGCCAGCTCGGACGCAGTACCCGCGGGGCGGTGCTTTCTTGGGCCTGTTTTCATTGACGGCGCGCGCCCCGGGCCGCGAGTAAGCACGAGCTCCCCCACCGGAACTTAGTACCACCTACGCGAGGACCGGCGGCGGCGGCAGCTCGCGCGCGCACGCGTGCGTCGCCCGCAGCGCCGCCGCCAAATCGGCAGCACACGCGTCGATCCACGCGTCCTCGGCCACGTCCTCGACCTGTACATTCTTCCTCACTTCTACCGCTCGAGCTTCGAGGTGGCGCCTCAACGCTTGTCTAGGAGCGGCCTCCCTTTCTAACCGCTGGAGCTCGTCCCGCAAGACCGATAACGCGCGCGCGTCCCGGTCGGCCCGCAATCTAGCTTGCTCGGCACAATCATCAACTCGTTTCCGCGCCAAGTCCGCGTTGCCGTCGGCCACTTTGAGACAGTCGTCGAGCTGCCTGATTTCGGCCCTTGCCCCATCGCCTTGCCTCTCGACGTCCCGTAATTCAGCTAACCGCGCGCGATGCGCCGCGACGTCCGCTTCCACAGCTTCGACGGCAGAAGCGCATCGCTGGATCAATGGCGCGGCCTCGGCGCAGCGCCTCGCTTCAGTCATGGCCCGCTCCAATTCGGAAGAGTGGTCGGCATGCGCTGAATCAATGGCCTCCAACTCCTGGTGCATGGCCGCGATCCTACTTTCGAGTTCCTCGGGCGTCTGCACGGGCGCGGTGTCCCGGAGCCGCGCGCATTCCTCGTCTCGCAACCTAACTTCTTCTAACGAATTTGTGATGTCCTCCGCCAATACACGAGCGGCATCTACTAAATCGTCTCGTTTCTCGGAGGCGGACGCAACAATCCGACCAAACGCCGCGGCGTCGGTCTCGAAAACGGCAGTGGCGTCTTCTGCGGACGCGACCTCTTGACGAGCGTCGTAGGTCTCCCGCTCCACATTGGAAACCTCGTCCTGCGCCTCCAGCGCGTCCCGCTGCGCATTTGAAGCGTCCTCGATGATCGCGTCGCGCTGCTGGCACAATTGCACGTACTCCGCCAATCGGTCTTCCCGAAATTTAGCAAAATTGATCACACCACTCAAATGCTTCTTGAGGCGTTTGGTGGAGGGCGCGTGCCAGTCCCGCAGCCCGAAGTCGGCCACGCCGGATCTCCTCAGCAGATCCGCGACGCCTCGGAAAACAGCTAATTCCACGACGCTCTCCTCGTGGAGCTGCGCGTACGGCAATCTGTCCACGTCGATGCGCGCGTGCCTTGCTACATCTTCTCGGGATAAACCGCAGCACAGCTCGGCGAGCTGCTCGAAGACGTTGCGCACCTCGTCGCGGTGCTTCTCCGGGTTTAGGAGCATGGCCTCCGTGAAGCCTAACTCTAACTCGTCGAGGCATGCCAAGATCTCGGCGTTCGTCAGTAAGGGGAAGGAGAACATGGTGTGCGCGGCGGGATGCGCTCTTGGCGTGTTTTGAGGTGCGCTAGCCGCGAGACGCGCTTGCCTCGCCGCGCGCCCGGAGCAAGGCGACTGGTGTCGCTACTGTCGATGCCACACGGCTCGTAATTTGAGCCGTGGCCGGTGCTTTGGCTCTGTCAAAGCAAAAGCGCGCCAAACTAGCGTGCTGTAAGACACTAGCAAGCGGTGCTCACGCATGGCCACGCAATCCTGGACGTGAGCGATACCTGCCGCGCGATTGAGCACTCCTACTAGAACCTGTTTTGCTGCGCGAGAGCGCACAGCGCACAAGCACAGCGCGCTCTGCCACGACCGGCTCGTGGCCGCGCGCAGAAGGGGCTGAGAGGCTGCCCCCGGCGTCGTCGTGTCGTGCGGACTTCATACACAGTCGTATACTCGCGTGGCACCACTACCAGAGCTGACGCAAGCGAACGATGCCGCCGCGCCGGCCGAAGACCGGTACGCGGCGGCGCTCCCGCTCGCCCACGGCGAACCGCCGGCGGCGCAAGCCACGTCCAAGAGCGGAGCCGCCGAAGGTCGTCAACTTAGGCGGCAGAGTCCACGTCGTGCTGCCCAAGAGGGCGGATGCGGAGAAGGCGCCTTTACTCAATTACTACGGCGCCGGCTGCCAGTGTTCCGGACCTAGACCATGTAGCTGCCGCGGCCCCGCCGACCTCCAAAGGCAGGACCCGGCGTGGAAAGGAGACTTTTGTAATAGGTCCTACTCCCTCGAGGAGCTCACTAGATTATCGTACGCCTACGAGGACATTATGTTGGAGCGGACCTTTGCTGCCGAGCGGTTGTACATGCGGGAGAGAGGGAGGAGCGGCGGTCGACTCAAGGAGTGCTGGACGCCGAAGCCCAAGAAAAGGCCCCCTGTTGTTCTGCCAAAGGGCCCGCACATCACTTATCAAAATGGGTGCCCCGTCGTCGTCGACTACCAGTCTCAACGTTTTACGGGAACTGACCACAACCGCACGCCGGCTTACTTAAAAGCGGTGAATTCGGGCCGGCGCGTGCGCTTCGCTGATGAAGTTTGTGGTTCACTGGGCACGGAGCTGGATCGGACGACGTACCAGGACTCGACTCGTTTGCCGGACTACGCGCCGCCGTCGATACAAACTAAGTGCGGTCTGCACTCCCAGGACCTGGACTGTCGACGGCCCCAGGACCTGGCAATAGCGCGCTCTACGAGCTTGTATCCGAACCCTTTGATGGATAGGGCGCTCGCGTCGACGGCGTCGCGCTGGACCTAATATTGTTGCTTTGCTTAGAGCTAGGCCGCCTAGCCGCGGAGCCGACGCCTCCCTGCTTAACCGGGCACTGTTAGTACACATGTAAATTACCGCCGGCCCCAGTCGTCCTTGGCCTTGCGCACGAGGCGCATGCGCTCGGCCGGACCGCCCGGCTCGTTGTCGAACATTGGCAAACTACCGAGGCGCGCGAAGGGGTTGCAGCGCTTTTCATCCCCAATGGTCGAGGGCACGGTCCACGAGTGGCACGACTCGGCCCATTTTAACCTTCGCTGGATCTCCTCGTTATCCGGATCCGCGAACAAAGCGAACCTACAGTTCTTGCAGGTGTACTCGTGGCCGACCCAGACCTTCGTTTCGTCCGGTAAGGCCAGGAGCTTCTGAAAAGCCTGAGCCATCTGCGCCGGCGTGCCGCTATTGAAGTTGCCGCAGCCTGAGACGAACATCGTGTCGCCGGTGAAGACGTTCCCGTCGACCAAGTAGCAAATGTGGCCCGCCGTGTGGCATGGCGTCGAGATTACTTGCACCGTCGAGTTGCCCAGGGCGAACGTGTCGCCGTCTCCCAGTTCCTTCGTGCAGCCGGCGACGCCGTCACCCACGCCGCCGTACACGACCTCGACCGACGCGCACCTTTTTTTAAGCTCGACGTTGCCGCCGGCGTGGTCCCAGTGCGAGTGCGTCGTGAGGATGGCCGTGATCGTCGCGCCCTCGCGCTCGGCCGCGGTTTGTATTGCGGCCGCGTCGACGGGGTCAATTACTCCACACTGCTTCGTTTCCTCGTCGATGACGACGTACATATAATTGTCCTCGAGGGCTGGGACGGGGACGACGCGGACGGGCATGGTTGTTTGTCCGGCTGCGTTCTGCTCGATGGCGTAACGACACACAGATCGACTGGCGACGGCGGCAGGAAGCAGCTAGGACCTGTCCAGGTGTGGCTGGCTTTTTCTGCGCGTCGTCGGAGCGCCGCGCGGCACACGCTCGTTTGGAGAGGCACGATAAGGAGTGATTAGAGTAATGCAAACCCTGGCTGGCTGCGGGGTCGCAACGCGCGACCAATGCGCCTCCAGCCTCGCAGAGCAAGCTTGCTCAGAGGTCTGGCTGAAAATTGAAGGCCGCGAGCGATTGACTAGACGCAGCAAAAGTTGCGTAGGAATCGCGTACGAGATCGCAGCGATCGCCCGAGCACGCGAAACGCATTTGTGCGGACACTGACACAGCAATGAGGCATCTCTCATGGGCTGTGCTGGCGGCATCGCTGCGACAAGCTACACCACTTCGTATGACGACCCGCCGTAGCCTCGGTCAGCTCTGCGGCACAGCGTTTACGAGCATCACCGCGCCCGCGCTCGCGCTCGACCCGGCGTTCCCGCGCGTCGACGAGGGCAGCGACAAGGGCTCGATCTTGACTGCAAAACCGCTCGAGTGGATCCGGATCAAGCGCCAGCTCGACGCCGACGAGTCGTTGCAGGAGCTCGCGGATCCGAACTTGCGGGACTCGCCCGGCCAACGATTGTCGAAGGTGCTGCGGCTCGAGGACGCCATCCGCGCCATGGGCCCGCAGCTCGCGACGGCCGACGGCCGATCGTTGGCCGCCGCCGCCTTGGCCTCGCCGTCCTTCGAGACGAAGGCGATCAAGAAGGCGTTCAACGCGTACTCGGACAATGTTTATTATGAGAAGGGCGACTCCGACCGCGCGAACCTCTACCTCCTCGGCGGTACACCACCAAGCTCGAAGCAGACGATCCAGTACATGCCTGTTTCTGTGTGAAAATCAGATTTCCGGCGCCCCACCGTTTCCACACAGGAATCGGAACGACGCCTTGGACCAGGTCCAGCTACTGCGGGACGAACTCGACTACCTCAAGAAGAACCCGGCGGAAACATCGGAGGACGTCGTCGCGGCGCAGCGCCAGGCCGTGAAAGCCTTCGACAACTACTTCGCGCTCGCGCCGGCCGACGACATTAGAGCAGCACGCGCTATTGTCGGCCCGGGCGGGCCAGGAACTAGGAACTAGTAATGTGAACAGTGTTACCAACCGGGCTTCTTCTCGAGCTTGTCCGCGTCGTCCAGTTGCGCCGCGTCCTCGACCTCCACATCACAAATCTCGGGAATCCGCTCGATGAGGTAGTTCGCGACGCGCGTCACGACGTCGCTCCGCTTGTGCCAGAAGCGGCCGCCCAGCCGGATGATGACGATGGGGCCCTCGATCTCCACCAGATCCACCGTGCCGGTGATCCCGACCTTTTGGCTGTCCGCCGCGTAGCCGAAGACGGCGGCCATGTCCTCGCGCGCGCCCTCGAGCACCTTCTCGACGTTCTCATCACACAGATACATCTCCTCGACGGCGTATCGCGTTGTGTGTGGCCTCGGCGTGATGCGCGGTGCGAAGCTAGCGACAATTGTGGAGAGCATGAGCAGCCGGAGAGCCATCATCATGGCTGCACAATTTTGATCGCTTTGCAGAGCTGAAAATCGATGACCAGCTATGCTAGAGATCGGTTGCTCGCCTTGGGAGATTGGGAGAGCACAGGCTAGGCCGGAGAGCTGGAGTGCTGGTCGGCCGATATGGCTGCAGGATAGGGCGCAGCGGTACTACTGTGATACGTGGGTGACCCCTGACGCGATTTTGCAGCAGCTGTGGCTGTGAAATGGCTCAAAAACCACGCCAGCCAATCTCACGGAACCCGTTTTTTTACTTTTGCGAAACTCCCTCCCAGGGTTCAGAAAGCTCTCCAACTCGCGCGATATGGTCCTTGGAGGCGGTTTTAGGGCGTCTAGCTTGCTCCATTTCGAGCAATTTTGCGCCTTTGGCAAGGCCGCGGCGTCCGAGCGCGAACGCCGCACACATCGCGTAGTTGCATTATCAGTACGGCTAGAACAAGCCCTTAACGCGCTCTGGCCGATCTGTGCTGCGCCCGCTCCAGATTTGGAAGCGCTCTCCTCCAAGCCTGCCCAACACGCCGCCGCCGCCGCGAGCAGAGATGAGCGCCGAAGAAGCCCTGACCGCGCGCTTGGCGGACCTGGAATCGGACAGCTTCCAGCTCAAGCTGAGGAACTATTATTTAGAAAGACGCGTCTCGAAGGAACTCGGAGGCGAGCGCCGCGGAGAAACGGCACTTCGAGGATTGCTGGCGACGGCGCCCGAGACGCCTCCTCGAAGGCGAACTACTAGAGACTACGACGACGAGAAGCCGTCGAGGCGGCGCTCCTGGCGGACCACTGATGTTTCCGAGACGAGCAAATTAAGAGCCTTGGAAAGGCGATTGGGCGCGGCCGAGGACGCCCTCGACCGCGAGCAGCGGTTAAGGCAGAAGGCTGAAGTGGCGTTGGAGGTCGCCCGATCAGAAAGGGGCGTCGCCGAGGCGCGCGCCGCGAAAAGACATGACGTCGACTTTGAGAAGAAGACGCGGGCGGTCCGGGACGAGGTGGAAAGGGTCAGGGAGGAGGCGGCCGAGGCGCGCCAAGCCGCTGCAGACGCGAACGAGCGGGCCGATGCCGCCGACGCGGCGTTCCGGGCCGTGTCCGAGGATTTGCGACGCTGCGAAGATGAAAGGACACAAGAGCGGGAAAAAGCGGAGGAATTGGTGGCCTTCGAGGCCGAGCAGATCGCCCACTTGCAGGAGGAGCTCGCGTCGCACCAGCGGCGGAGTACGACGGACACGGCGACAGCGACGTCGCCTCGAGGAACGGCGTCGCGGACGACGTCGCCGCGGACACCTATCATAGCCTACAACCCCACGACGGCGACGACGCCCGCCGCCTTGGATATCATGAGCGCCATCGACGCGTCGTTTTCGTGGCTGCCTAGTACAACGGCGCCGGCCTCGGACGTGCGCTCAGAGATCGCGGACCTCCACGCCGAGGTGAGAAGGCTGCGCCAGACGCCCCAGGCCAACGGGACGGACTTGCGCAATGAATTGAGGGAGTTGAGGGACGAGGTGCGCGCGCTGTCCGGTTCTCAAGCCGACGGCGACTCTATCAATCAACACGCTTCATCATTATTCGGCGACGACCCCCTCGCGGGGCCCCAGTGGCCCGACGTCGGCCGGAGGGCGACGCCGGCGAACGCGTCTTCCAAATCGCGGGCCCATTGGTCAGTCACGCCCGCGGCTGGTGTGCACTCTCCAGAATCTCCCAGACGGCGCGCGCCGCCGCGGCGCTTCTCCGAGCGGAAGCGGGACGCGTGGCCGCCCGAGGAGTCGTCCGTGCCTGGTTTGTTCGGGGACGACGTGGTGGGGCGGTAAGTGGCTTTTCTTTATCTCGTGCCTCTTCCCCGCGTGCGTTTCGACGAGTCTGCCGAGCGCTCGGCGCGGCGCCGTGGCTCTTTACACGGGCAGCATGTCTCCCTGCAGCGGTCGCATGGCGTTCGACGCCATACGCACGGCCTTTTAGGGCTCGAGCCCTCCAAGCGATGAGGTAAGGTACTTTGGGTGGGGTAAAAGTACCGCGATCTTTCACCAAAAGTACCTCTACCTCGGCATCCTGCGGAGTCAACCAGCTTTTGGTGCACAGCAGCGCCCCTAAAAAAGTCAACCGAGCGGCGCGAGGAGTTCGATCGACCACTATTGCAGCCGCCAGCACCGCTCGCGGCCAAAAATCGCCGTGCGATACGAGTTAGCTGAACTCAAGCGGCACCTGCTTGGAAGGTCTCTCAGCCGCGCGCGCGCTACGGAGGCGCGCTTCAGAAACTGATAGCGCTGTCGCACGCCGCGCGGCGCGCTGGCCCTGAGCCTACACTGAGGCTGCGCTGGCCGGAAGAGCACTCAGAAGAAACAGAACTCGACATCGGACGACGAGAGGCTCCCGAAACGCACCGCAGCAACCAAAAGGGCGTCAAATCACACCGCGTCCCCTCACAGGTAGCGTAAAGATGGCCCGGCTCCTCGTCGCCCTCGCCGCGGGCGCCTCGGCGCTGCGGCTGGCGCCGACGATGACGGCCGCGCCGCCGAAGACCGGCGCCGTGCTCCGGAGGGCCGCCGGCGCCGCCGCGCTCGGCGGCGCCCTGCTCGCCGGCTCCGACGCGGCGCTCGCCGCGGGCGGCCAGCCCGGCTCGATCTACTACAAGCAGCTCGAGGACTGCGCGACGTCGAAGCAGTTCGGCAAGCGGCAGCGCAAGACGGTCGCCACGCTGGAAGGCCGCATGAAGAAGTACGAGCCCGGAAGCCCGCCGTACCTCGCCCTGGAACAGACGCTGAACCAGGCGAACAACCGCTTCAAGCGCTACGCCGACTCCAACTTATTATGTGGCAAGGACGGCCTGCCGCACCTCATCGCGAACGGCGACCCGACGTACTTCCCGCAGTTCGTGCTCCCGGGCCTGGGCTTCCTCTACACGACGGGCTGGATCGGCACGGCGGGCCGCAAGTACCTGCGCACGGTCGCCAAGACGAAGAACCCCGCCGAAAAAGAGATCATCATCGACGTGCCGCTCGCGCTGACGATCATGTTCTCGAACTTCGTCTGGCCGATCGAGTCCTGGAACGCGTTCATCGCCGGCGATTTGGTGGCCGACAAGGAGGAGATCACGGTCTCGCCGAGATAAATGAGACGTAAAGTGCCGCGGCGGCGGGCGCGTGGCTGGCGCGCGTAAGAATGTTGCTACTAGCTACTTATGTCCGGTCGGTCGATCCGGGCACACGCTTCAGCCCCAGACGATGTAGGCGTAGGCCGCGGCGAAGAGGCCCGGGAAGATGTTCTCGGTCATCGGCGCGTCGTTCTGGAAGTTCGTCGCGATCCAGCAGGCCATCGGGATGAGGTTGAGCTTCGCGAAATTCTTGATCGACTTGGCCCCCGATTGCACGGCGTTGATCTTGCCCACGCCCCAGCCCAGGAGGGCGACGCCGTAGGCCGCGCCAGACGTCGCGGGGTTGAGGCCGAAGAAGATGTACTTCTCGACGAGGTCGCTCTTGTCGAGGATCGTGAGCGCGCCCGACGCCGTGGCAGCCGCCGCCGAAACCTTCATGATGATCTCGTTCGTGCTGTCGTCGCCGCCGCCGCGGACGGCGAGGGCCGTCTGCTTCGGCGCCTTGAGCGCGGCGGCACCGACGGCTAAGAGAAGGATGGCGCGCATGGTGATGGTGGGAAGGGACCTGCGTGCGCGTTTCGGGTTGGCGCAGTGCCGCTCCAGCCGCGCGCGCGCGCATCGGGCTGTGCTTGGCACTGCAGCGGAAAACAGCTGGGCGCGGCGCCGGGGCAGCCCCGACGACGCGCTTTTTGCCCCGTTACGCAGCGCTGGCACCGCCGCGACGGCGCGGGCCGCGCGCCAGCAAAGACGCTCGTGGGACGCGGGGGAGTGCAATAAACAATATGCTCTCGATCTAGACGTTCCTTTTTGGCGCTAGGTTCGGGTTGGGAAGCCTGCGCAACGCAAGCCTGTCGTCCCGCGGAGACGTATTCGGGCCCCTCGATACGCCTGTTAACCCGTCCTAGTATGCGAGCCTAGCTCAAAGCTTGAAATTAACAAGGCTGTGGCGCGCGAGCCAAACGCAGCAAAGAGTGCACCGCAAGCTCGTGCGGTGCAAGCGAAGGCAAAAGGCAGCCCACGCGCGCGGAGGAAGGCAGCCCGGACCCATGCCGGCGACGCCGCGCACGGCGCCAGCCGCCAACCTCCAAGCTTTGCGGCTGCACTACCCCGACGCGCCGGCCGCCGAGGTCTTGAGGTTCGCGACGGCAAGGAAAACGCCCAAGGACGCGCTCAAGCTTTATCGGAACTACCTCAAGTGGCGTTCAGATGAAGGCGCGCCGGCACGTTTACAAGAAAGAGCAGCACCCGTCCAGCAGCAAGCTCCCCAGTTCGCGACGCTCGGTGGGAGGACGAGACGCGGCGACCAGGTCGTCTTGGTCGAGGGCGCGCGCTATTCTACGCAGATTGATAAGCAGGCATACGTCGCCCAAATGTGTGTACTGATGGATCAGGTGCTGTTGAAGGATTCGGATCGAAGGATTGTGGTGTTAGTAGATACGAGAGGCGGCTCGGGGCCGGGCTGGCACAACAAACCGGCCACGGCCGCGATGCCTTTTTTTCGCGCACTGGCGTCGCTGATTCCCGACATGTATCCCGAAAGATTGAGGAGGATCATTATTTATCCCTTGCCGGGCTGGGCCACGACGCTCGTGAAGATGGTGCGGTCCATGCTGGATCCGGTCACAAAAGCCAAAATCAAGGTGATCAAGGGGGACGACAAAAAAGACGCGCCCTGTCCCATCAGCCTCTGTGCCTATGATTTGACGCAGGACCAGATTCCCGTGCACGCTCGTCGTAGACATTTGATCCTGCCGGCGGACCCGTCTCTACCAAAACCTCCCGGAACGCCGCGGCGGCGGCCCTCGCTCGACGCCTATCCAACAGTTTGGGTGCCGACGTCCGACGCGGAGGTCGATGCCGCCGTGTTGTTGTCGTCGCCGACCAAGAGACCCTTTGTGGTAAGGATGGCGAGTGGTGAAATAGCGGAGGTGGCGCAAGTCAGGCCGCGCGACGCGCGCGCGGCCGAGTGCTAGCATAGCCCGCCAAACTTTCTTCTCGCCAAACTTTCTTCTACCCCGCTGTCTGCGCCTGCGGCCGCTTCCCCCGAATGCTAACTTTATCATGTGGTGACTCCGTCACGGTAGACAAGTAGATTACGGGGCCCCGGGAGACGTCCCGGGAGGCTCGCCGCGGATTCGCCGCCGCGGCGCCTGCAGGCGGGCCCGCCGCCCGGCGGCGCGCCCCCCCCCGGGCACGCCGTCGACGCGTCCAGGAAACACGACCGGTCTTACGATGAGCGACTAAGACCTTTATGACGGGGTGCGCGGCCGCGCGCAACGCAACCACCACCTAGCCGTACTTGTTCTTGGCCAACGAGTATAGCAGCGTGCCCGTGATGGCGATCGACGAGCCGATGACGCCCAGGCGGCTGATCGGCGTGTTGAAGGCGATGACCGACGCGATGATGATCACGACGCGCTTGATCGTGTTGCCGACGGCGTGCGTCACGGGGTTCACGCGGCCGAGCGCGAGGAAGGCGACCTCGTTGTAGAGGTAGTAGTACGCGCCCGACAGGGCGGAGAGGATGGCGAGGTCCTTCTTCGACGTGCCCGCGGCGACGGCGGTGTTGATGGCGGCGCCGACGGCCTTGGGCGTCTCGACCAGTAGTGAAACAGGTAACAACACCGCGAAGGCCATGATCGTCATCACGGCGTACAGGTTCGTCTCGTTCATGTTTTCGCCGACGCCGCCGCCCATGGTCTTCTTCGCGAGGATGCCTCGGAGAGCGGACGAGACGTTGGAGAGCATGGCGGCGCCGAAGCCGAGCCACGTGAACGAAAGCTCCTTCAATGAGGCGAGGGCGACACCACCCACGATGGGGAGTAACGTGAGGTAGGTGATCGGGCTGTAGAACGCGCCCAGCATCACTGCCGAGAGCGCGGCCGACACGACGGGCTCGGAAGCCTTGACGATGTGCGTGAAGGAGACGGCGCCGGCTCCTAGAGAAATAACAGCGCCGATGTGCGTGCCGAGGTGACCGCACGCCACCGGGAAGAGCGTCTTGAGGTTGTCCTGCGTCAGCTTCGGCGTCTTTCGGGCGCCCGTGGACCAGAGCAGTAAGACGTAGGGGATACCCGCGAAGAGCTGTAAAGTCGCGAGCGTCCAGGGCATGGGCAGCACGTTGAGGGCCTTCTTGTTGTAGATGTTGTACCCAATGTTGAAGAGGTACCAGAGCGCGAAGAAGGACCCCGTCTTGAGCGTCTCCATGAGCCCATCCTCGGCCTTGGCGCCGCCCGTGACTTCAGTCGCCTTGAGCGCCGTGGCCGAGGCCGGCGCCGTCGCGACGACCTGCTGCTGCCGCTGCTGCGTGCTTTGCAGGGCGCGGTTGTTGAGCTTCGGCAGGGTCCCTTTTACCCCCAGCGACCAGGCGCTGGCCGCGCTCGCCACGATTAGCAGCTTCATCATGATGGCTGCACCTGTGAGGGAGAGTTTTAGCACGCACACGCGAAAAATTGCAAGGGCGGGCTCTCGCTGCACTAAGGGCATGTAAACACGTCGTTTTCTACGCTGAGGTGCTGCACCGGTCGACCGCGATCCCCACGCGCTGAGCCGTGTGGTATGACAGCAAGCACAGCCGAGACGGGCCCCAGATTACGCGTCTTTGCTGCCCGACGACGGGTCTCGGACACAATCAGACGGATAAAGAGCTCGGAAGCTTTGCTTTCGTGCGGGTATTTGGGAGCTCTGGTCGTGGCAAGGCCGGTGAATCCGCACGCACGGTGTCTCCCCTGCGGGAGGCCCGCCCACTAGCCCTGGCAACGTCACCGAGAAACATGCGGCCGACGTACGGACCGTTCGAGGTCGACGCCGTCGACGCGGCGGGGCCCCATGTCATGCCTACGACGCACCACCCCCACGCCATCGCCGCGAGTTAGAGAACGGCACGTTACATCCGCCCCCCCATGCGCGGGTCGTTCGTGAACTTGTCGTTCATCGCCGCGCCGAACTTCTCCTGGGACACGCTCCGCGTCAGTTGCGAGAGCTCGCCGAGCGTCGGCCGTTCCCCCGCGGCGTACTCCTGGAGCTTCTCTTGAGTCCCATCCGGCTTGTCAAGGATGCACCTGTGTGGAAATCAAATTTTACGGCGCGTTCGGCCGGTTCCTCACCACTCGACGGAGCACCCGACACACTGGTTGATTTCCACGCAGGGATGCACTGCCAGCCCCCGGGGTAGGCCCGATACACGAAGCCCTTGGAGATGGGCTTGAGGTAGTAGACCTCCTCGACGTCGTCCAGCGGCCCACCGAGCGAGTACCGTTCCGAGAGCTGGGAGTTGAGGAAGACGACCGGGGCGCCCGCGTTCGTTGCTAGGTCGTAGCCGATCTTCCACGACTGCGTCACGCCGGGCGCCACGACAATCACGGCATCTCTGGACGTGACCTGGACGTCCTTCGACTCGAGCGGTTTCACCACAAAATTCCGCGGCAGCTTTGAGCAGGCCGACGTGTCGACGCGGCCTTCCGCGAGCAAGACCCAGATCTTCCTTCTGGAACCTAATGCCGGCGCTATTCGTTGGGCCCACCAGACGTTGGCGTAGGCGACCGGGTCGCGCTTCACGAGCATGTAGTTCGAGTCGAAGCGCTTCACGGACTTCTGGAGGCCGCCGGCGTCCACTTTTCCTGTAGATTGGGGCTTCGTCGGCCCGCTCGACAACCCCAAACTCCGCGCGCACTCGATCTGAAATTTTTCATTGGTGGGGGTGCCGAACTTGGCCTCGTCGAGGTTCGGCAGCGCTTGCGTGCGCACCTGTGCGCAAATCAACACCAGTGAGTAGAAATGCCGCGACAATTTGATTTATGCACTGGTCCGCACCTCCATGGCCGTGAGGCCGCTCCGCAGACCGGCAGAAATGCATGCGCGCATGTCTGCGCTCATCTTGTCGCCGAACCACGACCCGTAGATCGTCGGGAATTTGGGCGGCGGCCGGAAGACGGACGCGGCGCCGCCCGCTAAAGCTACCGCCGCGGCGCCCGCCTGGACCACGGGGTCAGCGGCTGCAAAGGTGTCGGCGGCGGCGCTCGCCGCGGAGGTAAAGTCCACGACGGCGCCCGAGGTGTACGCGTTCTCGAGCACGTCGAAGAGCCCGTCGAAGGCGTCCTCGAGACCAATGTCGCTCGGCAACGCCGTGCGGCGCGTGGTGGCGCGCGGCGCCAACTGCGTCCGACCCGGCGGCGCTACCAATGCTGCCGCTGACGCTGCGAGTGTGCACAGCAGTATCATGCTGGCCATTGCAAGCTGCAGGTTTCGCAGTTCGCGACCTTCGCAAGCTGCAGGTATCGCAGTTCGAGCTCTGCAGGGAGCTGAGGCTGCTATAAAGGCAATGCTGGGTGCACACTGCTGGCAGACCCGATACCGATGGCCCGCCGCGCTGCCTGGCGTCTGAGGTGATGCAGGCGTGTGGCTGACGCACCGAGCAAATAATGAAATGCAGCAGTACCAGCAGTACCAGCAGTACGGACGAGATTAAGGGCTGGATCGGCGTCCGGCACTGTTTTCTAGTGTCTTACAGTCCGCTAGCAATCGGCCAGACTCTGGCTCACAAAAAACGTGCTGGTGCGGCCTAGGAGCGGCAGAGGTAGCGCAGAGAGAGGCGCACACTACTATTCGACGCAGTGCGAAAGAGCTTCGCCTGCCGGAAACAGCTCGCCAGCCAGCAGCCAGCCCGGGCCAGCAGCATTGCTGCAGCAAAGGGCAGACGCCGTCGCAGCGAAAATGCAGGACGCCCACGAGCTGCGCTGCGGCTCAGTAGCGGCTGCGGAGCGCGCCTACGCGCTGGGCTACGCCTCGGTGGCGCTTGAAACGCTCTGCGACGCCGCGCACGCCAGCGATGCAAAACCGCTCGACTGGGGCGAACCGCGCGACGTCGAAACGCTGAAGACGACGCCGCGGCTGCGTCTCCTGAAGCGCCTGACCGTGCGCCTCGACGCGCCGCGCGTGAGCGTGCCGCAGAAGGTGCTGAACGCGTTTGACATCGTCGCGGCCGTGCCGGAGACGGACGACGCCTTCCGAGCGGCGTGCTCATGCAACGACGTCGACCTCATCTCTGTCGCCTGCGGCGCGCGCCTGCCTTTTTCAGTCGCGCGTAAGGACGTGGAGGTCGCGATCAAGCGGGGCGCGGCCTTCGAGGTGTCTTATGCTCACTCGATCGGGCAGCCGCGGAGCCTGCGGCACCTGACGGCGACGGGGCTGCGCCTGGCGGCCCTGACGAATGGCGGGCGCGGCTTGGTGCTGTCGTGTGGCTCACCGGACGCGTGGCGCGTGCGGAGTCCCGGGGATACGGCGGCGCTCGCAGCGATGCTCGGGGTTCGCAACACTGATGGTGTCGTTGGCGCGTCGGCGGCTCGCGCCGTTGAGGCTGGGGCGGCGCGGAAATATAATGCAGGTGCCGACGACTCGTGGTTGGACGGGGACGAAATCAAGGCGCTAGTTGAGGCGCGGCCTTCCGGGAAGCGGCGGCGGCGGCGTAAGTGATGTGTGTCTGTTTCAGTTGAAATCAACAAATATATGTACACTACTATGAACAGTTTCCTTCGCCTCACCGACGGCGCAGCGCGGCGTAGCGCGGCGAGAGGTGGGGCGCCGCCCAGGCCCAAAGATCCTCGGGGAGCGCGGCGCGCTTCGTCGCGGCAAGACTCTTGTAGGCGCCTCCTGCTTTCGCGTCGACGCCGGCGACGCGCGACACGTTTACGGTCGGGAGGCCGAATCTCGCCGCGATGTCGTCAATGGCATCCGGAAGCTCGCCATAGTCGACGAACGTCGCGTCTTCGAGCGCCAATGCCGCGTCCATCGTTGCCGCGAGGCGCGCGACGCAGCGCCGGCCCACGTCTTCACCGTTGCCCCCCGGAAGCGTCGCTGAGGCTTCGCCGAGTTTGTCTCCGGGCCGATAAGGCGCCGCGCACGGCGGTTTGTCTTCGAAAAGGTGCGCCGCGAGGATATCCGCCGGGTCTCGGTAGGCGACGATTAACGGCGTCGCGGGGAATATCTCCGCCAGTCTCTGCGCGTGGACCACCATGGCACTTTGCCATTTAACCACCATGTGCGTGTGGTAGTTGGAGGACCCAAAAACCTCGAAGACGTCCCTCAGCAGCGAGGGCGCGCGAGCGAGAACCTCGGCCAGGATCTCCGGCTCCGACAACACGAGCGCCTTCGGTGCTGTTTGTAACGAGTTCGCGATGAGCGTTGAGCCCGAGCGAGAGAGGTGGAAAACAAATCCCGACGGCTCAAGCGCCGGTCTCCCGCCCTGCCCGCCGAGCCGCCACCGCGCATCTGCGACTAGTTCGTCCAGCGCCACGACGCGGCAGCTCACGCCCCGCGGACGCGGCAAGTCCGAAAACATGGGATAGGCCGCGGGCTCCGCTTCCCGAGGGCCAAACTCAACGACGCAGGCGCGTACTAGTCCTCGATCGGCGTCGAGTAGCGCTACCGGCACTTCGAACGCCGTCGGTGGCCGCGAGCACTCGAAATTTGGCCCGAGTTGTAAGCACTCCCTCGTTTTTGGCGTTTCGCGCAGGTCCCGACCGCGCACGCTGTTGCACTGCAGGTTTCGATCGAGGCTGATGATGTAGTGCATGTGGTACTGCGGTAGATAGAGCACATCACCCGGACGCTGCACGACGTCGTACGCCCGGACCGATCGGAGCTCCGCGGGCCACTGTGTAGCAGGCTGCGACCAATCTACGGAAGAATGGCGGTGCGAAGCGTGCCCCCGCGGCAACAATTGCATGGCGCAGGCTTCTTCCGGGTCCGCCAGTATGAACCGCCGCGCGCCCCGAACTTGTGCGATGAAGTTGCGGGACGCGTCCCAGTGCGCTTCCGCGCCAATTACACCTTCGTCGCCGCCTTTGCAGACGATGCCGCGGGGCCAGCGCGCGTCCGCGAAGTCCTCTTCGCCCGGCGCGAAAAAGCGGCTCTCATCCGATTGAACTGCGGCATCGAACAGCGGCAGCTCTTTGTGCAACACGCTCTCGCCGCGAGCACCGCCGCCGCGCCGGTCGACGCCGCCGTGGGCGTACGGCACCTCGAACGAGAGGTACTCGGGCGTCGCCGCGGCGTCTCGCGCCAGCCACTGCCGGAGCGTCGTGCTCCGTGAGGTCGTCGGTGCGTGGGCGGAGCTCCCCGCGTGGTGGAACATGAAGTGATTGGGCCCGTGCGCGAAGTCGCCGCGTGGATAGGTTGAAACTTCCGCGGTCGCGGCGCCGTGCCACATATTCCCTACGTAGTCGTCGCTGCTCCACCGGTCGACGGCGGCGTCCAGCGAGGGAACGTTGAACGCCTGGAAGGGCACCTCGGCCCGTCGATACGCGAGGGCCTTCACGCGGTCCTCGGATTTCGACCAGTCGAAGCGGCAGAGGCCGCCGACTGGAGCGTGAATGCGCGTGTCGTTGATGGGCCAGCTTGCGACGATGTCCTCGAGCTTACGAGTGGTGGGATAGGCACCTCGCACCGGCGGTAGCGCGCCGCAGCCCGGCGCCGCGCCGTCCGCGGGTGGCACTGGCGCAAACCGGCGCGGCTGCGCTAGCGCAAACGCGGGTCGCGGCCGCAGCCCGCCCTCGCAGTAGCGCAAGTCGAGGCGTGGCGTATTATCGTGCCGTTGTTGCGAGACCGCTACGGCGACAGCAAATAGGGCTGCGGTTATTGCACCCAAGATCGATAGCGCAGCTTTGGCCGGTGCTCTTTCGGCAGGAGAAGCATTGCTGCCACTGCTCTGCTCTGCAGCCATTTATGGCCGCATAAATGCCTTTCTGACCTCGTGATCCAGCTGCGGCAGTGCGGGAGGTCCAGAAGGCCTCCTTTATCGGTCTACCTTTCGCGCTGGACGCCCGTGACGAGCAGGCGTCCCGCGCGCCGCCAGCTAGCGTCGTGTAAGACACTAGGAAGCAGGGCATCACCACGCTTGATATCGATAACAAGGCGCCTGGGCTGTTTCACGGCTCATCAATTGCAAGGGCGATCATGGGTGATGATTATCTTGACGAAAAAATCGAGCAGTACGAGCGCAAGCTCAAACAAGCAGAAAAAGCTGGAAAGCATCACAAGGCCAAAAAGTATGCTGAGAAACTCGAGCGGCTCCGCGCCGAGGCGGCCGAGCAGTCCACGGAATCGGACACGGACAGCGACGACGACGGCATCGACTCGGACGACGAGGCCGACAACTCGTTCGCGCTCGACGAGGAGCCGGACGTCGCACCACGACGGCCGGTTTACAAGGGCAAACCGTCGCCTTAATCGCGCGGAGCCCTCCGAGTGCGACCTCGAATTGCGCGCCGCGATCCTCGGCTACGGACCAGACGCCGGCGACGACAGCAGGCGCGTCGTCGTACAACCTCGAGCGATCGCGATGCGGACGCGAAGCTTGTAGAAAGGTCCTGCGGTCGCGTGCACGCGTCTGACTCTAGTTGTGTATATGATCTTTGTTGTATCTCCCGAGCCACAAAAAAGGACATTACTCAGGCGACGACCCAGCCGTCCCGAGGCACGAGCCGCGGCACGGGCTTCGAGTTGATCGTGCCCTTGCGGTCCGGGCCCGGCACCGGCTCGCGGAGCACCATGACGCGCTCGACGCGCCAGCCGAACATCGCGCCGCGGCCGTCCCAGTCGTAGTCCGAGCCCGCCGCGATGCGGTGCTTATCTTCGTCCGCGCGCCACTGGTCGAGGGACGTGTAGCGCACGGCCTCCCGACAAAACTTGACGCAGCCCGTGATGCGCGCCCGCTGGCCCCGCTGCCGCTGCTTGCCCGGCGTCTCGACGACCCAGAACCACTCATTACCGAACCCGCCCTTGTCGTCTATATCATACGTCCGCGCCTCGATGACCTTCGAGCCGTCGAGGAGCATCGGCGCCCAGGGGTGCTGCACGTTCAGGCCCCGCAGCGGTCTCAATAAGGAGTCGCCGCGGGCCCACCTCCGCAGATACTCCGCCGGGTGCAGCGAACACGCGTAGGCGTTCTGGATATCCTCGGGCGCATTATCGGCCACGAACTCCGCCATCTCGGCGACGAGGTCCCCGATCGCCTCGACCGGCGGTATATCGACCCGTTTTTGTCGCTTCTTCGGCTCCTTGGGCGGCGGCGGCAGCTTGGCGCAGAACCGCGCGACAAAGTCCAGCGCCCTTTGTTTGTAGGCGCCCTCGCCGTAGCGCCAGTCGTCCTGTGTGGAAATCAACCAGTGAGTTAGGTTCTTCGTGTACTTCCACGCCATCGAGCCGACGCGGCCACGGGGACAACGTCGCGTCGATGGCGTGAAATCACGACACCATCGCGCAGACGCAGCTACGGAAGCACGTCGCGTCGATGGCGTGGGGCGCCCGAAATTTGATTCCACTCGGGTCGCGACGTCGTCCGGGTCAAACGGCACGGGCTCCTCCCAGTCCCCATACAACTGGCCGCCCCGTAATACACAGGGATAGCGCCCATCCTCCCTATCCGAACCGTCGTCGCCGGCCCACTTGACTAGCAGCTGGGCGCCCTCGGCCGGCGGCTTTCTCGCCACGAGCTTCTGCTTCTTCTTCCGCTTCTTTGGTTTATCTAACTCGCGCGACGCGTCCTCGTCCACTTTCTTCGTCGACCGGCGCCGCCGCTTTTTTGGGAGGACGTTCTTGAGCTTGCGTATTTGTATGGAATCTCCGTGGACCGTGCCGACGACGGTGTAGGCCCCAAATCTTGAACTGCCCGAGCCCGACACGTCATTATTACAAATCGTCAGCTCGAGGTCGTCGTCGGCAATACCACCGGCGTGCTCGAACGAGCCTCTCAGTAACAGCGTGCGCTCGTCGACGCCCGTGTCCCGCTCGTCCAGGACCGCGAGGCGGAAGGGCCAGCGCTCGCCCTCGGCGGCGTAGAACCAGTCGCCGGCGCACTCCGACGCTGTGAGCGTGCCGGCGAGGTGGCAGATGGTTGCCGTTTCGGTCGCGTCGGCGGGCGTGCTGCTTCCGGCGGGCGCTGCGGGTGACGACATGTCGTAATAGCGCCGCTCGCGCTGTCAGTGCTTATCTGCTCTCTGTGTGTTACGGGAGAGCAGGTCGGCTGCGGGCGCAGCCAAGTACCGTTATCGCTGGGGCGATGATGCCGCAGCACTTTGCACTTCTTGCGTGCGTCTTTTGGGGCTCTGAGCCCGTGTTCACGAGCCGTCCCGGGTCGGTACCGCGTTGCTGCCGGTGCTAGCGGCCTGTAAGACACTAGGCATAGCAAGCAAGCGGGGGATAGCTCCCCCGATAGCCCTCCCTAGGTGCCTGCCCCCCCCAAAACCGAAATAGTTCCCCTCTCTCTCTCGCACGTGAATTAATATATATCCATCTATCTTAAACACGACGACGACGACGACTACACAAGCTTCCGGAAGGTAAACTCCGCGCTGTCGAGTTCTCCATTGATACACTCGCCCACGATCGTGTACTCGCCAAAGTCCGATTCGCCGCGGCCCGTGTACGTAGACGGGCTATCTATAGTGTCACAGTGGAGCACGAATTCGTCCTTGGCGACGCCGTCTTTGTGTAGGAAAGTTCCTCTGAACGTGATTGTCTCCGTCCTGCCGTCTGGACTGCACGTTTGATCGACCACTTTGTATTCGAAGAGCCAAGATTCCTCGGGCTCGTCGTCGCACTCCGCCGGGTCGTCGTACGACCACTCGCCCTCGAAGATCTGATCCTCGTCAAGGCTCAGCGAGCCGTGCATATAGCACAGCGTCGTCTTGCCGCCGTCGGTTTGTGACATGATTGTTATCTGCGTAGCGCGGCGCCCGTGGTCGAGAGGGCACTTAGGCAAAGGCTTGCGGGCGTCTACGCCGCCAGGCGACAGGCTAAGTCGCTGGCGTCGAAAGCGATACGATGAGTCCCTCAGAACCCTCAACACTCAGCAGGTCCTCCTTCGGCCGAAAATGGTGTGAACCCGATTTGCAAGTCCAACAAACTTCAACACTCTACGCGGATGCGCTCCACCTGGACCCCGCCGCCACGCTCGACGACCTCCGCGAGGCCGTGGCGACGCTCGAGGAGATCGAACCGACCGCGCGGCGCGTGCTCGGCGGTGCGCACCCGACCACAACGTTGATTGATGAATCCTTGCGACGCTCGCTTGTGACGCTCGGAGCCGCGCTCCGCGCCCGCGGCACGCCATCGCTTCCCGAGAACGCCGCCGACGACTAAGAAAACTTCCAATATTAAAACGCCCTAGGCGAACATCTTCGCCGCCATCTTTTTGGCTTTCGCCTTTTGCCGCGCGAGCTGCGCGTCGACGCGCTTCATGAGGGCAAGCGCGGCCTTGTCGGCCTCGTTGGCCTTCAAGACCTGTTTGAGGTCGGCCTTGGCCTCGTCGAATTTTGAGGTTTTTTCGTAGAGCGCGGCTCTTCGGTAAAGGGCCTTCGGGTGGGCCGGTTCCAGGGCCAGGGCTTCGCCGGCACTCTTTAAAGCTTGGTCGTTGTTCTGGAGCTTCGTCCAGCACAGGGCCATGTTCACATGTAAGTCCACCTTTATCTTTTTGGTCTTCGCGGCGTCGTCGGGTCCCAAGTCGTACTCCCGCAGCTTCGAGGCATGACCTAGAGCGTCCTTATACCGTTTGGCGGCATGATGAATATTGCCATCTTTAAATAACTCCGTGCCCTCCGCTTTATTTTTCTCGACCAATCGAAATCGGTCGGCGAATTTCAACTTTCGCGTATCCGCGTTGATGCGATCCTCCCTTCGCTCATCATCATCATCCTCGTTCGTCGCCGTCGCCGCTTCCTTTTCTAGTTCTTTTTCAGTAGCTAACCGCTCCGCCTCGACCTTGGCGAAGTACTCCGGTACCAGAGCTTTGGCATCCGCGAGGACCTGCTCCTTCTTCTGCGCGATGGCGTCGGCGTTCGACGCCTCGTCCGACCAGAGCCAGTCCTCGGCGGCCTGGAGTAAGTCACCAAATTCCACCGCCTTCTCCTCAAAAAGCTTGTAGTGCGAGCCGTTCTTCGCGGCCCGTAATTCCAAGACACACGTCTCGAGGGCGTTCCGCTGCTCCGCGACCAATCGCACACCTTCGTCCCTCTCACACATGGCGTCCTCGGCTTTCCTCAGCTCAACCGCGTCGGTCTCGGGCCTTGTGGCTAAGACCTTCGCAGCTCTATCAGCGACGTCCGCGGCTTGTTCTAGTGCGGAAGTCACCTTCCGCTCGTCCGCCTTCAAATCCTCAGCTTTTTGCGAGAGGACGCGGACGCGGATCTGCAGCGTCGACTCGGGCGCGTCTTCCGCGGCGGGCACCGGGGCCTCGTCGCCGTCGCCGTTCTCCGGTTTCTCCGCGGCCGCTTCTTGCGCCTTGAACGCCGCGGCCTTCTCCTCCTTGTCCAGGTTTGCCTTCGCCTCGTCCAGCAACTTCGTGTTCTCATGAGACCTCGATTGCGCGGCAACAAGCGCCTCTCGTTGCAACCAGACGTTCTTCCGCGCGTCGCGCTCCGTCGCCAGAGCTAAGGCAGCCCCATGAGCTAACGACGCGTCGTCCATCTTCGCGCCGAAAGTGGACGTGCCGAAGACCTCGCCCGCGCAATTACGGACCGCACAGACGCGCGACCCGCCCCCCACCAGTTCGACGGCGTCGACGACCATGCCGGCGCCCATTTTGGCTCGTTCCAACAAGTGATATAAACCCTTCAGCGCAGGCGCGCAGACCTCCTCGAGCTCCTTTCTCGTTAATTCTAGGGGCACGTCCCTTTCCTCCCCCAAGTTCTCGCAGGTCACTTTAGCTAAATCCATGGTTGACAGGAGTACTCGCAATCTTTCACAGGCATTTAGTAGTCGCAGACCCTTCTTCGATCCTGCTACCGGTTTGTCGACGCCCTTCGGCAGTTTTATGAGCAAGTAGTCGTAGACCAACGCATCTAAGGCTGCGGTGCCCGCGTAAGTGCCATCGGTAGAAGCTTCGGACGCTAGGATCGACGATTCTTCCTGGGTAAAGGAGCACACGACGCAAGAGGCAGCACACCTACCAACGTCCACAAAGGCCACAACTCTAGTCTCGTCCTTCTCCAGGTTCGTCGCGTGGCGCTTCTCGTAGGCCAGCCTTAAGCATGAATCTGCCTTCACAAACTCCACGCCACCGTCGAGCCCGGCTGCTGCCGCTCTAGCTAGCGTGGCGATTTGCGACTCCTCCCAGGCGTTAGGCACGACTAGGGCCGTCGCCTGGACGCCGCCGAAGGTTTTGTTCGCTAATGAGCCGACGTTCCTCAGTAGTGCCGCTGCTAGAGCGTCATCAGCAATGGCTGTCTCGGCGCCGGCGTAGAACGCCGTGAAGCCGCCACCCTCGGCACGGCCGTGAAGGCGCTCGCCGATGCGCGCCGTGTTCTTGGCATTCGTCGCGAGCTGCGCCACGGCGCCCTCTCCCACATACCTCTCGTCTCCACTAAAGCCGACGAGCGACGCCGAACTGTGGCCGCCGAGCTCATTACGCACGATCTCGCCCGTTTCTCCTACGACCATCGTTTTTGCTGCACCTAAGTCGATGCCGATGCATGGTGGCGCCATGACTGCTGCAGTTTCGTGCTTGAGATGTGCGGTTGCAGGCTCAGATGTCGCGTTACAAAGCTTTGTGGTCGTGGCGATGCCTTGCACCAACGCTGGCTTTCCTCGTTGCAGTGAACCCACGGGTACGACCTCTAAATCACTGCGATGTCCATCGATCGAGCTAGCGCCCCAGTAAGACACTAGCGAACCCTGGTTGTGTAAGGTGCATCGTTATATGCGGGACGAGGAGGGGGTCTCTCGCGCGCGGCCGTCCAGAGAGGACTCACTTGCCCGCCATCATCTTCGCCTTGATGCGCCGCAGACGCGACCATCGTCGACGGACCCGCGCGCCTCGGCGCCGGCGTCCACGAGCGGAACGCCATCGGCGCGATCGCCGCCGCCGGCCCCCGCCTTCGGCGCGGCCGAGGCGTCGCTCGCCGCCACCGCCCGGGCTAGTTTGACGTCAGTTGTTGGGCGTTAGTGCCTAGTAACGAAACGATGAGCACCCCAAGTCGCTGCGGTTCTAAGTTCTTACAAGAGGGTGGTTTGTGTCATACGACTACGCGTCTAGGCCACGTTCACGCACTTGGACATTCTGCGGACCGCCTTCCGGAGCCACGCCGCGGCCACCTTCATGACCTCGGGCGAGTAGACGCGCACCTTGCCCAGCATGTGCACGTAGTCGGAATAAAAATTATTCCGCTTGTCGAAGTCGAAGATGACGGACCACGGGCTCGCGCACCTGCGCGTGTAACGTACACCGCGCGACTCCGCGTCTCGCGAGAAAAGCTCGTAGGCGCTTCGTTGCAGATACGTCACGGTCGTCGAGTTTTGGGCGTAAAACAGGTCAAAGCAGGAGTTTGTGCCAAAATCAATTCGGGTTTCACGCGCATCGTTATTTTCGTTTGTTTCTCGTCCTTTCAGTCCTCCCCAAGACAATAGAGACGCCGGTCCGCCTGGGGGGGGGGCAGATCGAGATTGCGCCGCGGCGTTCCGCGGCGGCGAGTCCTCCCCGTAGATAGACTCGCGAGTTACGTAACAGCTTCTTAAGGACAGCGCTACCAGGCTTGGCGGCAGCGGTCGGCAACGTCCCGGGACGGACTAGGCGAAGCCCGCGTGCTCGTCGGCGCGCAGCAGGTTCGTCGCCGCGGAGTAGCGCGCGACGATAGCGTCCACGCGACCAGCGCCCATGTACCGGACCCACTCGGACCGGCGCATCCCGTGGCGCCAGCGATTCGCGAGCGCCTTGGGCCGCAGGAAGACGCCCTCCAGCACCGGCACCGACATCTCTCTATCATTGAAGTCGATGGCGACGTCGACGCACCACGCCGGCGCGAGCTCGGCGTACTGATACGGCGTGAGCACGGCCCCGTAGCGCCTTTCTAGGAAATGCTTCAGTAGCCCGCGGTCCCGGCAGTGGCCGTCGAGGGCCGCGACGAAGGAGTCGTGTTCCGACGCATCGTTGACGCCCCCCGCCCAGCCGCCCGCCATGACCGCGTTCCACGCGGTGCCCATCATGGGCTTCGTCTCCGGCGCCTGGCCGAGGCACTCCGTCGGCGGGCACGGCCCCCAGAGCATCACTGACTCCGAGTCGATGTCCAGCGCGTCCCACAGCTCATCTAAAGCCTCCTGCAGCGGCTGAATCACGTCCTTGTAACTCTCGACCGTCGGCCGGTCGGTCGGCGGCGTCTTCTTGGAGGACGCCGTGCATAATCTTTCGAACGCGCGCATGGTCTCGTCCGTAAACGCGATCGCGACGCCTTTGCGCCGCGCAGCCGCCGCAGCAGCATGCACCCGGCGCAACGCCAACTGGGCCAGCCGGTCCATCTCGTCTCTCTTCGGCCGTTTGGTCGTGGGCGCCGGCGCCGACGCCGCCCGCTTCCTGGGCGCCGACGCCCGCGGCGCCCGCTCCGTGGCCCGGCCCCGCGACGCCCGCGCCGCGCCCGGCTCCGCGCCCGGCACCAAGGACAAGTCGCTCTCGGCGACGAGCGACTCCTCGGTCGCGCCGTTCTGGAGGGCTTCTTCGGCCTTGGCGAGCACCGGGGCCCGCTCCAGCGTCCTCGAGTAGCTCCCCGCGACCTTCGCCTCGATTATTTTGCGGCCCTCGGGCGTGTCGTCCTCGCTATCGCCCTCGAAAGGAGAACCTTTGATGATGATGACGAGGCGGTCGGGCTGGCCCTTGCGTTTCATGCGATGGACGCCCGGGATGCCGGAGGCGTGCCGGCCGGTCTCGAACCGGAAGCTTGGCACGTCGTCATACTTTTCTTTTATGGCGACGAGCCGCTCGTAGCGCTCCGGATCGCTCTCCTCGAGGTCTTCTAGTAGCGCCGCGAACTCGGCGCCGTGGTCGCCGACGTAGCTCAATATGACGCGGTTCCGGTCGAACGCCTTCTCTAGCGCATCGTCTACGGCCGCCTTGCCCTCGCCGACGATCCGCACCGGTTCGCCGCGCAGCGGCGCGCTGTTGGGGTGCTTGTTCGTCGAGCTATCGGATGTCAAAGTTAAAGGGTAGGTCGGCACGGCGTAGCCGTCCTCCTCCTTAACCATCTCCTTGACCGTCACCGTTTTCAGGTCGATTTTGGCGTGTGCCGGCATTTTGGCCTTCTTGTTTGCGGCCTTGGCCGCGGCGGACACCAGCTTCGCATTTTTAATGTAGCCCTCCACGGCGCTGAACGACATGGCGTTGAAACCCAATTTTTCGCACGCCCTCCTCGCTAGGTCTTTCTGGCCCAGCCCGCGGTTCTCGCGCCGCTTGCAGAACGTCTCTATCACCTTCTTGTCGGCCTCGTAAGTGTCGGGCGCCGCTTTTTTGCCGAACTTCTTCTTCGGCGGCGTGCCGCCCGTGGTCTTGGAGCCCTGCTTCTTCACCATCGTTGCAAACGGCTGCTTCTGGTTTGTGCGTGCCGCGCGACGACGGCTAGACGGCGTTCTCAGCGCGCTCGCTCGCTGCGGCAAGAGTCGTGTGTCGTTGCCCTCGCGCAAAGTTCTGGGGCGCTCTACGCGCTGACAGCAGCGCAGGAGCTTCACACGGCAAAAACGAGCCGCTTGCTAGTGTCTTACTGGCCGCTAGCTAAAGCGCCGCCAGCCGAGCAAACGCGTAGCGGCAGCAACAGCGAGTGGCAACGCTTGATAGGCAGCACTGCTAGTGAAATCTCCACTGCGACCAAGCAGGGCTCGTGATCGCCATCGCTGCGCCCACCGCGTCGCGCTGCACACGCACGCTGCGCACAGCAAAAAGATGGCAGAGCCCTTCGCCTGGGCCTCGGCAGACCGCCTCCTCCTGCGCGTCGCCCCCGACGCGCCGCTCGCGCTGCGCGGCGCCGTGACGCTGCGCTGCCTCCGGGGCGCCGCGGCGGTCCACGGCCACGTCTTGCGACAAAATCAAACCGTACGCGCGCACGCGACGAGCCCGGCGCTCGTGCTCCGCTACGAGCGCGCCGGCGATGAAGTGTTTGTCGGTCCGCCTTGGCTGATAACCGCCCGGTCGTCGTCGAGGTGACTGCAGCAGCGAATCAACAATTGGCGGTCACCGAGGCGCCGGACGTGCCCGGCGTCGAGCGTTTCGAGGGCGTGGCCGTGGCACTCGTCGAGAACGCGATCAGCTGGCGGCCCCTCGCCGAGCCGCAGCCCTGGCGCGAGGCTGCATTAAGGTTCGCAAGCATCAATTCGGTGATGGCCCTCGGCGGCCAGAACGCGGGCAAGTCGACGCTCTGCCGCTACCTGGCCAACGCGTCCACACAAAAAGTCGCCTTGCTCGATTTGGATTGTGGCCAGCCTCTGAGCGGCCCGCCGGGCTTCGTCTCATTAAGGGTCTTGGACGGCCCCTTCCTCGCGGAGACGTCTCACGAAAACAATTTTGAGCGGCGGATTTATCTGGGCGCCACCACGCCCTCGGACGCACCCGATGCGTACGTTGCGGCCGCAGTTGGAGGAATCCCGCGCCACGTACCTCTACCATTTCTTCGGTCATTCCCACGGAATCGGCTCCAGAGCGTGCCTACGCCTAGCGGTTGGACGGCTCGTGGACCTACATACCCGAATTCGGCGCGTCATGGGCCCCGCGCATCCGATGACGCGAGAAATTACAGACCTATTGCGGACGGCCTTGAACGAGCAATTGGACTGGCGACTCGATGATCTTGATCTTCGTATGGTAGGGCATGCCTTACGCGAGTTTGGCCTTGAAAGATAGGTATTCCTGTAAGATCATGATTTTCCTTGTTTACACAGTTCAGGACAAATGCTGGCTTGCATGCACGCCGCCGACGCGAGGTCATCCATCACAAAACCAAAATTATTACAAAGCACGAGTCGCCGCGTCCCGCAGCACGTCCCGCGGCACGGAAGGAAACAACCCCTCCAGAATCCCCAGGTCCGCGCCCCGCCGCGACGCCGCCGCGTACCAGGCCCGGTACTTCGCGTTCGACGGCGTGAAGGGCCGCCAGGGCTTCCGCGACCCCGTGAAGTGGTGGTAGGCCAACCCACTGGGCGCGCGCTTGCCCCGCACTGGGAACGGGCACGGAAACGCCGCGTCCAACACGGACGGCAATTCATCAAGGATGCGCTCCTCATCTTTATATGAGAAGACCCGCGTGCCGTTCTGCGTCGACTGCGTGATGACGCTCAAGCTCTTCGCCTCGAACCGAAAGTAGTCGTACATGTGCCCTTGGTTCCCGAAGACATCGAAGAAGCGCCAGTCGCTGCCGCCCGCGGCCCCCGTCGCCGCGCGCCAGGGCGTCTTCATAGCATGGCCGTAGGGCGCGTCGCGATTCGTCCTTCTCATTATATCGAGCGTTTTCAGTAAACCTTCGAACGTTGTCAGTGATGGTCGTATTAAAACCCATCCTGCATTCAATGGAGCGACCTTGCCCGGGCACGCTACGACTTCGGTGTTCAAAGCTTTTGTCAATGAGAAGAGCGGATCTAGGTTGTTGACGGGCAGTAAATCGGCGTCCAACAGTTGTATGGTTGCATACTCGACGTGCTGCCACGCTAACAATTTGTAGTGGCCCATGTGGTAGCCCGCCAGGTGTTTCTTACCGGGTGGTTGGGCGTAGCGCCACCGACAGCCCGTTTTGAGCAAAGTGGCTTCTTCTTCTTCTAGTAGATCTACAGTCTCGCGCGGCCGCCCATCCCGCTTCGTCGCTAATAAAAGGACAAAGTCGCTCGTCGACCCGTGGTCTTTCAAGGTGTTCGCCATCGATACCGCGGACACGAGCCAGGGGTGGTAGGCGCGCTGGGGCTCGAGGGGCCCGACCATGACGAAGTAGGCGTTGGGGCTCGTGGCCCCGGTGCCTGGGTGCTCGATGCGCTGCGCTGACGATATGCTTGATATTGCGGCGATGCCGTAGAGCATCGCTTTTACGCGCCGCGCCGACGCCATCCTAATGTCTTGGGTTGGGTTGGCTGCTTTATGCTATCTCATGGAAGGCGCGTCTGGCGCGCTGCGACGCATGTCGAAATAGAGAACGAATGGCAATTATTACAGCACGTGTGGCGTGTGGTATGGTGGTTACGCCGGTCTTGCGGACTTTGCAAGGCTGCCTGCTAGTGTCTATCTGCCGCTAGCTCGGTCTTTGCGCCGAGCGGCCGAAGAGCTGCAATAGCTGGGCTATTCACGCGCCCAGTACTTGCCACGATCGCTGCGAGGCCGCCTGCCACAGCTGTGTCCAAACAAAAAGCCACCACAGCCATCACAGCCAAAAAGCCACACCAGCCATCAGCTGCGCAAAAGCAAGACAATGCATATACTCCTCCGACTCGGCGCCGCAGCAGCAGCGCTCGCAGCATTGGCAGCACAACGGCTGCGCAAACCGCAGCCCGTGCAGTACGACGTTGTAGTGGTGGGAGGAGGCGTCATGGGCGTCTGGTCCGCCATCGCGGCAGCAAGGCAGAACAGGACCGTCTGCCTCGTCGAGAAATACACGGAGGGCCACGCGCGGGGCTCGTCGCACGGCGACGGCCGCATCTACCGCTTCGCGTACGCCGACGAGATTTACGTCGACATGATGTACCTGTCGCTGTCCTACTGGGGCGAACTGAATGATGCGACGAGCAAGGTGCTGGCCCACACGGGCGGCGTTTCGCTCTATTCCGGGCAAGGTGGAAATTATGACTCGCACGGCGGTTTAGATGATCTTACCAAGATTTACCGGAAGCGGGGCCTCGCGCACGAGAAATTATCTAGAAAGAAGCTCAAGGAGCGCTTCCCCCAGTTCTCGGCCCCGAAGAACACGACGGCGCTGTACCAGCCGGACTTTGGGGTACTGTTCGCCGACGTCGCGATCTGTGTGGAAATCAACCAGCGTGTCGGGTGCACTGGCTCCGTCGAGTGGTGATGAACCGGCATCGCCACGCCATCGAGCAAGCGTCGCGTCGATAGCGTGGAGGACGACGCGACGAACGCGCCGTAAAATTTGATTTCCACACAGGTCGCGATGGCGAGAGCTTATGAACTCGCGCGGAAGCTTAAGGTAGACGTGAGGGAGGGTTCTGATGTTGTTTCAGTAAAGCGCCGGGCCGATTCTGTTGAAGTGCGCCTCGGAAATAAGGAAAGGATCGTCGGCCGGAGTTGTATCGTGGCGCCGGGCGCGTGGCTGACCTCAATAGCTAAAAAGTGGTTCAATCTTCATGTACCCACGACCGTGACGCGGGAAACGGTGTCCTACTTCAAGCCGAAAGGAAGTAAAGCTGTCTACGGTTATAAAAGAATGCCCGTTTTTATTTCGGATCTTAACAACGGCCTCGGCGATTTGGGCTACTACGGCATCCCCATCGTCAAGACACAGGGCGTCAAGGTCGCGGCGCACCACGTCGGTCAAACATTAGATGAGAAGGCGCTGCGGAGCCACGATCATCAAGGCGACCCTTCCATAATCGAAGCGAACCAACGCTTCGTGGCGAGCTTCTTCCCGGGGCTGGAAGCCACGCCCTTCCGGAGCGAGTCCTGCCTCTACACGACGACGCCGGACTACCACTACGTGCTTGATAAAGTTCCTGGCGCGGGCGCGCCTATCATATTGGCGGGCGGCGGCTCGGGCCACGCCTTCAAGATGGGCCCGGCCATCGGCGACGCCGCGGCGGCGCTCGCGCTGGGGGTGAAGCTGCCTTTTTCTTTAGAGACGTTCCGGCTCGACCGGCCGGCGCTTCTTCGGGCTTAGTTGTTGTGCCTCGATGGCGTAAAATGAATGTGGTCCCACCTTCCTGAGGTCTCAGACGACGGCTATTAGATTATCAGGCGCTGCGCGCTGCTTAATGCCTAGTGTCTTACTGCCGCTAGCTCGGTTTTGCCGCCGCTTTTTTGCGAGCCCTCCTGCAGCACACAGATCACCTGGGTGCCGTCCGAGCAGTCTGTGGTGCTATTCGGAGTATTTCGTCGAACCGCTGCCGAAGCAGACACGACGCGCCGCCCGTTCCGGAAACATGACAACACCATCGACCTAAGACGAAGACAGATCACAAAGGCACGGAAAGCGGACGCCGCGCACTGCACCCATCGAGTGCCCTTCCAGCGTCGCTGCATCGGGTAATTGACGTTTTTTACGGGAACCATCGGGTCCAAAGAAGCAGCTTGGGAAAGCCCTGGAGGCAAATCAAAAGACGAGTCTGTGCTCGAGGACCTGTGAACGCACGCTTGTCCTCTCGTGTGGACTCAAAATCAAAACGGGTTTTTCCAGCCTCGTTGGCGCAGTTGAGACAAATTTATGGTCCACACGTCGCAAAATTTGAGTCGCGATCACTGTGGAACTTCATTGCAAATATATCCCGGCCGAACCGTGCCGAAAAGAACTACGGGCGCGCCTGTATTAGCGCTTTTACGACATACACGGACGCCTAGCGCGCGCGGTCGAGGCCGCTGAGCAAAGTCGGCGCGCCGCCGTGCTCTCATCCATGGCGGCGTGCATGCCTGAAGCCTGGGGAAGACGTATGGATCTGGAAAACGAGGACGCGAGCGGGTCGGGGCCGCGCCGCGCCTCGAGCGGCGCCCAGTCGGCACCCATGGCATGGGCAACGACGGTGCCACCGCCGGGCGCCGCGTCGCCGGAGCGCCTTGCCGCTGTGAAAATGTTACTGGAGCGGGCCGCTAAGAATGACGGTCACGACGACGACGACGACGACAAGTCTGAATACGACGACGAGTCCGGAGACGACGACGACTACGACGACGCGGAGGACGAGTCGCCGGCGCCGCCCAAGCGCCGGCGAGGCGCTGGAGGCGACGCCGCTCCTGTGCCGCGCGCGTCCAATCATGCCGCGCGGGTAGCAAAAGCCCGCGCGGCCGAAGCCAAGATGCTGCGCACGGACGAGGAGATTGTACCAGGGCTTACGCGGCGCTTAGCTCGGCTCGCGACGGTGGCGAAAGTCGAAGTCGGCCCCCTGTTCCGGAAGTACCGCGGCGATGGCGAAGAGCCCGCGCTCGCTGCTGTATTAGTCCTACGCGACGTGTACGAGGCCGCGTGCGTGGAGCTCTCGGTCGCCGGCGGGGCCGACCGCTTGCACGCGGAGCGCCTCGCCCGGTCTTACTACGAAGACACTGACGACGCCGAGGAAGCCTCCCTGCTCGCGGCCCTCAAGAAGGTCGAGCGAAGCCTACGCGCTGGCGCGGTCAAGGACGCGAACAAGAAGCCCCACGAGAAGTTCCAGTATTCCTTACCCCTCGGCGCCGGCAAGAGCAAGCGCGTTTTAGTAGCTGGCTGGGCGCGCGACCTCGCGATTAGCGCGCGCGCCGACACCGAGCCTTTGACGGAAGCCGAGCACTGGTTGCGTACGGCCGCAGTCGACGACGACGCCGCATCACCTTCCAACTTGTTGGACGTGAACTGCGCCCGCATTAGAACAGATGATGGCTCGGAACGAGTCTGCCAGACCATCGAGCGCCTCGCTTTATCAGTCTTAGCTCAGGTAGGTTTCACCCGAGACCAGTTCCAGTCGCGCGCTGAGGCGGTCGCGGCCGGCCTTGATAAGCTCCGCGCCGCGTGGCTTGCAGTGCACAAATCAAACCGTCGCCGAGCCGTCGCGACGAGCTCCGCGCCATCGACGCCACGTCTACGCGTGGCGATCTGGGTCCCTCGCCGCTCGGGTTATCAAGCACGGCCGCGTCGTCGCCGTGCACCCGACTCACTGGTTGATGTGCGCACAGGTGGTTCGACACCATCCACAATCTTAATGTCAGCACCATGCAGCCCTCGAGAAGTAACGATGCCGTCCTCGAGCCGGCCGATCGGCCGGGAGATCTTGCACGCGGCGCGCCCCGCCTGTTTGAGGCCATCCGCAAATCGGAATGGCCCGGGACCATAATCGAGGTGCGCCTTCCGAGTCCAAAACTCCGATCGCATCGATGGCGTGGAGGTTGCACGGTCGTCTGGACGTCGCCGACGAGCCTTCACGCTCGGAATCGACAATCTCCTATACAGGTCTTCGGTATTGACCAGCACACCTATGCCATGGACTGCATCGTGGGCGACGAGGACATCTGCGTCGAGGTGACCGAAGCGGACGAAGCCGTTCGCGATGTTCTGTGGTTCCTCACCGGCGACGACAAGCTGCCTTCCGTCGACGCGGAGAGAACATTCCTCGTGTACCGCAAGGACGGCCGCGACGTCGGAGTCTGCGTGGAAATCAAAATTTTACGGCGTCGTCCTCCACGCCATCGACGCGCCGCCTGCTCGATGGCGTGGCGGTGGCGGTTCTTCATCGTTTGACGGGTCCAGCACGGCCGCGTCATCGCCGAGAAATGACTTAGTGCACCCGACACACTGGTTGATTTCCACACAGGTCAGAGTAGAGCTCCGCTACCACCCGTCTTATAGCGGCCCGCACGCGACGGCGCGGCGCCATGTCAAAGACGAGTTTGCCGCGGTCATTATCCACCGCACCCGGAAGCACGTCATCCCCTTGGGTGCGTCGGTCGAGAAGTGGTCGGGCCACTGCGCCGCCGGCGGCGGCGCGGCCTTTGCGGCGCAGCGCAAAGCTCTTGTCGAAGATCTCAAGGCGCTCGGCGTCGAGAAGCCGCTCGAGGCCCACGTGAAGGACGTCTCGATGCACGGCGCCTTGGCCTCGGACGCGATTCTCAAATTAGTAGAGTCGTGTGCCGACGACCAAGCGAAGAAGGTTGCCGCGGTCGCCGCGGTCGAGCGGGTCTTCCAGGCCCAGCACAAGTCATTATATGAGATCCTGTTTGACGGCGACGGTGAGCGTCGCGAGCTTGCTGAAGTACTCGAGAAGTGCCGCGATGTGTTGCAGCAGGTAGCGCAGGCGTTCAGCGAGCGCGGCGACGGCCGCGAGGCGCAGCGCAGGTCACACGTGGCCGCACTTATTGATGCCGCCCGCGCAGATGCAGAAGCCCTCGCTAACCTAAGCAGCGACGACGTCCTCAAATTACTTGTGAAGAAAGCCAAGGAGCTCCGTCCTGATGCAAAGGCATCGTGGAACTATATCGCCGAAGCCTTGAACGAGCTGGGCATACAGTGGGATCAGGGGTACGTCCTGCAACACTACGCGTCTCTCCAGTCGAACCAAACGCCCCTGACCGAAGACGAGAAGCGGAGGATAGTCGTGTTGGAGGAGAAGTTCCGCAGCATGTGGGGAAAGTGGCCGAAGATCGCCCAGCAGCTGGGCAACGGCCGCACCGCGGCCGACGGGAACAAGGTCAAATGCTACTGGCACGATACAGGACAGGACAGGCCATGGTCCTGTTGCGACACGTGTGAACAGTGGCGCCTCCGCGAGAAAGGCACCGTAGTAGTTGAAGGCGCACACTGGACCTGTGCAGACGGGGGTCGGAAGTGCACCGAGCCGTGCGACTCCGTATTACCAGAGATTGTTGAGGAGGCGCCCGACGCGGCCACATCGATAGAGGTAGCAGTCCCTGATGCAGTCGAGCCGTCGCAGCCCGCGTTGCCGCCGCAGCCACCGCACGAAGTAGAAGAACTGGTGGCGCAGCCGCCGCGCGCGACTTCCGTGCGTTACAACGTTGTCTCAAAGCCTTGGGCGGCAGATGGGACCAATGAACTTGTTTGGGATGCTGAAGTGGCCACAACGGTAGAAGAGCAGCCGCCGCCCGATGTAGTAGAAGTGACCGCGCAGCCGGCGCGCGCGCCGAAGGTTGACACTTCCATGCCTTACAAAGTTGTCTCAACCCCTTGGGCGGCAGATGAGACCAATGAACTTGCTTGGGATGCTGAAGTGGTGGTCACAACGGTAAAAGAGCAGGCCGCCCTCGAAGCGCCTTGACCTGGTCCAGGACGGCGCGGCCCGCGTCGAGGCGCGAGATCAGCATTAGATCACGACTTGGTAGATCCGACGTCGCCCTTGGTCACCGCGACGCCGAGTACGGGTCACGATCACATAACACGCCGCCCTCGAAGCGCCTTGACCTGGTCCAGGACGGCGCGGCCCGCGTCGAGGCGCGAGATCAGCATTAGATCACGACTTGGTAGATCCGACGTCGCCCTTGCTCACGGCGACGCCGAGTACAGGTCACGATCACATAACACGCCGCCCTCGAAGCGCCTTGACCTGGTCCAGGACGGCGCGGCCCGCGTCGAGGCGCGAGATCAGCATTAGATCACGACTTGGTAGATCCGACGTCGCCCTTGCTCACGGCGACGCCGAGTACAGGTCACGATCACATAACACGCCGCCCTCGAAGCGCCTTGACCTGGTCCAGGACGGCGCGGCCCGCGTCGAGGCGCGAGATCAGCATTAGATCACGACTTGGTAGATCCGACGTCGCCCTTGCTCACGGCGACGCCGAGTACAGGTCACGATCACATAACACGCCGCCCTCGAAGCGCCTTGACCTGGTCCAGGACGGCGCGGCCCGCGTCGAGGCGCGAGATCAGCATTAGATCACGACTTGGTAGATCCGACGTCGCCCTTGCTCACGGCGACGCCGAGTACAGGTCACGATCACATAACACGCCGCCCTCGAAGCGCCTTGACCTGGTCCAGGACGGCGCGGCCCGCCGAGGCGAGATCAGCATTAGATCACGACTTGGTAGATCCGACGTCGCCCTTGCTCACGGCGACGCCGAGTACAGGTCACGATCACATAACACGCCGCCCTCGAAGCGCCTTGACCTGGTCCAGGACGGCGCGGCCCGCGTCGAGGCGCGAGATCAGCATTAGATCACGACTTGGTAGATCCGACGTCGCCCTTGGTCACCGCGACGCCGAGTACGGGTCACGATCACATAACACGCCGCCCTCGAAGCGCCTTGACCTGGTCCAGGACGGCGCGGCCCGCGTCGAGGCGCGAGATCAGCATTAGATCACGACTTGGTAGATCCGACGTCGCCCTTGCTCACGGCGACGCCGAGTACAGGTCACGATCACATAACACGCCGCCCTCGAAGCGCCTTGACCTGGTCCAGGACGGCGCGGCCCGCGTCGAGGCGCGAGATCAGCATTAGATCACGACTTGGTAGATCCGACGTCGCCCTTGGTCACCGCGACGCCGAGTACGGGTCACGATCACATAACACGCCGCCCTCGAAGCGCCTTGACCTGGTCCAGGACGGCGCGCCCAGCGTCGAGCGCGATCAGCATTAGATCACGACTTGGTAGATCCGACGTCGCCCTTGCTCACGGCGACGCCGAGTACAGGTCACGATCACATAACACGCCGCCCTCGAAGCGCCTTGACCTGGTCCAGGACGGCGCGGCCCGCGTCGAGGCGCGAGATCAGCATTAGATCACGACTTGGTAGATCCGACGTCGCCCTTGCTCACGGCGACGCCGAGTACAGGTCACGATCACATAACACGCCGCCCTCGAAGCGCCTTGACCTGGTCCAGGACGGCGCGGCCCGCGTCGAGGCGCGAGATCAGCATTAGATCACGACTTGGTAGATCCGACGTCGCCCTTGCTCACGGCGACGCCGAGTACAGGTCACGATCACATAACACGCCGCCCTCGAAGCGCCTTGACCTTGTTCAACACGGCGCGGCCGGCGTCTGACGTCGTCGAGGCCATTTGAGGTGCGCCGCACGGCAGTAACTCAGCTCACGATCTTGTTTACCCCGCAGGCCGCGTCCATGAGTACTCTCAATCGCTCGTAGGCGCGAAGACCGTCGCCGACCACCAGCCCACGGCGACGCTCTATGCCAGGCCCACGTCTCAAGCACCGCGCGCGCCCCCCTCCTGATCTCGCACAACCCCGCGGCCGCGTGCTCGATGCGATCATCGCGCTCTGGAGGAGGCGTGCCGTCCTTCCTCTCCCATCCTCCTTACAGCTCGTTCCCTCACAGCAGGGACGAGACTTGATCCGGTTTCTGCGGAAACCATCCACTGAACGCGAAGAGCTTGGCGTGCCCTTAACCTGAGCACTGCGAGCACGTGTGCGGGCCCGCGGAGATGTCCTTTCTCGAGGAGGCGCCTCGGAGGAGAACGTTTCGGAGCAGACCACCGCCACTCAGCCCGACCACTTTTCCGACGGCCACGTGATCACCCGGTTATCAGGTAAACATTGTCACCCAAGAGGAAGCAAAGTCCAGCGGCGTGAATCACGGACGGACATACTAAGTGATCGTGGGCAGTGGCGGCGCCGCCGTTCCTTCCTTGCGCGCGGCGCCTTATCCCGTAGCCGCTCGTCGTCGAGCCGTCACAGTTCTCGTGTCACCCTTGCACATAGAGGAGCCGGCGCCAGCAGCTCTGGTTGGCGTCGAGTTTTTTTTCTTTCTTTTGCGGCCACACTTTCGTGTGGCCTCTGGCGCTACTCGGGCGTCATGTTTTTTTTATTGTCGGCCATCTCGTGGCCGTGGCACGCTACACTAGAGCGCATGTCTGCAAACACAGCTGTGCTGGCGCAGGAGAGCCGCGGCGGCGCGCTGAGAGCTGGCGCAGCGCAGCGGCGAGCAGTCCTCGCTGGATAGGCTCCCGGAGAAGCCCAAAGCTTCGGAGCAGCGCTGTAGCGCGCGCTATTTAGGCTGATATTTTGCCTCTCAGACGCCGCCTCAGAGGGCTTTTGCGCCGACGCAAAGCGCGAGACGGGCGGCGAGACGGGACACGCGTGGGTGCATGCTTAAACACCTATTGTATGGATTAATGCGGTTTCCCCTAGTGTCTTACAGGCCGCTAGCCGCGCAGCATAACTTGCAAAGTCGCGGTTTTATGCGCGCGCCCTCAGTTTTGCTGCGTTACGCCATTTCTGCGTCAACTAATAATACTCTCAGCTCATACGCTGCGCTGACAGCGACGCCAAGGCTCTACGTCCCAGCAAAAAAGAAACGCTGCATCCTACGGTTTGCCCTTGCATTCGTACGCGGACCTCGCAAATGGCCGACGACAAAGGCGACGAAGGAGAACTGCAAGGCAACTCGGAGTTCCTGCCCTTTCAAAAAGCGGACAACGACGACGTGCACGACACTGTCGAGGTCGTCGCGCTCGACGCCGAGCCGACCGTCGAGGAGGCGCAGCCAACCATCGCGGAGACCCTGACGGCGACGGCCCGCGCGGCCTACGCCACGGCGTCGAGCCTCGTGGACACCGTGGCCAACGACACGCCTCCGCCGCCTGTGGACCTCGACGAGACGCCGCCGCCGTCGCCCGTCGCCACATCCTCACCGCGGAAGAAGCCGGCGCCCATCGTCGTCAAGGAGCTCGCCGCCGCCGCCGCGGCCGTGGGCGTGACCTCGCCCGAGGCCTTTCGGAGCGGCGGGCCCGTGGCCAACAGCCCGCCGGCCTCGCCCAAGGCGTGGCAGGCGCCGCCCAAGGCGGACTCGCCGGAGGCGCGCCACCGCACGATGTGGAAGCCGCGGTCGCCCTCCATTGAAAAACCGGCGGCGCCGTCGCCCGAGGCCTTCCGGCCGGGCGGGCGCGTGCGGAACTCGCCGCCGCCGTCGCCCGTACCTCACGCCGGCGGCTTGGGCGACGTATTCCCGCCACGAACGCAAAAACCTTACGAGCCCGACGACGCGTACGACCGGCCGGGTCCCGTGCCCCTGTCAAACTACGCCGCGGGGCCGCGCCTCGGCCCCGCGCGGCTGCCCGTCGCCGTGCGCCAGGCGGGCCGGGCGGCCGCGTGGGACGCGGCGCCGGCGCCGGCGCCGGCCGCGCCGGCGGAACCGGAACCGGAACCGAACCCGCGCGCATCGCGCGAGGAGCCGTTCAACCCCCGCGCGTCGCGCGAGTCGCTGCGCGCGTCGCGCGACCGCGACGCGGAGCTGCAGACGCTGCGCCGGCGCGTCGACGCCGCCGAGCGCGAGGCGGCCGCTTTGAGAGACCAGGCGCGGCGCGACCGCCAGGTAAAGCTCGACGCCGAGGCCGAGGCGCGCACGTTAAACGACGAGCTGGCCCGCGCGCGGACTTTAATAGATCAGCTCCGCGACGACGCGGTCGAGGCGGCCGCCGCGCGCGGCCGCGACGCCGTCGCCGTCGAGGCCTTGCAGGGCCGCGTCGCGGCACTCGAGGCGTCAGCACGCGACGCTGACGACCGCGTCGCGTCGACGGCTGTGTGGAAATCAACCAGTGTGTCGGGTGCACGCGGCCGACCTGGATACGCGCCGTAAAATTTTGATTTCCACACAGGTCGACGGCCGGCGCGCTCGAGCGCGCCGGGCTCCAGCGGCGCGACGCGGACCACGCGCGCGCGGAGGCGGACGCGCGCGCGGCCCGCGCCGAGGCCGCGGCGGCGGAGGCGCGCGCGGCCGTCGACGGCTGGCGCCGCGCGCATGCGGATCTCCGGACGGCCCACGACGCGCTCGGCGAGGAGGTGCGCCGCAACGCCGCCGAGATCGCTCGCTTGCGGAGCGAGCGGGCGGCGCCGCCGCGCGACGCGGACGTGAGGACCTCGCGCCTCCGCGCGTCGGCGGACCTCGCGCCGCCGCCGCCGCCGCCTCGCCCAAACTCACATCAGCCTCCCGGAAGCCCCTCTCAGCGGTTGGCCGCCGGCCCGACGCCCCTCGCCGCGTTCGCGCCCGCCCAGCACAGCAAGCACGCCGCGGGCTACCGGCCGCCCCAAGTCGGCCCCGAGCCCGCGGCTCCGCGGCTCGCCGGCGCGCCGACGCCCTTCTCGCCCCGCGACGGCGCGCCCTTCGCGACGACACGCGACGAGGCCCACGCGGCGCGGCGCGCTCCTCTTGAAAGAAAGCTGCTGGAGCTGAACGTGCAGCGGGACTTGCTCGAGGCCGAGTCGCGGAAGGCGCCGCCGCACGCCCGGTCGTACGCCGAGCGGCGCCGCCGGACTCTGAGAGAGGAGCGGCGGCGCGACCTCGACGCGGCGGCGGCGCGCGTCAAGGCGGCGCTGCGGGACCTCAACTGATATTTTTGGCACCCCTTCCTAAGGACATCATATAACTCTTGGGTAGTACCCCTGGCATGTGCAAGTACTTGAACGCCCTTACTCCTGAGATACATTTACACACAAACATGACAGCAAGCGAGCTCAGTCCTGGGTCGCGTCCGGGTCATCCGGAGACGTTTCCGGAGGCGGTGGCGGCGCCGTTTCCGGAGGCGGCGGTGGCGGCGCGGCGACCGGCGGCGCGGCCGGCGCGGCGTCGAAGGGCCGCGCGAACGCGTCGTGCAGCCGCGAGCACTTCTTGTCGCCCAGCCCGGGACAAGCGCGCAGATCGTCGAGGTTCGCCCGTAATAAATCGCCGAACGTCGCGAATCTATTTGACAAAGTAGCCACGTCCGTCCTATTTAACGGTTTGATGGCCTGCAACGCATCCGCAACTTGCCCGGCGTGCGACGGGTCGACGCGTTCTCTGATGCACTGCGCCGAGTTCTTCTCGTAGGCCTTGAAGCACTCTAAGTACCGCGCCGCCTCCTGCGGGCCGTGCGCCAGGAACAGCACGCAGTCCATGCGTAGTGCCAGGATGTTCAGTTCGTGCAATGCCTTCGTCGCATCTTCGACGTCCACCAGGCAGAGGAGCACACGCAGCCGCCAGCGGCTCCCCTCGGCCCTCAATTCAGCTAATCTTCTACCAAGATATTGGGGCTTGAGCATGTGGTACCTTATAGAAATGAAGACCGCGCAGTTTCTATCCCCCAGCACGTAATCCGGGGTGATGGTCGCGTCGTGCTTCCACGGCACGTTTTTGAGGTGCTTGAGGAGGGGGTTGCCCTTTTGTCTCTCGGACACGAGGAGCGGGCGGGCCGTCATGCTCTGTTGTGAGCTCTGTTTTTGAATCTGTAGCGCGCACGCGCCGGCGGCGAGGCTGACCAGCAGAGTGCTCAAATCTGAGGCTCTGTAGCGCACGCTCGAAGGCGTGCTCGCGTCAGCGACGGGAGAGCTTTTTGGCAGACAGTTCTAAACAATAGAACAGCACGCCTTAGGCAATAGCAAGGCGGAGGCGGGCCTTTTTTTGTGTTTTGGCTGTGCCAGCTAGTGTGTTACAGCTAGCTACGCCTTGGGCCGCACAAAGAGCAACGCTAGCTATCCGCAAAAAGGCGGCCGACGTGTGTCTGTACTCTGTAATACCGCTGCGAGCGCTGCGAACTGCGCGCCTGCAACTGCGCTGCTGCGCCCTGCGAACTGCGCTGCTGCACATTGCCAGCTGAGGCAAAAGGTGCACGCCGTCGCAGCGCTCGAAGCCTTCGCGCGCGCGGAAGTATTAATGGACGAAAGCGCGTCGCGCGAAGAGGAAAAGGCGTGGCGCGAGTCCTTCGTCGGCCTGCGCGTGGCACTCCCGGACTACCAGGGCGGCGGCCACGGCGTCATCAAAGCCGTCGTGGGCCAAGTCGTACAGGTCGTTGTGGGCGACGACAACGTGGGTTGGAATCGGAACGCGGAGTTGGTCGTCACTTCGCACCTCGACGAACTCGAGGAAGCACCCGAGGAAGGAAAGTGAGATGGACGTGGCCAGCGCGCTGGCGAGCGTGGCCTCCCGGAAGCAGCTGCGAAGGTTGGGAGGCGCGCTCGAGCTGTCGGTCGACGATGGCGGCAGCCTCGACGAATTATTATCATTAAACGCCACGACGGTCGACGACGCGATGCTGAGCGTCCTGGGAGCGGAAGGCGCAATGCGAGCGCGGTCGCGGCTCGACGAGCTGCGCGCGGCTCCCGAAGAGCCGCCCTTGCCGCCGCCAGACCCGGCGCGCGCCGTCCGGTCGCCGTCGTCGTCGCGGCCGAAGACAGTCAGTGAGGGCTGCTGCGTCGAGTGCTCACAGCCTTCACCATATATCTTCCCGCCGCTCGCGGTGCGGCTCTGTGAGTCGTGCGAGCGCCTACCAAGGTATGCGCTCGTTACCGCCGACTTGGCACGACACGTCTACGCCCTACGAGACGACGAATTTCCGCGCGGATGGCGCTCAACGGGCGGCGACCAAGTGTACCTCCGATCTGAATGCGAGGCCGCGGCGTCCGGCGTTGCGGCACGGAAGCGCGCCGCCTCGGCGAAACAATGGCGCGCCGAGACCTTCAAGAAAGTCGGGGGCAATACGGTACGATGGAAGGAGTTAAACACCGCGACGTTCCAGAAGCAGCGCGCGAACCGCAAGCACATCGGCTTCTCAGACGCGCCCGACGTCGCGGCGGAGTGTATGGACCTTTCGTGCCTCGTCCGATGCGACGCGGCGATGTAATTCATAAGTACTAGTTTTACCCACAGCTCACGCCGCCGCCGCCGGAGAAGACGACGCCTCCGAGAACTCAAGGAGCGTCTCCGAGGACGGCTTCGACGGCAGGAGCGCCTCGTCCGCCGATTGGACGCAGCAGCCGCGGCCGGCCTGGTTATCCGAGCCGGCCCGCTTGACGACGACGATGCTGACGTAGCCCGGCGGGCCCGGCGTGTAGCTCAGGATACAGTAGCCGCCGACTGCATCCGGCGCGCGCTCCAGCGCGTACTCGCCGTCCGACAACTCGACGAGAAACCTGTGCATAAATCAACCTGGACATGCTGGGCTTGTGGTAGCCCTCTCTATTTTTTTTTATGCGGCACCGCTCCAATCGGAGTTTCACCGGAGCTTGATCTCCTCACTGTAGCGGCGTCTTTCGGCAACAACCGACGTCCAAACGCCGCACGTGCCGCGTTTCACTCTTTCCAGCATAAAGGCTAGCGGCCAGTAAGACACTAGAAACAACAAACAGGCCACACGCACAACCAAACTCAGCGACAGCACGGCCGCGCGGTGCTCTAACGCGTGCTAAACACCAGCTCTCAAGCCCACGCACGCGCTCGGAAGCGCTCGTACAAGTTACGTAGCTAAACAGCAAGGAGAGGCCTTGGTGCTCTCAGGCACACGCTCGCGCTTCGTAAAGGAGCGTGTAGAAGCAGCGCGCTCGCTAGCCGTCGGCCAAGAAGCTCAACGCCGAGGCGCTAAAGAAGTTTCATCCATACAGCGGCGCGGTAAAAAATATGCCGCCCAAGGAACGGCTAACGGCGGCGCAGCACCTCGCAAAATATGGCGCGAACGCGGCATTTTACGTGAACACCGAAGAAGGCGCGAACATCATCTGTAAGCCGCTTCCGTACTGCCGTTTACGCGGCGACACAAGACATAAGGTCCTCGAATATTTAGTGTGCGTCAGTGACAAGAGCGGCGAGCGGCACGCGCTACGCGCCCAGCCGCATCAGTACTTCCGGGCCGATGAGATCGACGATCCAGTGCCGCCGAAACCGGTGCGCATCGTGGCAGGTATGTACTACGACGTGCCCTTGTCGCGCGGCGTCCTCAAGCGCAGTGCGGCCGCCGCGGTCGACACGCTCATAAAACATTCTAGTGCGGTTCCTTTAGTTTGCAAGACCATGAACCTGGACTACAAGGCCGTCGTGACGCGGCCCGCGGCGATAAACCGAGCCACGCCGCGCGCTTGGCTCGAGCACCTGTACTGCCGCCCGTCGGACGGCCTCAACGATCAGGCGGTCAAGAAGGAGTTGATCGCGCGGCAGAAAGCGGGGAAAGCTGCTAATCTCACGCGCGAGCTCCTCCAGCGGTGTGCGGAGTCCGTCGAGTTCCGCCACGCTCGGCAGTCGGTTGGCGGACCAAAATCTCTTCCAGTTGGACCGCCTGGCGGAGCATCGGACAACGTCCAGATCTTCCGGTGCCCGGCCACGTGGTCCGACGCGCAAAAAGAGGGCGCGACGACGCTGTTAGGGTATTCGCAGATGGAGCAGGACGACCTCTCGCGCGGGCTCGCCATGACGCACTCGCGCGTGCTGACCGTCGACGAAGCCAACGGCAAGGGGCCCTGCGACCGCGCGCAGCTCACTCAGATCACCAAATACTCGCTCGGCGCGCTCTTCGATCATCTGAAAGGGCGGCGGTTGACCGTTGTTGTGACCAATGTCTCCCTCGTACAACATCACGTCGTTAGCAACAACTTTTTGGGTACTAATGAGACGCCTCAACCGCTGACGCCCGATGACTACGAGGCGATGGCCGCCGATCTGCGCCTCGTCCTGGGATCCGTCGCCTCCGACCACCGCCTGCCCACGGCGTGGACGAACAAAGTCCCGAAACCGCACAACCAGTTTGAACAAAAAATAGGAAAGCTAGGTGACGCTGACTTTCGGGCGGAGTGCCACGACTCCTCGCGGCCGCCTCTCACGACCTACGCCGAGCTGTTGAGAGTGATGGCGGAAAATAATGTGCCACTTGTGAGTCTGGACCAGGACGCCGTCCCTCAGACAGATAATGGCGTTTTGAAACCCCTCAAGGACTTCGACGCAAAGTCTCTTCACGCTCCTCAGGGCCACGCGAGTCGACATTGCGATGCCCACAGAGTTACGACTCAATCCGCAGACGCATCAACACGATTCTCCTCAGCACAGACGGAATCCGTATCCAACTCATTACTATGTCGGCATTCCCTCGGTCAAAGGCACGCGGCCGGGCGCCGCCCTCCTCTCCGGCGAGGGGGCGATTGAACTCAAGATTGACACGAACGTCTTCCACGAGCGAACTGCCCTAGAAGACGGCATCATCTTCGTCAACTTCGGCGAGGCCGCCGAGGGGCGCTTTGCAGTTCTCATGCATATCAAAATACCAGGCATGGACTGAACGTGCCACGCGCGCCCCTGTCATAAGATACATTCACATACCTAGTCCCAAGCCCCCTCCTCGGGCGCGAACAGCACGTCCACGTCCCCGCGCGACACGTTCATCGTCGGCAGCGCGGCGCGCGCGCGCTCGTCGGCGGCGTAGGCCACGCAGGCCGCGTTCGCGGCGTCGACCGGCGCCGCGGCGCGCAGGCGCCGCCGGAGCGCGTCGTCCCACTCCGGCGGCGGCGGCGACGCCCACTGCGACGCCGCGCGCTGCGACGCCGGGCCCGTCGTCCACTGCGACCACTGCGTGCCCGTCTGGCCCGTCGCCGGGAGGCGGAGCGGCGGGGACTCGTCGTCCGACTCGTGCGGCGGCGGTGGTGGCGCGGCGTCTTCCGAGGGTGGCGGCGGCGACGGCGCCGCGGCGTCGTCGTGTGGTGGCGGTGGCGCTGCGTCGTCGTCCTCCATCTCGTCTTCCTCATCCCACTTCCTTCCTAGGAGCCCGGCCATGTTGTAGTGCTGCTGGCGCTTCTGGGCGAAGGCTCTTGCTTTTGCGGCGGCGTCGTCACGCGGCGAGTGCGACGGCTCCGCCGCCGCGGGCTCGGCGTCGTCGTGTAATGACGGTGGCGCCGCGGCTTCCTCGTGCGAGAGCGCCGCCGCCGCCGCCGGCTCGTCACGTGCTCGCAAAAGCGCAACCAGTGCCGCCGCTGGCTCGGCGTCACTAGCCGCGGTTTCGGGCGCGGGTGCCGGCGCCGCGGCGTCGTCAGGCGATGCGGGCGGCGGCACCACTGCGACAGGCTCGGGCGCCGCTGCGGGCGCGGCCCAGATGGCGCCCCAGTTCTGGTCGTTGCGGCGCCGCGCGGCCGCCCGCTCGAGCTTGCGCCGCGCGCGCAGCTCAGGGTCGTTCCGCGCGAAAGCTTGGTACATCTTTTCGCGGCTGCGCATGCGGTTCCCTTGGAGCGGCGTGGTAGTGGTGCAGCCTGGGGTGCAGCGCGTGGGCAACCAGCGGTCGGCAAACGAGAGAACAGGATCAATAACTCCCGTGAATACAATCTGGGACCATCAAAGCGCAGAGCAGGCGCACACACGAGACAAAGGCCCCGGGATCGGTCCTAGCGGCAGTAAGACACTAGCGAGCGCAGCCAGCTTTGGCTCGGCTAGTTTTTGCCGCATAAATCACGCTGGGCACGCGCTGCGCGTTTCAACGCTCGACGGCAGCAAGCACTGCGCCGTTTTTGCTGCTCGCGCCGAGCCGTGCACCAAACCAGTGCAAAACCCAAAAAAGGCAGCAAGCAAGAAAAAATGCCAACACAACAACGCCCGCGCTCCCGCACGCCGCCGCCGACCGATAGGACCAAGAGCCCCCTGCCGCCGACGCCCACGCGGCAAGCTAGACGCCTCTGGCTCACTTCCAGTTTAACGCAGTCCTTCAAGACGCCGTCGAGATGGGAGCAGACGATCCTCGTGGTGAAGATGGCTGTAAGACTCACCTGGATGACGGTGCGAGGGTCCCCTTTGTGGGTCGTGAACTTCATCCGACTGATCCTGTACGCGCTGTTCTGCGCGCCGGCCCTAGCAAGAAGTATCCGGTACTACTTTAGTGGAGCGGTCGATCGATCGCTGCGGTACGGTCCCAAGGTGAGGCACACGGCGGACGTCTACCGGCCGATAGCTATTCGAGGCGAAAAAGCCCCGACCGTCATCTTCGTGAGCGGTGGCGCGTGGGTCATCGGCTACAAGGCCTGGGCGTCGCTGACCGGACGAGCGTTGGCGGCGCACGGCGTGCTCGTCTTCGCGCCCGATTATAGGAACTGCCCGCAATGTGATGTGCATGGCATGGCTTCGGATGTGGACCTGTCGATCGGGTGGTGCCTCGAGAAATGTGAAGAGTACGGCGGCGATAGAGACAATGTCGTGTTGGTCGGGCAGAGCGCGGGCGCGCACCTTTGTGCTCTTGTACTATTAAGGGGCCCGGTCCACTGGCGGCCGACGGATCTGAGAGGCTTTGTCGGTATTTCTGGACCGTACCACGTGCCGGCGACGGCGGCGCACTGGCGCGCGCGCGGCTTCGGGCAGGCCATGCTCGATTTCATCTTCGGGGACGAGGCGGGCATGCTCCTCGCGTCGCCTTCGTATCTCGCGGCGCGCGCGGAGGAAGTCGAGCTGCCCCCGATGCTGTTGTTGCACGGCACGGCGGACAAGAGCGCGACGGCCCAGTCGACGCTCGACTTCGCGGCGGCGCTGGAAGATCTGGGCGTCGACGTACATACAAAGCTCTACGAGGGCTGGACGCACACGGACCCGATCCTCGAGCGGCCCTTCGCGGGCGACCAGCGCCTGCACCGGGATTTGTTGGAGGCCGTATCAAAATGGTGCGACGGGCCCGTCGCACCCTTCGCCGACGACACGCCGGGGCTCGGGCGCCTCTGCCCGCAGGTGCTGATCGAGCTGGGGCGGCGCTGCATGCCGTTCTAGATGACGCGTGGCCACATGCCTGTGACTCTATACCACTCCAACGCCGTCGCGGTGACGGCGTCGGATGGGCGTCGGCGTAAGTGTGCTGTTGATTCATTAGACTTCAATTTATGTTCAGAAAAACAGAGGTATGGACATCCATGTGATGGGTTTGTGGCGAATTGGGGAGGAGGGGGGCGTCGGGGCCGTCAGCTCGACGCCGAGAGCGCGCGGAGGTTGATCGACGACAGCGCTGCGTTGTAGACGAACGCGGCGCCGAGCATGAAGGGCAGGCGCAGGCCGTAGGGCACGACCGAGAAGTTGACGGCCTGCGCCGGGCCCAGGATGGCCACGGAGCAGGCCGTCGCCTCGCGCCACTGGCGCCGCAGCGTCATCGCCGCGTCGGAGAGCGACTTGTTCGCCGCCGCGCCCATCGCGAGCGTGTACGCCGGCAGGTAGACGAGCGGGCCGTAGGCCAGCACGTCGGCGCCCGCCGCGGCGAGCGCGCCGCGCGCGCCGCCCGCCGCCGACGCGAGCTTCGACGCCTCGCGGATGAAGACGTAGTTCCCGTAGCCGCCGATCGACGCCGAGAACACGGCCATGGCGAGCGTCCGTCGCGTGTCGAGTGGCCTCTTCTCGAGGAAGAGCTGCCCGAAGACGTCGGCGCCCGTCTTGATGACGACGCCCGACGTGACGGCGGTCTGGATGGGCTTGGCCTCGTAGGCGGCGGCGTAGCGTCTGGCCAGAGAGGTGGTGAAGTGGACGAGGGACATCTTTTGTCGCGTCGGCGCTGTCCCTCGACGCACTATTCTTTCTTTCGGGGCGTTTGAGCGCGGTCTGGACGCTGCGCGGCGACCGGCGTGTTGCGGCACGGCGCTTAGGGCCCGTGCGTTATACAATAAGCCCGTGCGGCCGTACGGCAGCCGGTTGCCGTGTTGTTCGTCAAAGTGCCGTTTGTCGTGCTACGACACTCCTCTGACGCCGTGAGTTTCCACGGACGGCGAGACCGGTAATCTCAAGCCGTTGGTAAGCTGCTGCGTCTGGAGATGACGCACAGGTGGTGTACAGCACCTGTTTTTGTAGGCGTTGGGGGCACTTGTCATCTGATTTTGAAAGCTACTAGTATTTTGTTTGTTTTAAATTTGAGCCATCTACGTGTGCATCTGAGGCCACGGGCAACACGGCAAGACTCCTGAACCTCTACGCCTAGAACCCGCACACAAAAATGGTCTGTGCCGCGCGGTCTTTGAGACGCGCGAACCGGTCGTCTCTCTGGTCTGCAGACCCTCGCTGAGGCCACAGTAGACGCCTGACAACAATCCGTCCAGCGGTGGGACGCGCCGCGTCTCCAGAGGCTCAGTTGGGCCCCCCGCAGCCTCATTGCCCAGCCGGCCGCCGCGCGCCGTACGCGCGCCACGGCTGGCCCACGATGTCCCACAAAGTCATCGACCTCGCCAGCGACGAAGAAAAAGAAAAGGCCGGCCCGATCGACCTCGCCAACAGCTCCGACGACGACGACGCCGACGACGTCGACGACGGCCTCCAGGTCGCCTGCCCGAAGTGCACGTTGCTGAACGCGGGCGACGCTGATCAATGCGTCGCCTGCGGCAACCAGTTGCGGGCCGCGGCGCAGCCATCGAAGCCGTCGCGATGGGACCGCGAGGACCGCGAGGACCGCGCCAACACATCAACGTGGCCTCGCGCCGACGGCACGCCCTGGAGCCAGAAGCCCAAAACGGGTTTTCGCATCCCGACGCGGTCCGACGTCGACGCGAAGAAGAAGCGGCCGCCCCCACCCACAGACTGCAAGCCCGTCGCCGCCTCGAAGCGAGCGAAGCAGCTCCAGGCCGCCGGGGCGCTGCGCGACATCGAAAAGGTTTCCTTTCCGGTAAGACCCGGCGCCTTCGCCGACGACGCGCCGCCGCCTCAACAAAAGCCGCGCTTCGAGTCGCTCGCGTCCTTGCCTTCGCCGGGCAGCGCCGCGGCCGCGGCCAAGGACGCCATCCGCTCGACGGCCTCGCACGCCGCCGCGGGTCTGAGGTCTGACGCCGAGCGCCAGCGGTCCGCCGTGGACTCGTGGGACACGTCGAAGAGGAAGCCGCTGACCGTGCCGCCGCGCACGCGCCCCCAGACGCGGTCGGTCGCAGAGATGCTAAATTGCCCGGGTGCCGCAACCGTGAAGCCCATCAGAGTGCCCGTGCCGGCCTTAGGTGATGACGCCTGGGTCCTGCGCGGGGCTTTAGGTGCCGAGGTGCGGTCGTGGTCGAAGATTTATGTTCCATTGATCTTCTGCGCGCTGGGGGACGTGCCCGAGTGTGCCGCCGTCGCCTGCCGCGCGGACCTGTACTCGTCGCAGTACGTGAGCGCGTCCGACGACATCAAGCGGGCGACGGCGTGGTGGTCGCGGCGCCTGTCGAAGTGGCCCGACTGGATCGTTGCGGTCCGCGAGAAAGTCATCGCCGGCGATGCGGTCGCGTTTGAGAAGCGCTTCCTGCGGAACTGCAAGGGCAAGACGGCCGGCGTCTTCAACAACGCGCGCGAGTACGGCTGGCTGCCGCACCCTCCAGCTAGGTTGCAGGAGGCCATTGTGAGGGAGGCGGGCGTCGACGGCGAGCTCGCGCTGGCGTGCCTCGCGGCGACGGCGAAGAAGGCGCCCGCGTCGCAGAAGCGCGGGCCGCCCGCGCCGCAGAAGAGGGCGCAGGGCGAGGTCGTGGAGCTCAGCGACGACGACGACGAGCTGGTCGTGGCGCCCCCAAAGCGCCAGGAGCCCGCGTCGCAGCAGTCCTCCGACGAGGACGACTTCGACGCCGTCTTCCCTGCGCGCCACGCGGCGAAGTAGGGTATGTGTGTGTTAAGAATACAACAGTTAAACATCGCTATCCCGCGGCGGCCCCCGATGCGCCACCGGCGCGGCCTTGGGATTCCGGCGTCCGGCCTGCTCCCCCTCGCCGTCGTCGCCTCCGAGCTAACACTCGGGGCGACGGCGTATGAGGGCGTGCGGTCACGCAGGGAGCTCCGCGGCTAGGCGGCCTGGCTCTAGGCAAAGCAAACGTCCACCAAGAGCCGCACGGAAGCGCCAAAAGGTCACAGCCCCACCCGTCGCAGCTGGTCCGTGAAGAAGATCGTGCACGCGACCGGCACGGCCACCCCCACGAGATTCTTGTCCGCGCCGCGCGCCACCCATTTCATGCCGTAGTCGCCCTGCAACCGCTTCACGACCGTGACCAGGGACTGGTCCGTCTTGAACATTTCATTCCTAATGACATCCAAGGGATTGGTGAGAACGGCACCGGCGACCGCGGCACATACGGCCTTCGTCGCGTCCCTCAAGAGTTTGCCGAGTTTCGTATCAACACTAGGAAGCCTTCTTTCACACTGCTCCTTGACCAATACAGCGACGCAATATTTTGGCACGGTCTTGAGGATGCCTGCTGATGTGCCATGCCACAGAGCACCGACGCCTCGCTCCCGCGCAATCCGTCGCACGGCGTCCGTCGTACCCTGAGAAGCTCGAAAGTCGGCCTCGGGGTCCTGTAGCATGATCGAGGCCCGGATGATCGGCTGGTTGACGACCTGCACTCCCGTGCTCACTATCAAAGGAGGCACGGCAATGGCGGCGACGGAGCCCTTCTCGAACACCTGTGATTCCTCGAACCATCTTCTCCCGACGTCGCTCCCGTAGAAGATCGCGAACCGCGCCCACGTCATGCCGCCGACGACGGCAGCGACGCCCCTATAGGGCGGCCTCAGGGCCTCCGCATACGCCGCAAAATACCCTCTACTTTTAGTTTTGAAGCCCGACTGCGCCATGGCCGACGCCTTCCAGAGCGGGAAGTTGACGACCGCTGCGAGTGCGGAGCCGACGAGGTAGGCCGCGGGGGCGTCGCGCTTATCGTTGCCCATAGGTCTCACTGCTGGCCGCGTCGGCGGCGTGATGATGCGGTGCGACTCCTTGGGTGAATTCGTTCGAGTGTTCGCGTGACGCCGCGCGCGTCACCGGCTATAGCAAAGGCTGCCAAAGTTGGCGCACCTATGCGCAGGCCTCGTCTGCTCTTGATTGGTTGCACGAATGAGGCTGTGCGCAATGAATTATGAGCGATGCGCGATGCGGCAACCTGGTTGCGCCACTGACGCGTAAACCGCCGCGCCCACACCACCTTGTCTCAATTTGCTAGTGTCCTACTACGCTAGGTACCGAAACAGGTTTCATGTACGCTTTACGCCATCGGCGCACCTCCCGGGGCTCTGAAGATAGTCTAGCACCGTAACAGGAGAAAAACAACAACTCTTAAACAGCCTCCAGGTTCTCGCCCCCGTCGCGCGCCGGGTCGAACTGCGCCCAGCCCTCCTCGTCGACCTCGCCCGCGGCCGCCCGCAGCGCCGCCTCCTCGACGCGCAGCCGCGCGAGCTCGTCCTCGAGGCGCTTCTCGATGCCCTTGAGCGCCGAGTAGCGCCGGTCGGCGTCCTCGAAGGCCGCCCGCGCCGCGGCCTCGTCGAAATTATAAGAACGCGGCGGGCCCAGGAGCGGCGCGATCTCCCGCACGACCGCCGGCAGCGGCACCGCGCCCTCCGGCAGGGCCGGCGGGACGTAGCCGGGGTGCGGCACCGGCCGCGGCGTCTGCCGCGCGACCTGCACCGTTTCTTTCTTCTTCCTCTTCTTCCGTGGCTTCTTCGCGCCCCAGCCGGGCACGTCGTCCTTCAGGGGCGCCTCTCTTTTATATTTTTCCCGGTCGCTCTTCCCGAGGCGCTGCCACATCTCGCCGAGCCGCTTCGTGACCTGCGCCGAGAGGTTCGTCGGCCGCTCCGCGCGCACCGCTTCTGTAATTTCCGGTCGTTTCTGCTGCATGAAGTGCATGTAGCCCGAGATCTGCGGCCCCGACGGCGCGGGCAGCGGTTCTACAGAAGAAAGCGGCGTCTCCCTAATAACGTAGTGGCGCGACACGCGGTGGATCTGCTCGTCCTCGCCGTCGAACACCAACCGCACGCAGCCGTCGTCGCGCGCCTGGATCGGCTTCCGCGCGACGGCCGCGCGGTAGAACGTCGTCGTCCACTCCATCCCGTGGATCGTCTTCGCGTTGAACTCCGGCTCGTCCGGCGCCCGGCCCTCCGCGTCCCGCGCGGGGTAGACGGCTAATACATGCTCGCCCTCCCTCAACGCGTCCTGGTCGACGCCGAGGCGTCGTACTCTATCCGCTTCCAGTTGGATGGCTGGCACGGGCGGCGCCGCGCGGCGCCTTGCATTAATGAGCCGCTCGATTAATTGGGGCTTGGCGCCGTCCGTCTCTTCATTTAGTTCGTCGAGCGCATTCCTCAATTCCCGGACCTTCATCTTCCCGGCCGCGCCCGCCGCCTCCAGGACAACCGCGGCGCGACGTTCGTGGGCCTCGGCCTCGTCCCGCACCTCGTACACATCCTGATCGGCGTCGTAGCTCACGACACTCGCTAAAATCCAGGCATCGTCTTTCTTCGCGGCGACCTGCTCGTGGACACACACATCATCGTCTCCAGACCCCCCTTTGAGCGCCTCCGCCAGGCGCTGCAATAAATTAAAACGCTTGCCTTCCGTGTCGAGGCCCAGCCCCTCGAGCGCCTCCTGGAGCCGCTCGATGCGCATGAATTCGACCTCTATCCCGTTCTGGAGGATGCCGGCCCAGGGCTTCACCGTCGCCGTTTGGGGGTTTTCGGCGGCGGCCTCGTCGTGGAAGAGCCTCGGCGCGCTGCGCGCTCTGCCCCTGCTGCTGCGCTCCATCCGTGCGTTGTTGCGCCCTGTGGCAGCTGGGTGTGCTGTACCGCGATTATGCGCAGCAGCGCTGGGCTGACCGTGTTGGTGCAGTACGGGTGACCAAGTATGTCAGCGTTTAGCGTATTTTTGCGCCGCTAACGAGCGACTCGGCCGCGGACAGCTTGCGCCAGCCTGCTTTTGGGCTTTGGTGCTAGTGTCTTACATGCCGCTAGCCCGATTAATCTCTCATCCCAACGAACCGCTCGGACAAGGCTGTCACAGTACGCGATTTCGCATAACTCACGCACGTACACGCCGTCCCTGCATGCGTGCACCGCGAAAACGCCTGGCACATTGGTAGGGGCAGCCTTGGGATGGGAACAGGCTCCTCCGCCGCGCGGGGCTTCGAGGGCGTGGACCCGGCCAAGCGCCGACAAGCTGCGCCGCCGCCGCGGCGCTACGCCGACCCGGCGCGCTACGACTGGATTCCCGTGGAAGGTGATCCTGATCCCGCGGACGTCGCTTCGGCCTCCGAGGCGCCGCCCGGCTTCGCGGCGCCGGACGACGATGGCGGTGGCGCGTCGCCCCGGTCGCACTCCTTTTCCAAGCCGCGCGAGTCGCTGAACGCCGAGCTCGCGCGCGAAGACGCGGCGACGGCCGAGTCGCTGGCTGCCGCGGCCGCGTCGCGCGCATCGGGTCTCGCGGGGGAGCTCCAGTTGCGACGGGAGGTGGTAATGATGCCTGCATAGTTTCGCAAAACTCGCAGCTAGAGGCTGTAAGACACTAGCAAACAGATCTACCAGTCGGTGCTTGCTTGGCGCGCTTCGTTGTTGGAGCGGGAGGCGTTCGCGGAGGTTGCTGGGGAGATTGGGCGGCTTTGGTCGATAGCGTAGCATACAATTAGAGTACACAATTTTATTTTGCTTTTGCTTCGCGGCTAGTGTCTTACCCGCCGCTAGTGCTGCCGATCTGGCAAGGGATCAAGTAGCCCACAGGCGTTGACTCAGAGCTCGCGCGTGACAGCCAGCACGCCTTCTGATACCCAGCATGAATTTGCGCCAGCTTGCCGTACGAAAACGCGCGCCTGAGCTGCGGCCAGCCCTCTGCAGCCTGCAGTAGGTGTTGCTGCTTCCTCGTCGTCGCGCATCTGTAAGCAATGAGGCCGTGTTTGCCGCCGCGCTGCTGCGCTGCACAGCAGCGATGCCAGCCGGGCTTCGACGCCGCTGGCGAAGCGATCAGAGCCGATGCCGGCGCCGCGGGGGTCCATGACGCAGAGTGGCTACCCAAATCCGAGGTCCGGCGTCGCATAGCGAGAGCCGCATCTGCGCTCTGCGGCGCGCCGTCCAGGTGGCGATAGCCTTGGACTCCACGCCATCGACGCGACGCCTTGTCTGCTATGTGGCGTGGAAGTTGACGCTTACGCAGCTACTCCTCGATCCACGATCGGCGATGGCCGCGCGCCTCGTCTTCGTCCTCGCCGCCGCCCTCGCCGTCGCCATCAGAGCGACTCCGAGCCCGCGCGACTCGCCGCTCTGGAGGTACGCGCCTCGCGGCCGACGCGCCGGGACCGCCGCCGCGCGTCGACCGTTTCGCCCCTCGCCGTGGACCGGCTTCGTGCGCCGGCGTACGTGCGCTTCGCGGCGCCGCGGTGGCACAGGGGCGCGCCGCCCCGCGGGCCGCTCCTCCTGCGTCGCCGCGCCGCCCATCGCCTCGACCGGCATCGCGGCTGGTAAGTCGTGATAGTCCGACGAAGACGAGATTCATAAGAGGGGTTGTATCTTAGTCGTCGCGCGCGGCGCCGCGGTGCGCGCGGTATGTCTGTTCAGATGAGAGCGAAGCGACCACTCAGAAGGAGCCGGCGAACGCGAAGGCGCCGCCGCGCTTGCGCTTGCTCTTGAGGATGCGGCGCCGCTCCGCCTCCGCCGCGCCGTTGAGGGCGTCGATCGCCTTCTGGCCGTCCTTCGCGACGTCGAAGGCGGCGCTGTCCGACGTGTTCGCGTCCTCGATGCGCGCGGCGACGCGGAGCTTGATGTTCGCCTGGCCCTGCGCCGACGCGGCCTGCGCGATGCGCGCGGCGCGGACGCACAGCTTGGCGACGCGCGGGCCGAGCGACCCGTTCGTGAGGCCGGCGACGAGCTGGAACGCCGCCAGCACGACGAGGACCCGGAGCTTGTGCGGGATGGCGTACGCGGGGTTGTTCGCCACGGTCGGGTTGACGATGTCGCCGCCCTGGCAGAGGCGGTAGATGTCATTGGCGTCCAGGACCAAGAGGTCCTGCGACTTGACCTTCTTCATGATCGTCTTGCGGTTCGCGTGGGCTCATATAGGTAAACCGGGGTTCACAGCCCTCGGAAGCCCACACCAAGGCTGGTCCCGCGGGTCGCGTTCGAAAAATCGAGATGAGGCTCCCGTCGTGCCAAGCACCCGCTTGTAGTCCACATTGGACACATATGAGGCCGCTCTTCGAGACTGTCCGTTAACGGCGCGCTGCGCTTCGGAACTGCACTTTGTACTAGAGTTTTGAGTTCAGACTTCATTTCCAGCGACAAGACTTTTGTCGTGCTAGGCGCGGGCGCCTTTAACCGGATACAGGACAAGAGGGCGAACGCCGGATTGGCCAAAACGCTAGTACAAAGTGCAGTTCCGAGGCGGGCCGAGCCGCTAATCCTAGTGTGTCTGCCACGCTGCCTAATATCCAGGCGGCCTCCAAAATGACCCAACACATCGCATACACGCGTCGCGCAGCGATAGCTGCAACCCGGCAAGGCTGCGTGCTACATCGCCTGCGACGGTTGCAACAGAAAACGCAGCCGAAAACGCACGTCTACGTGCCAAACGCGTCGAGCGTGCAGCCTCGGCCGCAGCGATGGGTCGTAATCAAGCACGGAAGAAGGCCCAGGCGGTCGTATCTAAAGCGAGCCTCGGCGCCATCCGCCGCGGTCACCTGGGCATCTACCAAAAACTCCAGAAGGCCCTGCAGGCCGCGCGCGAGCGGCTCGCCGGTCGCAAGGAGCTCTTGCAGTTCGACGAGATCCGGCGGGCCCTCGACGCGAAGATAGAAGAGCTTACGGCGGCCCTGCAGGACCCGTCCGTCGCGGACCCCGTCGCCATCAGCGAGGGCGTCTACAAGCTGCTCCGCGCGTGCCAGCCGCTCTACCTCGCGCTCAACGACGGCCTCTCCCTAGAACAGGCCTGCGACGCGCTCGACGACGCGGAGCGGACGCTGGACGACTTCGCCGACCAGGACGAGAAGTACAAAAAGCACCGGAAGCTGAACGGCGGCTGGGTCCGCCAGAACGGCAAGTGGGTGAAGCTGAACGCCAAGGAGTTCGCGGCGTGGCAGAAGGAGAAGAAGGAAAGTAATCGGAAGTTTGAGGAGAGCCCCTACAGTGTCACCACCCAAACCACTGAAAAGCACGACACTGTCTTCGTGGAGCAGAAAAGAAAGGACAAGAAAAGATCGGACAAGTACGCTCGGCGAACGAAGAAGGCTAAGACGGAAGATAACGAGCCGACGCCGCCAAACCTTGTGATGCGGGCGATGGCCGACGGGACGAAAAAGTACAATGTGACGCGTCACTTATTTAAGTTCGCTCCCGCAGGAGTGAGGAACTTCTTCAGACCGCGGGAGGAGGCCATGGCGTTGGCGGCGCGGTGTGAGGCCAACCGGCCCGCGGGGACGACGCGCGCGGAACAGCAGGCCGCGCTCGCGCAGGAGGGCAGGGCGCCCGGCGTCCATCCCCATCGGGGCCATGGCTACAGGGCCCGGCTTATGCCGAAGAAGAAAACGTACGTCACGCTCAAGGCGCCGGGCGGCGGGTTCGTGTTCGACACCGCGGCGGCCGCCGCCGAGGCCATCGAGAAGTACGAGAAGGCGGGTTCGCCGACGAAGCCGTCGGACCCGCTATACGATACGCTCGTGGATTCCGTCCAACGCCGCAAGTAGGTGCCATGGCCGACTGTGTAATATGCAAGTGATCTCCCGAGGTACTCTCTCTCTCACTTAAACAGGGATCACATCAAACCACATTACGCCGCCGCCGAAGACAAAGCAGCATCCATCGCCCCCACGACGCCCGCGGCGCGAGCCCCGACCGCCGCCTCGCGCACGACGCCGCACAGCGCCACGTCGGACGGCGCGCGCGCAGCCGCGTCGCGCGCATCGGGCCTCGCGGGGGAGCTCCAGCTGCGACGGGAGGTGGTAATGATGCCTGCATAGTTTCCCACAACCCTCTGCTAGCGCGCCCTAGCGGCCTGTAAGACACTAGCATTGTGTGCCCAGCACCAAAAGCGCAGCATCGCGCGTAGAGCTTACGCGTCTTGCAGATTCGGCACGCAAGGAGCACTCGCGCAGCGCTATCGGCGCTGGAAGTCCTCCGAAGAGCCTTGGTGGCGCCTACTGAGACAGAGCACAACTAAGGTGGGAGAGCTCACTCAAATTCATCATGAGTGCTGCTCCGGCATCGATGGAGACCGACACGAATAACGAGGACGACGACGAGCTGCGCTTCGAGGAGGCGGACGAGGACGAGGACGCCGAGACGCCGCCGAGCACGGTGGACGTCGACGTGAAAATGGACATCCCGAAGAACCTACGCGACTCCCTCGGTTCCGGGAGGCGCGACGCCGCGCCCGCCGGCTTTACGTCGACGAAGCGGGCGCGCAAGGCCACCGCGCGCTTCGCCGACCTCGAGGCCAAGGGCCAGTCGTACTCCCAGGCGGACGACGACGACGCCGCCGCCTCGTCGCCGCGCCCGCCGCCGCGCAAGAAGAAGGCGCCGCCGAAGACGACGACGGAGAAGAAGCCGAAGCGGCCGCGCGCGCCGCCCGCGCCGCCGACGGTCAAGCGCCCGCGGAACTTCGAGGAGCGCGTGCCGGCGACGGCGGAGCAGCTCCAGGGCCTGAGCATCAAGGACCTCAAGGCCCTGGCCGACAAGCGCAAAGTCGACCTGACGGGCTGCGCGGAGAAGGGCGACCTCGTGCACGCGCTCGTCGCGGCGCGCGTGTTGTTGCCTCCGTCGGTCGCCTCGGCGCCACCACCCGCGCCGGCGCCGGCGCCGCGGGCTCCCGAGCCGGCCGACGACGCGCCGATGCCGCCGCCGGACGATGAGGCCGACGACGCGGCGGCGGAGGCCAAGCGCGAGCGCGCGCGGAAACGGCGCCGCGAGCGCGCCGCGGCAGCGAAGGCCGAACGCGAGCGCGCCGCCGCGCCTGCGCCCGCGCCGCCGCCGCCTCCAGCGGTCGTCACGATAGACGACGACGAGCCCATGGCGCCGGGCGACGACGACGGCGTGGCGCCCGCGCCGGCGGCTCCTACCCACGACTCGGAAATCGCAGCGTGGGCAGCGCTGGCGCCGCGCGGCGTGCGCGAGGCGTGGGAAAAGGCGGGCCTAGACTTCGGCCAGCAGCTCCGGGAGGCGTTCTCCGGGAGCTCCGACGCCGAGGAGCTCGACGCGCCGGCGGCCCTCAAGCAGGCCGCGGAGCTCGAGACGGTGGCTATCGGGCTCCGGTTCTTCGCGGCGGTGGGCGCGCGGCCGCCGCGCGCCGACGACGTGCGCATCACCGACAAGGTCCGGCAGGCGTACCCGCTCGTCGACGTGCGCTACGCCCAGGCCAAGTCCGGCGAACTCTCGCTCATGGACGCGCTGAAGGAGTTGGCGCCGGCGCGCTTGCGGCTCGCGGGGCTCATGCGCGTGCTCGACGCCGCGCGCGAGCGCGGCGACGTGCGGGCGAGGCTGCGCGGCCTCGGTGCCAGGAATTGCCTGCGGGGCGAGGAGGTCGTTGTCACGGGCGTCTGCGAGCTCCTGGGCGGCCGCGAAGACAACCGGGGCGACACGCGCCGAGAGCTCATCGAGTGCATCGAGCAGCTCGGCGGCACGTGCAAGAGCGATGTCAAGGGGACGGACGCCAGACCGGGGACCACGTTGCTCGTCGTCGGCCTCGGTGAGAAAGGCGTCGATGGGAAGCGCAACGGCCGGGGCGAGGCGCCAGAAACCTCGGGAAAGTTCCGTAAGGCGACGGAGATCAACTCCAAGCGCGCGGCAAAACGGCACTCCGAGGAGCAGAAACGCCGGGAGAAAGAGGAGGCGATGCGAAATAACCCGCGTATAAAGAAGCCGCACGAGGTCAAGTCGGTGCCGCCCGACATCCGCATCCTGCGCGAAGACGAGTTCTACGCGTGGGTGGCGTCGCTGCCGGCGCAGCGCGCCCGGGACGAGGAGGAGGACGCAGGGCCGAAGACGACGGCCCCGCCGCGCGTCTTCCCGGACCTGCGGCGCATCCACTACACGCACCCGACGAAGGCAGCGTCGGCCAAGGGCGAGCCCGGCAAAGAGGGCGGCTTTCTCGCCGACGCGCTGGCGCCGCCCGGAGGGTTCACGTTGGAGAATGCGATCGTGGCCTCTGGCGAACATCTCGACGGCGCGTTCGCGCACGCCATGCTCCAGAAATGTTCGTGCGCCGACGGCGCTTTCGACAGCGGCCGAAACGACGTCGCGTCCTACGTCACTGTGCACTGGGAGGGGGCGGATCGGCACGCGGGGCCCGGCGACAAGCCAGAAAAGGAGTGGAGATCGGAGCCCAAGGGCTGGCTCGCGGCCACGGCCGAGCCGGGCTATCACACGCGGCGCCGCGGCCGGCCGTTCGAGAGCTGCCGCCAGGTCGACGTGAGGCATGCGACGAAGGTTGCGAGGAAACGGGCCAAGCCAATTCTGGGCTCACAGTTCGGGCTCCTGGCGGACGCGACGATCGGCATGGGCCAGGCCCACTCCAAGTTCTGGCTGCTGCGCTTCAAACCTGCGGCGGAAGGTCGGAGCGGCGGCGTCGTCCGCCTCGTCATCTCGAGCGGCAATTGCCGGCCAGTCGCGTACGCGGCGCACCCGAAGCGCGAGTTAGTAGGCTTGTGGTTCGCCGATTTCAAGGAGGTCGACGGTGCTGCGCCATCGCCGTTCCGCGACGCGCTGCTGCGGCACTGTCGGGCGCTCGTGAACGCGAGGTCGGCGGCAGCTCAGGCTGACTTCGCGAGGACGGCCGCGACGCGCGCCGACGCGCTCGCGCGGTGCGAGGAGCTCTTCGCGGCCTGCGAGCGCGCCGATTTTTCGCCGGCCGACGCCGCGGGCGTGCGCCTCGTGGCCCACGAGCCGGGTTTGCATCCGAGCGGCGCGGGGGTCGCGGCCGAGGCGTTGCGGGCGGCGTTCGCCGAGGCGTGCGTCGAGGCCGGCGGCGGGCCCCTGAACTGTTCCGCCGTGTGCCACAGCTACGGCGGGTGGCTTGAGGGGGGCGCGACGGGGCGGGCGCGGCTCTCGCGCCTCAAGTCGGCCATGGCGCCCGGCGGCGGCGACATAAACGTGTTCTGGCCCGAGAGAGGCGACAAGCAGCTCTTCCGGAAGGATCGGTCGACGGAGAACGTCGGATTGAAATATGCGACGCAGGACCGCGGCCTGGAGCAGATCAAGGCGGCGTGCGCGGGCGAGGCCCTGACACGCCTGCGCGTGGCCGCGCACGCGAACGAGCGGGGCGCCGACAAATACGTCTACACGCCGCACCTCATGCTCTACGTGCTTCACGACGCCACGGGCGGCATCAAGCGCCTTCTGCTCTCGTCGGCGAACCTCTCGGCGGCGGCCTGGGGGCGGCGGCGGTCCCATAAGTTTCCGAACGACGAGAACGCGCTGCCGACGGACGAGGGCGCGCTCGAGGTTCGGAGCTTCGAGCTCGGCGTATCTGTGCCGCCCGCCGACGCGGACCGAGCGAAGGAGGACTTGCCCTTCGTGTTTCCCGCGGCGGCCGCCGGCCAGTGCCAGAGGGAGTTCATCGGCGTCAACTCGTTGGACCGGGACGACCGCGGCGTGATGCATTACTAGTGTGTAAGAAGAACATTGTGAATACTAACTCCAAGCAGTCTTCCGCACGGGCACCGGCAGAGGAGTCGAAGAAGAATCCACGCCAGCGCCGAGCTGGCCTAAGCCCCCAGCACCCAAACAGAGCACCGCGCCCGCCGCCGTCACGGCGACGGTGTGGCCCGCGTCGCTGTTCGCGGCGCCGCCCGCCGCGACCGCGACGACGCCCTTGCCGCAAAGCCCAGGTACGCGCGCGGGCGTCCAGACCTCGTCGTCCGCCGCCGAGGACGAGGACGACGACGTGCTGTCCGTGTCCGACGAGTCGCTGTCGCTCTCGTCGTCATCGACGCGCGCGCCGCCGAGCTGGCCTTGCGCGTCGGAGCCGAAGCCGACGACGTCGCCATCCTCGAGCAAGACCAAAGAGTGCGACGCGCCGGCGGCGACGCACACGGCACTCGACGGCAAGGCGACGCAGGCTGGTTCCCAGGCGTCGTCCGCGTGGCCGAGCCCGAGCTGACCGTAACTGTTGTCGCCAAACGCAAAGACGACCCCCTCCGACGCGACGACGAGCGAGTGGTACTTGCCCGCGCTCGCGTCGACGACGCCCTCGAGGGCGACGCGCGTCGGCGGCGCGCTCGCGTCCTCCGTCGTGAATCCGAGGCGGCCGTCGCTCGCGAGGCCCCAGGCGTACAGCGTTCCTTTCGATGTGAAGGCGAGCGAGTGGCACGCTCCGGCCGCGACGCCTTTGATGTCATCGACCCCCTCGACGATAGCCAGCTCAGACGCCCCGCCCCGGCCGAGCCGCCCGTCCCCCGCGTCGCCGCCGGACCAGCAGCGGCCCTGGTCGTCCGCCAATAGGACCTGTGTGGAAATCAATCAGTGTGTCGGGTGCACTTGGCGATGACGTGGGCTCGCTGGCTCCGTCGAGCGGTGAGGTACCGACATCGCCACGCCATCGAGCAGGTGTCGCGTCGATGGCGTGGAGGTCGACGCGGCGATTCAAGACGAAAGCGCCGTAAATTTGATTTCCACACAGAATAGGACGTGAGCGGCGCCCGCGGAGACCGCGAGGACGCGCACCTTCGGGAGCAACGGTCTCAATGAAGACCCCGGCGCCAACCCGGGCAGCCGCCCGCCGGCGCGCGCCACACCAAAAGCGTCGACGACGACCGTGAACCCCCAGCCGCACGCCACGGCGACGTCCCGGGCCGTGCCGATCCGGGGCAGTTGGGACGGCACGTGGCCCGGGCTCCGCCAGTCGCCGCCGCAGGGCTCAAACCCAAAGGCGACGGCCGCGCCGTCGACGATGACGGACGTGTGGAGCGAGGCCGCGCACTTGACTGGACGCGGCCGGTGCTCCGGCGGCGGCGGCGGCGGCGGCACCAACGTCTCCAGCCCCCGGGCCCGCTTCAGCGCCCGGCCAAAGACCGTGCCCGTGTCCACTCCACTCGTATTGAGCCGGCCGAGGTCGCTCAGCAAGTTTGTATTGGACGCGAGCAAGGCGGCGAGGCGCTGCGTCGTCGTCTCGCGCAGCTCCGCGAGGAGCGGATCATTGGAACCTGGCGTGGGCGGGTCGTCGGCGGCGGGGCGGCGCTTTTTTGTCTTGGCCTGGCTGCTCTTGGTCTTGGCCTGGCTCGGCGGCGTGGCCATCGTTGCCCGGGCAGCCTCCTGCGGCCGCAGCGTTCAAGAACTAGTCGCTGGGAACGTGTAGTATGATTTATTCGCGTCCCGCACCATGCATAGCTTTACAAATTGGCTGCCCAAACTCCAAAACTCGAAGCCGTGCGTGCGGGTCTTTCTTCGCGCATCCGTCCGCTGAGCCGTACGGAGGAGTGCCTGGGATATGGCTTCCGAAGCTTAGCTCCAAGGCTCCGACCTAGAGGCCTGGAGGCTCAGGCGATGCCGGCTCTCACAGCAGCCAAAAGCACTGCGTGTGACTTATAATAGGTGGACCGCGTGTGACCTTTGCACTGCAGATATACATATCAGAGCCTGTGACCGCGAAAACCGCAGCGCAAACGCAAAAGGACCGCTGCAGGCAGCAGTGCCAACAGCAGCACTCGCAGCAGTGCGACAGAGATGGCGCAACAGGCCACGGTCCTCCTGCGCAACCTCCACGAGGCGTCGACGCACGCGTCGGTCGCCGCGGCGTTGGCCGAGTTCGGCCCCGTGAAGCGCGTCGACGTGATTAGAGGTAGAGGCTTCGGCTTCGTAAAATTCGCGACCGCCGCGGACGCGCAGAAGGCCGTGCGGGCGGGGCGCGAGAACGGCATTGACGTCGACGGTGCTGTGGTCGAGGTGGCTTTAGCAAGGGACAAGGGCCAGAAGCATCCTAATGCCGTAGCAGCGCCAATCGCCCCGTCGAACAACGAGAAGCGCGAGTCGCAGCGAAGTGTAAGGGGCCGGTCAGCGCGAGTATTCGGCATCCCCGTCGGCGCGTCGGACAAGGCTGTTTATAAGCGGTTGAGGAAGCTAGAAGGTTTTGAGAAAGTGACGAGTGTCGAAGGAGCAGCAATGCGGCCGGCGGGCGCCTTAGCAGTGGCCACATTTTCATCTTTACAAAAGGCGTCGCAAGCGTGCCAGCGGCTCGATGGTGCTACGTTCAAGGGGTCGAAGCTCGCGTGCCGCCTCGAGGCGCACGTCGATAGATCAAATGAACAGAAAGGTAGGTTAGTCGTGCGCAATTTGCATTTTAGGGCGTTGGAAGAGGACCTGTTGGATGCGTTCATGGCGTACGGCCCGCTGCGCGAGGCGCGCGTGCCGCGCGTCGGCGAAAAGTCGCGGGGATTTGGCTTCGTCGAGTTCTTCTGCGAGAGCGACGCGCGGCGCGCTTTGAAGGCCGCGTCTTCTGGTAAATTTGCGGTGAAGGGGCGGCCCGTGGCCGTGGACCAGGCGACGCCGAAGTCCGACCATGTCGTGGCGGCGCCCGAGCCCGCCCGGCGTGAAGACGGCGCCTCGGCGTCGGGCGACGAGTCCGAGGCTGCCGAGGCGTCGGACGCCGCCGAGGAGGACAACGAAGACGCGGGTGGCGAGGAGTCTGACGCCGCCGAGGGCGACGACGACGAGGAATCGGACGACGAGGAGGCCTCGGAAGACAAGAAGCCCGACGACGTCGCCGAGGGCCGGACGCTGTTCGTCAGGAACGTGCCCTACGGCGCCACCCGAAAAGCCCTGGCCGAGCTCTTCGCGAAGAGTGGTAGTATAGAAAGCGTCCACGTCGTCAAGGACAAGGCCACGGGCCTGGGGAAAGGCTCGTGCTTCGTACGCTATTCTTCGGCGGACAGCGCGACGAACGCGACGATGGAGGCGTGGGCCCTCGACGCGCGGCCCTTGATTGTGGCTCTAGCGGTTGATCAGTCGACAGCATCGAAGCTGAGAGACGAAGTCGGCCCCGCGAAAAAACGCAAGCTCGAGCACGCGTTGGTCGGAGGCGACCGGCGCCACGTGGCTCTGAGTAGAGAGGGTCTCATCCAGAAGGGCGACCCCGCGGCCATTGGTGTTCCGGAAAACGATCTTAAGAAGAGAGAACGGGCGCGCCAGGAGGCGGCCACAAAATTGAGAAATCCATTATTCCACGTGAACCCGCAGCGGTTATCCATAAGAAACCTCGCGCCGCACGTCGACGCGGCCCTCCTGAAGGAGTTGATCGAGGCGGCCGGCGTCTCTCCGAAGGATGTGGGCGCGGTGCACGTGGCCCGGGACAAGGTGCCGACGGTGCCCGGTAAAAAGCCCAAACCCGGCAAGTCCAAGGGTTATGCGTTTGCCGAGTTTTCAAGTCATGCGTGCGCCATGCGGGTCTTGCGGTTTGCGAACAACAACCCGGAATTAGCGAGTTACTGCGTGCCCCGCGGCAAAAAAATGGGGAGTGAGGTGCCGCGGCCGATCGTGGCCTTTGTCGTCGAGGACCACCGGAAGGTGGCCCTGCGCCAGAAACGGGAGGACGACGCGAAGGCGAAGGCGACGGCGCCGTTGGACGGGCCGTCGCGCAAGGAGCGGCGGCGGGAGAAGCGCATCGCGAACCGGCTGGAGAAGAAGCGGGCCCGGAAGGGCGCGGAAGAAGTTCCGAAGGCTCCGAGGAAGGTCGTGGACGACGGGTTGATGCGCGACCGCGGACGACCGCGCCGTCGAGCAGGTCTTCGACGCCGCCGAGCGCAAGCGCGACAAGAAGCGGAGGAAGAAGAAGGCGCCGGAGCAGGACGTCGAGCGCGCGCAAAGGCGCGCGCAGCCGGCCTACCTCGCGTCGCTGAAGAAGGCCGTCGTCGCGGGCGAGGGCCGGTGGTTCGAGTAAACAGTTGTGTCAGTTAGGCAGCTCCCAGCCCTCGGGGACGTCGATGCCGAGGACCTCCGCGGCGCCCGCGGCGCCCCGCACGCCGTTGACGATCGGCCCGCCGTCGGCTTTGGGGCCGGCGCCGTCGACGCGGACGTTCGGGCCCATCGTGCACTCGTCGAAGCAGCCGTGCTCCGTGTGCGACATGTCGGCGGTGAGCACCTCGACGCCGTCCGGCGCCAACGCCTCGAAGATGCGTAGCGTTTTCAAGCTACCTTTTTTCTTGCAGTGCTTTTTCGTGCATACTTCGACCCGCGCGACTGATGCGACGACGCGCCGTCGCTCGTGAAGCTGCATCGGCTGCGTTTGCAGGGCGCTCGCGGCGATAAGCACTGCCAGGAATGCGATCGCTTGGCAAGGTACGGGCAGCACCCACCATAGGAGAATCATTTTACTGCGCTGCTGATGAAGCTCCTCTTGTCTACAACGTGAAATTTGCTGCAGTGCAGATGGATGCAAGCTGCTTCAGAGGTGTCTACGGCGTCAAATTGCACGTAGAAATGCTCGCGTCAGATGCAACACAGCACGGTGGTCGCGTATCGATCCGAGAGGCGTTCGCAAAGGTGCTACTGCCGAACCAAACACCCACTCACCACGTACCCTCGATTTATTGTCAGATCGCTAAGAAGACACACTAGAAGCCAAGTTTGCGCGCTCTTGCACGCGATCGTGCAATCCCGTCGTCCCAAAGGAGCGAACCACTAGTTTTTGGCGTAGGAGGAGGAGAAAGGAAGCAACCTCACGACCCCTTCTTGGTCTCGTCGTCGACCGACTTAGCCCACGGTCCGGTTGATGCCCAGGATCCGCACCCCATGCATGCCCGGCAGTTTGGGCAGGATGCAGAGGAGCGCGCGAGATGGGGACGGGTATGGTCGGTCGGTGGCTTGTCGCGAAAAGTCCGCCGCATTTAAATAAGCCAGCAGGACGAGCGTCGGCACGATGAGGAAGACTTTTTTGGTGGCGGACCACGACGCGCCGCCGTCGAGCTGCTCCCAGACCGTCAAATCATCGTAATCGCCCTGCGCTGCGTGCGTGTCCGGCGAGCCGGGCCCAGTGGAAGAAGACGAAGGTCACGAGCGCGTGTGCCACGTTCGTCGCCGACAGGGACTGCTCGGACGTGTAGCCCGAGCCGTGGATCGCGCCGTAGACGATCAGAATGAGCATGACGTAGGTCGCCGCGAACCTTGTGGTATCGATCTGGAAGCACTCCACCGCCACATTTCGCTTCGGGTCCGGGTCCATGCCGGAGAGGTAGTTGTCCGAGTAATTTCGTGGGACGGGCATCTTTCTTTGTCGGGCACCGCGGCGTCGAGCGTCGAGCGTGGGCGGCGGGCGCGCCGCGGCGGCGTCGGCGTGTCGGCGGCGCAAGGGCGGCTTTGGCGAAGCCCTGGGCCGCTTGCGGGCGGCGGATTGACGCTGCGGCGCTGGCGGAACGCGCGGCGCTGCGCACGGCGGTGGGGCCTTTCGGGGCCTAGCCGGAAGCGGGGCGTTTCTGTACGCTTGTTATGCGTGCGGCGGCAGTATGAGACGGCCAGAACGTCTCGCGCTGCTGGATGAGCTGTTGGAGCCGCCAAAGAGAGCCGACAAAAATGGCTTGCTAGTGTCTATACATGCCGCTAGCTGCCTTCGCTTTTGCAGGGGCCAAGCGCAGCCGCTGCGCAGCATACGTGCCCTCATTTGACGGCGAGGAGTTCTCTTGCAACGTATAACTGCGCCGCGCCAGCGATTTCGACAGGCGCCCAGCCTCTGGCCCGGGCCTCTCCCTGCCTCTGGCCCAGCGATTTCGACGCCCGGAGACGCGACGTTGCACCATGCGGTCCGCCCTGCGCCGCGCGACGGCGGCGCGGCGGCGGCGCCACAAGAGCGGCATGCCCGCGGACTACGCCATGGTCCCGCCCTTTCCCCGCGGCGGCTGGAACGCGCACCAGCCGCCCTTTCCGGAGATTGCACCAACGACCCAATTGACGACGCTGCCGAGCGGCTTGCGGGTCGTCTCCCAGGAGACGCACACCTATATGTCAGCTATCGGCGTCGTGATTTGTGGTGGAGCGGCCGACGAGAAGGCCCACCTCGGGACTGTGGGCGGCGCGCAGCTCGCGGAAGTGTGCGCGTGGCGAGGGACGAGGAACTCGTCGACGGCCGACGTGCTGAAGCGCGCGGAGGCGTGCGGGGCGTACCTGCACGCGAACGCGCAGCGCGAGCAGACGCTCTACTGTATTGATGCTTTGCGAGATAAGCTCGAGGACGCGACGCAATTACTTGCGGAGGCGTGCCTGCTGGGTCCGGACCTCGAGGCGCCGGGCGCCATGGACGAGGTGCGCGAGGGTATGGAGCTAGCTTTTCTGGACGCGACGCAGGACGCGCGCGTCCGGGAAAACATCCACGCCGCCGCGTACGGTTCATCGCCGTTGGGCGCGCCGCTCCTCTGCCCGCCGTCCCAGCTGCACACTTTGTCCCCAAAAACGCTCGCGGACTTCCGCGCCTTGATCACGCAGCCCCAATCGCTGGTCGTCGCGGGCGCGGGTGTCGGCCACGACGAACTTATTGCATTGGCCGAAAAACACTTCGAGCCGCACCTGCCTCCATCAACAGCGCCACTGGCGATCACACAGTCGCCTTACGTGGGCGGGTGCGTCCTGGCCGAGGAGCGGGCCCCGACGCCGTCTGGTTATGCTGTTGAAGCCACACCTCAAGTGAGGATTGCCTGCGCCATGCGCGCGCCCGAAGGAGGGTGGCATTCGAAGGATTTGATCGCTTGTTGTGTGCTCCAAACTCTGTTGGGGGGTGGCGATTCCTTCTCCGCCGGTGGACCCGGCAAGGGAATGTACTCTCGCTTATACAGAGAGGTGCTCAACCGGTACCACTGGGTCGAGGCCTGCGAGGCCTTCGTGTCCATCCACGATCGGGAGGGGTTATTAGGTATTGTGGGGGCGTGTGCTCCTGCAAGTGCGCATCACTTGACCGAGGTGCTCATGTCCAATCTGTTGCGGTTGGGCCAGCAGCCTGTTGAGAGATCAGAATTGGACCGGGCCAAGAACATGCTCAAGGTCAACGTGTTGACGCAGCTCGAGTCTAGACTGGTGTTATTCGAAGATATTGCGCGGCAGGTCGCGACTTTTGGGAGGCGCCAAACTTTGCAGGAGATGACGGCGGCCGTCGACGCCGTCACGGAGGAAGATATCTTGAGGATAGGGCAATACATGTGCGCGGCGCCTCCATCCATGGCGGCGCACGGCGAGGACCTGTCCAGGGTGCCGCCCTACGAGCAGGTGCGGTCCTGGCGGCTCCGGTAGTCTTAAGTGTTTAATAGCGTTAGTTAATCGATAAGTTGTGCGACGACGGCGACGTGTCGACGGCGCGTCGACTAGGTCTGCTTCGGGTGGAAGCCGTGCCAGAATTTGGGGGTGACCGCGTGCTTGATCGTCAGCGCGTGGATGTAGCACGCCGTCAGCGTCAGGACGGCGGCGAGGATGCGCCCGACGACCTTGAAGAAGCGCCACTCCGTGTCCGTATGGATCTGGTACGTCGACATCGTCAGCGTCACCATCGGAAACACGACGCCCCACCAGTTCGGAGCGAAGGGAATGCCCGTGCCGCCGCCGAGGCCGAGGCGGCTGCTCAGCGACGAGTGGTGGAAGGACGTGGACGAGGCCAGAAAATACACCCAGACTCCGAAGCCCCACAGGAACAAGCCGATGGCGATGGCTCAGATTGGCTTCAATGGCGCCTAAACCGCGACAGGAGCACAGGTTTCCGTTTTTCCGCTGGATGCGCGCACTCAGAGGGGCCTCTTTGATGAGCAAGGAACTCGCGCGCGCCCGATCAACCGAGATCAGCGCGCTGGGAATATGGCGAGCTAGCGTCCAGTAAGACACTAGCAAGCTGGGAGAGCCTGGTCGCAGCTCAGCCGCACGCCGGCGCAAGAGCTCCACAGTTCGATATTTCGACCGCTCGCATCTGTTTGACAACTGGCGCTGTCGCTCCCGTGAAACACAATGCGGCTCGCCTCGCGCCTCGCGACGGCAATGATAGGGGCGGCCCGCGGCCTGTCCCGGTCGTCGCCGCGCATGAGTTCGCTCAGCAGCGCCCCGACCGTCGCGCTCAACGACGGCACGAGCCACCCGCAGATCGGCTTCGGGACGTACAAGGTCGGCTTCATCCCCGCCTCCGCCTCGGCGGCCGTCGCCGGCGCCGAGGAGAGCGGCGGCGAGGTCGCCACTGCCACGGACATCGTCGGGGACGCGCTGGACGTCGGGTATAGGTTTCTGGACTGCGCGCAGTTCTACGGGAACGAGGTCCAGGTCGGCGAGGCGATTAAAACATCAAAAATTCCCCGGTCGGACTTATACTTAGCCTCGAAGTGCTGGTCCGATGCGATATATGACGGGCCGGCCGCCGTCCGAGCGCAAGTCGAGCGGTCGCTGCGTGATTTAAACACGGAGTATCTCGATTTGTACCTGGTCCACTGGCCCGTGCCGGGGAAGCACGTCGCCGCCTACCTCGAGCTCGAGAAATGCCAAGCGGAAGGCCTCGTGAAGTCCATCGGCGTCTCCAACTACGCCGTCGAGGACATCGAAGAGCTCCTCAGGGAGGCGTCGGTCGTCCCGGCCGTGAACCAGATCGAGTTCAACCCCTTTTTGTATAGAAGGAAGACGCTGGACTACCTCACGAAGAAGGGCATCAAAATCCAAGCGTACCGGGCGCTGCGCGACGGCAAGGCATTCGACGACCCGACGATCAACGCCGTCGCGAGTAGGCACGGCGCGACGCCGGCCCAGGTACTGGGCGCCTGGTGCGTCGCCAAGGGCGCCATCTACATGCCCAAGTCGACGCGGCGGGAGCGCATGGTCGAGAACGCGGACGTTTTTGACCTGGCGGCGGCGCCGACGCGACGACTTTTCCAGGCTCGACGCGCTCACGACGCCCGGGCCATCGCGGCGTACAAGGCCCCTACTTAGGTGTCGTCCGCGACACTCCCTTAGACGAGTCTGATCCGGGCATCAAGCGGGATATCACGGCCGGCTAGTTTTAAGATTCTTAGTAACAACACATACATGGACGCCGTCACCCGACGACCGTCGACGGGACGTAGGCCCCGTGGCAGGGCACGGCCGCGGCCGCGTCCGTCCGCGGCGGGTCGCGCCCGACGCAGCCGCAGGCCGTCTGGTTCGCGGAGGGCAGCCGGCAGCAGCCGTTCGTCCACCTATCTAGATTGCGCTCCGTCTCCCAGTATAGCGATTTGCCGTCCCAGGCGCCGCCCTGCTCCGCGTCCAATTCATAAATCTGGCTCTCGAGCACGGCGTCGCGCGCGAAGGGCCGCCGGTCGAGCCGGTGGCGGAAGGCGTCGCGCACGTGGCGCTGGCCGAGGTCGAGGCGGTGGCCGCACGCGTGCTGGTCGATGACGGCGGGGTCCTTGGCCCAGGCCTGCGAGCAGCCCCAGCAATCCAAGAACTGCGGCGCGGGCGCCCGGCCTTCCACTTCGAGGAAGCGCAGCGCCGTCGGCACGCTCACCTCGTGGTGGAATTTAAACTGCGTCCCGCAGAGTTGCGCAAAGTCCGCGAAGATGGGAGACGGCAGGTAGAAGAGGTCGGCCCAGGCGGCGCAGGCCTCGGGCTCCTTCGCACGTGTCGGCGCGCTCGCGGCCCACGCGCGGCGCGCCTGGTCCTTCGCGTCGTGGCCCCACGTCCATTCTCTATCGACGTCGAGCGCCTCGCCGCCCAGGCAGTACCGCCCGAAGACCCGGAACTCGCGGACGGCGTCGTCGGGCGGGCGATTCAAACCCGCCGCGAGCGTCCACGGCCGCTTGAGATCCAACGCGCCCGCGTCGACCTGTGTGGAAATCAACCAGTGTGTCGGGTGGACTTCACAAAGTCGTTTCTCGGCGATGACGTGGCCGCGAACGCGCCGTAAATTTGATTCCACACAGGCGTCGACGCGGTGCGCGAACGACGGCGGGTCCAGCCAGAAATCTAGGTGCGCACGCGACCGCGCCGGTGACGCCCCCCGTCCCGCGCCAGTGGGGCCGCAGCCACGGCGGCGGCTCGTCGCGCCTCGAAAACGTCGCGAGCTGCCCGAAGAGCTGCGCGTAGGCCGCGACGTAGGGGTCCCGGCCGGCGCCGCGGCGGGCCAAGAAGCAGGCGACCCCATACCGGTCGCAGGCGTCCTGCGAGGGCACGGTCGCCGTCGCGCCCGTCGCTTCGTGCGAGCGCCGCCGGCCCGCCGTGCCCGGCAGCACGAGGTAGGCGACGCCGCCGAACCAGCGCTCGTACCTCCTGGAAATGTAGAGGCGCTCGACGAAGGCCTGATGGCTTACGAGCAGCGTGCCGCGGAGAGTTTCGGATGCTGCAGCTGTGCTGCTGCCGGCCAGCAGAAGGAGTAGCGTGCCGCATCGATGGCGTCGAGGCTGCGGCATTGTCTCCGGTGACACTCAATAGATTAGGATGGATAACCGTTACAGCACGCAGTGCAACGGGTCTAGTCTAGCCCTTGCAAGCACAAGTAGACCCGCGGCGGCTGGTGGCTAGGCAGCCAAGCGCAAAAAGCGCAGAGGAAGGGGCAGCTAGCGGCCGTAAGACACTAGCAAGTCCGGGGAAGCCTCATAGTTACGTAACTAGCCTAGGCCTGTCCAATTGCACATAACAGAACTTAGAAATACACCCTCATCGTCGACGCCACATCCTGCCGGCACATCGGGCAGCTCTCCGTCGCGTGCCGGCCCGCGCACCCGGCGCAGAGGACGTGTCCGCACGGGACCAGCGCGATCTCGCGGTCGCCGTCCATGCACAGCGGGCACTCTTGCGTCGACGGCGTCGCGATCGGCGGCGGCGGCGGCGCTGCGGGCGGCGGCGCCACGGCCGCCACCAGAAGCTTCTCAGCATCTTCTGGTTTGATCGCAATGTCCACGAGGTCACTGATCGACAAAAGCGGAAGGGCCTCGATATCAATCTCCTCCGCTGCCAGCGCTCCGGCTATGTGATTCAGGTCGAGGCGCGCCAGGAGGGCGGCGAGCGGGGCGTCGAGCGCATACGACGCGCCGGCGTCCGCCGCCGGCGCGGTAAGTAGCGGCAGGAGCGACGGCGCGGGGCCGGCGTCGGGCGCCTTCTCCTCGTCGGCCGGCACGGCGCGGCTACCGGCCGTGCGTCCGGCGAGGCGGCCCAGTTTTCTCAAAGCTTCTTCCGTTATTGACCCGGCGTTTGATTCCAGCTTCAGTAAATCCTCAACGGCGTGCCTCGGGACATCCGCGTTTTCGTGTCGTGTCCTCCGCGCCGGCGTCGCGTCGTCCTCATCATCATCATCGACGGCGAGGTCAGAAAGGGCCCGGCGGGGGGCGGTGGGGGCGGCGGGAGGCTTCGGCTGCGGCGGTGGCGGCGGAGGCATCGCTACGGCCCCGACGCTGGAGATAACAATGCGCGGACCGTCCTGAGAGATACGCAGGCCGGCAGGAGCGGCCACCGTCCGCAGTAGCTTAAGGGCGCCGCCCTTCGGCACTGAAAGTCCACGCGCCGCCGGGCTTTTGTAGAACTGCGCGAGATCCGTACCGACGATGCGGCCGCCCCGGGAAACGATCCAGCCGCGGAGCGCGCTCGCGAAGGCCATGGCGGGATTAACTTCGCGGGCGCGCGGCGCCGCAGCAGGGGGCGCCTTCGTTCGGGCGCGGGCGCGCGGCGCCGGCGCCGACCGCGAAGCTTGTTGTTTCGCCAGGAGCAGCAAATCGTCGTCGTCGTCGTCCTCAGACGAAGACGAAGACGACACCTCCGCGGCGGAGGCCGGCGCGGGCGCGGGCGCGGGCGCGGGCACCGACGCTTTCTTGCCTTTTTTTCTGGACTTCTTCGTGGTCCCCGGCCTGTGCTCCTCGGCCTCAAGCGACGCGAGGAGATCTGCCGCCGCCTGGTCCGCCGCCGCCTGGCGCGCGGCCGTGTCCTCAGCCGCACCATCACCAGCGCCGCCTCCGCCAGTGCCGCCTCCGCGCGCGGCGCGCCGCTTCGCGATGCGCTTCTGGACTCCTATCGCCGCCTCCGCGAAGGCGTCGAGCGCGACCACGACGCAGTCGCCGCCCAGCTTCATGAGCGTCTTGAGCAGCTTCGGGCCGTCTTGTGGCCCTTTTACCCCACTTCGCGAGGTGGCCGTGTTCCTTGAGCGCCATCGCCACCGGCACGAACAAGGCCTTGCTAAATTCGGGCGAGTCCTTTCGCATCATCGATTGCGATAGGTAGCGCAGAAACTCGTAGACGATCCGCGCGGACGGCCGGCCCGCGTCCTTGGCCTGTGCATAAATCAACCGGTGAGTCGGGTCGAGCTGGCGTCGCGTCGATGGCGTGGATGTCATAATTCAGCAGTGGCGGAGATTTATGCACTGTCCTTGACAATGTCGAGCAGCGCCCGAAAGTGTTCAAGCGTGAGTTTTCCGACGTGTTCCCATCGGTGGTCATCGTAGTCGTAGCCGTCCGCGCTATCGAGTCCCGCGCCAAAGTCCCAGCAATTGTCATCGCGAACTTTGCCAAAGTCGCAGGCAACCGCAGCGACCTAACGCACAGCAGCAGGGCGGCCACGTCCCTCACCTGCAGGCGGCCGTCATGTTTGTCATAGAAGCCGGGGGACGGGTAAGCAGTAAAGACTTCGAAAATACCAACGTCCGTCGGAATTTGGATCCAATCGGCACAGCTCAAGAGCGGCAACAGGACCTCTACGGTTTCGTCGCAAATGAGCAGTGGCACAAGGCCCAGCCTTCCTGGTGGAGAGTGCGTCGTGTGCTTGATTAGCGAAGCGACGAGGACACCGGCTCTGGTACCCCCCTTCAAGAACGCGCCACCGCGGGCGAGGGCCCGCGCCATGACGTAGACCACGTCGCGCGAAGGCGGCGCGGCTGTCAGAAGCGCCAAAAGAGAATCGGTGATCAGATTTGTGCTCGCCTCATCACTGTCGGCGGCGAGCCGGCAGAGGGCAACGGCCACACGTATAAGATTCCTCAGAAGCCCCGCGTCCGTGCGCGGGGTATCCGTCGACACGCGTAACAAATGAGAAAACGTTCCCGGAACCGCACCAAGCATGGCGGGCCTCGTGCTCTCGCGCACGATCACATCGACTAGCGCGTCAATGGTACCACGGTCCGTCAGGTCCACCCACGTGCTGCCAGCGGATACAACATGTTCGACGAGCACAGCGACCGCCGAGTGGTAGGCCTCGTCGTCGGCGCCGTCCGCGTCGCTGGCGGCGGCGACGCCATGATCGCGCGTCGACCGCCGAGAGCGAAACTTGGCAGTCATTGAATTTATTAAATCCTTCAGATCCTGCGCCTCCGGACAAGAGGTTGTCAAGACTAGCGCACAGCCGTCGGTCGGCGCCTTTGGGACGTAGTTGACGAGCGCCACCATCGCGACGGATGCTATAACACTGTCAATCGCCATGTCCCCGTCGCCGAAAAAAAGATCATACGCCAGCACCATCTCCGGCAATGCCGAGGCATCGTTCAGGTTCCTGAACTCATCTCTTAGCGAGGTGAGTTCATCTATGTCATCTGGGCCGACAGGGGGCAAATTGGACCGCCTACATCTAGCGGCAAGGGCGCGAGGCAGCCCGCTCGCCCGCACCGGACGCAGATTCCAGGCTTGTGCATTTGAAAGGAGCCGGGCCGCGACGGTGGCGGCGGTGTAGGCGATGCGCGCTATGCGAGGAATCGCAGTCCTCGTCGTCGTCCCTGCCCGTCGGTGCGCAGCGCGGCCGCGAGAAGGGCGCAGAGACAGCGCTGCATTTGGTCATCGAGGTCGCATGTCGCGGTACGGAGGGCGATGCCTGCCAGCGCGATCACGCTTCCCACGCACTCCCGGAGCTCTCGCCTCAGGCGGCCGGCACTTCGGCGCACAAACTCGTCCGCCAACTCGCCGCGCGCCTGCCGCCGCCGGCCGCCGGCCACGCTCAGCCCCAGGTCGAGCTCGACGTCGTCTTCGTCGTCAGTGTCCCAGGCTATCGGTGCGTCTACGCTATCGTCGACCCGGCGTGCGATCCGTGCAATGGCGATGGTCCGAG